AGGGTTCACATTATAGTTCTCTGCAATCGGCTTCAAGGTGATATCAGAATAATCGAGAATAGGTGACGGCTTAGCCCTGATGATCTCGTCGCACAGGTCGTAGTACTGCAAAGCCATAAGTGCGCCGTACTCTCGCTCTAAAGGCGTAAGAGATGTGATTCTAGCTCCCCACAGCGAGGCACCAGGAGCAAGAGAAGAGATCATCGGTATACCGGGATTGACACGAAACGAGACCTCCACACTGCCTTTCTTACGGTTGATACCAGAAACTCTAGCCATGCAGTGAGGCGCACTAGAATCAGTTGCCGGGTTTTTCGACTTGGAAAGTATGATGAAATCAGCTTCACCGACCCCAAAATCTTTTACGTCTGGCAGCTGCATCACAGTACTGACTTCGACGAACGAGTCTACGGAGAGACGATTGGCGACTTTGATCTCGAAAGCTCTGAAAGTGCCGTCCTCTTTAGACTGCTGGAATCCCTGCCACGCTTCTAGGACCAACAGCGGCTCGAATGTCCTCTGATATTCTACTGGGTCTCGAAACGAGTTGGAGACCAAGGTGTAGTCAGTTCGGCCCGAGTTGGGAGGCAAGTCACCGGTAGCAAAGAAATCCCAGCTTAGTAGCGTCCGGTGCAACGAGGAGAGATCTGGAGCTAGTCGAGCACGCATATCTTTGGCAGACCGCACTTGCTTGATCTTCTTGACAGGTGCACGCTGCTTCAGCAGCTTTTTCCGGCTTTCTTCGTATTCCCTGACAGCATCTGGCTTCGATCTAGCCTTTGCTCCGAACAGTTCTTTGTCAAGCTCATCTTCACTCGATTCGGATTCCGAGCCTGACGATACCATCATGCTCTCCGCCGGCTTACTATGATCTTTGCCCCTTACTCCAATCCCGCTTAGTCCTGACCCTTGTTCCGCAGTCTGTTCGGCAACGCCGCCCACAATAGATTTTTTCTTTAGACGTGCTAATTCAGCCATATCGCGCTTCTTTTTCGCCTCTTTCTCCTTCTCCCGTTTCTCACGGAACGACTCGACATTAACCGGAGGCTTTGCGGGTGCTTTGAGAGGCTTAGGTATAGCAGGAACAGCTGCATCCGCCTTTGCTTTCTCGGCCTTCCTCTGTGCCTGAGCAGCTAACCGAGCTTTATTCAATTCCACCGATCTCGACATCTGCATCAAGACATCATCGGGGATGCTGGACTCGTCAAATTCGTCGTCACTGGTTGCCGCCGTAGGAGTGGATGCGCCTGAAGCGTCAACAGGCTTGGCAAATGCTGTAATCATGCTTTGCTTCTTGAGCGCAGCAGTCGATGCTGTGATAACAGGCTTCTTGTAGTAAGCCTCCAGGGCCCTAACAAGCTCTGCTTTCTCTCGCGGCGTAAGGATAGTCTTGACAGTAGACTTGACCGCAACACCTTCAATGAAGTTCAAAGCATCCTCCTTCACGGGCGTCACACTTAGTTCGCCCAAGCGACGAAGGAGTTTCGCTACTAGGCCGACCAATGTTGTCGCCAGATACTCATCTTTAAGCCTGAGCCATTTAACCATTGCGCTCATTGTCGACGTCGGGGACTTCAGCAAATTTTCTCCGACAGTCTTTTCCTGGCCTGGATCAGCGTCAATGACGGCGCTGGCAAAGACACTGTACTGGCCGAAGAGCAGATCAGCGAACTGTATAGTATCTCGACAAAACTCCAGCATCACACTCTTATCATTGCCTCTAAGATGCCAGGATTCGGTTTCGTCGAAAATTGTTGTTAATGCTTGCCATTGGTATTCCCAAAGCTTCTGTAGAGCAAACATCTCTCGACGATCAGCAAGCTTGCGGGTCCTAAGCATACCGTACTGACTATCGCAGAGTATATCGACAATATCAGTCCCTGTGTGGATCATTCTGGGGGCAGAGGCAAAGGTCTTCATGTTCGATATTCGCCGGAATGACCAACTAAGACCGTACATCGTTGTTGTAAAAAAGGACTTCAAGAGATGGGAAATGGCGTCTCGCCGCGCAGACTGTCCGCTAACGTTCTTGATGAGTTCAACAGCTGCATGGTAGGTATTTTGGTCCGCAGAAAACAGAGCCGATATCAACGCACTGCTCGTATCCTGGCTCTGAAACAGACGATCTAGATGCTCAGGTTTGAAGTCCGCCAGGCGCTCAAAGATTTGACACGAGAGATGCGTCAGATGGCCATATATGAGATTGAAATGCGTTTTCTCCCGGCTTCCCTCTCCTTTCGTGGGGAATTTCTCCAAACCCACAAGAGGCAATATCCCCAGCAGGGCCGCCGTAGACAGTGCTATGTTGTCTTCATGTAGATGCTGGATGACTGGATCCCAGATGGCTGCAGAGTACGTACTTACTCCATGCTGCATGGTCTTATGTCGGAGGATAACCTCATAGTCTGTCTTCAAAGACTGACACTCGAGAGCCAAGGTATTTCGCACAACATCCATGCATAGCGACGATATCTCTTCCTGCCGTCCTTGCTCGACAGCGAATTTTGGGGGCTCAAGAATCTTATTGATGTTTTGGCTGACCGTTTCCAGAGTCTCCGACAAGACGATGCGTGCAACCGAGCCTCTTGATGCTTCATTGTCGGTGAAACTACGCAGGGTAGTGAGCAGCACCGAGAGGCCTACGCGGAAACAATGGTATCTGGCAAGGTTCGGAAATCTGGGATCCTGAAGACGGTTGAGGAGCTGCAAAACGAGGAATCTGCAAGCCGATGGTTGGTGGGCACCCTTGAGAGACGACATGAAAGGGTTAATCCATGATAACATATCCTTCATCGCGGACTTCTCGAACGGTTCCCCGTCGGAAATCTGCATCAGGAAGGCGTCTAATTGTGGATTATAAAAGACCTGCTCGATAATGGCCTGTGGAGAGATCGTCTGCATCGCATCCCAAAAGTCCCCTGGGGCCTTCTCAAGGAAAAGCTGAATAGTGTTGAGAAGAAACCGTAATCCAGGAGCTTGGACTGAAAGATGTTCCACCGAGAGTCGACAAGGATCGATTTCCAAAGCTCGGAGATTATGTGTGATCTGCTCTTTGTCTAGCCTTTTGACTATTAGCTGCATCCCACGCCACAGCCTTTGGATAACTGGAATCTGGAGCGGCTGCTGTGAGGCTTGCCTGAGGGCATCGAGAAGTCCCTCTTTGATAGCCCAGTCGAACTCTTCAGTAGTTGGCGGTCGCGGATATCGTGACCAGGCGTGAATGGCCCAGAAGCTTCGCGCTTGATTGGCGTCAAACAGAAAACGAGACACGGCGGGGATATAATCCGAGACCTTCAAGCTACGCTTGGTCTGAATAAGCCTGAAGGGCTCATCGAAGTGTTCACGCAGAAGCGCATCGTTACGAAGCATAGCTTCACAGCTCAGAGTCTCGAAGATCGAGAGCAACGATGCACGATCCAAGACATGTAAGCCAATATCCTGTGGTGAAACCGCCTTCAGCTGCTCCGCTGCAGTAGCCAAATTCCTCGTTATCCGCTTGATATCCCACTCGTCGAGCATGCGAGCGAATTTCTCAATATCCTCATCGTCGTAGTTCTCCTTCAGCCGTTCCACCAGCCACATCTTTCCTGTGTAGTATTCCTTTATACACAAATCGCATTTTTCCAAGGCGTCATCGAGCCTCCGCCAGATCCACTCCTGAACCTCCGCCACTTCCTCCTGGCTGAAGGCCAGGATCTGCATACATGATAGGAACTTCTCTTTACGGTCTTTTGCTTCTTCGATGAGCCTAGCGACGCTATTTCCTGACTCGTCTACCGCGGAGGGGTCATCGTATCGTGCGTAGTCATCGTCATGCTGGCGAGGACACAGGAGATGGATATTATCAGGAAGGGACTGTAGCTCCCTAAGAGAAAAACAGTGTCAGCATGTGGACTTCGATCCATGTCGGTTGGCCCTTCGCATGAGAGGCCCAGAGAAGTCCATACCCAATAATGCCCATAAACTCCATGGTCTAATGTTGCCGTCCCAGTCTCTTTCCCTCGAAGAGGCCCTTTTTTTCAGTTGACCACGGAGCCTATCCTGCAGCTAGAGCTCACATAGGGCTCTCTTCATAGCATGTGAAGGAAAGAGAATAACTTATCACTATCCACGCTAGTCTATGATTTCATGCCGTTCATGAGTTGGAATTCACAGTGGCGTCGATGAGAGACAAGGGTTGTGGAGCGCAAAAGCACAGAACCACTCCGCGATCTCAGGTGAGCTTCCAGGCCTTCAGCAGTAGATGATATAAAATAGACAGCAGTGGAGCCCTGACTCTCAAAGAAAAAAATTAGTGTGTAAGCAGCCGGTCGTGCCTCCTGGAGGGGAGAAGAGACAAACGGAGATTGATGGTCTGAAAAGACGGCGACCCTGCGCAGTGATACAACAGAAAGCTGGACCGGAGAACTGCGCTCATTGGCCCAACGAGAGTCGGCAAAAGCGCGATCGCCCACTTTACGCGCGGGAGCCAAAGAGCGCGTTTGGGACAATCCGAGAGACTCTTTTTAAGTATGCCGATTTCCTACGCCATCGGGGAAGATATAACTCGCACTTCTAGGTGACCAGGATTTACGGGGCAGAGGGCTTGTCTACATACGTTATAGCGCAGGGAAGAAATTCAACAAGTGATTTTTACTAAGGCTAGCCTTCAAATGATTTGAGAGCTGATTTGAGATCTCGCTAAAATACAATTATCAGCTGCTTGGACCTTCACACGCTGATCCCCTCTAGAATACCCCCCACACTGCTTGTTTGCTAACGGGTGGTTAGAAAGATCGAAAGGGGAACAAGGATGAGAGCAGCACATTTTGTCGTACCTTGCCAGGTTCATGAGTTTATACAGGAAGAAGCACAAAAAGGCACAAAAAGCCGACTAGGCCTTATATGACAGAAGGACTATACGGGGCAAAAAAGGAGAAAAGAAGCGAAACGAAAAAAAAAAAGGATATTCAGGTAGTAATTCCCACGCGCCGTGAGACCCTTTCAACCAGCACACTGCAAACCGAACGCCATCTATAGGGAATTTTGAAGGAGAAAAAAATGAGTTCAAAAATACTGGGAATCCAAAAATGGAAAATAAAAATGGCAAAGGGGAAATTACCGACCGCAAAACCGACTAAACTCTTCGTCAAGGGCATCCGAAAATTGACAGGACAGGATAATGATTGTTTATGCAGGATTGGAAGGAGGATCTTTAGGACTCTTCAGCGGACTATGCGGGCTTTGAGGCTCCTCATTTGTCGACTCAACACGGTCCAGCATTGCAGCGGAAGAGAAGTCATTGCTAGCTTCCCAGCTTCGCCGCATCTTATCCACAGAAGGACCGGTTGGGTCCCACGACGCCCCGGGGATTTGGTGGTAGTCGATACTGGCCGTGTAGTCGGTCGCGTTACTGCCGTTCTGACTGCGCGGGTTGTGAGTGTTGGAAGTGGGCGTAACTGACGGCGGATATATAGGGCGTTCATCTTCGGGAAGAGAGGGATCCTGTTTCAGATCTGGTTGAATCGGCTTGCCTAGTTCAGATGATGTCGCTGAGTCCGTGCTCGCCATAGCAGCAGCCGACGGTGGCACGTACGCTTCGAATTGGTCCAGATATTTAAATCTGCCTAGTGTGACTTGTTCACGGATGATGTCAACATCGCGAGGGAAATAGACTTTCTGGATCGCCTTGATGGAAAAGCGGGGCAGTAGACATATGATAACCGTAATGAGGAGCACGGCCCAGAACGAGAGAGCACCGTAGACTTCAGATGCCGAGTTGTAGAATTGACCCGACGCGGTAAAACAACTGTATATGCCGGTCCAGAAGAAGATCAGCAGCGAGCTGATGCAATTTATCAAGACCGTCAACCAGTCCCAGCGGTAGGTATTCATGAGAATATAAGTATTGCTGGCGATAACGGCAGCTGCACCGACAAGCACACCCATCCGCACACGGTCATTGACGTTTAAACCCGAAGCATGGACGAAAGTCGCGGGCCGGTATAGACAGTAGGGCATAAAGAAGCATATCAGCGACTGGTACATTCCGTCCAGCATGTAGAGCCTATTACAGAGTTAGTAATGTCTATCATCAAAGCTGGAAGCAACCACACATACCAGAATTTGCGTTGGGACCATTCCTTCCGTTCAATGCCTCTCATATAAAGTTGAGGAACAGCCAAGGAGACTTTGTCGTCAACATCTTGGTCAAAGATTCCCATGAAGATGACAGGCAGAGATGTAAATGCCACGTTGACGAGGATAATATAGGTGTAATCGAAAAGGTAAGAGCCATCAAAATCATTGTATATCGAGTACCAGAACAAGGCGAATGTCCAGACAAGGTTCTGCGCGCAAGGTTAGATGTGAGGCTTGCTCATTTGCTGATATCATTCAGACATACCTTATAGAAGAAATTCGCAGTGGTCTCTCCAAGTCTGCGGTAAGACCATCTTCCGTGCACCAGAACCAGCCGTTGAAGGAATCTGAACTGGCCAATGGCATAATCAGCCGCCATGGCAGCCTGACGACCTTCTTCTCCAGCAATACCGACTCCCACATCCGCTTCTTGGATCATAGCAACATCATTGGCACCATCTCCAATTGACAGAGCCATGATGTTCAGACCGTTCTTAACCAAACGAACGACTGCAGCTTTTTGGGCGGGGCTGACTCGACAGCATAGAATGGACTTGCACTGCTTGCAAAGCAACAAGAATCGCTGTTTCAGTTCATCGCCCAACATTAGCCTCAGCGTATCACCGTCAATCACGACAGCATGTGTCGCGCTTGGTGGCGAGTGATCTTGCCGAGCAGCCAAAAGTTCTTCATCGGAGCCTGTTAGGCCGAATAGCTGCAGATGCTTGTCGAGTTCGGCTGCTGCTCTTTCCGGCTCGCTTTCAGGAATATTAAAGACGATCAAATCCATGTCGTTGTTCAACAGGTTGCAAGAGAAGCCAATGTTGATGGCCGTCTCCACCTTGTCACCAGTCAACACCCAGAGCTTGATACCAGCATCAGCCAGCAAGGCGATCGTATCAGGTACACCGTCTTGCAGTCTGTCCTCGATAGCGGTGCCTCCGATGAGCATAAGTTCTTGCTCAATCGCGCTCGAGACTTCCTCAAGTTTCTCTTCTCGGTCAGTGAGCGCTGCCGCGGCAAGATCATGTGTTTTATTCCATTCTTGGTATTCCTGCTCGCTAAGAACTCTCTCTGCAACACAGAGTGTCCGAAGTCCTTCCCGAGCGAACATCTCCAAGTGATCAGCCGTCGTCTTTCTGAGCTCCTGCTGCTTTCCACGGGCCAAGCGAGAATATATGATGCTGTCAGCTCCTTTGCAGAAGAGCCTAATAGTACCATCAGGCATTCTGACAATAGCACTCATTCTCTTCCTGGAAGAGTTAAATTCCAAGAGGTTCATCACTGTGTAGGTCCGTTCTTCACCCATAACGTTGACAATAAGATCATCGTTATGTCTTCCAATGACAGTGAAACCGCAGTCACGGGCTGTGGCAACCAGAGCAGCCTCATCGGGAGACTGCGCCTTGAACTCTATCTGTGGGGGATCCCCAGGTGTGTGTTCAGTGACAACCGTGTGACACACAGCTAAAGCGACCATGAAGTGTTCGGCAGCCTTCCTTTGCTCTTCACCGGACTGACCCTGCAAATCGGCAACGTAGTCGGGGGCAACGAATGTCAGATTATCGTCCTTTAGATACGGATTGTTGTGGATACTTCGAAGCATCTCCAACATCCTGATCCGGTCAACTTCAATTTGTTCCCGTACTTTTGCCGCTTCTGCATCCGCATTTCCTCCCTCTCGTCGTTTCATACCGACCTGCGCCTCCGTGAACGCTTCGCCATAGGGCACACCATTGATAGTACATTTCTTGAACTCCATAACGTTTTGGGTCAAAGTTCCCGTCTTGTCGGAGAAGATGTACTCGATTTGTCCGACATCATCCGAGATGTTCCATGACTTCGGGACACATGATGTCCCCAGTTTGTCATAGTACATGAAGGTGTCACTGTGGATGAATACCGCCTGGATAGTCCGGACAATTTCCAGGGAGATATATAGCGAGATAGGAACCAAGTTCTGAAACAGGATGACAGCGACCCAGAATGTGATGATACCAGTAACCGCAGGGGTCCCACCGTACGACTTGAAATCGAAGTAATTCAGAGACTTGTGCCCTTCTCCCCAGGCAACCCCGTTGACAATTCCGGTAATAAGACACATAAGAAACAAGATAATGAAATTGTAGATGACGTTCCAGTTGAGCTCCCTGGCGAGTCTGGCACGTTTATTAGGAGTCTCGCCGGAGTTCAGCATGATCCTAGTTTGCGGTCCAGTGAACAGTACAATGCCGAGAACCCAGTCAGTGTTGCGGACACTGCAGCCACGGAGAAGCATGTTGTTGATAGTGATGGGTTCAACCATCTCCTTTCGAGGAGCCTCGGGATGCTTCTCGTCGCACTGTTCCCATCTGATCGCACCGCTGAAAGCATACAGATTGGCGTGCGGTGGTTCACTATCGATGACAAATTCGGCCTTTTCACAATCCCGAGCATGCTTGACTTCGCGTCCACAGTGAAGAGCGTGCCGAACTTTGAGGTTGGTCTCACCATCCAGACTCTTCGTTTCCACGTAGCATGCACCATCAGGGTCAGAGGTAGACAAAATGATAATATCAGCTGGAATCGGCTCATCATTGTAGATACGCACGAAATCTCCAACCTGGACGTTTTTCCAGTAATCGCGCTTGAACCTAGCCTTTCCCGGTGTCTGCTTCGTCCTGTTAATGATGCTACCAACCTTTTTAGGGGCTGCCAGGAGACTCTGGCGGTCAATTCTGCCGGGTTGTTGAAGATGGCCATCGTCAACGGCCGAATCCATAGCCCAACTTTCCTGAGGAGGGCGGAGAGTGTCGGGAACGGGAGATGGAACCGGTGTCATCTGAATGGCTTCCCGCCCTTCCTCTTCACCGGCAGGGGCGTACATCGACTGGCGCTGAGAGTACATCGACTGGCGTTGAGAGTACATCGAAACCCGCGGATCGTTGGCTGGTTCTCTCTCATCCTCGAAGTCATTGGACGGCTGTTTCTTTCGTGAGAGCGATGAGAGTTTCCGATAGGTGAAAACAACACCGCGAGTTGTCGCTTTCTTAATCCGGCGCCATAAGGAAACGTTATCCTCAACAGAGTTGACATTATTCCACTCAACCAGGCGATATACCGGCGAGTTGTTCACTTCGTTGTCCAACACGGTACGTCGCCAATCTTCGATCGCATCCTTGAACGCAGTGACCACCACGATAACGATTAGAGGAACCGCATTCATACCAGGGTTATCAGCTCCGAAGATAGGGAAAAACTTGCAATGTTGGTCAGTACATTATACATGATGCAGATCTCACTAAGATGTAGACTTACGCCTAGGATAATGATGAAAAGGAAGTAAATGTTCGCGATATTGTGGAACTGGAACCAGATATTTTTGGGGACGAAAGTTAACGGCGTATACTTTGCAGTCCGAACCTTATTTCGAGGGTAATTAGCCTTAATGAGGCCCTCCTCGTCTTTCTCCTCGTCTGGAACCGGGATGTTGAAATACACTCTCCTCGCAGGAGCCTCCGGATCCTGGGTGTCTTCACTTGACGATTCATTGACGGGAGGCAACGTGCTTGAGCCAGACTTCCGTTTCTCATCCTTCGAAGCCCCTCGTTTATGGAAGCGATCGATGATCGAGACTCGTTTCTTCATGCCCCCCGATGCGGGCATACGCGTGGTCGCCCATCGTTGTCGCTTCGTAGGCATAGAGACATGGCTGGATACTTCGGCGATCGGGGCGCCTGTCCCGTTGCCGTCTGCGTCGAACTGTAGTGGAGCCATCTGAGGCTATCGCAGAACCCAGGAGGGCATAAAAAAAGGTTGTAATTTAGGATTGTCTCGAAAGGGATGCGGAGGAAATCATCCGCGCCAAGGTGGCGGGCCACGACGAGCAGCCAGTCCGCGCGAATCCGTTTTTCGAATCGAGAAAAGAGACGGCGAAAATAAGAATATTTCTGCAATGAACCGGAGAGGGTATTATTCGAGATGAGCGCGAAGACTGCGATGGTGCTGCACAGGCGAATGCGCTGACACGACGGCGAGGCCTCCAAGCAGTCGGCACGAACAAGGCCCGATCCACGATGCGGAAGTCCCGGTTAGCAGGGAGGACGGAGTAGACCGTATTACCCGCGGACGACAATTGCCATCGAGATCGATAGCAAGAGTTCGCTCTGAGGTGCAGATAGAGGAGGGAGGTGAGGTCGTTATGGAAGGGAGCGGGCCTTGAGTATAGAAACGGAATGAGATGACAGAAGGCAGAATTGACCACAGCATTAGGCCTTTGGGGGGGGAAGTTCTGGACAGACCGAGCGAGTAGGGCGGGCGGCCCGGGGAGCGACGGGGGCCAAGAAAGTCGTAATATTACGCGGTACGGTCAGGTACATACGGGCCGCGATCATGACGAGGCCGTTTGTCAGCCAGACTGCGCTCTCCGGCTCGGACCTAATATTAATGGAACTTGAAGGGGATTCCAGCAGAGATGCAGGCGGCATGATTCGCTGCAGATGCTTGAACTAGCATCTGTTACTCGGTGTGAATAATTTGCAGGACTGCCGTCTTAGGGGCCCGGCGTTAAGGTGCCGTGGAAACGGGCGTACGAGGCGTAACCAGTACCACTAGTTACGAACAGGTAATCTCTGTTAGCAGGGCGCGCTCACCACCAGCCTCTCGCTGGACTGCGATCTGGGATCTTCATGTCTGGTTCGGGATAGAAATCTCTTCTGAAGGCCCGCTGTGGCAATCATCATAGGCAGTTCTCGACTTTGTCCTGTACGTTGAATAATATCTCGTGTCTCTTTTCTTCTTTTTTTTAACTCAGCTGCATCCATAGACGGGCATTGCTGATGTTTGTCAGCTTCCTGTTATCTCCCATCCGCCTCCTTATAAATCCGAAAACAAGACCGTCGAACTACGCTGTCTTTGGTGAACGATATGTAAACTCCGACGTCCTGATAGCATTATTATTTCCTTTTCTTGAAGAACAGACTAGATGCGGTTCTAGCTCTATACTAGCATCTATACTAGCATCGATGCTCCCCTATCTAGTATCTGATAAAAAGAACCAGGCCGATTTCCTGACAGCCCAAACGCCTCTTTTTAGGTGCACGCACCCCACTTATGCTCACAACTCGAGCTTTTAACTACTGCCGTACCACTGCAGGTACCTTGCACCTCTCTCTCCGCGGCCCTCACCCGCTAGCAGGCGGTAGATGGTACTTCCCACGCTTTGCGGCTTGGCGCCCCGGGCCCTCGGCATCACCCCCACCGTCTATTGACACGGCACTCCTCGCTTCCGCCTATTAACATTCCCGTTCGCCGATGGAGAAAAACGGACGGGAACAGTCATTATTATTATCGAATTGGGAGACGCGGAGTCGCTTCTTGTGCCTGGTAATAATTAAATTAATACTCGCTTTGGTCCCGTGCTAATTCTATTATTATTATTATTATCATTATTATTATAATTGTTTGACTTCGCCTTCAAGCTTAGCAACGGCGGCTGAATGCTCACCTGCAGCTCTACAGCAATTCCAAAAATAAGCTTGCGGCGCAACTCGCGATGTTGGCCCTCCGCGTTGCTAGGGCGTACAGCCTTGACCATGAGCTATTATTATTACCTCGAAGAGTTGAACGCATCGTGCATTCTGCGGATCGTTCGACTCCCGCAGGGCAGACCGCTACGTCAGCATTTACATAGAGTAGACGACAAATAATGCCTGAACCGGCAATACTTCCAACGACACGGAGATGCAGTTCCAGAGAGCATAATGACGATCGTCACTTGCTTTCTCTTGAGCATTACGCGGGCTGCGGAACCCCGTCGCCGTATGGGCTGTGCCGTTACGCGGTTTCTATGGGACGGAAGAAGAGATCGACAAACCTCCGGCATGGCTGCAACCTGCTTAGCCTCTGTGCGGCAGGAAAACACAAGCAGAGGTCCTTTCGGAGTCGAATGCGAACATTACGCCAACCAACAACAACAACAATAACAATAACAATGATCCTCTATCATTTCTTCGAGACCAGATCTGCTGCTCCAAACTACGGCTTCCCGGCCGCCCACCATCAGACACCCCGCCACTCCCGTAATGCAAGTAAGTATCCATAGTCATACAAGTCATAGCTGTGCATTCTGGTCAGCAGTGGTGGCCACTCTTTGGTTCGAAAATCATGTCGTCAATCAATCGGGACCCATAATAACTTGCTATTAAACTTTTAAGGTGGTTCCACGATCACCCCTCTTACCTACTCTTAACGATCGGGTTCGGAGCAAACACGCTGTCCGTGGTCTCGGATCTACTTAATATGCATCTTATTATTCTTCTTCTTAAAGCCAGGAAGTTGTCATAATCCTGAGCTATCCGCCTCTCAAATCCAGCCAACCATACTCAACTAAAACTCGTACGTTATGAAAGCAGGATACAACCGTGTAACTATGTACTATACTTGGGCGGATACCCACGCGACGATGCGAGCCAAGCCAGCCAAAATGTCAACTAAATCGACACTAAACCCCAGATATTGCGAGGTATATTAGTTAAGGGGGAAAAAGGGGTTCAGATGCTCTTCGTACTTGGATATGACTCTGTGTTATCGAGAGATCGTCCCAAAACACACTGTGTGCCATTTCCAGTACTATGCCTCGAAGACTGGTCCTGGATGCCGAGATATAACCGTATTGCCTTCTCACTATTGAACCGTCGGTCGCGAGCTTCTTTGAGGCTTGAAATATCGATGTTATTTCTTGGCGGACGCTTGAAGTATTCAAGCTCGCTCTCTCCCCGTCTTTTTGTTTGGCTCACTCCTACGATTTGCTTGATTTTGTAACCTACTTCCTTTTCTCTTCGTGGAATCTCGACAGTTTCCTAGAACTTGATCGCCTGAGGCGGTCGCCATAGACATGCCCTCTTTTCCAGCCTCAACTCCTCGCCTTCCAACCTAGTCACTCAATCGGACTCTTGGTCTCGATCTGAGACAGCGCACCTAACCCCATGGTCCGTTCACCAGCACGATAAGGTAATCGAGATTTCAAGATTCGAGATTTCAGGAAATACCCTCCGCGCCCACGGCCGTCAAACATAGTCGAAACGCACGGCACCGTTAACCAGTTAGTTCAGTACAACTAGTCCCAGTACTCGAGTGTCCAGTGCATGAGACAATTGTGCACGGAACCCTCCTTGGAGCGCGTTCCAATATCCATGGTAACTATCAGAGAAGGTATTGCATACGGTGTACACCAGGGTCCAATACCAGAGACACTACGAAGTAGTAGGTCGTAACTCATGTCCTAAAAAAAAAAGAGAACCAAGTCAATCGCCATCTTGCATCATTCTGATTGAGGTCCATGCGTCCTTTTGGTTCCTGTCAATGCGTTGAGACTACTGCAAGTGGTTATGGTAGACTGTGAGTAGCTTGTTAGATTCTTGGTGTGGGTTCTAGTCCGAATATATAAGGACAGGAGAAAACTCGGATATACGTTTGATTGATCATCCCGATCGTATTATTATACAAAGGAATACTACCAAATCGGTGAATATAAAGCTTCCAGGACGGTTAACCCCCTTTTCAGTTACCCTATGAGACAACTTCCAGGAGAAAGTTGAATCGTTTCTACTCCCGAATAGGAATGGTGATTAGTTCTGCATTTACAGTATTCCAGAAAAAGACACTCGGGTCCAAAAAACAACAACATAGGATGGTCTATGTAAAAGTTCGCTAGTATTATGTAGATGATACACAAAGACCCATTATTGTCTGTGTAGAGTAATCTTATATCTTCTTTTCTGAGGACTTATGATGGCTGAAAATCAGTGCATTTCAACAGAAGACTAATCCAAACACGTGACCGCGCGAAGTGTAGCGCGCGTCAAGCATAGCGGACGTGTTCAGCTGAAAGGCATCAAGCAGAACACTATCGGAGGGGTCGCAGGGAGCTTGGGAGCTCTCCAACACCTGTCTATGCTGACCGCTCGACATGTCCAAGTCCGGTAACATAATGAATTTTTTCAAACGCTCACGGATTCCCCAAGTAGAAAACGTGGAGCAAAACAATGACCCAAAAAGCCCCGAAACAGCGCAGAAAGACACTGTGCACACGTCTTCCTCCCCGCTTAGCGATCCGCCCTCGTCACTCTTGTTGAAGAGCTCGCCCTCTCAGTCTTCAGGTTCCGGGCCTGATTCGCAATTGAAACGCTCCCTTATCCGCTCGATACCCCAGCCTGCAAACGGGGATGATACAGGTCAACAAGCTTCTCGGAGCGCATCGGCCGCTCCCGACTCGTTCATAAACGGCAGTTTCGACTCTTCACAGCGCATAGTCAAGAACGGCAGGGAGATCGTTACAAATTCGGATGGAGAGGATACAGATTCAATCGCGTCACTAGAGTCTCCAGAAGACTTCTTCAATAAGCTCTCAGCGCCTACAGAGCCCAAAGAAGACGCTGAAACTATGAACAAAGATGGAACCCGTAACCTGCGGTCGACGCGGGGTCAGCTGAAAAGGAATACCGTGGATAATTTCTTTGCTCAAAAGATACCGACTCCAAAATACAAACATACGCTCGATACCCTCGTAACTGATGCGGTGGATGATGATGAGACGGAAGCTGGAGTGGCTAAGATCAAATCTGCTTTCGATAGTTCCAAAAAAGCCAGCAGGGCTAGTGACTCTCTTGCTGCACATGATGGAGATCGAAATATGGGCATTCACGAGGATGTTTTGGCATCAGCCGTGGGTGAAGGTGATGATAAACCTGGGCTCCAGCGTCTCCTTGACGCTGTTCGGAGAACGGAAGCATTCGATCAGGAAAAGATATGGTCATTCTTCGAGAAAGAGATACCAATACCGTCGCCTCCAAAGTTCCCACGCGACTCAATACTACCAGGAACGAGACAAGCGGCATTACGAGGTTGGTACATATTCGGGTCCTGAATGCTTTATGGTTCTGACGGGCTACAGAACCTGATTCCCGCGAACGGGCGTTTCATTCCGGCATCATCGAGATGAGTCTTAGTAGAGGACTTCTACCGGACGAGTTAGTGATTTGGCTACTGAGATCCGGTCCGTGCTTCGGTGTATACGAGATTATTGGGGCCGTGCTGATTTGCTCTCAGTACCGTCGGAACCACGAGATGACTTGCGATATGCTTATTCGAGAGCGCTGAAGGTCATTTGCCCAATATCTAATCCTCGATATAGATGCTTGTGCTGACCCAACCAAAGCTCACTTCTCAGAAGCGGATCTCGTCCCTGGTACGCCCTGATGATATTGACGACCTTTTTCGGACACTAGGCGCTCGGCCAGCAGCGCTCGCGTTCTCTGAACCAGCTACCCCCGAAGCTCAGCTATACAGTGAGTCCCCGCAGACTGTATCCACCTTAATTGGAATACGTGTGCTGACCGTTCAACTTTCCAGACGACTCATCACGGGACTGGAAGTTTCTCATATCTGTGCTGGACCTATTGCGGGGCGCAGCGGAACTGTATTATCGCTCCTATTGTCTTTGCAGAAGACACGCTAATATCGACATAGATTCGCTGATGACACGCGGGAAAGAATACTACTTCTCTTATTCCGGTTATCTATTGACTCATCCGTCACGAAAGACAGTGTTGTCTGCTCTGAGCTCGAAAGAGCAATCACAGCATCTCTCGAGGGCCTCCCTAAAGATAGTGGGGACAGCATAGTAAGTCAGGCCTGCTGCTGTGCTTCATTCTCGCTGACCTCTCCAGATGGACCATGTCTGCAAATCACTTTTCCAAACAGTGCAAGATGCTATATTACAGAGCCGTCTGCTGACGCACATGCTACCCACATCGTCATGGATCGCATTATGGCGGTGTCGACTCGCAACGGCATTTTTACTGCAGGACCCTGCTCCTCTCGACGAACCTCCGGAGGATGTCCTCAACTTAAGACGAATCACCGATGTTCTTCGCGAGAAGCGCTTCGACGTGAAGCTGCACAAAGGCAAGAATCAAGACTATGACTACTGGGAACTAGGCGCCATAACGTCTCTTCTGAACGTCGCCATTGATTCTGGGCGGTCTACACCGAAATTCGCAGACAAGGAGGCAGAAGCAAAATTCAACGCGGAAGTCGACGCTCTAGCTGACCGTGTCAAGAAGATATTCACTTCTATCGAGGACTCTGGGGCATCTCACCTCAAGCGGACTGAGACAAAAGAGCGTCTCGAAGCCCTACATTATCGGATTGTATACTCAGTTCGATCAAAGCCCCCTCCGAAGAAGTCATTCTTCGGTTCTTCCGGTCTGGATGACTGGGGCGGCATCGGCCGTAGTGGTTCTCTTATGGATAGGTTCCTGTCGTCTAAAAATGACGAAGGAAAGGGAGAGTAATACCGTTTTTGAAAGCGTGACATCAGGTCTAGCTGGTTTCATTTCTAGTCTACGTCTTAGCGATTAAGCACGCCATCATAAGGCGGTTATTGACAGTGTAATATATAAATCATGACGAATGATAATGATGAAAAATGTACAGTGATGATTGCCCCTCATATATCTGAGATTCCAATTGTCATACGAAAGAGATCGCTGCAGAATACACGGGCCTGCTGCTATATGGCCACTAGGTAGAGACGCGACAGGGCAACGTCCGACAGGCGGGAAGACGGAACAAAAGAGACAAATGCGGAAACAGCAATGCAATAGCGTGGACCAAGAAGAGACTTAAATACAGGTGATGGCGCCTAATCGAAGAACTTCCGGTTCTCGTTCCTGCCGAAGAGCGTCTGTCGGACAGCGGGAAGAGCATCGATCTCCAGCAGTCTTAGACGCTCCTCGAATGTGTTGTTGATGTCGATATTTCCGGCACCACTGACAATAACGACACCACCGGCGCTGTAGTCCAAATGTTAGCAGCCATGTACCACTTGTGACTGATATGCGAAGCACTTACGATCCCTCGGGGAGCGGCTCCTCCTCGTCCACCTCGACAGTCACATCCTTGCCAACCTTCTCCTTGAACTCCTCTGACGCTTTCTCAATGGCCTTCTTCACACTGTCGTAATCCTTCTCCCTGGCGCGAACAGACACCTTCTCCTCATTCAGGTAGTAGAGACCCTCGAGGACCAGCCCCTTCAGGATTTCCTGGTACTTGCTCTCGTCGCCGGTGGAGACGTCAGCGACCTTTTGACGGGCACGCTCAAAGAGATCATCGAGCAGCTCCTGACGAGCGGAGAGGACGCGGAGACGGGTACGGTTCGCGAGCGTAGAGCGGGTGATCTGCTGGGACATGGAGGCCTGCTTGAACTTCTTCTCGTACAGGGTGTCGATGTTGGCCGTCTCCTGGCGGACGAGCTTTGACTTCTCAATGGCGAACTCCTCGTCGGCCTTCAACTCGATCTCACGAGCCTTCTCGAGAGCCTCCTGACGGATGAAGGCCGTCATCTTGCGGAGCTCGCCCGCAACCTATCCGGTACGGTTAATTCCACGATATGGACGCCAGAACAGGGGTGCGCATACCTGGTCATCGGACAAGGCATGATTCTGCGACATTTTGCCGGTATCTGAGACCTTCTTCTTTCTTTCGGCGATAGCACTGGGGTAGAGATGGGGGAGGTCGAGTCGAGGGATGTGGGGAGAACCGTTGGGCTAAACAAGCTTCCCGAAGCAGGTAGTCCTGTGAGTAGAGATTAGATTGCTGTCCAAGCTACAAGAAATGGAGCAGAATGCCCGACGAGGGAATCTACACACCTCTGGTTGCGAGCGATGATGTCTGGCAGTGTCGTTGACGCTGGCGGTTCCAGCCAGCTTCAGGTCGACGGATCCGCCTGAGGAGCGCGGACGCTAAGCGGGCAACGGCGGGTCATGGCTGCGCTCAGGAACGTCGCCTGGCCGAACGCGATATGAGGTCAGTTCGTTTGTTTAACAACCCACCATCGACCGTTCCACTGCTGCCATCTTTATTCTGTGCTGTAGTACAGCCTAGTCAGTCCTTGTTTATTTATTCTACATCTGATGACCATGTCTGCCGTGGTGTCCAGGTAATACCCCGCGGCAGATCAATTAAATGTGCTGCCTACTCCGCTTCCTTCGCACCACAGATGCAGGAGGATACTAGAAATGGGTTTATTCGGTGACCTGTCGCCGGAGGGGAGTGTCGCGGTGAGTAGCGGATTCTCTGTTAGATATCGTTGCAGCTGGACTGACCCCCAGGGCTAGATTGGAGTGATTGTCGGGTTGATCTCGACCAGCTTCCAAGCCATCGGGCTTACCCTCCAGCGAAAGTCACATATCCTCGAAGACGAAAAAGCCCCTTATGACTTACACAGACCTCCATACAAACGACGGCGATGGCAGGTAAGCAAAACAGAATCTTTTGGTTGAGTGGATGGATGGATGCTGATGTACCGTTAGCTGGGCATGCTACTGTTCGTTGTATCGAACATCGTTGGGAGCACGATCCAAATCACTACACTTCCCCTACCCGTTCTCTCGACGTTACAAGCGGTGTGTACATCTCTACATATACAAGATGGTGAACCTTGGCTGATAGGCATAGTCTGGTCTCGTGTTTAACACCATTTTCGCAACTTTGATCTTAGGGGAGCCGTTTACCAGATATTCCCTTTTGGGAACTATTTTGGTATGCATTGGCGCAGTGTTGATTGCTATATTCGGCGCCATCGGCGAACCAGCGCACAGTCTCGATCAATTACTCGCTCTTTTGTCACGACGGCCGTTCATACTTTGGATGGTGAGCACCGCCATTATTATGCTTATAGTCCTAGCTGGTTCTCGACTTCTCAAATTCCTCGTATCTCCTACTCGTTCGAAATACCCAAGATTGCGTTTCCTCTATACTATGTCTTTCGTTATATCCGCCCCTCGCGTGAAGCTCATTCGTGGGCTGTGTTTTGGATTCGTGAGCGGGGTCTTGTCGGCACATAGCCTGCTCCTGGCAAAGTCGGCTGTCGAACTGCTCGTCCGCACTATCGTCGACCGCTCTAATCAGTTCAACCGCTGGCAGTCATGGGTCATCCTAATAGGAATGATTGCTTTAGCATTGACGCAGCTCTATTTTATGCATCGCGGTCTGAAACTCTGCAGCACAAGCGTCCTCTATCCGTTCGTCTTTTGCATATACAACATCATCGCCATTCTGGACGGTCTAATATACTTCCGCCAAGTTTCCCAGCTGACCGGCATGCATGCTGGCCTTATAGCGCTGGGCACGGTGATTCTCCTAGCTGGAGTGCTCTGTCTCTCATGGAGACTGGAGGATCTGGACGCTCATACTGGCGTCACTGTCGTTGGTCCTGCGCAGACCGCACTGGGACCAGGATTAGGTATTGTGGAGGAGCATGCACCTAAGCGCGCTGGGCCGTTGCTGCTAGATGATGAAGAGGCCCGAGTGGGAGAGCGGGAACCACTCCTCTTCCAGCAACAGCAACAGCAACAACAACAGCGCTCTTCGCATCAACGAGTTCACAGCCTGCCTTTGGCATCTTCCGTTCGGAACCGCGGTTCTACATACAGTGTCGAGTCTGCTCAAATCTGGGCGGAACTGGATGACTCTGAGGATGATGTCAACCTCGGCGACGCAGATGTTCCCGGCACCGTGCCTCGGTCTTCTCTTCAAAGTCGACGTCGTAGCAAGAGCAATACGCTCTCGTTAGGATCCGCATTAGGAATCAGACGAGCCCTGGCGAGCGAGGAAGCCGCTGAAGGGTCGCCTCTCAGGAAGATCCGCAATCAGCATCTCAGACCCGTCGGTCGGTCGCGAACGTGGGATCCGCGTCGACTGCAACACTCTGCCTTGAGACACACATCTGCGCCCCTAATCGTCGGAGACAACCTTCACCAGACCGATGTTGGTGCTGGCCTCAGCCACCGAGCAATTATGGAATACGGCACGCAGGACGTACCCCGAACCCCTAGTATAACCAGTCCGCGTCGCAACCCCCTCACCCGTAGCTGGCTCACAGGAGTGAACTACCTACGACGATGGACAGGCATGCGGTCTGGTAGCCGCTACTCGCCCGTCGACCAGAACGAAGCCCATCCGGACGACGGCCATGACCTCTCTACGGACCAAGACAGTCCTCACCACCACCACCAAATTAACGGATCCAACCACGTATGATTCTTGGACTTTTCGTTTTGTACTGTATTTATATACAACTAGACATCAACTCTTTTTTTTTCTCCTTTTTTTGGTTATTGCATCTTCCACCATTTCTTTTTTCTTATCTTCTGGCTTAGATTACGCTTTTTCTTCCTATCTTCGTTTCATATCAGGCGCTCAGGTCTGCTTTTGGTTAATCTCCAAGGCACAGCGCAGGATTGGAGAAGCACGAGCGCAAGTACAGTTTAGCTATGCGTATACCTAACTATCACGGATCAGACCGGAATCGTTTACATATCCACTTGTTCAGATAAATGAAATTAAAGGTAGAGTAGTAGTAGTAGTAGTAGTAGCAGTAGTAGTACTCGTAGCCTGTAATGGCAGAATTGGTTATTACCTGGGCACAAGAGCGGATAACAACCCGAAACAATTAAATAATCTTATGTACTAGACTCTAAAAGAAATAAAGTTCCCAGTCAACAGCCGTCTTGGACTCTGGACTCGCGATTGCGGACTGGACTTTACTCAACTTGGGAAGCGGTCCCAGAGAAGGCGCTACGAATCCAACTCTAACTTACCTACAATAATAATGAGTCACGGATCGATCGTATTTACCTACGTACAGTAAACAGAACATACTACTACTCCGGAACCATCGAGGGGAGATCATAAGATTCATGTGTAATCAAGAGAAAAAAGAATAATTCCATACGACCAAGTCGGGGGCTCTTTTTTTTTTCTCTTCTTTGAGAGCAAAAAGCATAAAGCTCCGGATGATTTTTGTCTTTTTCTTCCGTACCATACTAAACCCTAGCAGCATTCCCAGTAATTCATGGCAAGCCGTTCTCTCTTGGACATGTTATTCCCACCGTTCTGACATCCGTCTCATCGCTACCGTATAGATTGAGACAATTCTTACCAGTTCGTCGACAAACCAGCGGAAGACACCCGATTAAGAATATGGAATAAGAGACGATGGAAACAAGCAGAGGGAAGAGCCTTAAGAGACAAGAAAAAGCAAGCAAGGCAGACATTAGAGAAGAAAATAGAAGAGGCAGAAACGGGAAAGGAAGGTCAGAAAAGAAAAGAAACGTGATAAAACTAGCAGTAAATTAGTTGACATGGAGTTAATCGGTTCAAAAAAAGAGAAAAACAGGCAAATAGCACCCGTTCCGCCACAGAAATGCACCAGGAACACCCACACCTCCACACCGTATCTAGGAGATGAGAAGAAAAAAACTCAAGACAAAAAAGAGCCTGTCGAAAGCTAAGACCGGGAAACATCAAGGCGTACTCGTTCAGCCGTCGTCTTTTCGGTCGGATTCGAGATTCTTTTCGTTCCATCTTTTTATAGTAGTTTTTTTTTGGTCTTTTTATTCTCGCTGCTTTTCCTCCCCCATGGCCCCGGCTTGAACAGGTATTCGACATGTCAACAGGGCCAGACAGGGTCCATTGCAGGAAAAGGTACTGAATATAAAGATACAAGAGCTCGCATTCCGGCGAGAATCGCTCAGGTGGACAATATCGTGCAGGGTATCAGTCGAGGGTGAAAATGGGGGGGCATCGAGAGACAAAACCGGACAAGAGCCATCGTCCACATTACAGCGTTCAGCAGCAGGTCCCTACACCGGCCGGTACTGCGTATATATTACGCCGTCGGTTGATGCTGCGGCGGCATCCTGCCCCCCACGGGCATCCCCGCGTACTGTCCGCCAGCCTGTTGTTGCTGCTGCTGCAGATTCTGGTAGTAGGCCATCTGCTGCTGCTGCTCGTTGGTCAGGTAGCCTGGGTGCATGCCACCGGGACGCGGCATCCCTGGCTGCGGCGGGTTGGCATTGCTATGGCTGACATCCTCGGGCGACTCCGCGGGCACATCAGGCGCATCGACGCCGTTCTCGTTACCGGCGGGTTCGGGCGCATTGAGACAGGCCTGCAGGGCGGAAAGGTCAGCTCAGGAACGGAATCGCGTTCTGGACGCGGGAGTCGAACGTACCTGAATGAGATTCTTGCCCTCTGCCTTCGTAACGAGGGGTTGCAACTTGGGGGTAGTGAAGGTATAGACCAGGCCAGTCTCCGACACGACCAGCAATAGCACTTGCGTACCTGTGAGCACTGAGAGTTCGTATGCCTGCACCCAACCGTGTCAGCTTTTCGCACTTCATCGTAGATCAGAAAATAAAGGAAAGTGAACCCCTCGCCCCTCTCGCATCCTCAATGTGGTTTGGTCTTTTTCTTCCTTTTTTTTTCTTTCTTTCTGTTTTTATATTTGGGGAAGGGTAAGGTAGGGTAGGGAGGGACGGGCGACGGAGACGCGACGCACCTTCTTCATGATACCGGCCTTCCGCTTGGAGAAGGTGATGTGGCGACGCGATTTATCCTGGATGAACTTGATTTCGATCTTCCTGCGCTCGCGACCGGGCTTGTCTTCATCATCATCGTCGTCTTCAGCAGCAGCGCTGGGACGAGCGCGCTTGGTGCCGCGGTTGTCAGCGGCTCCATTGCCGGGCTGCTGCAGCTCGTCCTGTGTCGGGGACGGGTTCTCGTCGGGGGCGACGGCGGTGATATCAGCCATGGTGTCGAAGGAGGATTTAAAAAGAAGGTATCCCCGGACAAACAGTGGATGCAAGTGGTCTGGAGAGGTGAATGGGATGCTCTCTGAAGAGAATCAAGTGCCTAAAGAGGAATGATGCTTTGGGGGGAGGAGCAGGCCGAATCGAGTAACGCGTTTGGAGAGGTTTGGGTAAGGTCGGCGAAGAAGGAAAGGAGGATTTTTGGGGGAAAGAAAAACGGGAGGAGGCGAAGGGCGAGATCTGGACACGGCAGGCGGTGGGCGTTCTTGGCGGCGGTTTCGACTAGTTCGCATCCTGGGCTGTGCAGGGCGGATTTCAGCAGGATTAACTAATAAATCAATTAATGAAAAACGAGTCTCGCTCTCTCTAAGTTAGTCTATCGAGTTAGTCTAGTCTACTACTTACTCGTCTAACGCGTTGCTCCAGTCTCCACGCTCCTGGGCTGGAACTCGCCCTGATCGTACCGTCGGATGGCCCGGGACCCTGCAGTGGTGAGAATGAGAGAACGAAGGAATGAGAGCAGACTAGCCATCGAATCACTAATAATAACCACTCGATACAGAACTGTTTCAATACTCTATCTACTATCAACTGCTGGATTATTATCATTATTATTCTCTCGACGGGGCAAACACTCATCAGCTCGATCGATCGCGAACTACGGATTCTGGCCGTCTCGGTAGTAGTATCACATCCCTAGTCTAGTCTACCTAGTCTAGTCTAGGGGAAGGGCGGAGAGCAGTCCAGGCGAGCAACTGACGCGGATGGGCAGATCGTTCGACTCGCGGAACTCCACCGCTTCGCAGCTGCTCTATGGTACTCTGGTAGTACGTACCACTCTACGGAGTCACTATCAGCTACGGGCAGCTCTTGAGTCTGCGGTAGGGAGCAAGTTAGTGGCCGTGTCGACCCATGAACCACTGGATCAAGGAGAACAACAACAATAACAACAATCACAACAATAATAATAACAACAAGATCCATCAGTCAAGCAAGTAGAGTAATCGCAGGCGACAGCAAAACTCTCGACTCGGTTCTGCGACAAAGTTGAGCGTCCGCGGGGCGATGGCTCCACCGAACAAAGAGTCGGACAGAAAGGAAAGGAAAGGAAAGCCATTATTATTGGTATCATGGCTCTGAGATCAGAACGGCTGCCTCTCTGCTGCTCCATCGCGTTCCACGGTACCTGGGCTATAGATGACTCGTTCTCTCTCTCTCTTTCTCTCCTTTTCTCTCCCTCTGCCGTCTCGAGTCCTTCCCCATTATTGTTCTGCCTTCCTCTCTTCCCCGTCTGTGCCAGCGTGACAAGCAGCATTGCTCTCTGGTGGGGAGACCGCGCGACTGGCTCCCTCCCAGATTCCGGACGGCGTAGGGGCAAGCAACCGGTCCACGCAGGGGGGGAATTCGGCCCTGTCTCCAGCCGGTCCACTCGCCGGCCTCTCAAACCCTCCCCCAAGCAGTAGTAGGATAGCAGAGAAGTTGTGAACATGGCAGTCTCTCGTTCTAGAGTCGATCCCCAGCATTGCCCGGGTCATCTGGTAAAGTATTATGTCACGAGATCCGTAACTATCTACGGAGGACTCGTCCCTGTTTCGCCTGGAAACGAACAACAAGGGAGAAAGAAACCGTCGAAGAATCCTCTCTCAACAGTAGTAGGACCACCCAGCGGCAACTGCGGTGACGGCTGACGCTGCCTCAAATGATTTCTCTCCTAGCCGGCTGACCAGGTTTATCCCGACGCCGTCCATGATTTGGACGGTCTCTTCGTCTAGTCGATTCTTTGGTCGCCCCTGGAACCCTGCAGCATGCTGTCCAGCGACTCTCCAGCCGGTCCAGATCATTATTGTTTCTTGCAGGATTTCCGTCGGTGACTCGGTGGTGCCAGCGTCACCATGATGGAGATGCCGCACCCCGGGTTCCATGTATCGCTCTCCTATCTCTCCAGAGAAGCTTCGCTGGGAAGGCTGCTTGAACTGAACGCATCCGGAGATGCTCGCAGCTCGAGAGTAGATAACGAAGCTGCCATGTCCCAATCAAGACTTTTGATCGGTCCCAGACCCAATGATGGTCGATGGCCACCTGGGCGACAGCCAGAAGCAGCAAAGACGATCCACTCCGTCCGGGAACGCTTCTCACAGATCGGGATAGATGACCAGAGCTTAATTGCACCACGCTGTCGCGATGCAGATGATGCGAGTTATGCAACCTTGTTTTGTTCCATGGCAGAATCCGACAGTCCTACGGTTACGCTGCTGGACAACTGGCAATAATACGCGGTGTCCGCGCGAGAAAGACAGCCAAAAATCAAATTAGATGCTTCATTGCATATCGCCGTTACTTACCCAGGGATATTAACTGTTATTAACCTCATCAGATTCGCAGGGACTGGACGAAGTAAGGAGCGTGCTTAGTGTGTGGTAGCATCTGTTCCCGAGCTCTGTCGCATTGGTATCTCCAACCCGCTGTCAAGGCAAGCGAGCTGGCATGCCGATCCAGCCACAAACACCACTTGGCTGTCTGGGGAATTCCAGTCATACAATAATAGTCTACCTTCGAAATCCGGGGTCCCTGTCTTAGAACGACTGAAGCTCGTGCCGTCCGGTACGGGCTGACGATCTACAAGTCGTCCTAGCCAGCAGTTACTGACACCGTCGTACGAGACAAAGCAAGAACATGAGCAGATAAAGATACAGTGGTAAGTGGCAACATCACAGCACTGGATTCCCGAAAAAATAATCCGCGTGCGCCGTGGAATAATATATTACATGACTTGCTCGTAGCAATTCATCTAGTTTCAATATTCCAGCAGCTCTATTTCGATCTACCGTCGGAAACTACCTACTCTCCCGTCTTTCTACTATTTATTTATATTTATCTCAAATAACCCAAGCCACAGAGTATAATACCGTTGTCCTCTGATTATGACTGACCGCCTCTAGTGGACAGCCGCAGGGAATGTCAACACCTGCGTGTTCTATCTTCATCCGAGATCAGATATACTGTAGATAGTTCTTAGCTGAATTGGAAATGGTAAAATGGGATCCTCCCATGGTGATCACTTCCACGTGAGATGCAGTGCGAAGGCTCCAGACCTGGACCCTGATGTGCTGATCCAACGTTGGCACTTCTAGTCACGATAGTTAATGTTTTTTAGCGCCTATATAGTTGATTGAACTGCTGTCACTGAAGTAGTTAAGTTAACCAAGGAGCGTACCCGACACAGTAATGGCGAACTATTTGGTATTTACATACAAGTGCTGCAGTTTGCACGCAGCGTCTGTTTTGCTTTGAGCTCGCCTAGTTCGAAGGCCATCCAGACTTGATCACGGTTCTGGCATCAACAAGGCCTTTTTACTAGGTAAACATCCCCGTTCTGCCTTTCTTGAAGAGGAATGGCAGCAGACAGTGATCAACTTGCCAACAAGGTTATCGGCAAGTTCGGCACCAATCCCTATGCATAAAGAAAATAGACTACTACTGCAGATGCTTAGCCATGGATATCGCGCTAACTACTGCACAAGAGACCGAAGACGTCTCGTGAGATCAGTGAGATCGTGTTCTGTTTCGCGCACGGAACCTTCAAATACGGTTCCTGGCCCATCTTTGACCAGCACGGTCGTACTCTAGTGGGTTACGATGATGTTAAGACGCGATTCGAGGGGCAGGAAGTTGGATCCAGCTGCGTAAGATCACCTTTGATACAAACACTAGTCAGTTAAATTTGTAGACGACATCGGCAGTTACGGATATCGAAACGAATGGCAGTCAGACTAGAGTCCTCGCAGCCAATCCAACATCACCTTTGATACAACGGCCGCAGTCGAAATGACCCGACACAGCATAGCATGTTTCTCGATAGTTTCGCGCATAACCAGCAACTTGGATATGCGCTAGACATGTTTTGCTAGGTTGCTTATCTATTCTTTAACTCGTGGGCGCTCCTGAACTGCCGCACCGCACCGGCTTTTTCTCTTGTCCCCGCAGGTTCTTCTCGAACTGCACACTCTCAAACCGCCATCATTGCTACCATCAATGAATCTCTCAATTTTCGATGAAATAAAAGCTCACGTAAAAAAAGAATATGGGGTCGAATGACAGATCTTTTGCTCTTCTTTGATCGTAACCATAACTGACACAGTGCGTTCTCGACTTGACGCCGTGACGATGGCTGAGGCTGAAACGCCAGCGGTTCGAGTCTGCATCACTTTTGAGACGACCAACGACAAGGCCCCTTTTGGCGCCGAGGTGGAAAGCAACCACCAATCTGCAGAGCATTAAGCTATGTGATCCTTCGTCTGCAGCTGTCTGTTCCCTTTCTTTTTCCTTTCTTGCTTTTCGATTCGTGTCTGCTTCTACGCCATCCGATCCCGTGTGAGTTGATTCTCGCATCTGCGTGGTTCGTTTCTTTCCATTCTCTAATTTAAACTATTATTGCTATCATTTTATTCTATTTCACTTCTTTGAAATCTTGCTAGTCAAGATCTTTTTCACAGACGCCATAAACAAAAAAAGAAAAATTCAAAAACGAAAACGAAAAAGAAAAGACAAAAAAAGCAGGAGCTATTCGATTCTTTATACGAGTCTCCTGGATTAAATCGAAAACGTACTCTCCTTCGTCCTTCAAACCGAATCGTTTTTTATTTCCGCAGTATCAGTGACGCCGGTCGTCTATTAAATTCTATCTTTATCGCTTCGACGAATTTCATCGACTTTGCATACGTCGCGACGTTTTTCTTTTCTTGAGAAAATCAAAAAAACGAGACAAGAACAGTTCTGACATAATGGCCAACGGAGTCCTTCTGACGTTCTTCGGTGCCGACCTGGCCTTTTTGCTTGGTGGTGTCCTGCTTTTGGTGGGAGGTCTGGTTATGGAGATGGTGCTCAAAGGCACACTGACTGTCGACAATGTAGACAAAGTCTTGCTGTTGCAGATGTTTCCGATCAAAGGTGGGTCACCAAAAGACATCAAAATGCATTCGAAAGAGAAGCATGGGGAAGTAAAACTAGGTCCAGGCTTTTGCTGAGACTCAACAGGTGCCATCGTCAATGCGATCTTCGTCTTCATCACTTTCGTGATGTCTCTGCTGGGAATCATGTTGCCCGGAAACCGATTTTGGCTCAAGTGCCACGGTTACTTTGTCTGGTTTTGTGCCATCTTCACCATGATTCTCGGCCTGGATTTGTGGTTTCAGACACTCCAGACTCGAGCAAACCTGGATACTCTTTGGGGCAAGCAGACTGCGCAGACGCAGAGTCTGCTGCAACAGAAGGTATGTAACGGCAGCTTACTATTCAAATAGGCTTGCATTCTACGGAGCTTGGCTGACATCTGATATAGTTCGACTGCTGCGGTTATACCAACAGCACCTCTCCACCTTTCATTCAGGACAGCGTGTGCACTACGCCTCTTGTCGCCGCTCAATTGGGAGGCTGCGCTACTGCGTTCACTGCGTTCGCTAACCCTTTCCTCGACATCATCTTCACTGCCGATTTCGGCATTGTCGGTACGTGACGTTGTATCTTTTTCTTGCTTACGAATTCTCAAACTGACAACCACACTAGCCATCGATATGATCCTCCTTCTCTGTGTCGCCGTCGTGGTCAAGGACCGCAAGGAGAAGGAGCGCTACCGCCTCATCGATGCGAAGAACGGCTTCGAGGGTATTTAAAGTCTGCATGCATGCCATGCGCTTATGAGGAATCTACCGCGATGAAGTAGCAAGATACTACACCTGTTCGCACGCTATTGATGAAATCATGTCAGCGATGCTCATCCAGTTATATACTTTTTTTCCCCCGCAGTTGACAGCTTCGTTTTCTTCGTTTCGTTCGCCCACAACCTGTACAAAGCTGACTCGGCTGCTCAAGAACTGGAGTCTATGTGCGACGATGCATATCCTCTGTCTATCTTCTAGCGTAATAATGAGTCGAGTTTGTTTCATTCCCTTGCATAGCTGCATGCGCATCTGTGTTGCGTATCGTATTGTGTGGTGGGGGATATCATCGATCTCGAACGATCTATCAGGCGGGTAGTTGATAGAGGTCCGGTCCAGTCATCTAATCAATAAGAAACATGTAAAGGAATGACTCCCAAAACTTATCTGACCATGTTTGTGATCTCTATTTCATTCTATCTTGACAGCCTGAAGCCTGGGTTCTCTAGCAAGCTCAAAATCAAACTCAAACAATTTATTATCTCTGTCGATGTAGCTTCCTAAGTCAAAGACACAGCAAAGTCTCATAGACGCCTTCTATCCACTTTCCTCTTCCAAAAGCCTCATCACCTTTCTAAAAAGTCGAAACACAACCAACCATCTTGACATCAGCGTAATGTCTTTGAAACCCATAACTACTACCTACCTGGAATGTCTCTTGACCCCCATGGGTTATGACGGACAGATACTGTCGGTCGTCGGGATGGACGCTCCATTGGTGAAAGAATCGCGTCGCATCGAACGTAGACACGCGGGATTTGCCAGAAACAAAGTGCAGAACGTCGTCTTGTGTTCAGAAGATTGATGACTGGGCAGTTAATTGGCATAATGACATTTATAATGAGAAACTCAGATGGTTAGCGAATGAGAGATAGTAGATTCGTCAGGAGTAGGATTGCGAAAGCGTAAGGAGAAGGGTAAGAAGTCCGTTTTGGGTTGTGATGATAGTTAGAACTGATATTCTAAGCTTTCTGCAAAAGTACTTTAATTAAAATAAATTCATATTGATATACTGGTTGCCCCTAGTGGGTATGAGAAAAGACCCGATGCAAATATAATTGACGACAGGTCCGGGGGCAGAGACAGAGGCCGGGGTGGAGGCAGAGGACGGCGATTGCACGGCTGGCACAGGGGCCAGCACAGCCAACTGTGGGAGAGGTTCCCGCAGTGGGAGCAACATCCCCGCTCTAAATTCCTGTTATATTCTTTTCTCTCGGATATAATTTCGTTGTTAACATACTTCTTCTTGGCGCAGCAGGCGCGTCTGGGGGAGCAGCGCGGGGCGGCGCTTCGGGCGGAGCAGACGTAGATCTCTTCTGCCTATAACTATCATGATTAACGCTTAGTACTAGATGAAAACCATGAATAGTAGCAAAAGCAGATGTACAGCTTACATTGTAGTGATCATTTTTTGGTGTCGTTAAGAGAGAAAGTATATCATATGGAAGGGATTAACCGGCAGAGGATGTTATCTCAAATATCCAGTATAATAAAAGATAACTTAAGTGTCATTTGCTTAAGTATCAAACATTATAACAGACTGGCCGTTCAGTTTGTTTTTTCCAGCATTTCTTCATGGTTCGTCTGGTCGGTTTAAGAGACAGAAGGGAGGGAAAGATGCGTGTCTTGGTTCAAGGTGGAAGATGTTCAAGGGAAGTGGTAGTCAAGTACCGGGACGTAGAGGCCATTATCCTGACGAATCTATGCCGTTACTTGTGCAGTCTAAAGGACTTGACGATGTACAGTAGATAGGCAATATACTTGAAATGGCGCTGAGGCACCCGCGCCGAGTAGATAATCGAAGTCTTACTACTTGTTGTAGTGAATCTGTTATGCAAATGCAAATTATATACAGTCGATGGTCCTCGATGGGATAATCGCAGTATAAGTAGACGGGAGTTCTTCACCAATAGTGAATTCGATAGAGGTTTCCGGGCACTGTAATTGTCTGGTATTCACGATCTGTTGGATGTGAAGGAGAATTGTTGGACCAGGCATTTGTGACTGTCTAATAATTAGGCATTATCAGTACTGTGAAGAATGATAGGAACTGCTAAGTCTCAATGAATAATCCGTTTGATAGTTAATAACTATACCATCTCTCAAGGACCCCCAAGTCTCTAATACTTAGTATCATGTGGCGTTGACCACTTCACCTGTCCGTATAGGGCTCTACCTGGCTATTAGACATTAATACCGCGATGAGGCGCGTTCTTCTTGCTAGGGAAAAGGGTCTCCGGTTGTAATACCCCTCCCTTTTGGGTAAGGTTACACGCCTCTTAAGCATGGAGTCTGAAGTCTGGATCACTCACTCGTCAACCTTATCAGCGATCTTCTCAAATTGCTCCATGACTTCTCCAGTTACAAGTATCTGGAAGGAACATTGGAGGTAGACAGTCATGTAGCAGAACACTAAAGTCTTTCTTATCCGCTTTCCCTGCTCTACACGTCTGCTCCGGAGGTGCGCACCAGGCCTCTTGCTTGCCCAGTTTATAACTAACTCTTTGAGTTCTGAGCAGAGCCTTGCGTATCAAGAAGACCAACATCATCTGATCCCACCAATAGTATACATAACACACCCCGGGCCAGTCTTCACCTCATGCATAAAGTGCCCGCGGATGATCCAATAGGATAGCTAGTTATATAACGAAGGAAGAGAGATACCACTGCCTGATTTTTCTCACAGAAATCCACCAGGGGTGAGTACTGCAGTACCAATTTCTGTCCGTCATGATGAGCTTGAATAATCTTTCCTTTCTTTTCTCCAAAATAGGATATAAGGAGATACTGGACTACCTACCTAGTCAGCATAAATCGCGCTAGTTAAGCCAAGTCACTAAGTAACTAACTAACTTACTGGTTCAGTATCGTAGGATGGATACAAATGTAAATCAAAATGATCTTTGAGTATATTCAGAATACAAAGGACCTCGCCTCTAGAGAGACATGTTCATATGCTGCCGGAACAATGTATAAGAGTAAGAATACCATGAGACACAGTACAGGAAACATTGTTTTCATAGACTCTCCAGGACGATTCTCTTGCTCGAATGTTGATTAAGTCGAATAGGTCGTACCTTTTCTTTTTTTTTAAAAAAAAAAGGTTAGCCAGTCAAAAACAGTTTATTAGATAAAATAGAAGCTTAAACAAATATATACATACGTTCGATTAATAGGCGCAACGTGCCGAAATCTCAATCCATTATCAAGACCATCACGTATCGCATACATTTGTAGACAGATATACCTCTCCATCCCGAATGCCTGCTCTTCGAAATCCAGGTCTTCGAAGTTTTCGCCCGGGCTCAGGCTGAACAATAAAGTGGTCGAAGTAATATTGAAAAATCAAACTCTTCATAATTTAAGCCCGCCCAGTCCTTATTTACATCATCATTTTCGCGGATGGGATAATAGTCAGAAAGTAAAGTTTTTGTTTTGGAAATCGAGGCAAGAAAAAAAGCATGGTTTAACTAAATTCCAGGACGTCTTCTCTAGTTTAAGTCCAACTTTCACCAGATAGATTCCCCAGTTGACGGAGCTCATCAATTTGAAAATTAGGAGTGTCGCGCTCTGAAAGTATCGAATCTAATCGAGAAGCATCATTGCGGACGGTTTCGATTCGGGAGTCTATATTTTCCGTTGAATGCATATTTAAAAGGAAAAGGGGGGGTATAAGATGGAAATCCCGTTAGGATGATAAAATAGAAGACGCAGAATTTGTTAATGAAGCGTCGTGCGATACTTAGTGACGAGGAACTGCAATGCAACACACCCTAGTTGCTCAGCGCAGATTCAGGTTCAGATTTTCAACGAGAACACGAATCCTAGAAAAGATACCCTATCCTTCTTATACCGCAAGAAAATTTGAGTAGTTTACTTCTGTCGTCGTCATAGAAGACTCAGTCTACGCTAAAGTTATAGAAACAATTTAACACTATCCTACAACTGTGCAATGATCAATTATAGCTACCTATGCATGTTTCTAGCATAAATTCGATTATGCCGGGTTAGTTAGCCTGTCCGCTAGATAGATAACTAGCATCAAAGGATGAGCTGGACTAGAATGACTGCAGGTCTTCTATATTTTCCCTGTTTGCATATCAGAAACGCAAGGGGAGAGATGGTAAGCTCTAGTTATATCCTACATTGAGTCGAGTATTCTTTTCTTTTTTTCACTCTGGGTTCGCTCAAAGATCTAAGTATGTCACTTTCTGGCTCCGTCCAACGCTCTCGAGAGAAATGAAGGACAGGAAAAACAAAGGAAAGATGAAGAACTCCTTTTGTCTTCACCTCCTACCGGTTCTACTTTTTTAATACTCAAGAGACTTTCTACATTCGGTATAACGATTTGTCGAGATGAGTAGTATTGTACTCTATAGATTACTTTTCGAATTATAATTAATGAAAGCCAAATTTACAGAGTGCTATCCTGCTAAGCTCAGCCAAATAATCATAACTAGTCCCATTTTTCTAGCATGAATTGAGGACACGCCAGATAGCATGTCTGCTAACTAGCATCAGAGGACCACCGGAACTGGAATGGTCTTAGGTCTATTTATACAAATGTGATTGTTCTTCGTTCGCATCTCGTCCATGATCGGTCAAGAACGAAGTAAATGGTTGTAGAAAAAGGGCGCGAGTGTGGAACGGAAAAGAAAATGAGAAGGAAATGACAAAAGGCTCGCGAGGGAATACCGGCTGGGCAACCCTCACTGCCGCATCTGCCACATGATCCAACATGTTTTAAGGCCATGGGTGAGACGCAGTAAAGGTAGCCAGGTCGGCAGGAAGAAGATGTAAGGCATTTGAGTAATACTCGAAGGAGATATGCTCTTCGCTAGAAAAACCACCATTTGCCCGATCTTTGATGCGCCGTACGTCATTTCTCCAATTAAACGCCAGATATGATCAAATATAAAAGAAAAAACAAGGAGAAAAAATAAGAGGTGACAACGCGGGAGTAGAACTTCCCATGTCCCCCTCTCCCCAAGGTCAAAGAAGGATGTGCAAGAAGAAGAGCTCATTAAGACAGAACAGAGGACCCGCCTTGGTAATGATTATATTAGTACTTGGTCTGACCTCCGCCGACGCCAGCACCACCACCATTGCGAGGGCCAAGCCAGACGATCTCGATCACACGGTGAGAATCAGGCTCTTCGCGGGTGTAGAACTGATGCACGTTGTCACCAACGACAACGGCGTCCTTCAGCAGATATCGCTCTTTAATCACACCTTCCTGATCCTTGGGGCGCAGGGGTCCCAGAGAATCCTCGTAACCCCTCGGGTCTTCCTCCCAAGTCTTCTCAGTGTGGTCGAAGTTGATCACATCGTCGGGCGTACCCTCCAGATAGGTATATTTCACAATGGAGTAGCCGTTGGTGAGCACCCAGAAGGTGCGGATCGACTGTCCGGTGGCGTTGTTGATGAATTCCTCCTGGTCGAAGACCCAGCGGCGCAGAACGGACTTACGTCCCGCAGCGGCAGCCACGGTGCTCATCTTGACCACATCCTTCGTGTACCAACTGTTCCAGTGGTGGAGGGAATCGATCCGGCGACCAGATTCGTATACTCCATCAACCTCACCCTGCATATCCATCTGGTACAGAGAAGGCCAGATCGTAAGAGGAGTGTTTCCGAAACGCTCGATACACTGACCCAGCTTCTGGTCACCGGGCTGCTCACCCCAGGATTGACACTCATCGTAGACGGTCGTCAGAACCTCCAAGAGCGGCACAGAAACGAAGACACCAGCACCGCCAAAGGCAATGTGGCCGAAAGTGTCCACCTGCCAGCTAGCCTCTGAGAGCGATCCAATGTAGTGCTTCTTCGTAGCGTCAAACAGCTTCAGCTGCTCCGCAATGCTGGGGAGGGAAAGGAAGAAAGTGTCATCATCGATAAAGCTGACCCAGGTGGTGTTGGGACGCACAGTGCGGATGTGCTCGTCAAAGGCTTCCACGAGACCGAAGTAACGGGCCGTAAATTCCAGAGGGGATGATTGGATAGTCACATCAAGACCGCGGCTGCGGAAGTACATCTCCTGCTGAGAGAGGTCGTCATCCGTCGGGGGGACCAGAACGATAATGCCCGCCTTGCTGTCGCCGAACGAGTAGAGTAGGGACGGCAGGAGACGCTCCAGACGGTCAACTGTGGTGGCCAGACCAAACAGCAGCTTGGATGTCTCCTCTACATCGTAGTCCGCGGCCACATCCACATCGATAATCGGGGGACAGGGCATGGTGTTGTACTGAGGCGGCAGACGGGTTCCACGGTCCATCTCGACAAACGGGGCCAGCACGGGAGTGTTGACATCCTCCAACGACCCGAATTCCGTCTTGGGGCTCACATGGTGCGGACGGAAGTAGGCACGGGTGTAGTTCTTCGCAACCAGCCACTCGTTGAATGGCAGCGGAGGAGCGGAGGCGGGGTCGACCTCGCAGCCAGAGGACAGCGTCTGCGGCTGGACCTGAATCTGAGGATGGCTGGGGGCTTGGGCTTGTCCGGGCACGGGGGCCTGATTCGACATGTGGTCGATCGGACGTTTGAAGCGCATCAACGCAGCGCGGTCATATCGATCGACGCACCAGAAGAAAAATGCGATGGAGAAGAGGGCGACGAGCGGGAACAGCGTCTTTAGCCTGACGAGCGGCATCCTGACGGGGATATTAGGGTAGATTGATTTCTGGATCATAAGAAAAAGAGTGAGAGTAAATCTAGTTCGATTCTTTCCACGGGTCGTGGTCGTGGTCGTGGTCCTGTTGTGATTCTGCGAACCGACGGATTCGAGGAAAAGGTGATGAAGTTGACACCTGATCGAAACGTAGCGGCAGAAGCCAGTCCAACAGCAAAAGAACGTGACCGTTGGCTAAGATGCAAAACACACAACGGCAACACTGCCTGAGAGCGAACGAACGGCTGCAGGCGTCGGGACCGGCGACACTGTGGCAGGAGAGAGAAGACCGGAAGAAAAGAAGAAGAAAAGAAAAAAAGAAGAACAGATCGATGGATATGAGGGGGAAGAAAGTCGACTCGAGGGTTTAGGGGGAACGTGCTTCACAGATTGGAGGCGGGACGATGAAGGCTTGATTTCCGACACGCGGGTTGGCGGTTCGACGGTGACGGGGAAGAGCCAAGCTGGATAGCGAGATTAGCTTCGACGGAGGCTCTCCTGTGCCCTGGGGCTTGGACTACTCTGGCAGAGGAGTAGACAGAGGAGAGGAGATAAGAAGAAAAGAGGGAGCAGCAAAGCAAAGCAAAGCAGAGAAAAAGGAGAGAGGTGGATGCGGGCGGTAGTTATCGATTACAGCCAAAAGGTACCGGGATCCAGAGTCAGGATAGGCTGTTCGCAGACAAGCAGCACGAAGAATGCCGCCATGATCAGCCCGGCGATGTCGCGTCGTCTGCTCCACCACGGCAGGATGTTGGCCAAAACATGGGTCGTCGCGCTTCTTGGCGGTTGCTGATCGTTGCGCTCGCCATCGTCGATTTCATCTCATTCCAGGATTATTATGACCGACTCGGGGAGAGGGGAGGGGATGGAGGGAATCGGAACGAGGGAATGACAGGGCATGCATGCATCATGACCATCATCCAAATCAATAATCATAATCCTTATCCTGATCAATCATTATTATCATTATCATTATCAGTATCAGCTAGCTATAACTCTTACGGTTGAACCACCACCAGGAACGAAAGCGGATGCACCTCCGGGGGCATTTTGAGTATCGCCCCTTTCCATGGTTGTACTGTAAGTTTACCTCTTCTACATCTTCTCCGGCCACTTTCGCTCCACCGGATCTTCTCCCTTGTCTAGCGCCGCTGTCGAGCCCCACGGGCCGCGTGTCGATTGTTATTATGTTGCTTGTCTTTTCTTATTATTGCACTTTCGCCTCTGCGTGATTACTGTATCGATGGGCTATTATTATATCTCACCACCTGTCTGAACGATGTCATACAACGCTGCATTCATAATGAGTCGAGTATGCATGTAGTAATAGTAAGTGAGTAGGTAGGTAGTATTATTATTACTCTGGAACACAGATACGATACTACAAAGTACACCCTAAACCTACTCACTCGATCATGGTATATTCTTGTACTGTACATAGCATGATCTCTCAAGCCACCGGAGATTGCGTTATTATGGTACCGCAATTTTCTCCACGGGCGCAATTGATACTGTACATATCACGGACCGTTTCCAAGGTTCGAACTGCTTTAGGGCGGAAAGCCAGAGTGATACAGTACATAAATAATACACCAACACCTTTTTCGTCCGTCCGGTGGATAACGCGATGATCGTCCATTCTTCTTCTTCTTCGCGGGTGGAACTCTGCCCCTGAACATCATCCGCACTACTTCCACTGTCGGACTTGTCCATTGTTGAACAGGGAAATAATCGCACATCGTGACTCCGTAAGACTATACCCAGACAATCCAAAGAACCACCCCACGATGCCTCTTTCGACCCAACTGTTCGCCGTGACGTCGATTGGAATGGAAAAAAAGAATACCCTAAGGGCCTAGTATAACATAAGAGATATAATATGGGGCCACCCTATGTCGATCTGAAGATCCAATCCGGCCAACCGATGGCAATCCCCTCAATCGGATCGGGGAAGACCGTACATGTGGTTTCTTTTTCCCCGTCCAGCTTTCCGGGCCATTAAGTAGTTAGACGAGACGAGAGACATTGGTAGTTCGTTATAAACGTTTCGCTTATTCTCGATCCCTCGTTCGCATCCGGTTCCTGTGGCGAGGACCTTCGCGAAGCTTGACATGTTATCGACTGGAAAGAGCATAGATACTACTGCTGCCATCGTCATTATTGGTATATACCATACGCTGGCTCCAGCCTCCGTTTGAGTTGGCCGTTAGAAACAAGCGAGCGGTAGCCCTGTGCGCTAACCTGCAATCGATCCATGGCTTCTCTGCGCACCTCTGCAACGGTTCTTCTACATCCATCATCGTCAAGCGGTGAGTGATGCAATCAACCTGACCTGTGACACAACAAATAGCTATTATGCCGCAGTTCGTGAAAGAACGAGAGTCGATTGTGGTCGATCGTGCTACGATAATGCTTTCCGGGTGGCGTTGTCTGTAACGTCTGGGATTTAAAGTGCAAGGCAGTATTCAACTAAGTATAGATAACTGCCCCCAGCCAAGTTAGACAGACCGCTGACAAGTTCCACCCCCATTATTATTGCGGCAATTTCCTGTTCCAACTGCAGATTCAAGCCCTGTAGCCGTCCTTTCTAGTAACACGGCCTCCAGAGTAGGTAGTTAGTTAGTTACTCGAGATTAGAGTATCTAAAGAGAAAAAAAAATACAGACCACGTAAGGGATGTGATGACAAGATCGCTCCTGTGCGTGCTTCGATGATCATGCTGCGTGACAACCGAACAATGAGAGGAAAATCCTCGCCCCAAGTTCCAACCCAACCGGTAGATAATCCGGATAGATAGTAACTCTTGTTCATCCTCGAAGATCACCTCTCCACCACGACCGCAGAAAAGAACTGCAGCAACGACATGGCCTAAAAGGATCTACTTTCACTAACAACGCACGGGAGAAACAGGAACGGAGACTACTCCCTACAAAGTAAGATTTCCCCCATACTTTATTACTCGTACTCCGTAGATAGAGTCGAGTTCTATGTTATCTATCTCGAGTTTCTTTCCAAGGAATTATTATTGTTGTTCTCATCCTTCTTAGTACTGTACTAAGTACCCCGGCCGCGGCCGAAACGACAATCCCCAAACCCAACCCAACCATCCGGAACCGGAGCACAGCCCAAAACAGATAGATAAGAGACGATATCTGTGAGAACTATCAGACAGGGAACAGCCCTTTCTCGGACACAACAGGAGTAATACTAGTTGATCCTTGCCTACTCTGTATATTTATTTCTTCATATGCAACTTGAGAAAGGAAAGCACATGGGCGATCTATTTCTCGATTAGAGTAGACTCGAGCGCTGTTTTCTATTTGGTCGTTGTACACTCACGTATCTAGCCTGTTTTATTTCTTAACTTTACTTTACTCATAGCTTAGCTGGATGATCACCCGTCTTAAGGGCAGATCCTGATACTCTGACAGTTGGTAAGAAACTCTACGGGCATTATCGTGATATACCTAGCGTTACTATTAAATTTACTACTGTACAATGGAGTCATCCGACAGGGATTGTAAGTTAACAATGTGCTGTTACTAATTACACCGAAGGAGAACAAGGAATAATCATCATAAACGAAATGCCTCATAGAGCGAAAAAACATAAGTCCAGCGCGGATTGATCGATTTGTTTTTCTTTCTTTACTTTACTTTACTTCCCGAGCTCCTCTCCCCCCCCCCACGTCAGCGGCGTTTCATTGGAATGCTAGAGATGTCACAACAATGCGGCTTACGGATATCCATACTACGTAAGTAGGTATTCAGCAAAAGGACGCCGCGTCGGTGTACGTAGTAGTAACAATAGCAAAGTAGCAATAAAATTAAAAAGGAAGCGTAGATACTAAACCAAGCCGAACAACAGTAGTGTATAGCCGGGGATAGACAACCAGCCTGTAATTTCTTTATTTTCCCGATACAAACTTCCGAATGCCATCAAATTATACTGTGTGTACACTAGGTAGTCAACAAGAGTACATACCATATTACGGGATGTCACTATCTACACACCTGAATTTAATAATGAGCATGCGACCTCTTAATCAAACGACATGACAGGTCCATCCTCCTTACTTACTCGGCCGCTTCTTCGCACGGCCGTTTCAAGTTCAGCTTTTGCTTCTTCCCCGCACATCACACGATCAAATCAGCATCCACCAAGACCATTCAAAACCCCCAATCCTACCTACCTAACCTAACCTTGGCATCTATCTACCTGTCAAATTAACATCAACTACTTTCCTTTTGATGAAACGCCGTTTCAGATTTTTAGATTCGATGCATGGACACCTCCCGATTCGGTCGATCTACGACGTAGCAGTTCAAGAGTACGACGTTGTGGCGTTCATGGTTCAATAAATTTCGGTGCGAACTTCATATGTAACTGGACTCGAATAGTCCGGTCGGGCTACTACCTATGGCCAATTATTGATTCTCTTCTCCTGCTCGTCAAGGTTGCTTTTTTGTTTGTTCCTACATTAGTAGGTGGTGCGTATGCATGTGCGGGCCAAAAAAAAAAAGAAAAGAAAAGAAAAGAAAAGAAAAGAAAAGAAAAGAAAAGAAAAGAAAAGAAAAGAAAAGAAAAGAAAAGAAAAGAAAACTTTGTATCCATGTTTTACCCCGATCTTACTCTACGGGTTAGAATTAATCGAGTCCAGGGCAAGCAATCCTCATCGCTGATTAGCTATAGCGTACTCGGGGCCGTCGTGATGATATACCATACGTGGAAGGTTGTAGTAGTTGAACGCCTGGACGACGACGACGACGACTGCGGGCCGGTTTTACAAGGCATATTTACTTTCCAGTCCACTGTGCTCTGTCCTGTAGTGTTGCGTAGCGTTCGACGTGATGAGGGGAACTGAAACGTAGATGTCTAGTAATTGAACCCATGGGTTGTTTCTATGTGTCAACAAACATGCAGCTGAACTTGAGAAGAGACAAACGGCAAAATGGAGGGCTAAACTAAGTATCTGACGGGTTACGGATTACGACCCAGCCCCCAAAACATGAGACGAATCTGAATTCGACGAATCTAGATGGATATTCGAAACAGAATCATTCCGGATCACGAGAGATTGATGCATTGCATACATGGATGTGAATAGCTAAAAATAAAAAAAAAGTAATAATAAAAGAAAGAAAGAAAGGAAAAGAAACTACTCGTACAATTTGTTCATGGGCTGACTCTATAATTACACGGACTCAGCCACATAAGATGACTTGGTGATTTTAAGTTTGGCAGCAGCCGCCGCCTTACATTGCGTAATGCTTCTTCTTCTTCTAGAACACTTTTTATGTTCGGGACACATTTTTTTAAAATAGAAATAGAGGAATTTCTGTACGTGCAAAATCTACAGGATTTGGTTTCGGATATGTATACTCTTCTCCTCTGTAGGATATCACATGCTCGAACCGGTCTATATGGTTACGTTACATCTAGTTGGTATAGACGTGATCGAGGTATCGGGATAGAGTCTAGACCAAAACGCTCAGATATATAACGCGGCGAGTTAGTAGATATCCCAGTAATGCATCCGGGAAAGAAAGAAAGAAAGGGAATTCTATGTCAGTAAGCTGTAATCATAGTTATCGTTAGACCACATCTACTTGTATGTACACACGAGCAGTTACGCAATAGTACGACTATATCTACTCCGTTCATACCTCCGGAACAAGACATCAACAAACAAGACACAAAGCAAATAGTCTAACTACTGTTTTCGATAAACTAGGTATTACGTTCCTATCCAAGACAGCTCTCGGGCCGTTCCTATCAATCAGGCTACTGCTTGATGGTGCTCGATCCGAAATTTAATCCTACACCGGATGCATCCGTACATTTGAATCTGATAGTATACATTCCGACCCTCTATTTATCCACTAGGCATCGACCTTGCTTAACTCCGATTTATTATTAAACGCACGGGACTGACCGGTCGTGGAATGTAAAACGGCTGGATTCTATCGATTTCTCTTGATTTGGTCATTGATTGATTTTCATCCTCAACGCTACTATGCGGCGATAATCTTTCACTGCCCGGTAGGGACAGGGAGACAAGGGATGGATGCTTGGACGGCGCAGAATCTGCTTGGCATGCTTGGCAAATGTGATCTTAGCTGCTTCTTGCGGACTCGGAGCTCATTAAGGAAGAAAAATTCATGGCATGGGACTGTGTAGACCACCACGTCTTCATTTCTATCATCTGCGGCTACTACTATGTATTCGACCGTGTCAAGAAAACATATCAAGAAAGCTTCTCTACATTACTGATGTGACTACTTCTCGTCATCCCCGGCTCCTTCCCGGTCTTCGAACTGCATAAAGCTTTCGTCACGCGCTTCATCTCCCAGCACCATCTTCCACACCTTCTGCACCGCATCAATCGTGGCATCATCAAATGCAAGGTCTAGACTCGGTGGTGGGAAGCGGATGACCCTACCGGCAGCGGAGGGAATGGGATCAGCTGAGCCATCATCGGCCCGTCCAAGCTGAGTGAATCGCAAGGACCAGAGTACGCTGGCGCCAGCTTCATTACGCACCGACTGCAAAAGTCTCTGAATTGCCGAATCAAGTATCTCCTGTCCTTCTGCACCTGGCAGGGACACACTACCGTATATTACACCTTTATTGCAACACAAGTTAGCAATGCTCATCATTAAGCGGAGGTAGGAAATAATGGTGTTGGGATATGCTCTTCATCAGTCTGTCAGAGGTGTGAATTTTCATCAATGCACTTCAGGCAATGTAGATAAGTTTTGAGAAGTCATCATTGAAGAGCAATATGGGGTTCGATGCGGGATGAGTAAAGGATCGGGGGTAGATACTTACATTGTCCAACAGGACACTCGCCTGTCTCACTCGAGTGGACAATAAGGTAGACTGGAGGAGCATCTTCTCTCTTAGATAGGACATTTCCTGGAATCAATACGACAGCACCAGCGGGAATTGGCCCGCCGTCCGATGTCGGTGGAAAGAGGTCCTCAAGAGGGGAAGAGACCACGTTTATAGAACGGGCCACCTTGTGGTAGCTCACTGAATCAGCGGCTTCAGGAAGGTCCCATCGAGAGCCGACCACAAACGCACTCCGGACTTCCTCTCCGTCAGTTAATTTCACTAGTAGGCGACTGTGTTGCGAAGTATCTCCCTTTGCATCTTGTGGAGCTTCGATATATTGAATGCCTCTATTGAGAACATACACCCCACCGCCCACTGCCAGTGCACGACAGCCTACCTGCGAAATCTCAGAACCGCCGCCATACTTTGCCAAAACACTGCCAAAACCGGCGCCAAAGACGCCAATAGAGGCGAGATGCCTTTGTATCCGGGGAATGACATAACTGGCAGAAGCCTGCTGGGGAGCAGACTGAGATAACGACAGGGACAGGAGGGGATACTGAAGCTCGGAAGGGATGTTAAATCTAGACGTCAAGTAATCTGCGAAAGGTAAGTCAAGATCCTCCGTTTCGTTCGCTACACCCTCATCCTGGGGAGTTCGAGTAACATGACGGAGTAGCTTCATCAACGACCTCTTCGACCTCAAGGAGATGTTGTCGTCGCTGAATACGTCCTCGCGGCTACTTGGCACGCGGTCTAGAACAGATGTCTCAGAAGATCGGTATATCCACCAACTTCCCACAGCCTGGAACTCCAGCTGGCGGTAGACCTTGGACGACACCAGGGTTGGGAGCAGTTTTGATCGAGAGTAGATCAGCTGCGGTGACAGAGAAAGTGTATAAGCTCTAGATTTTGCCAACTTAGTAGGCGAATCAGGTGCGGCCGGTGGGGAGTGAACTGAGACATCCTCATAAGGCGCCCTGCCAGGTTCTGGCCCATGGGCGTCGTCAGCAATGCCTGGAACACACCCTAAAGACGTGCACATTGCGACGGTGCGCCGTGGGTGCCATCTCACCTTGTTTCAGTTCTTCGACCCATTCTTCGGCTTCTTGGAGACTGAACGCTGTCTCCGCACCTCCATAGTATGGATTCTTATCCACGTGAAGTACCTTCTTACCTGACCGGGATAGAGCTCTGCAGGGATGATGTTAGTAATCGGATAACGCGTGGAATAGAGAAAGGTGGTACTGACAGAGCCAGGAGAGACTGGGCCAGCCCAGTTCCTGATATAGTTACGTCCCATGGAGTGTCTGTGAGCGACTCCATACTGACCTGATAACTTAGGTGGCTTGCAATGCCGTTCGAAGTGTCACAGTTGTGTCCTGCAAACTCAAATTTTCATCACATTAATGGAGTGTGAGCAACAGCATTCGCTTCTTGATCTCTTGTACACATTTGTACGGAGGTTCAGGTACAAAGGAAGGAAGAAAAAGAAGAACCGCAAAGCGCGCACACCAGAATAAATGGTGCCGCGAAGCGCTAGTGGATCACGTGACGGACCATAGCTTCTCGACGGGAGGTTCCAACAGATTCCTTCGAGTGACTCCAGCTGCAGTTACAGGTGTCTATGGGAATAGATGGAGGATTCACTATGCCTTTCCATCGCTTGTATATACTACGCAATATATGACTGAACGCACACTGAGCGATTAGGTGGCATAACAGCTATATGCATGCCACAGTAAAATATACATTGGGGCCCTGGGCAGGCGTACGCCAAACCTAAAGAGGCTAGTACGAGCCCCGAACATGAAGATTTCAGCGAAAATAATGATCCTCGATTATTGTTTTCCTTCTCACACCACTCCCGGCGCTTCGCGCAGGCAGCCTGCCATTCACACACGGCAGTATGCTTATCTATCAACGAGCCTTCACTGGTCTTGCTGAATGGGAGTGGTAGAGGATATTAGTCACCCTGTATCTGCTGCTCTGGATGGTAACATTTGATGGGAGCGGTTCGTTTGTGGTGATACATTCTGCTGAGCAGCCTGCTGTCAGCTGTATAGTGACAGTCTCCAATAACCATGGAGCTTCGTAGTGGTATTCCCAAGAACTTCATCGCACCGTCGGCAGTTTGTTCTGGTCGGCGTGCGAATGTGGCTGCCGCATGCTACCGGCGGACATGCTCTGCGTTCTTATGAGAGACAGCATTCAGGCCCCCAATCCTCGCATCTTTGAGTATAAACAAGAGCGACAGGTCTGGTCCAGTAATCGAGATCCTGATCTCGTCTAAGTGATATCTTGCTTCACTCCTCTGCACCCTCCTCCACGACCCTAGCCCGGATGATCTTCACTTCATCCATAGGCCTATCCTCCGCATTTGTCTTGACGAGACCCATGCGCTGTATCACTCTCATGCCGCTCTTTACTCTGCCAAAAATTGTGTGCTTGCCATCCAACCACGGCGTGGGCGCGAGTGTGATGAAGAACTGGCTGCCGTTCGTGTTAGGACCACTGTTCGCCATGCTCAGAACCCCGGCCCCAGTATGCTTCAATCCCGTATGAATCTCGTCCTCGAACTTTTCGCCGTAGATCGAGCTGCCTCCGCGACCGGTTCCAGTGGGATCGCCAGTCTGTACCATGAAGTTCGGGATGATGCGATGGAAGATGACGTTGTTGTAGTAGCCTCGCTGAGCGAGAGTCGCAAAGTTCTTGCAAGTCTGCAAGACCAAGAATATCAGATCATATACTCTTTCATAGGTGCTATGGCGTACGAACCTTTGGCGCATGTTCATTGTAGAGTTCGACGGTGAACGAACCCTGCGCTCGGTCAGTCATGAACTGCGGGGTACCGAGTCAGAAGTCCTTACCATAGAGGTATCGAAGGCCACATCGGTCGCCATGGTTAGTCGTGTTCAGAAGTAGTGGAAAGAGATATTCTTGATCGTGTGCGTATATGGTATCGAAGAGAGCGTTGAGAATCTCAAGTCACTACCGGCGAGAAATGTCGTCGGGTCTTGGCATGTCTTCAGTATAGCGATTAGAGCACCGAAGCAAGATAAATGTGACAACATTCATGTGCACTTTACATGTCCTAATATTTATCATTGAGGACCGATGAACTCAGATTCGAATCAGAGTCTACAAGTATCATTTAATCTGTTCTGAGACCTAGTGTTGACTTCTCCCTTGTACGACATACATAAATGAGCAACATTTTCACATTATCTAGTTTCGAAAAAAAACTCACAACCCATATCCAGAGCGCATAAGCCTGATTAGCATATAAGCAGGAAAAATGATACAATTGCCAGTATGTAGGGGCCCAGTAAAGTACCATGGCTCTGCGATACGGCGCCTGAAGATGACGAAGACTTCTGCAGTAGCAAAGCTTGCACGTAAATATTTGGGTCAATAAGACCCAAAAAAATTCTCTACTAGAGAATACTGCACATGGATCAGCCAAGATATTATTTTATTTTCTATCGAATAACATTTGGAGCTCTGTTTTGCGCGCCGATTGACGACAGGGTTGCTGCCTTAGGTAAACAAGCTGGAGACTGGCCAGATCTCTGTCCGCAGGCAACTCCAAAGCTGAGCTTGAGCTAAGCTTTCTTATACCCATATGCAAAACATGGCTTGAATCGCAACGCGAACAGTCTGGAGAAAATATCAGTCGCATACGTTAGAGCTGCCGTTACTTTCTTGTGCATCGTCATTCCTTACTGCTCTGTTGCTTTGTCCCCGCAAGGCCTGACAGCCCGCGATGGCCGCCGTCAGTCCTCTCGCGGAGTTCCTTGGGCAAGCGATTTACCAGTTCGAAATACTCAAACCCCTCCTCCCGACATACGGACATCTTCTTATATCTGCCCTATTCCCCATATACATCGGCTCTCACGCCTCGCTGTCACGACCGTCATCAGCTGCGAAGCCTTCGAAATCTCGAAAGAAGGAACATGAATCAAGTAGCGAGGAAGACAATGAGGAAGAGGGAGGAGGACCCATTCAAAAAATGGAGGGCTTGGAGCCATCGGATGCACTCATGTTCCCTCTGATGGCAGGGTTGACACTGGGAGGGCTATATCTCGTCATCAAATGGCTTGAAGACCCAGCGATCTTGAATAAGATCCTGAGCTTTTATTTCTCTCAGATGGGACTATTCTTTGCCATTGCCTTCTTGAAAGACAGCCTGTTAGTGGTGAGATCATTTCTGTTTCCCTCACGATATAAGTATGCTGGGAAGATCTGGAAAGTCAAGCAATCGCAACACATTTTCACCAGTGCTGGCGAGGTTCGACAGTCACCTCTTCCAGGGTTTCTGTCGGCGCTGCCTCTGCCGAAATTGGCCAGAGACATACTCTGGTCTTGTCGTGGTATCGCTTACCAGAAGGCTAAGTTTCGATTACGGGTGCGCCGCGTGGGAGACATAAAATGTCGTTTCGGGATACTTGACATTCTAAGCGGCTTTGCTGCACTATGCGCCGTTGGCTACTTTGCTTTCGTGACAAAGCCCTGGTGGCTTACGAACTTTCTGGGATTTAGCTTCTGCTATGGTGCTTTGCAATTCATGTCTCCGTCGACTTTCTGGACGGGAACACTGATCTTGGGCTCTCTGTTCCTTTACGATATTTATTTCGTTTTCTTCACTCCTCTGATGGTGACTGTCGCAACTAAACTTGATGTTCCGATCAAACTGCTATTCCCACGCCCGCCAGCTGAAGGGGCTGCTCCAGATGTCGTCTCGTTGGCAATGCTGGGTCTGGGTGATATTGTGGTGCCCGGTATGATGGTCGGACTGGCATTACGTTTCGATCTTTTTCTGTACTACAGAAAGAAGGGTCTGCAGATCGCGAAAGAGGCAGGTGAAGGAGCAACCTTTATAAGGCCTAGATATCAAACTGCGACTGGAGGTTGGGGTGAACGGTTCTGGGCCCGTCAGAGAAAGTCTACGCAAGCTGCCGAACTGGAGCCCCCTTACCATGATGCTCAGTCATTCCCGAAGGTCTACTTCCATGCTAGTCTGATTGGCTACATAATTGGTATGATTGCTACACTACTTGTCATGCAGTACGCAAACCATGCTCAGCCGGCGCTTTTATACCTTGTTCCGGGTGTTCTTATCTCACTATGGGGAACCGCCTTCTTCAGAGGAGAGATCACTCCCATGTGGAATTTCTCCGACGCTGAAGAGGAAGATGAAGAAGATGCCAAGAAACGTGAATATAAAGAGGCCAATGAGCAGAAGCCGAAAGCACCCAAGGGAAGCTTGTTTTCTCGTCTGCTTTCCGGTGACATTAAAGCTTTATCTGAGGAGCCTGAGAATACTACCGGATCAAGGTCGGAAACAAAAGATGTCGTTTCTGCCACAGATCAAGGCACCGAGCACTCAGAGGGCGAGTCTTCAGAAAAGACGCGCAGATCCTCTAAGAATTGTGATGAAGATGATAAATCTGACGAACTTATCCTGTTCTCTATCTCTCTGCCCCGGAGAAAGAAGTCTCGACAGAAGGGAAATTTGGAATCAGAGACCAATTCTGGCCAACGCAGTTCAACCTCTGTGGTGCCGCGTGATGGCGAACCCCCGACTAAGAGGCTTCGACGGAGCCCCAGAGGACAACAATCATAATTCGAATCTTGAAGACTGACACTACTTCTATTTAATCTCATTTCTTTTCAACGGTAGTAAAACGTCATGAGTACGATAGCCGTTGTTATCATGACAGACTGCATAATCCGGAGTTCAGGTTAGCGGACTAGTAGATGTATCATTCGTGTTCTATGAGCAAAGGATATATCGGATAGTGGTATCATTATGTATGCTTTAGTGACTTTAAACCTAATGGCAGAGACTACCTCAGCCCTTCCAACATGTTTTTGATCTGTTCCCATCTCTGTGTAGAGAGCTCAACGAGCTTCCTCAATTCCTCTTTATCCACAGCTAGCCCGCCATTCTTCTCCAATTTCACGATCTTAGTCTTCCCTCCATTGTCTTTATCTACCACAACGCGCACACTCTCCTGGCACAGGTTTTCCTCGAATGCGTCAGGGTCTGCAAGGATCCATCTCTGGCCAGCGACTTTCTCTGCCTGCTCCTTCTCCTGGTCAACATCCGGGATAACGACGGCCCTCCATGCAGCCGCAGCATCCGCTTCGAAAACGGAATAGGAGCTGGCCACGGGAATTCCTCGCAATGTCAATTTCCTCGCTTCAGATAGCTCATCCGAGCAGACAACAATCTCGTTATCCAGATCCCACCATGCCCTCGGTAGCTTTGTATCCCGCAGCGCAGCCAGTACAGCCGCCCAGGCGGCATCGAAGGGGTTTCCGGCCAACGAAATAATCATCACATCGATGTAGAGAACCCAGAAAGCTTTGATTTCTCTCTTTGAAGCCCCCGAATGCTTTTTCTCATCCGTCTCCATCTCCTCCTCATTATGTCGGTCCAAGGAGAGGAAGTCCGGCTGCTCGTACCAGATGCGAAGGTCTTCCGCACGCACAAGACGAGATGTGTGTAGGAGTGAAAGGAGCTGGTGTGACAATGACTGTGCGAGTGTAGATGGTGCGGCTCCTGGTATAAAGCCTGGTCCGCATCCTGTGCTCAAGGACAGGTTGGGCACAAGTAAGTCGAAGTCTCGAATCTGCGAGTCATCCTCCTCATCCACATCGTCTGTCGGATCTCCAGTCTTTCTCTTTTTCACTGCAGATGACGATGCAGATACTCCCCATGCGGCGATGTCTTCAGTGTGCAGGATTTCTGCTCGTACCCCACAAACTGCAACTGTGTCGCCGACTCTGACGACGGCGCTACCATTCGCGTGCGTCAACGACCCTGCGTTCGCTGACGTGATGCGAAATTGAGATGGTGCGCGGCCATTGGCACGTATCGAAGGCTGATTACTCGAGGCAGGAGGTGACAAGTGGGCGAGGAGATAAGCATGTGGTTGGAGTCTGGCGAATTGCGACGGCGGCAGAGAGAGTGAAGGTGGGTGGTGAGGGATCGCAGATGACGGCTTGGAAGCCCCTGTCGTACTAGCCATGCTGGGTTATTCAAGACCTATTCTGAAAGAAGTGATATTCCCAGCAATAGAGGGAGGATTCGTGAAGCTATCCGGATCTCTAATCTCTGTCGCAGAACAGAGAGCATTTTGCGGCAGAATAATTTCATATCGAAAGGCGGTGAGTATAGACCTAGACTTGAGCTCTCGCGCCACCACTTTCGGTCTCGAAAGCACTCTCACGGCAGCAATCGATGATCCCGATATATAAGGAATGCAATACTTCGGCCGTCACATTGATGTAATCATACAAGGAAATATTTGAATCGGTCCGTTATGATATATGTCACCCTACCCAGCTTGTGATCTTATAATATCCGCAAAGTTTCGGTTGGTCTCACATCTCGACGAATGTCTCGCAACATGAAGTGGATACATGAATAGAATATCAATTTGATCAGAATTTTTGCTTCTTCCAGACCATCTCAGCGAGCTCCCTCAAATCACTGTCCGTAAACTCTATGTCGCTTTCAGCTTTACCCGGGGGTCGAAGGAACAGGTCTTGAAATGGAAGAACTAAGGGCCCATTGCTGACAGTGGCCTCCTGCTCATCGTGCTGTCTTGAAAGAACCACTTGCTGTTGGAGAGTTGGTGAAATCTGGCTCCGGGTGCGGTTCTGTCCAGTGCAAATGGGAACCCATTTCTGAATAACAATTTCTGGTCTCCTCCGATTGACATCAATTGTCAGAGCTGTTTTAACGTCGCCATGTGATTCCACTAGCCACCATCTCCCGTCCGACTCAAGCTTCGATTTTGATTCGGAGAAGCCAGCTTCAATCACCAGGGTTGGCCACTGATCTGACCTACCAGGAGGGATTTCTTGGGGAGCAACCTCCTGGTCAGCTCTCTTAGTTCGTGAAGGTGTCGCGATATCGGCTGTTCCAGTCCAGTCCAATTCCAGATTAGCACCATTCATGCTTGATAGCTTGAAGATCATCAGGTTAACAAGAGCCATGTGTGCCCTCTCATGATCCTTGTATGTGAGCATCCTGACGAGAAGTACCTGGGCAAAGGGGTAGTAGGAATCAAGGAGTTGCCAGCTTGACTTATGTTTGGAAATATCAAAGTCATGAAGAAATGTTTGATTTTCAATGTTGGTGAACAGCATGTACTGGCTGGTCTTTCCCGTTTTGTCCCTGCGGAAGCGCTCTTGCTCCAGGGAAACTAGAGACCACAAATTCTGCAATCCCTTGTACTCATACTGCTTTGTATTTGGTGGGAGGCCATTGAGAATAGCATCTTCCAGGTCCATGTTAGCAGGCATTCTATGTGGGTATTCACTCTCCTCTTCGCTTGCAATATTCTCTTTCGTGTGGAGTTCATTCAAAGAGAAATATTAGGATATCAGTGGAAATAAATACCATTCTTACACAGGTATGACGATGGTTGGCCACCAAATGTTATACCGCAGACGCTCCACGAGCATGGTCCTTGTATTGTGAGTAATCTCACATAATATGTAGCGATGGGATATCAATTACGTCTGCTTGATGCCTGAGAGGCTGAACCATGGCATTCATACTGTCCGCCGAACCATACAAATCCTCAAGTATACCGAGGCGCTCGGCCGAATACTCTTCCTAATACATCGCATCAATTTCAAAAAACGGACGTGCGCAGAGAAATCGTTCGAATACATTTGAGAAACAATATTGCAGCGTCGGTCCGTTACTGCCAGTCCTAACTTCCTCTCTCTCGAGTTCCATCAACTGCGAAGTCGCAGTTCATCGGCTAATATGTCGCTCAACGCTCCTGAGAACGAAACTAGCGATAACAGTATCGAGGACTTGCGCTCGAATTCATTCCTATGGTATAAAATACACGTTTTCCTCTGGGACCTTCGAAATTTTCAAGAAAAGGACTCTCAAGCCCGTCTCGACAACGTGATAGACAGCTCATACCTCTGTCTACCATACTTCACCCCAGAGGAGGTCAACCAACTAAAGACAACAAAGGTTCAGGATAAGAAAACTCTTAGTGATATTATCTCAGAAACTCTCAATGAACGTCTAGAACGTCGAATGAAAAAGCGAGTTGAGAGCGGTGAATTCCGCGTCTGCGCTGCCCATGACCTTGCACCAATCTTCGAGAAAGCGCTCTGTATCAAGCCGAAAGACCTTGAACGAGACAGCACTCTCCTAGGCCTGATCAAACAATTCGGACTGAAGCTAGATAATGAACAGCTGAAGGTATGGTCTGGGGCAATAAAGAATTCTAAGACTGTCCGAACTCCTGGACAGAGGGGGAAAAAAGGATCCGCTAAGGGTAGCTATCTGAAGCAGAGGGTTGGAGTCCTTGATCCAAACTCCTAGCCTTGTCTTAGAGGGGAGGATACCTTCATTTTATAAGGCGAATGGACTGTGCTCCGATTTCGCCTTTTTTCGACGGTTATCATCCGTCTGCAACAATGGAACATGATCAAATGAACGCGTTATACCAGTCCTCGGATAACAGTCCCTCGAAATCCGAACTATATGTACGGTTTTACAGGAACTGACGCCGTTATCTGACAGTTCTACAGGAGTACCGGGACTGAACAATCAGATCGAAACGTTGATCCGGCTGCTGCAATGTCAGCTTAACCGGGACAGTGCCTACTATTGAATATATTCTTTCGCTGCATGTCATAGAAGGGTAGAGAACTAGAGATAAAGAGCACCCGAAAGGCCGAGCAACGCCCCGAAGTATGGAGTACTCTGTACTTACTCTAGTGAAGGAGCGGAAGTGTCCGTGCAGAATGGTCTCGCTAACATCGCGGCCGCCCTGCCAGCTTCCGTGTATCCAATACGAATACTAATGTTCGTTTAGTGAACAAAGACGCCATGGTCCACTTGGAAATCTTAACCCCAGTTTATCACGGCCTAAACTCCCGCTAATGCTCGAGCCCGGACCTTTGTCACTTCTCAAGGGGGATACTCCATCTCTATTCGATCGCGCCGCTTAGGTGGGCGCTAAAGGCCATCCTATCACTCGTGGAACCCAATGTTCTTCTGTTCCTGGGCATTGCAGAGTTGCAGATAGTCCCGGTCCTGAATAGACGTTTTCGATTTTGAGAGGCGAAGCCCAATTCCTGACCGTCCACAGGGTTTGCAGAAGGCTGCAGGTCAACTGATGCGAACGTGCCATAGATGCGGGCGAAATAGCTTGTACTCCACAGGGAGAATGGGATTACTCGCAAGACTGGACCAATGCACGCTGCAAAGGATGATTAATTATGCTGAGCCACCCTCCTCTGGGGAAGAAAGGGAATATCTGTGCGATAATTTGTCTGCTTACGGGGGGATCTAGACTGAGATGAGATATCACACTCGCCTAAAGCCTGCGACGGACCCTCTTCTCGTCAGAGCATTCGGACAAAGTTCCGGTCATCACGTTGTCCAGGCATTCTGGCGACAGCGCGACTTCCGGTACCGAGTGTCATACATAGTATCAGCCTTCTCGTGGTCTTGCGCTCTGCTTTATAGTCGAAGAGAGCACCATACCGTACGGTGCCGAATACATCTAGACCAACCGCCCCGGACGCTTATCGATTCCGTCTTGTTTCGACGTACTTTTGAATGGTATTTTCACGATGCTCGGTTACCTCGTCTGTTCACAATTGTAGACAGGGATCGAGCAACAGCATACCGAATACCTTGACGATAATTACTCCCGCACTTCCTCTGCCTTCTCGGGAGACTTTAGCCAGTTCTACAAGATACCCAATAATCATACGCCACAGCTCACTCCTTTACGAGAAGCAGGACAAGCGTCGAGCCCTCAAGAGCGCTTCAATACTCAAGGATAGAAGATCCAGACGCGAGCATATGCGGGCATGAGCCGTCATCAGGAGCTCAGAAGATCATCGGCTCTGGTACACATGCGTTCCCGTCTATGATTGTACGGAAGTGCCGAGGAGTCAACGTACTAGATCTCTCCGATGAAATGGGCGAAACCTCCGCTATGGCCAGTCTGTACCACTCGATCGCGTCTCTGGTCAAGCGTATCAACGTTCCAATTACAGCTTCGAGCCCTCCGGAACAAATCGCTGCAAGCAAAGAAGATCCGTGGGCACAATCTGGAAAATATGCTCTCGGATGGGTCTATTTCTCGGTAGTGCTGCTCGCTATCACCACTGTTATCCGAATATATCATGTCTGGGGGGACAAAATACGAATGGGATTATACAAGGAAGAGAGGATTAACCCGCAGCATGAAATTTCTCCTGGATTCGACTTTGAGCTCACAAGCGGTGCTACCGACAGCTCGTCCAGACAATTCTTCCCTGCTCGTGGACCTCTCCCGCAGACACAGAAAGAACAATCGACCGTTTCCACTATTGCTCCACTGAACAACACAATCGCGTTTGTGAGATGGATCTTCTACAGGCCTCTTCCTGTACTCAGAATTTGGCACATTGAAGTTGTTTTCCCATCGCTAGGCGTGGTGGCTATCGTGTTTGCCGCACTGGCTTTCGTTACCTTATATTGCTTCTTGCCTCAACCATTATACTACCCCAGTATCCGATTTGGTTCCCCGCCATTGGCCATTCGAGCTGGAATGATTGCGGTGGCTATGATACCTTGGATCGTTGCACTGAGTACCAAGGCCAATCTGATCACTATGCTCACTGGCATTGGCCACGAAAGACTTAATGTTCTACATCGTTGGGCCGGATACTTATGTCTCTTCCTCAGCCTAGTTCACATGATTCCGTTCTACATCACGCCTATCTGGACGGATGGAGCTCTCCCGGTGTTTCAGCCATACTTTCCGACAAACATGTATATATACGGCACCGGAATCGCAGCATTCGTACCTCTAGCGTTCCTTTGCATCCACTCACTACCAGTCTTGCGCGCATGGATGTACGAACTTTTCGTCTTTTTACACCTACCAGTTTCGATTATATTCGTGGCGATGCTTTTCTGGCACTCTAAGGGGTTTCTCACGTCCTGGAACTATCTCTGGGCCACAGTGGCAATCTGGCTTTTGACATGTCTTATTCGCTTATTCTACCTCAACTGGATGCGCCCTCTCCGGTGGTCTTGGCTAATCGGAGAGGAATCAGCTGTGACGATCCTCCCGGAAAATGCTGTCAAGGTCACTATTCCCACACAAATGAAATGGCGGCCAGGCCAGTACGTCTATTTACGTATGCCTGGAATCTCCATGTTTGAGAATCATCCGTTTACTATTTCATCTTTATATTCGGACCATTTCCCATCAAGCTACGGAGAAGAATACCGGGATATGACACTCGTGTTTCGGCCCTTCGGGGGTTTCACCCGCAAAGTCCTTGAAACAGCGATAAGAAAAGGTCCGTATAAAACCTACAGGGCATTCTTAGACGGCCCATATGGAGGTATGCAACGTGACATGGCAGCTTTTGACGGCGTTGTCTTTTTCGCTGGAGGCAGCGGAATAACAGCCATCGCTAGTCAATTGCTCGACTTGATCAAGAAAATGAGAGATGGAAAGGCTGTGACGAAATCAGTGCGAATTGTCTGGTCCATGAAAAGCACAGAGATCATGGAATGGTTCAAAGAGGAATTGCGAATTTGCAGAGAGTTTGCGCCTCCAAACTCCGTTCACTGTCAGTTCTTTCTTACCGGTGACCGACAAGATGTGCCGGCTTTTGGGACCCATTTCCAAGCCCATAATGATATTCTTAACTACACCGTCAATGAGGCCTTGCAAGAGACTTGGGAGAAACGCAACTCCGCCTTGATTCGAGAAGAGGCAGCCGGTGACCCCGAAAGAGAAAAGGAGCTGCGTCGGGAGAATGAGGACGCTATCACTTCTCTTCCGCAGGCATACATCCCACAGCCCGCTGGACCTGCGAACTATTACCATCCTCACCATTCCTACGGGGACCCGCGACTCGCAGCCCAATCACCTTATAACTATGCGGATCCACGACTTTCAGCTCAGTCATTTTGTTCCTATGGAGATCCAGGAATGTCGGCCCAGCCAGAGTATAATAACTATAACAACTCCTTCAACTTCGGCTTCCCCTCTCCGACGTCTTCTCTGACTGCCATGCCGCGGTTCGCCTTTCTCCCCACTCAAAAGAAAGACGGCTGGCGGACTGAATATGGGAGACCGAATATTACGTCTATGCTTAAAGAGATGTCTAAAACATTCGGTCGCCGCACGTGCGTTTTCGTATGTGGGCCTCCGGGTATGAGAGTCGAAGTTGCCAGGACTGTGGCGGGACTGCAGCGACTGGTCCTGACAGATGCCTCGAAGGACGAGATTTTCCTTCATGCTGAGAATTATGCCCTATGAATAAGAAAATATGGATTCTCAAGATTAGTGTACAGTACAATGGGGGTCGCGGTTTGGAGTCTAGAGTCGTTGACGGTCTCAGAACCGTGGGAAAGGAACCATACCAACGTGCACATACTGGTATAGTTATGGTGTTTGTACATATTTCATCTATTGTCATTTCTTTTTCGCCGGGGGTTTTGCATGTGGATCTCTTTTGTCAGCTTCTGTTTTTAGGATACCCGTGAAATTCAATTTCCAGATACTTTCTACATATCCTGCATTTGGGCTCAATGGTATAGTAATCCTCTTTTTGTCATGCATCTAGATATACAACAATGGCTCCCAGGCTATAAGATTTCTATTCTATGATAGTGACCTGAACAAAAAAGTCTAAGAATATTATTATAATGAAAAAAAAAATCCGTAGCCAGAAGGGCTGAATACTCTAACCAGCAGCCATTACCTGATATGGATGATGCTCGTACAAGCGTGGGTATCGTATGCATGTCGAACAAAAGGAAAAGAAAAAGAAAAGAAGAAAACATAATACGTCAAAAGTGTTCATGCATGAAGCTCGGAATCTGCTTTCCGTTTCCGGTTGGGAAGCTCTTCAGGATCCAAAATGTGACTGTCACCGAAGTTCTCTATCCCGTGGTCTTCTTGGTCATCACCATCCTCAGCTTCGACCTTTTCCCAGTCATCGTCGCCGTCGTCCCGTTCTTTCTCTCCCGCATCGACTTCTTGTTGGGCGGATGAGGAAGTTGTAGACTCGTTTCTTCCCTCCTCCTTCGTCTGGATATAGTCGTCGTCTTCCCAGTCTAGTTCTAATCTTACGATTCTAGCACCAGTGGGATTGAGTCTCCGATAGTACCCTTCTACAACCCCATCCTCGACCTTGAAGCCCCGCGCAGCGTACCAGTGCAATCCCTCATCATTCGCTTCGTGTACGTGTGCTGTGACGCTGCGTATGTTGTAGTGTTTTACGAGGCCAGAGACGCGATAGGGAGGCCTCACTCCAGATGAAGGTGGCGTGGAAAAGAGTAGAGAATTTAGTAGAGACGCTGCTACCCCATGTCCGCGGTGCGGAGAAAGAAGATGGAGAGTTTGGATATAGAGATTCGTCGGCTCTCGTGGGTCATTCCACTTTTTCTCATCTGACCCGGTTGTCTGTTGGACTTGTCGCTCAAGACGACATCTTATCCCCCCTATGACTTTATCTGTTCCTGTTCCAGAAGCTGTGTCATCGCGGCCAGTAATCGATGCTCGTTCGGGGGCAGCAGCCACTGGGTGACCATGGTAGACCGCGACGCGAGATAATGACGCGATAACCGGGTCGGTGATTGTCGCGGTATAGAACGAGCTGGGATACCGGATAGGCAGAAGCAAGCCTGTAATACGGCTCAGGGAAGGTATATGAGCTGTGCGGACCGGGTCGATGGTGATATGAGGATGCGGGGTAGGATAGCCTGGCTCAATGGGCTGCGGATATGGAGCAGGTCGAAACGCGGTGTCCACGGTTGTTGGTGGTGTGGAAGAGGAAGACGACGACCCTGGCAAGATGACAGGAGGTGGATGTATCGGAGGCTTCGTGTTTCTCGAGGAATTGAGGCTGCTCGATGGTACCTGAGGAGGTGATGTTGGCGTCTTGGGCTGCTGTTGCGATCTGAAGAATTGATAGGCCATGGCGCTCGCGAGTAGAGAGAGAGGGTAGTCCTCTCAATGATCCTGGTCGGTATATGAGGGGGGCTTAGTCCATCAGTTCGCGCAAAAGAGTGAATGAAGTTGTGATGTTGGCGATGGAATGAGGGGTGTTGCGAGGCGTCAGGCATCGACGCAAGCAGAAGTGCCGATGCGGAGATGGATAAGATAAGATCGGGAAGCAAACTGAGAAGGTCGGAGCCCCGGAGAAAGCAAAGAGCGCGGACTTTAGAGAGCCCATCCTCATCCTCTCTCCGCATCGGGCTGATCCTGACATCGCGTCCAACGCTGGAGGATCGGTGGTGTCGACTTTTGTTGGGTAGATACAGCTTGGAATTCTGGTGAGCTGTCCTCGTTACCGCCGAAACTTGTTCCTGGCTGTTTACTTACTAACCCCTGTGCCTGTCGCCGCAGCCACCGGCCTTTAGCGGACGGTTTTGGCAGCTGTGAATACAACTCCGGCCCTCATTCGCGATACTCGCTCAAGAGTGACCTATGTCCGATCTGCCACCGAGTCGCGAATACGCCTACAGTCTTTTCCGTATCCCGTCGTATCCATTGGCCTTCGAGCTGCGTCGAGGCTAGCTGTGAATGGCAATCAGCTGCAACCGTCGAGGCAGCCCCTAACATCAATCAGATATCGCAACACATGGAGGATTAGCATTGTCCCAAGGAACAGATAAAAAGGGAGTGGTGAAGGTGTTATTATTGCGGTGGAGACGCATTCTTGTTGCGCTGATTTGAGCACGGCGCAATACAGTGGTGGGTGAAGTCTCTGCTTTGTTCCTCAAGCAGGTGAGTAGGAGTTATTGATCATTCACTACCTATTGATGGGCATTCGCATTCATTCATCCAATATGGAGTGTTCCCCTGCCACTGTATATTTTGCAATATATTATACCTCTTCTGTGCCTCTCTGCTTAGAATGCCCATCGTGATACTCTACCTCCCTATCTCTTCGCATCATCCCAATATCTACGCTCTCCTGCCGGTCATTTGGTTCTTCTTGCTGGTCAAAAGAACACAATGGATCACCAGAAATTCCTGCAATCGCTCGATAGCATGTTATCTGACAGTGAGGTTTCTTCAGTTTCGAGTAATTCTTCGGAGATGGCTGGGCCAGAACTCGCGAAGATGGCCGGAGAGGATGGGAAGCCTTTGCCTGCAGGCACCATTGCGAAGCTGGTAAGCACTCCGGATTCAATCCTGCGAAGAATGGCAAGCTGGGAATATGGGGTGGAACGGTTCTAACTGTCCCAGACGAGTGATATTCTTAATGACACATTCTACAACATCATTTATGACATGGTTGCGCAAGTCCATCGTGACGAGAAGATGGCTCGCATGCGATCAGCCGTCACTGTTGCGCGGCAGAAAGCCGAAGACGAAGCCGCTCGACTTCGGCAAGAGAACGGGACCAAGACGAATGGCGCGACAAAGCCCGGAGACGCAGACTCTGAAAACAATTCAGACGAGAATATCAGAATCGAAACAGATGCTGCGATATACGATAATGGAAAAGTCTATCTGAAGGGCAATCCGCTCAAGACCACCAAGGAAATCATCTGCCCTGATTGCCGTTTGCCACGCCTTCTCTACCCTACGATAGGAGTTGGTGCTCGTCCTCCGCCTGACCCCTTCCGAGAGTACTGCAAGAGGATGCCACCGGTTAACAGGCCTGGAATCGATATTCACGGTTATCCTTTCGCTACAGACAAGACCAACGCCAAGAAAAAGAAGAATGCCGATACCCCTGCTTCGAGTCCACCCTCCACCCCAGACGGCTTTGGCTCTTTCACGGAAATACCACAGGCGAGGGAGATTCCCACCGTCAAGTGCCCGCACTGCCCTCGCTATTTCATTGCCACCAGAACTTCACAGCACATGGATCGATGCATGGGTTATTCTGGCAGAGGCGGAGGTCGAACCAGGACTCCCCAGGACAGCGGTGCCAGTACTCCCAATCCAGCTCCGCCGAAACGACCGAGAGAAGATGATCTTATCTCGGCCGTCACGAAAAAGAAGAAGCCGAATCCTACTCCCAAGAAGATGGCAGGTAAAAAGCCTCCACCTGCCAGCAAACTCAGAAATGGCACTACCCCAGACACGGCAGCTGCTATGGATTCTGAGTCTAAAGCTTCCGACAAAAAGGTCAAGAAGGAAGCAAGCAGCTCAAAGGACTGAAAGAACACGAGATCAGTCTATGCATTGAAGCAGCGATGTTTTCTTCGCTTTACTTTCTTTTTCTTTTCCTTTCTTTGCCCTTTTTCATTGGTAAAAAAGAACTTCGAGAAAAAGACGCCCGTTTGGGACTACGCACATGTACGAGGATATTGAAGATACCAGCATATGAGGCGTCGCAGGGAAATTTCTTACAGACTTGTCATGTCTCCATGCTGGCAAGTCACAGCATGCTGGGGGGTTTGTTCTGTTGCTTTGTGTTCAATCTTTTCCTTTTTTGAGGGTTTTTGTATAGAGAGTATGGTGTACAACAACCTGGCGTTGGGTGACTGCACTTCCTGTGGTCCAGCTGAATCATGGTACTGTATATTCTTAGCCAAACTTCCTGCTGGAATTATGATGATGTTTCTGTTCTCTATTTGTCTGTAATATTGTAGTCTCAACAATAACACGTAAAATATTGAGCTGTAGTAGCTAATTGCTTCGTTAGTAGTAGTAGTAGTAGTAGTAGTAACTAGTAACTAGTTAGCAGTAACGTAATTTCCTACTGACCTAATCACCCGCCCGACCTGATTAGTGCTGTATTATATACAAAAATATACCTAGCATATACTGCCTATATACCCAGGAGGGGAGGGGAAATTGAGACTAGATAGCTCACGTAATCATATATCAAGTTACTGCGTATGAAGCTGCATTTGGACCCTTGGTGCCCCTGCCTAGACACGTCAGTCGCACTCGTGACCATCTGGTTCTGTTCTCTCAAACCTATTTGCTTCACTGAGGATGCTTCGAAATGGTCCCGCTATCCACCCTTCGCCCTGGTGCAACAGGGTCAATATTTGGTTTTATCCTCACTAAACCTCATTGACTACCTAACTCAGAAACGGAAATGCTCTAACCAGATTTCCCGCTCACTTTGTCCGCATATGAGAGCGAAACAAAATAGAGAGAGTTCGACCAGTCTTTGGCAATATACGCTCATTCTAGCCAGAAAAGGTTCCCGCATTGATATAGAGCTACTTATAGCTATAATAACAGAAAGACGTTAATCCAACAATAAGCAAGCAGAATAGGCAACTGTCGGGCTAAGCTCAGATCTGAAAATATTACAATAACTTACTTTTTTCGCCGAAGCAGCTAAAAAATACCAAGAGCAGTCTAAGAATGAGAAAGCAAAACAAAAGTTTGAGGAAGCAGTCAAAGAGATGTTCAAGCAGGTTGAAGACCCAGGCCCCGCAAAGAGCAAATAACTATGTGCGGAGGTCTATAATAATCCATCCAACGTTTTTCCAAAATTTGACCACCTTTAATATCACTCTTCTTGAAATTCTTCCTTAAGCTAAATGTTATATTCCTTTTTATCTGAGAGCTTCCTTATACCGATTCTCACGAAATCTTATAACCAATACTATAGCATAACTTAGTGAAAAGTATTAGAGTTATTATTACCCCGGCAATATCTAAGAAATCTGGGCTGGATCTGCTTATAAAAAACCAAGAATAAACTGGTCGGACTAGCAAGCGCAAGTAAATACTAGAATATGCCTAATTTCTAGCCCTTCTTTATAATAGCTAAAAGTCTTGTCTTAAAATTATTGCCGATAAGACCTATAAATCTAGAATAGTCTTCTTTAGCCCTTAGAATTTCTATAAATTCAGCACGCATCTTATTGTACTTATCTAATATCTCCGCAATCTTATTTACTGCCTAATTCATAAGCTAAGTAGGAGTCCTTATCAGCTTTACTGGCCGAGTGTATACTTATTTAAGGTTAACTAGAGCAGTAATATGCCAGTTTTTATTGACAAAAATATTGCTCAGATAAATATTGGTAAAAGACAAAGTAAATAGCCCGCGGCAGAACTCTCGCCAAAAGAATAAAGGTAGAATAGCCCGTATGGCTGTTAAAGCTAATGCTTAATATATATAGTCTCCCGAGTTATTAATAGCATTTGGTTGGTGTATAAGGTGACTATTATAGGCACCAAGAATATCTATAATGTAGGATTCAACAGTGCAGTATATATAGTCTTGCGCAATATAAGTTGGAATGCGCTTATTCTCTAGATCCTAAATCTTAAGTAAAAGAGGCTAATTGTTTAACTGCAAGAATCCATAATTATCAATAATAAGAGACCCAATTTTCGGTAGGGAAAGTTACGAGATACTTAAGAAAATTTGAGAAAGATCATAAAAGAGATTTGAGTATAACCCAGGATTATCGCGTTTTTATCTCTATATAGATAAAAGTATTTCCCTAATAGTCCCTTCAATATACTCAATAAATATGTATCCAGTACAGATTATTCTCTAATTGAGTAGATAAGATAAGGAATAAGAGATATAACGGGTAGGAACTGGGCGGGAAAGGCATAATAATAACCGATAACATAGATATTAGAAATATATACTAAAAAAGGGAAGATTCTTAATATAAGTAAATTAATTATCTCTATTAGTTTATATAAAGGCTAGAGATTAGATGGGGAGCTATACAGTCTGACCAGTAGATAAAGCAAAGCCATAAAGCCTTAGGATCGGTATATTAGGACAGTTGTCCTACAGCCAGGCATATGTCCCAGCTTTATAATAGATTTTTTCGTCTCCATTTCCTGGATAGAAAGATTCTCCTATATAATAGGGAAGAGGTAGTTAAAGAATAACACGCTGGCCTCTTTGCTGTTTATACTTCCAGTTATTAATTATTACTGGTATATATATATTGAAGCTGCTATAAAGCCAGTCTGCTATATCAGCTACTTTATAATCATCTGGTAATCTCAATCCTAAATAATAAGCAACGATAACCTGGATCTAGCGGCGACTGTCAGAAATATAAGCAAAAAATTTATATTACTAGTCATAATATTTCAGCCGGTGGAGAATATTAACTTCTTCTTTTCAGGCGATAGAGTAAGTGATCTCTTCCTATAAAAGAGGGTGTGTCCTCAGCATCATAATACTGGTAAGCGAGCTGCTTGCTTTAAAGGACAGAAACAGGATGATTTAATAGAGATACCCTCTTGTTCTCGCAGCCCCTTTAAGAAACAATGGTCCCTTTTGATCTGTTCGTGAGCTCACCGCCTAATGTTGTAGCCTCACATGATTAGGTATGCTTGGCAGTCCTGGTTGCTCGCGCTAGTTCGTTATTGTCCTTCCCTGTCAAGGCATGATTAGAAAAGATCTGACTAATCTATAAGGGTTCCTGATGGGGAAAAAGGGGGTTTAGTAGCAGCCATAGGTGTAGATGAAACGAGGAGGGTGTAGAATATTTGGGGTGATTCGAGGAAAAGAAGATGGGAGAGAAAGTATACTGGCGATGTTTACTTACGATACGGCGTATCGGGCGACCATGCCGGAAACGGCAAAATCAACAGCAAGCGGCAATTCACAGGTCCTCGCTTTACATCTTAAAAGGTATCTATAGAAAAACTGAATTTAAATATCTACAATTGATCTCAGATATTTTTAATAATCTATATTTTCAATGTTTATATTGTAAAGGGCCTCAGCTGCATTGTCACGTGCAGTCTTCGTCGTAATGTACTTAACTATCTCCGCTCCGCCATGGGTTTCTTCTCTGTGAGTCCCATATTCTGTGTCACCTTCGTCAAACTATGACTTCAATAAAAGCGTCCTTAACGAACATTCGGTCCCGGATAACGAAGCTCTTTGGGTCACTTTCTCACTTCGCATCATTAGAGCGTGTGAACTCATACCCAGTCGCAGAAGAACCAGACTATTACAAAGCCGGGGGTTTCCATCCCATTTCCCTAGGTGACACCCTCGGTTCTGGTCAATACACTGTCCTGAGGAAGTTGGGATATGGACAGTATTCGACAGTTTGGCTTGCTAGGGATTATAAGTAAGTCGCCCGTCCGCGAAACTACCTAACCGATGGCTTAGACATCAGAGATTCGTAGCACTCAAGGTGCTGAGGGCGGACTGTTACGGCGGGTCTCATAATATCTTCGAGAGAGAAATCCTACTGAAAATCCTGGAGATCTCTGGAAAAAGCTCTCACGAAGGTCGCAACTATGTGTCAGGTCTTCTGGACCATTTCAAACAGAAAGGGCCTAATGGAGATCATGTGTGTTTTGTATTCGACGTACTTGGCCATCATCTGGATTTTCAGGCTGCCAAATACGAAGATGGGAAACTACCCGTGAAGGCGATGAAAATGATTTCGCGGCAGCTTCTGCTTGGGCTCGATTTCCTCCACAGAGAGTGTGGCATCATTCATACCGGTATCCCCTAAGACGCCCTTGAATATATGGACTATTGTTGTATGCTGACGTTGTCTGGACGGTCGGATAGATTTAAAACCAACGAATATCCTTCTCGAGCTGGAACGTCCGAACAATGCCGTTGCCCAGTACTTGTCGGCAGTTCCCCCGCGAACCGATCATCGACGTGCACTCCGGGAGGTTATCTCGACCCCGCTCATCTCGGAAATGCAAAAGCCTCATGTCAGGATCATCGACTTCGGCGTGGGTAAATGGGCCATTTTTCTGCTTCCATTCGGATATATAATTAACTGATCTGAAGCGTCTTGGATAGAAAAACATCTGTCAGACCTAATCCAGTCGCCCGCTATGAGGGCACCCGAGGTGACTATCGGCGCTCCTTGGGACGTTGGAGTCGATATATGGAGTCTTGGATGCCTTGTAAGTATCAGTTCTTGACCACGACGCAGTTTGCCCTATGTTGACTTCAGCTATCTGCAGATCGTGGAGTTTGTTCAAGGAATAATTCCTTTCTCCGGTGAGGCATCGAGAACTGGGTCATGGACTGCTGAAGACGATCACCTGGCAAGGATCATGGAGGTCCTTGGCCCGTTCCCACTTCAGTTCATTAAAAGGGGGCATCGCGCACCGCACTTTTTTGACGAAAAAGGTATATCCTACTGACATCTTAGATGTTGTCATTCTAATGTGGCTTGGTTTCAGGGAATCTTCGTCGAATTCGGCACTTGAAACCCACAAGCCTTGAACATCTGATAAACGGCACAACAAAACCTTTCCTGAAACCTCGCGATATGCCCGATGCTGAAGTCCCTGTGTTCGTCGATTTCCTTAGATGCATGCTTGCAATCGATCCCGAGTCTCGAAAATCGGCGGCAGAACTGCTGCAACACGAATGGCTTAATCTGTTGTAGCCAGGAAATAGCTGTGGGGGGAGGGTTTCGGATGCACGTCTGAAATATGCCAATATGCATTAGCAACTTCTCCACTCCTGCTTAGGAATATGGTGCACCAAGGTCGCCCTGTCCAGCATCATGCAGCTGTCCCTGAGGGCTTTGGGAAGGTCAGTGCCATACTGATTGATTACGGAGCAAGTGTATATATCGTAAACTATATCTACTCTGGAACTAAGTTGAGTTTCTGAAAGACTCAAATGCGGCAATCTCCCCTATCAACTGCCATTCAGTGTGGCTCAAGCCCTTGTTACTGTTGTCCAAGCTCACGATTTTTACAGGACGGCGTATCGGGAGACTATTTACCTGGGACGGCAAAACCAACCACAATAGGGAATTTGCAGGTCCTCGCTTTGCAAACATACATCTTAAATATCTATAGAAAAAACAGAATTTAAAAGTATCTACAATTGATCTTGTATATCTTTCATAAATCTATAGGTATTTTCAGCATTTATATTGGAAAAGCCTTTAAAGCTTAAACTGGATTAGTGCAGAGTCAGCGGAGCGGAAAACGCCACAGCAAAAGCATCTCCGTTGTCCGGAGAACATCAGCTCCAAAGCACAAACCACAAAAGCTACAGCTTCAGCAGTCTCGATAGTTCAAGGAGCTGCTACGAGAGAATGCTGGCGTTTTCAATTTAGTTTTATCTAACGACACCATCTATCTCACCCTTCCGCTCTGATTGTTCCTAATCCCTGCGCTACTACGATGCCCGGAACGGACCTTGTCGCATGGGGAGTCCCCCGCCTCTCCCAGCTCCTTCCACTCGATGAGGAGTCTCTCACGCAGATAATCACGTATTCTGCGAGTCTGTCGAAAGATGCCTGTGCGGAGCATCTGAAGAACCTCCTTGGCGACTCTCCTGCGGCACTGGAGTTTATCTCTTCCTTCAACTCGCGACGGGGAGGCGGCGAGACTCCTCCCAGAGAGTCGGGAAGCGCATCGCCAGCAGCTGGTGGACACGATAGTAATGGACGACAGACAAATGAACATAGGAATGTACAGAAGAAAAACAAGAGGACAAAGGCGCCCTTACATAGCGCTGGCCCTCCGCGAAGACCGGAGAATTACGGAAATGTTACGGGTGGATATATGAAGTCTGATAAAGAAGAGGTATATATGCCTGGCTCTTCGACTGGCAATAAACGGGATATGGGAGCTCCTGGAGCTAGCGCGTCGCTATCTGACGCACTGGCATTATCAGACAAGCCTGCTGCGCTGCAGCTGCCGCAGACTACGATATCTGCTTCCCCGAATGCTTCATCGCTCATATCCTCACAAAATCCGTCCCCCGGTCCAAAATCGAGCACGAAGGCGCCTCCTTCGGCCGCTGGCCCGTTGATATCAGACTATCTACCTAATGTGAAATCTAGAACGGCGAAATCTTCGCGGCACACTAGTTCCGGTACCTCGACTCCTGGAAAGCAATCTATTACGACGGGCAACATTGAAGACTTGACGGCAGCCATCGCGGCTCTGGAGGTGTCTACAAATCCAACGTTGAGTAAAGAACAGCGAAAGTGCAACTGTAATGCTTCACTTCACCCACTGTTCACACCTGCCCCCAACTGTTTGAGTTGCGGGAAGATTATTTGCGCCTTGGAAGGTCTCCAGCCCTGCTCTTTCTGTGGAGCAGCGCTCATATCTACCGAGGATATACAGAGTATGATCAAAGAGCTTCGGGCGGAACGTGGCAATGAAAAAATGAGAGCACATAATGAGAGTCTGCATCACGATGGCGGGCCGGGACCAGGTCCATCTTCAAGCAAGCTTGAAGCTGCCAAGGCTCACCGCGACAAGCTCCTCGCCTTTCAAGCTCAAAATGCACAGCGTACAAAAGTTGTGGATGAGGCTGCTGATTTTGAGACACCAAATGTAGCTTCGACGCTGTGGATGAGCCCTGCACAGAGGGCGCTTGCATTGAAGAAGCAACAGCGGATTTTACGTGAAATGGAAGAAAAAGCGCGACCAGAATGGGAGAGGAAGAAGACGGTCATGAGCCTTGATATCAAGGGTGGTCGTGTTGTGAGGACATACCAGTCTTCACCAGCAGAATCCTCCAAAAAAGAAGAGCAAGATGCGGAAGAGGAAGAGCTCGCTCGCGCCGCTGCCCAGGAGACTGGGGATCAAGCAACGACTAGTGCGAGCGGTGCAGCCTTTGGGAAGAATCCTCTCCTAGCAGCTGGTGGTCTGGTGAGACCAGTTTGGAAGGCTCCAGCGGGAAAGGAGCCTGTGGCCCACGCGCGGAAGGAGAGGACGCAGACGTGGAGACGCGTCCAGGATGATAACGACGACAACGAACAGTGGATCTTGGATGGGGGATTGCATGGATATGGAACTGAGAGCGAAGCGACGTAGGGTATAGAGGGAAGGGATATTCACTTGATTTACCACGCGGAGCTGCCGATCAAGGAGCAAATCGTGGAGCTCCGACACGTTCATGCAACAATATACCTTCTGCTCACTTGGCCTCCAGTTGTGACTTGAAGGTAGGTCGATATTGGGGCAGAGACTGCAAATCGAATGGAGACTCGACTGCGGTCCTCCGTTGCAGTGGGCTACTATAACTCCCAATTCGGGCTGAATATCGGTTTTATATCGGTAACTTCCATGCAGGGAACGGATGTATTCGTTTCCTGATGCGCCCGCGCTGTCCGTATTGCGGTTGGGATAACTTGGATATTTTCGATTGCTTAGAGGCTTTGATAAGAAGCCGTGGTAAGATACAATAGCAGCCAGTGCACACAGAGACACGAGTCCCACGTGTGGTTTTGCATCTGCTGTTGCATGAGCCTTTCTAGGTTCTCTACAACTATATGACTATCGTGTGAGATTATGGCATATCTCCGGCATACCCGAGAAGGGTGCACAGACAGAGAAATAAGAAAATATGCTGACTCGGGCGTTCTAATATCTTATCCTTGGTTCAGGCAGCCAATCTGCCGCAAGAAATAGAGTCGTTACATGCAGCATGGTGCCATAGGAAGCATAGAGTCCGCCGTGAGTAACCGAGCATCGAACGAGTATATAGATAGACCCTTCCCCCATGGCTTCCTCTTAAAGACGACTACCAAATAAACCATTTCACATTCGATTCTTCCTTCTGATTAACCCCGGACTTGCAACTGCTTGTAGTGTGGGGAACTATCCGCTCAAAGCTCTCTCCGCCGCTTTCCGTCGGCTATCTTCGGATCTCCCTCTGAGATCAGCGACAACACGACCAAATTCCAGATGATTGTGCAACCCTTAGTCAATTACTTATCCATTGAGGGGGTGGCAACGGCATTATGTCTTGCCCTTGGAGTTCTGGTATGTCTCACTTTCGACCGTGGTTCGTCCACCTGTGCGTATACGAACTGCTTCGACATGAAAAAGGGTTGGAAGCTAAGTATACATTTTAACATCAGATATTTGGATACGGTCTCTATAACAGATTCTTCCATCCTCTGCGCCATATTGATGGTCCATTCTTGGCGACGGTAACTCCCTGGGTACAGCTCTACCATGGATTAAAAGGAGATCGACATATCTGGCTACATGGCCTCCATCAGCAATACGGCTCTCATGTCCGAGTAGCGCCCAACTTCGTGTCTGTGAACACGGCACAAGGGCTACATGATATCTACGGACATGGGAAGCGTCTCAAGAAGGCGGATTTCTACAACGCCTTCCCGGCCATCAAGGGGGTGTATAATACCCACAACGTAATCGATAAGACCGTACACGGTAGAAAGAGGCGTGTGCTCAGTCAGGCATTTTCAGACCACGCACTCAAGGGCATGGAAGATGTTATGCTCTTGCATGTTCGTCAGTTCTGTGCGATTATGGGTGGCGAACTTCATGGAGATGCGACAAGATCTGATAGGCAACTTGGCGGTGCTCCTATATGGAATATGGCTGACTGGTTCGGATATCTGACGTACGATGTCATGGGTGAACTATGTTTCGGGAAGAGCTTCGATATGTTAATTGAAATCGGGAGGAGGAAGATGATCTCCTTGGTTGATAGAGCTGCTTATCGACATTATGTGGTATGTTTGAATCTTCCTAAGTAGTGAATGCTCGACGAGAAAGCTGACAATATTATACCTTAGTGTGGACTATGGATGCCATTAGACCGCTGGGGTTTGGATAAGATATTTATCAGGAAGCTCACAAAGGATCGATGGAATTTCATCATGAATTCCCGCGTTGAGGCCAACCAACGAGCGAAAGAGAGAACCCAGGCCGGCCACGAGGCCAAGAAGGACTTCTTCCACTACCTCCTCAATGCTAAGGACCCCAATACCGGCAAGGGACTGGCAACGCAGGAGCTTTGGGGTGAAGCCAATGTGCTCATGATCGCCGGAAGTGATACCACCTCTACAGGCCTGGCGTCTACGATCTTCTACCTTGTTCGCAATCCCAAAGCCATGGAGACTCTCAAGAGAGAAATTCGAGAGAACTTCAACGATGTCGAAGAGATCATCACCGGCACGAAGCTGAATGAGCTGGTATACTTGAAAGCATGCATTGATGAAGCGATGCGTCTCACACCAGCCGTTCCCGGGGCCATTCCCCGTGAAGTCATGGAAGGAGGTGCCGAAGTTGATGGCGTCTTCCTTCCTGAAGGCTCAAACTGTGGAACTCCCACGTACTCCATTCACAGACACCCGGCGTACTACCGTGAGCCGTTGGCGTACGTCCCAGAGAGATGGATCGATGGAGCTATCTGCCAGACAGGAAATAATTCATGGCAGACAACGAAAGAAGAACTTGAGATTGCGCGAAGAGCCTTCTGTCCGTTTAGTATCGGGCCCAGAGGATGCATCGGGAAGAGCATGGCGTTGATGGAACTTAGACTAACCATCGCGCGGATGATGTTCTTGTTCGATGTTTCGTTGGCAGATCGGATTGGTGAGGATAAACATGGACATCTTGCCATGGTAGACCATTTCACAAGTCAGAAGAATGGGCCAAATGTGCTTATTCGGAGGAGGGCCGAGGGTGTCTAGTTAGCTAAGTGTTTGAAGCAGCACAGATATCTTTGATGTATGGTAGGAGGGTTCATTTCCAAATGATTGAACTATAACTAGTTCATAGGATGAATACTTAGTTTTCGGGAGTTTACATATTATTGTGACCATCTTTGTTCCCGCGATGTGTTGCTAGCAGATCAGAGCACCCTAGATTTCGGGCGCTCGACTTGCAGTTGCTTGCAAGGACTAGCTGATAATGATACACAATTTAAGAAATATCAATCATGTTTATATTCTCAAATGCGCATTATCCAGCACGAGATCAGCGCTGATCACTCTCATACTTTGGATGTCAAAATAAGCGCGGGTGAGGGACTGAGAGGCCACGTTCACACCTGAGACGCGTGCGTTATTTTAGTTAAGTCCCCGCGCCCGCACCCCCTTCAGTTTGATCGACCAAAACCCACCCAGTTCCCAATAAATAAGATCAAAACCTGCTCCAAAGATGGGACAGCTACATACCTGATGTAGAGTGCTATCTACTTTGCATCTGCGGCATGTTGTTGTAGCCATTACCGTGACCATGTTGTCGCCCTTGGGTGTCACCCTCATTCAGTCTGCCATCCTCAACGCCTTCTCGAATATCCTTGCTCAATTGATTGATCAATATAAGCATGGCGTATGTATAAGCACTTTCCATTTCTTTCCCTCGGTTTGTCCCTTTTGTATATTTCAACAGTGGAAGCTTTTTTGTCCTCTTGGCGCATGCGCATACTGCGGTGTACACTTGATATACATATCCAATGAACGCTTCAATTCTCCATCTCCCTTTTGCTCTATAATATGTATAGCCAAAGCTTTATTTCTAGGAAGGATCATAGCTAACACCCATGTTCAGAAACCGCTCTCTCTCAACGTCATTGCTCTAATTCAATTCGTCACATATGCCGTCATTATTGTTCCCATGAACTTCTCATGGCAGAGGTACGTGGAAGCCAAATTCCCCGGCTTCCCTAGTACCGCAGGCTGGCGACGAGGACGAGCATCTCCTCCTTCTTCTTCCTCCGTCGTCAGTTCCTCGCCAGCTTTCTTCACGACACCAACCGCTCCACCGCCTGATGTTCTTCCGCGAAAGGAGAAACCTGCACGGGACGCGGTTCCAGCAACAGGTTCGAATTCTGGAATGCGAAACTTTATTATCAAATTCATGCTGGATCAGACGATCGCGGGTTTTGTGAACATCGTCATTTTTATTTTCCTTATTAATCTGCTCAAGGGCGCGAATTTGTCTACGATCTGGGACCTCATTTGCGAGGTATGTATACGTGTTTATTCCTTTATTCCTATTCTCGTGAGATTAGAGGCTCTAGTCATATCTCAAATCTCACAGATGTCGCTGCGTGAGAGGTACTAACTCCATATTAGGACTTCTGGCCTATAACTGTAGCTCGCTCCAAGTTCCGTCCCGTGGTGTCGATTCTGATGTACACCGTCGTCCCTGTCGATAGACGAGTCGTCTTCGGTAGCGCATGTGGCGTAATATGGGGTGTCTATCTCAGTCTATATGCGGCAGTTTAGGGACCTGGGGAAGAAATATGCGTTCGTTACTATTCTGATATTCGTCTGTTTGTGATACCTTTTGCTTGTTTGTAGAGCAGCCTTTCGCCATCTCGGGAGTTTTCTTTTTGTTTGATTATTTAGAGTTAATTCTATTGACTGGATAATGGATAGAAGTTGTCAACGTCAGTGTTGCATACGGCTGTTCTGCTAATATGTATCATCTTAAGTACTTATACAAGGTAATGGACCGGATCATAACCTATCATGCTTGCGTACTCTTGCAAATATTATGGAGTGCTTGAATGATTGTATAATACTATTCGGCGGTATCTCCGATGGTAGTCCTTGTGTTTCTATGTCATTGAATTCTTGCCTGGTGGAATTTACTTTTACAGCGTAATATGTCTAGAGCCCCGTAGAGTATTCAGTAATAGTGTTAGTATAAAGTGGCATGGTCATTTTATCTATCCAATTTATTCATTCGATATAGAAACCCATATTTCCAGGATCATTTGCCATTGATACGGTGGTGAATCTCGAACATTGATTTCTCAACTACTCTCCTATCCCGCATGATATGACATACGGCTTGATGACAGGCAGGCCGTCAGAGATTCGCCCGTAACGGTGAGTCCCATTTCTGCTTGATCAAGTCTGCCGCTTTCTCTGCCACTGCGTAGATAGTCGCCTGGATGTGAGCACTGATGTGAAGAGGAAATACACTCGCGTCTGCCACCCTCACGTTAGTCGTTCCGTAGACCTTAAGCTGAGAGTCCACGACACCACCGCTCTTCCGAGGTAGCATTGAACAAGTGCCAATTGGGTGCCAGTCAGTAATGGTGTTATGGCTAACCCATTGTCGCCAGTCGAGCGATGGATTCTCTGGAGGATAGACCCGTTTAACAACAATGTCGCTCAAGGGAGCCGTACGGCAGATCAGATCTCCGAAGGCTTGTGCCTGCACCATGACTTCGTAATCGATTGCTCCCTCTCCTTGGTAATACTTGGGATCGATTATGACTTTGCCGCTTGTCGCAGCCGACGGATCGATGTGGATGGAGCCTCTGCTGTAGGGATACTGAAGAACCTGCATCATGGTCGCATACTTCTTTCCTGACTCGCTCTTGAAAACAGGGCTATAGTTGCCATGGTCAAGAATGAATTCTACTTGACCAAGAGACGATTCCGAAGAAAACTGTCGCTGCCGGATAGAGTTCAAGATATAGTCCCGTGATGGTTTGGGATGCCGTGTCGTAAATTCTCGGGCCTTCTCAGCTAAACTACTCAAGTCGGGGAAGAGCTTGGAAGCGGGAAGATAGACCATTGATGCCGGGGTAGCGGTGAGGAGTCCTCCCTTGGTGGTTTCATACAAATGGTCGGCTTTGCGTTTAAACTCAGCATCGGCATAGTCATCTGGAGTTACAATATCGGACCGGAGCTCAAAGACCGTCATGGACACTACGCGAACTTCGTGTAAGTTTGACCCGTCTTGCCAAAGCTGGAAAAAACAAGAAGAGAAACTCACTTATATGTTCCTGGAGATTCTCCCCAACATGGGTATTCTCCACTTTCGTCTGAATACCAGCTTTCTTCAGAATGTCCGGGTTGCCTATCCCAGATAGCTCCAGGATTTGCGGAGAACCGACAGATCCAGCACTGAGGATGACTTCCCGCGTGCAGTGCGCCTTTAGGGTGCGGCCATCGATGGTAAACTTGATGCCAGTGGCTACCAGATCTCCATCGATTCTCTTGTCGGCCTCAAATAAAATCTCGTCCACGTTAGCATTAGTGAGGACCTTCAGGTTTGTACGGCCAGTGACTGGACGCAAATAAGCAGTTGCTGAATAGCTTCGAGTGCGAGTTTTAGGATCGACATTGACCACGGATGTCCAGGCCCCGACATTGGAGCCTCCGAGATGCGAAGGATTCGTTTCCACGTTCAGATTCTGCAACGTGCTATGCCAATACTTATGCGTTTCTGAAACGAAGGACGGGTAAGTTGTCTGCACTGGGCCACCCACGCCGTGATCGCTGATCCGATGGGGCGTAATGAATTCACGCTGTTGAGCTGCGGAGGGTTGCGTAAAGCTCTCCGTCTTCTTGAAGTAATACCTGTTTCGGTGATGAGATCAGTTAACAACAACGAGTAGTTTTCACCGGTGCTCACTTCAAATCCTCCCAGCCCCAACCTTGATTGCCAAGCTCAGCCCATGCATCATAATCCTCGCGACAGCCCCGGTTCCAGACTAAGAAATTCATGGCGCCGGTGCCGCCTAACATCTTGCCTCGTGGCCAGGGCAATGTCTGCCCCGAGAGACCAACTTGAGGCACCGTTTCAAAAGCCCAGTCGTATTGAGTGCCAATTGTCTGGCCCATCTTACCAGGTACATCCACTGTGGGCTCTCCAAACACCGGTGGCCCAGCTTCGATCAGTCCTACAATCACATTGCTGTCCTCAGATAGTCGCGTAGCTACAACAATGCCTGCAGTACCACCTCCCACCACGATATAGTCGAATACAGTAGAGGCAAAGTCGTCTGGTTGGCTGAAGTTTTCCATGATGCTTCTGCTTGCTTAACCGTGATAAAGGGGAAATGGAAAACGAGGCGTCACACAAAAAGCAGATGGCATGGCTTAGAGCAAGGCAGTTTAAAGACGCCATCTTTGAAATAATATAGTAACCCGTCAAGGGTTCTAAGTATCTAGATGGTCAGTGATAGATAACTTTCGATAGCTGTTTCCTCTATCGAGACGAAGGTAGTAGTTAGCTTTGTCCAAGGGTGGGGGTAATTATTTGTAAAATGAAAGGATCATTGCCCCTAGCCTCGATAAAGTCCTTTATTGATAAATGAACCACCGCCTAACCATTATAGTCAATTCATATTAGACGTGATGTCTCTTAATGGTTCGTCCCACCGATCACTGCCTAGCTCCTCCATATGGAGCTCTGGACACGAGAGCTCCTGCAGAGAGCTTTTAAAGAACGAGCCTTTTCCACGAAGTATGCCCATGGCAAGCGTCAGGTCTGTATATGATGACTGCTTATACTGTATCTCTATTATCGACGGTCTTTCGATATAGACCGGAGAGTCATTCTCTGTTTTTGATCCCAATTATGGAAAGGAGCCATGGAAAGCGGTTGGCGCCTCTACAGGCGAAGCAGAGAAAGCGGCCTCCGTCGCGCAAGCAGCATTTCCCCTTTGGCCAGGCCTTAACTATCTAGAGCGTCGAAGTCTTCTGAATAATAAGCCACCGGATCAGATGGCTGAGTGTCTTGACGAGTTGAAAAAGTATGTCACGTTAGAAACAACAGCTGCTGTGAAGACCAACTTCCCTGGATCGACCGGTTTGGCCGCACTCTAACTTCAGTGGCTGTTAAAGAGCTGAAGTCAATTATTCTGGAGCTTGGAGCCAAAGCTTCTTTGATCGTACTGGACGATGCAGACCTAGAAGGTACCGCTGCCGCTACTACTGGGGGCTCGAATTGCCACACTGGCCAGGTCTGGGTTATCGTTACAGAATCAGTTGCTGCTCGGTTCGAGATCCGCAAGAAAACCTATGCCAAATTATATCCTTCTAGCTTCAAGCATCAGGCTGCTGATGCGGCTTTATCAGTAACTGAGAAGAGGATGCAAAGTACTTCTAAAAATTATGATTATGAGTACGTACAGAGAAGAGCACACCCGCTATCCTCTCTGCATCTTATAACACCAATGCGATCTCTTCAGGTGATCCAGTCATGAGCCTCTAAAATCCTCTTTCATAATATAACATCCAATAGGACCAGCTAATGTAAAGTCGTTTCTCCCAGCTCCTCACCGACTATGCATGGGTATCATGTAAGCTCTTCAAGTTTCAACTCCAGACCGGACAGTAAAATAGAAGTATCATGTCTTTGCTCCCCAAAAATTGCGAATTCGATTCCAATCTGTCATCTGTCTTTGGACTTTTACTTCCAAAATCTCCAACCAGGGAACTTGAGTTTCCCATCACGCTGGTAGATTCGCCAGAAGTAGACAGGCACACCAACCATGATAAAGGCAATAACTATCAGAGCTTGAAGTGGCTCCGCAATAACGGCACGGCTGAGCAGAAACAGACTGACACAGCAGAAAATAATAGGAGTAGTGATCCAAGTCCGGTAGGGTCTCTCCAAGCGAGGCTCACGAATCCTCAGCACAATCAGGCCGAGAACAGTGAGGAAGTAAAAGGTATATCCAGCAACCCCATAAAATGTCACCAATGTGGCGAACTCGCCTACTATCGTATAGGCTGCTGTAAGTACTCCATTGAAGATCATCGCATTGATGGGCGTGAAGCCAATTCCAACATCATCTCCGAACAAGCGCGATAACGCCTTACGAAACCATGAACGGTGCCGCAATCGGCCGCCGGTCGTGTCAGCAGAGCCGCGGATACCGAGTTTCCCAAATAAAGAAGGCAAGTAGCCTTCCTTCCCGGCAGCATACACGAGTCTGCCACTGGTGAACGTCGTAGCATTGAGCGCTCCGAAGCAACTAGCTGATACAACCAATGCCAAAACGAGGGCTCCAACAGGTCCAAAGACTTGTCCTCCAAACTGGACAGCAATTGTATTGCTGCTCTCAATCGTCGATAGTGGAAGCACCAGAAAATAAGCGATGTTCGCCATCAAGTAGCAGACGATGACCAGCGGCATCGCTGTGTGGATGACGCGGGGAAGGTCGCGATTTGGGTTCTTGAACTCGCCGGTTACATAGTTCGTCTAGAATAGTTAGCAAGGATTCATGCGCAACTTCGAGGATACATACATTGTCCCATCCATCGAAAGCCCAGAGACCAGCATATAGGGCCACAGCCCAGTCTGAGACATCCGTGCTCGTGCCCTCAAACCAGCCGGTAGTCTTCCATTCTTTACTCGCCGTTCCCTTCGATGAGAAACCAGTGATCGCAACCACGATTCCAGTCACTGTCACTCCCACCAAGGCAATGAACTTGAAGAACATGAACAGGTCCCCGATACGTGTCCCAAGCCTTGTTGATAGACAGTTCAAGAACGTGACAACAAACAGTCCCGCCAAGGCAACGCCCTTGTTGATCCAGGGGTTGATGTGCTCAACCTCAGCTCCGACGAACGCGCGCACGACATACTCTCCAAATATGATCGAAATAATGGCTGCAGATCCCGGCTTCAGAACAAACACCGCACACCACGTGAAGAGGAATCCGGCAAGCTCCCCAAAGATCTTTGCCAGATACACCTGAGCGCCTCCATTGAGTGGAATTGCTCCTCCCAGTTCTGCATAGCTTGCCGCACCAGTCCATGCCAGCAGACCTGCCACCACCCACACTATGAGCGAAGCACCCGGGGACCCTGCATTCGCATTCACTTGGCTTGGCGACGAAAAGATTCCCGATCCGATGATGAGGCCGATAATCAGAGATAGTCCATTCAGGTATGTCAATGTTTTATTCTTCTCCAACGAGCCAGTCAGAATCCCGTTCTGACGGTCCAAGGAGAATTGTGACGGGGCGCCGAGGGGGGCATATCCGCCATTTGTTTGCGACAGCGGGAAAAGGGTGCTTCCAAAGTCGAAGGCAGACGATATCGAGTAGGAGCGTCCAGGCCTGGGGCGATCGTCGTTGACACCTGGCGCTGTGCCAGCAAGAGGATCGTCGTCGTCAAGGGACAGCTTGCGCGATGAGGCCGCGCCGGACGGGGATGACGACAGAGACGTACGTCCTACAGAGCCAGGAGACTCTGAGGATGCCAGAGAAGCCAGCTCTAGAGAATCTCGAGTATCATGGTTTCCGGATTGCGTTCTCACTTCAGAGAAAGCAATATGAGACATTACGCGCGATACTGAGGAAGAAAGGCGGAGGCGGCTTGCGATTGTCAGTGAAACAAGATCAACGCCGCCATTCCACGGAGAGATGCGAAGTGAATTCCGACGACTCGACCAGCACACTGGCGGGGAAAGGGGGAAAGACGACGATGTCTTACGCCAAAAAGGAAGAGCTGAAAATGCACAACAGAGCGTAGAAAAAAACGGAGAGATCGCAAGGAAGTCACTGCCAGGAGTTGGCGATGATCTTCTGCATCGCTCGGATCGATACTAAATAGATTAGCGCGCGCCTCCGCAGCCCCGGAGGATAAGTTAGTGCCATAGCTTTTAATTAAGGTATTGTTGTCTCCGATAGTAACTAACTTACTCTATTTCATGCCGCCATGAGATCCTTCCGTCTGGTCTTCAGATCCTTTCAATGACGCCTCGACTCCGTGGGCAGGCGTTCCCTTGGCCTGCACCATGCCAGCCTAGAATCGTGATGCCATCGTCCCCGACTCGTGCGTTGCTCCGCCATTCCTCCAGCGTTTCCTCATCCCCGCCGAAAAAGCGTATCTTTGTCCGAGTCGCCGTCGTAACAGCCACAGCAGGAGCAATTGGGGCTTATATCAGATGGCAGCAAGACTCCAAGAATTCCACGCTGAATCCATTCTCCTTCACTGAGTACGAACTCGTCTCTCGGGAACCCATCTCCTCCACAAGCAGCTTATTTACGCTACGACCAGTCAAGCCAGGTCAGAATCGAGAGGTGTATGAGACAGCATGGCGAACAGGAGTATGGAGTGTCATGTTTAAGCAACCTCAGTTGCAGATCGGGAGGGATTATACACCGTTGCCCCCAATAGAGCAGGTGTCGGGGGCTCTGGAAAATACGTCTGGGGGCGATCAAGAACCCTTACGGTTTCTCATCCGCAGAGACCCCCATGGGGAGGTTTCGCGTTACCTTCACGGCCTCAACCTAGGGACTACGGTCGAGATGCGAGGGCCGCAGATTGAGTGCGAGATCCCGCCTGATGTCAAGGATATCCTTTTCATCGCTGGTGGAACCGGAATCGCTCCGGCCCTGCAAGCAGCATACACGCTCCTACGTCGTGATAATGGATCTGCCGATTCACGGATCCATATCCTCTGGGCAAGCAGGAAGAGAGAAGACTGTCTGGGTGGTTCTAATGATAGTCATCCAAACACGACCGAAGAACCGTGGTGGCGGAAGCTCTTTCGTTCTACACCAGCTACTGCACCAGAAGACCCTTCGAAGGGCCTCATTGTGAAGGAGCTGGAAACTCTGAAGTCGCAGTTTCCGGGTCAGGTCACTGTCGACTATTTTGTCGATGAAGAGAGATCCATGATTGACAAGCAATCGATCTCAAGGTTCACGAAATCGAGAGACGGTCGCACTCACGGAGGCAAGTTAATCCTTGTCTCTGGGCCAGATGGGTTCATCAGCTACATGGCTGGTCCGAAGCTGTGGGCCGAAGGAAGGGAACTTCAAGGCCCACTGCAAGGAATTATCAAAGAACTGGATCTCAAAGAATGGAACGTTTGGAAACTATGACATTGGGTAATTGTAAAATATGTTGAATAACTGTACAAAAGATATCGCCTCAAATGGACATAAAAAGAAGACTCTTCGCGGCGTGTTCGATACGTTCAGAGGCGGTCCAACGCCCCCATCGCTTCATGAAACATAATGTCTTGCCGGTTGAACGATATATCGTATCCCTTGGATAAATTATTGCCCGGAAGCGTATTCCTCGAGGTACTTCACCAGTCTCTCAACGTTTTCCAGCGGCACAGCGTTGTAGTTGCTCGCTCTGATGCCACCGACGCTGCGGTGACCCTTCAGACCCTGAAGCAGTCGCTTCTCAGCACCAGCCAGGAACTCCTTTTCCTTCTGGTCGTCACCCCCATGGACGCGGAAGCATATATTCATTCTGCTTCTGACGCTCTTGTCGGGCACCACCTGGTAAACCTGCGGGTACTTATCCAGGACTCCATATATCAACTCAGCCTTGCGGTTGGCGATTTCCTCCTGTCCACCAATCTTCTTGTCTCCGTGCTTCCTGACCAGGTCGGCCATAACCTCGGCCGCTACCCACAAGTTGAAGATGGGGAGTGTGTTGTATAACGAGTTGTTCTTGGCGGTGACGCCATAGTCAAGCACGATCGGGACCGGAAGACCGCCAACGTGGAAATCGTGTAGAAGAGATGGCGGGGGCGACGCAGTCTCAGGAGGCAGCAGAGACTTGCGAATAATCACGATGCTTATTCCAGCAATACCTACATTTTTCTGAGCACCGCCCTATGAGACAAGTTAGGAAGAAGGCTGCGAATGATACGGCACGAGGCATGAGGGCACCACTTACGAAGATCACGGCGTACTTGCTGACATCGACCTTTCGACTCAGGAAGTTCGAGCTGAAGTCTGCCACGATCATCCTTTCGTCCTCCTCGCCACCTCCCTGGGGTTCTAGACATTTGGGGAAACCTGGAAATTCGACCCCATCCACAGTCTCATTGTCACAGTAGTAGACAAACGCCGAGCCTTTGCCTTGCTCTTTCCTCGTAGGAGTGAGCTTCCAGGTATCTTCCGGCGGGATCTTGCCAAACTTTCCGCCATTGGCCTCTCTGGCATCCACAGCAATGTTGACATACTTGGATCCGAGGAGTCTGGCAGCCTCCTGTGAAGCCTTCAGTGACCAACTGCCAGTGACAATATAGTCGACCTTGAGATCTTCCTCGACCTCCTTGCGGAGTTTGAGATTGACCAAATCTGCGATCGTCTGCTTGTCTGCATCCGGATTTGTCATGGTCGTGTCCTTCTCTGCTTGACGCCTTCTTCGCTCAACATAAATAGAGACCAAGTTCTGCACCACGGCGCTGAACTGGCCGCTGCCACCGCCCTGCATGAACAGGATATCATAGTTGTCCGGAATGTCGTACAGGGTGCGCAGGCTGTTCTTGGCGTCCTCCAGGATTTTATTTGCTGTGGGAGAACGATGGGAGATCTCAGCGAGACCAAGACCGGTGTCATTGTAGTTGACAAATGCCTTCGCTCCGGCCTCGACGACAGAGGTGGGCAGAGGCGCTGGGCCTGCACCGAAGTAGGCGACTTCCTCTCTGCTGGGCATTTTTTTTTTCTTCTCGGGGGCGCAGAAGACTGACTGTTCAGGGAAAGCTTGGGAGAAGCACCAGCGTTCAACTGGTGCCTATAGTAGAACAAACAAAGAATGGAATTGAGACAGAAACTAGGAAGATGAAGCTGCGAACATGTACACTGGAGCTTTCACCACGGGGGAGATGGAAGGATTCCAGAGGGAAAGTAGCGGGGGACACTGGTCCTAATTACGACATGGGGCCGTCCCGGAGTAGATATAGTGAAACCATTCCAAGGCCAGGGTGAGTCAGACGCCGTGCGATGAATTGCTGGTTCACAAGCTAAGAATTCGAAGCCGGAAGATCCCTACATCGAGTATACTCTCTTGTCTCTATCAGTGGTTTGCCGTGATGGCTGTGACGTCGCACAGCCAGGGTTATCTTTCTACATTGGCGGGGTCCTGTGATAGACTGGCGTCATCGACGAGCCTCTGGCCGCGCCTACTCAGTGATTATTTCGAGTCCTCTGTCGCGTTCTTATCGGGCAATCCAGGGACACTGGACGCAGTATATCTCTGAGGGACAGATATCTGCTCCATCCCGTTTTATATTACTCGCATGACGATCACTTGTTCTGACTGCCCCTCCAAGTCGCGAAATTTTAAAAAAAAGACGAAAAGCCCGTGACATGCTCCGATCGCGGCGCAGTCTTGGCGTGTTTGCTATGTTTGCCTGATATTCCGTTTCCCCAGAGAATTTAATGCAAGCGCTTTCATTTGCTGGAGAGACCGCAGGGACTCTCACTTGCCTCAAGAAATATCCGACGGAGTCACAGCGTGCCTGAGAAGCCGGCAGGATGACTGTAAGTATCAGACGCGTTTCTTGCATATTGCACAAAACGATTGATTGACTGACCGATCGCAGTCGAGGTCTATGCAGCTTGGCGGTTACGGTAGGCGCTGGATGCTCCAGCGGCTGCCGTTGCCGGCTGTTGTTCGGATACGTACCTTTTCCTCCTCGAGAGCGTCCTTGCAAGAGGTCTTCCACTCGCAGCTGGAGGATGCGACTTCCTCCGCTGTTTGGACTTCTATGAAGTCGTCCAAGGCGGTGCCTCAGACTCTGACGGAAAAGATCGTCCAGAATTTCTCCGTTGACCTGCCCAAGGACAAGTTCGTCAAGTCGGGAGACTATGTGACGATCGCGCCCTACAAGTGCATGACCCATGACAACTCGTGGCCGGTTGCGCTCAAGTTCATGTCCATCGGCGCGTCGAAGCTGCACAACCCTGAGCAGATTGTGATGACTCTTGACCACGATGTGCAGAACAAGAGTGACAAGAACCTCCAGAAGTACAGACAGATTGAAGAATTCGCAAAGATGCATGGCGTCGAATTCTATCCGGCAGGCAGAGGCATCGGACATCAGATTATGGTCGAAGAAGGATATGCCTGGCCCGGAAGTCTGGTGGTCGCCTCGGACAGTCACAGCAACATGTACGGAGGAGTAGGCTGTCTGGGTACGCCAATTGTCAGAACAGATGGCGCCAGTATCTGGGCAACTGGTAAGACATGGTGGCAAATTCCTCCTGTTGCAAAGGTCACCTTCAAGGGGGTTCTGCCCCCCGGTGTGACCGGAAAGGATGTCATTGTTGCTCTCTGCGGTCTTTTTAGCAAGGACGACGTCCTGAACCACGCCATCGAATTTACTGGTTCTGAGGAGACGATGCGCAGTCTGACGGTGGATGATCGCTTGACCATCGCTAACATGACTACCGAATGGGGTGCCCTGTCTGGTCTGTTCCCGATTGATGGTGTCCTGAAGGGATGGCTCAGGGCCAAGGCTACCACCGCAGCCATGGGCCTGGCCAATGGCCCTTACAAGTCGTTGGCTGCTCAGCGCTTCACTCATCCTCTGTTGGAGCAGCTGTTCGCCAACCCTCTTACGGCTGACAAGGGAGCCAAGTACGCCAAGGAACTCTTCCTGGACCTTTCCACGCTTTCTCCCTATGTTTCTGGTCCTAACTCTGTTAAGGTGGCAACCCCTCTTAATGAGCTAGAGGCACAGAACATCAAGGTGAACAAGGCGTATCTGGTTTCGTGCACAAACTCCCGCGCTTCTGACATTGCAGCGGCCGCCAGAGTCTTCAAGGATGCTGCTGCCAAGAATGGCGGCAAGATCCCCAAGATTGCTGATGGCGTACAGTTCTACATTGCAGCTGCTTCCTTGCCTGAGCAGATTGCCGCTGAGGATGCCGGTGACTGGCAGACTCTGCTCGAGGCTGGTGCAACCCCTCTTCCTGCTGGCTGCGGCCCGTGCATTGGGCTTGGAACTGGTCTTCTGGAGCCCGGAGAGGTCGGTATCAGTGCGTCTAACCGTAACTTCAAGGGCCGTATGGGCAGCACAGATGCGAAGGCCTATCTCGGCAGCCCTGAGGTCGTCGCGGCTAGTGCGTTGAGCGGAAAGCTTAGCGGACCTGGCTGGTACCAGCGACCTGAGGGTTGGACCGAGGTCGTCCGGGGAGAGGGTGACGGTATTCGGGAGGAAGACCGCATGCTTACTGCTGAAGAAGCGCTGGAGAAGGTCATTGGCCAACTGGATGAACTGGTCGCTGACGGTGAGAAGCGCTTCGCTCCCCAAGATGCCCCTGAGGCTGCTGAAGAGAACGACGGAGCCCTTACTGAGGTCTACCCTGGCTTCCCTGAGCGCGTCTCTGGCGAGATCGTCTTCTGCGACGCTGACAACATCAACACCGATGGTATCTACCCTGGTAAATACACCTATCAAGACAATGTGCCTGTGGAGACGATGGCTCAGGTGTGTATGTCAAACTATGACCCGGACTTCTCCTCGATCGCAAAGGAGGGTGACATCCTGGTCTCTGGCTACAACTTCGGCTGTGGTAGCTCCAGAGAACAAGCCGCTACCGCTATCCTCGCCAAGAAGATTCCGCTTGTCGTTTCCGGTAGCTTTGGCAACATCTTCTCCCGAAACAGTATCAACAATGCTCTTATGGGCCTTGAGGTTCCCCGCCTGGTTAGCCGTCTCCGAGAGACCTTCTCCGCAAAGAATGAGGCTAAGCCTCAGGAGAAGCTGCTCACCCGTCGCACTGGCTGGACCCTGACCTGGGATGTGCGCAGGAGCCGTATCGAGGTCCAGGAAGGTGAAAATGGACCAAAGTGGACCCACAAGGTCGGCGAGCTCCCGCCTAACGTTCAGGAAATCATTGCCAAGGGTGGTCTGGAGAAATGGGTCAAGAACGCGATTAGTGCGTAATCTTCTTACGACTGGTTCGCATCAGCTTGATACCCGGCACCATGCATGAGTCCATTTTTCTTAGTCTGTTGGTAAATATCTCTGGCTATAATCATATCAGGAGAGAATACCTGGTATATACGATTGAGTATTGCCTCGCTTCAGTTCATTTTTGTGTACAAATCAGTGCGGGCGTTTGTTTAGAGAGAGAGATATAAAAAAGCATTGTACTGTATGATCATGTTGTTATTATATTCCATTTATAGAAGAGCAGGAGTTCGATTAGATGAGACATTCCTCTGCATCTGTATTAGAGATGACTTCATGGTGTGTTTCCTAGACCGATGAGACTTCGGAGTAGAATTGATGTAGACTATCCAAACCTAAACATAGTAACAATCTACACATAATACAACGAGTTGATAATATGGTAAGTGCCGTTTTTGGACGAGATAACAGCTCTAAGTAAATAAGAACCAACTATTTACCTTTTTATTGCCTTGGCTCTGTAGGAAGGCTGCATAGCTGCGTTATGTAATGCAACGGTCTATAAAAGTCACGTGAAAGAATGCGGAGAGCGTTCGGAGTCGGTCAAGCTAACTCCAGAAGCTCTTGTATCTTTCAAACAAACAGTACTTAATCGAAACCACCAATTGACCATCTTGACGATTTCCGCGCATGATACGCTCTATTAGCAGCACTGCCCGCCGGGCTTTATCTCTTCAGGGCCCGCGCGTCGCGTTTGGTGCGCAGCGTCTATTGGGAGCTCTAGACGCCGTCTCCATCCCGAGAAGCTCGGGGTCAACGCTGCTGCGGGGTAAGAATCTGACTAGGATTCGGCACTTCTCCTCCTCAACGTCGGTGCGGTTCGTATCAGATGCGGACTCCACAATATATGCTCTCTCTACGGCTTCTGGGAGGGCTGCTATAGCAGTCGCGAGGGTATCTGGCCCGGCGTGTGTACAGGTCTGTTACTAGATTTTTGTGTTGTGGTTGTATCTCGCAGATAACTTACAGGCCTTCCTCTGTCCAGATCTACCAAGCTCTTTGCCCAGGGTCACCGCTTCCTAAACCTCGTGTTGCAACTCTCCGCACGCTCTACGACCCGACCCAGAAACCCTCCAGGAATACAGTCCTTGACGCCGGCGCCTTGGTCTTATACTTTCCAAGTCCAAAGACTGTTACAGGAGAGGATATACTTGAGCTACATTTGCATGGTGGCCCAGCGATTGTCAAGGCTGTTCTCACTGCTATATCCAAATGTAGCGGACCCGAACGCTTGATCCGCTATGCGGAACCAGGAGAATTCACACGACGTGCCTTTATGAATAACCGGCTTGACCTGCCGCAGATTGAAGCGCTGGGCGATACACTCTCGGCCGATACGGAACAGCAACGACGACTCGCTGTGCGAGGTGCGAGTGACGCGCTTTCCAAGCGTTATGAGGCCTGGCGTCAACAACTTCTCTACGCACGTGGGGAGCTTGAGGCGCTGATTGATTTTTCAGAAGATCAGCACTTCGATGAGTCGTCAGATGAGCTGGTCGAGTCTGTCGCAAAGCAGGTGCGTGCTTTGCAACGACAGATTCGCGCGCATATACAAAACGCCTCAAAGGGCGAGCTTTTGCGCAATGGAATCAAAGTCGCGCTACTGGGTGCGCCAAATGCCGGGAAAAGCTCCTTGCTCAATAGGATAGTTGGTAAGGAGGCAGCCATTGTCAGTACCGAGGAGGGAACCACGCGCGACATCGTGGACGTCGGTGTCGATCTCGGAGGTTGGTATTGTAAGCTCGGGGACATGGCAGGGCTGCGCTCCGAGTCGGCTGAAGGCACTGTAACCATTGGAGCCGTTGAAAAAGAAGGTATTCGACGTGCCAAAGCCCGGGCCATGGAGTCTGATGTTGTCATTGTCGTCCTTTCGTTGGAAGAAGGGCGCAACGGTGAAGCCTATCGATTGTCAGTTGAGCCAGAGGTCCTGGACGCTGTTAAGAGTTGCTCTGAATTGAGGAAGTGCATCATCGTTGCTATTAATAAGTCTGACAGGCTACCCCGGACTGAGCGCCACGAGGCCGGTCGGATCCCGCAGAGTCTGGCCGATACCATCAGCACGTTATTTCCCGACGTGCCACAAGATCGGATCTATGCTATCTCATGCAAGGAAGCGCAGGACGAGTCTGCTAGTGACCCTGATCCAGGCATGATGCAGAATTTCCTAAATGGGCTTATTACAAACTTTGAGAAGATCGCGGCACCAGTGGGAATGGAAGAAGGAAACGAACAATTCAACATTTCCTACTGGGAGGATTCTCTTGGAGTAACACACAGACAAAGTTCTAATCTACAGAAATGCGCTGAACATCTTGATGACTTCTTGAATCAGACCTCTATACCCAAAACTCCAGATGATGCAATGCTCGAGACAGACGGGGGTATCGTAACAGACGTGGATATCGTGACAGCGGCGGAACACCTGCGGTTTGCGGCAGACAGTCTCTCCCGGATCACCGGCAGAGGCGAGAGCGGCGACGTGGAGGACGTCCTAGGTGTCGTATTCGAGAAGTACGAGACCGCATCGATGAAGATACTATCCACGGCGATACTGACAATTTGGTTTCTCCGTGTAGGTTCTGTGTCGGCAAATGATCCACGTTGCGAAATGACAGAATGTCCAAAAAACACGATCGACCAGAAGTTGGCAAACGATGACCCAAATTCCGCGACTTCGATATCCGCTCCTCCCTCCACTGCGGATACTTGACTCTTTCCACCTGCGGGCCACAGCTGCCATTGCAACTGTGGCCGCTCGCCTTCATACGATCATGCCGTATTCCGTTGCGCGCGCCCATCGCGAAGCCGCGTAGTCCAACTCTTCCAATGCTGCCGGTCCGTCGCCCTCCGCGCACTCGTACCGATTCACTCGTCTTCGTCCTGCACGTCGTTATATCCGCCACGACCTTGCATGGAGCGACACTCGATGAAGGAAGATACTGGTGGCTTGGGGTTCGGGTTGTCGCTGGGGACGTTGTAACCGCCTCGGCCCATTGACACAGTCTTCAAAAAAGGGCGGGAAGAAGAGGTTCTGTTCTGCTCTTGTAGGTGCAGCGGAGATGGCAGCGTTTTGCCTGTCTGGGGTCTATCGACTGAAAGCTGCCTGATATGTGTTGGTGACTTGCGCACTTGGAGCCTTTTGCTTGACTCGATCAATGGTGGGTTATGCGCGATATGAGATTCTTTTAGTTGTATCCGCCACGACCCATGAACGAAGTGGATATAATGGTGATCTGAGGCAGTGTTTGCAAAGGATATAGATGAAGCTATTATAGACTTGTATAATAGAGAGCTTGTATATATGTAGCGTAGTGTAGTATAGTTTGTATGGTATGATAGATGAGAATCGAATCCTTCAAACACAGGAAGCCACCATGCTTATATATCTACTCCAGCAGACGCGCCTCCATACTATTTTCTTCTTTTATGATGACATAGATCCTCAACCTGACCCTCCAGGCACCGACGGACCCCGATAGTTACTATGTATTGCTGACCCGCCTGAAGGGCTACACTAGCTAGGTAAACAGGGTGCTCACCAGGGTCCCTGGCTTAGCGCCCGACGCCGATGAGCCATCAGCCTCCGTGGGCCTGAAAAGGAACCAAGCCTCCCTAGCGATGGGTCTCGAATCTGAACGACACCTGAACTCTGACGAGGATGAGAAGAGCGCACATACGCAAACGTTCTGTCGTTGTCATTCTTCAGAGAGAAAATGCAAGTCTGAGTCTGACATGATAATCTCTGAAGGGGGGCGATGAGTGGTAATCAGTTAACTGACTAATTACATAGATCATGAAGCTGGTCCATTATTAATACCATGTCTTTTTTGAGGGTATCTACTTATCTTGTATGCCTAGGTAGGTACATACTTTGAAGTGTACATACATACATACATACATTTCCGTCCCATCCACTCAACTCGGGCATTATCCGTACGGGCGCCGTTAAGTTATCATCATTACAACTAGTTACTCAGTACAATACCATTACTTGCTTCTCATTGACCAATAAAGCTTCAAGAAGTAGATCTTCGCCCATCAGTTGGACGATAGAACGGGTAGTCAAGGCTCACTGGACCCATAGCGGTAAGACAGTTACCTGTTACCTGGGTAAGCGCCCGCGCTATGCAAGAATAGAATATGAATACCTACATACAGTCGACTCTCACTATGTTACCGATACTGATTACTAGCACTGATGTAATTTCTTGTAGGAGATAAGGCGGTTTTCTGTCAAATCGAATTTCTTTTTTTTTTTTTTTTTCGGATATATCATAGTTATCTGCGATGTAGCGAACTGTCCAGACAGTTAAGGATCGAGTTTTGAAGCAGCTGAACGGCGCCCCGGGTTTATCGTCTAGTAATTCCGGTATTATTATTATTATTATTTTTCAGCGCGGGAAAGAAAGAAGGAAACAAACAGCTGACCCTGAGGCATTGCCCCGGATTGTCCCTTCCGCGTTCCCCGTGATTGTCTCGAACAAGTAAGTAGTTACTTAATTTGTTAGGATGATTATCAACCCTGTAGGTACTGTAAATTACTTTACACTAAAAAACACTTGAAGAGGCGTCCGATCGATTTATTTGGACAGCCCACTGGCTCCTAATTGACTTAGTGGTCCGATCTAAGTATCCATTCAGTCAAATCAGATCGCCTTGTAGTATGACAATATGTGATGATTCATTCTTCATCCGCGTTGAAGCAGAATCTTCGTGCGCCTTACTTGTCGCATTGCATCGCCATTTGTCGCGATCGCAGGCACGAGACAGTTCGGACAAGTTCGATCCGTAGGCAACTGTCTTCGTCCAGAGCGTTTTCTGCCAGTTAATTACTTGCTCCTACACAAGAGTCTGCTGCCTAGGGCCGGTCTCGAGTTTACTCATCCCGAGTCAAACTGTTCAAGTATACATCGATCGCGCACAGCCCGCGCGATGTACACTGAAAGACCAATAAGAAAGCCTATCAGCATTAGAAGAGAAACGAAGAGTCATCCCCGTCCAGAACATACTCTAGGAAATTACGGCGATTACTTAGGCGTGTGTACCGTCCACCAAAAAAAAAAGGAAGAAAAAAGAAAGAAACAAAACGGCCCCCAGCCCGCCACTACCGCTGCAATGCCGATCGGGGCCGCTGCAAGTTTGACGTTAGATATATCGACATTTGTCTAGAACACTGCCATAGAGGAGAAGAGTTCACAGATAATATTATGCCTTGCCACTTATTCGACCCATGGTTCTTATTCTTTTTTTTTTTTTCTTTTTTTTTTTTTTTCTTCGTCATGGGTAATATTTGTGGCCCCTTGCATATGTATGTATGCACGATTCACATCCCTGAGGTTTCCTTATGATTATTCTTTTTTTTTCCACTATTCCTCAAACTCTTCAGGCTGAGATTAGTACAGGGATTAACCATAATCTGGGAAATGGCAATCTCACCACGTGGCTTATGGTCGCACAGACTCGCAGGGCTTGTGGAAAAATTCCGCGACGGGTCAGTTCATATTTATAATTGCCATATCTGAGCGGGGAGCGAATCGATCCGAAGTGGATGTATGTATATTCATTACTCCAGTAGTATGATGCCCCCCCGTGTACGATTTAGAAGACGAGATATCTTAACATCTTAATCCTGTGTATACTACACCGTCACCAGTAGACTATCCTAAAGTCAAAAAACACGACACACGGACCATTCAAAAGACAAAAAGTATATGCTTAAACTGATTTAAGTGACGCCTCCAAAAGGCCTAACCGCGCATACTAAGCAGTATGTTTAGTTACTAATAACTACTATCTAATCTAATGCTTTACTCAATAATCGCCACATGGTCCGGTGCATTATTCACAAAATACGGCCCCCCGATCCCGATCTCCATATTACCAATATTCGACCATTAATAATGCTCATCCTTGCAGAAGCACGGAACAACTTCCCCAGAGACTATCTTGAGCGTTGGACCCGATGAGATGGGGCTATGCAACTAATTTACATTAGAAGTATATTTTAAGTAGCATTACGACTCCTAGAACTGTCACTGGATAGGGAAATGTCTACTCGAAGCAGATGGTGTATAGTTAACTAAGCAAGAAAACAGAATCAGCTGACAAAAGGCGTTCCATGATCCTGGTTGGTTCCTAGAATATTCGCATGGTTCGTCGCAATACTAACGTAAATTAGAAAAGGGGTCTTACTTAATATGCTAAGAGGGGTTTTTTTTTTGTTTAAGAGTAAGAATCTTAATTGGTCTAATTAGTTATAGTATCTTTAATAGTTCTAAGTATGGTATATACTTGCTAGTCCTACTCTACTACAGGGGTTTTAGTTACTTTGTATTTCTTGTTTTATATGTAATACGTGAAGTGCGACCCTGAACCTTCTACACCTTTGGCAAATAGTATGATTTATACTGTATGGTATATAGTTGTAAACTGCCGCGTCTTGGGGTATACTAAAAATAATTATAGAACTGGACTTGTCGCTGATTGGCAAGGATCGATCGATTACAGTCCTGTAATTCGCGGTTAACTCCGCAATTAAGTGACCAGGCGTGACACTGTCAGCCACTAACTCGGTTTAGTGGTCCTTATAATACTTGGCCCTGGCAGGTATTATTATGGAACCTATCAAATCTAATAACTATCTGCGCAGTAATTAACGATATCACTCACATGCGCCTGGGGCGCCTTTTCCCTTCTTTCTAACCCTTTTTTGATAGTCTTCAGCAGTTCGTTAGAATTAGTCTTTAACTAGATGGCGACTGACGACGAGTTATATCTGCGTATCAGCATTCAAGGATCACTCCAGCTTACTGTGTTTCGCAAGCAAAATTATAATTTGGCACTTTTGTTTTTTTCTATTCTCGCGTGGTCCAGGGGTCAAGGGCTATATGCACAATGTGTCTGTCCTGCAAGGGAAAAAGAGGGCTGTTTGGCATTATATTATTATTAGCCCGCTGCATCTATGATAGGCGAGGATTTGTCTGCCTTATTCTGCAAGGTACGATGGATTTCCCACGTGGGATTGGGGGCCGACAGTTCGACTGGTAGTAGGACTTCTCGTCTGGGAAGGGGGACGGTCCTCTTGGTTTTCTTCATTGTACATACAACGGTATTACTTCACATCCTCGTATCTGAGGCTTAAAATTGAATCCGGGATTCGATCAGCTGCACTTTGCTCTCTTGAACCCTCGGGATTGCTAAGATGATAACGATGCTGCGCCCGGGGAAATCCGGAGCTGAGTGCCGTGAAAATGAGGCTCGCCTTGAAGTTACTATTTAGTATTCTAGTTAGTAAATGGCTCTGTTCTTGCCGCTGATCGACCATGAGGCCTCGACTGCGCAAACCACTAACGGCAGTTCCGTCCCTTCTGTGACTGTTTGTCCCGTCTGGCCTGAGGAATCTTGAGTCATTATTGAGCGCGATGAAACACATGATCACGAAAGCAACATACATATGGTAATTACAATTCGTGACTCTTCTGCAGGGCGCAGCGTTCGCCAAGCCACGCTAGAACTGTCAGCTGAGTCTTCCAGAAGCCTGCCTTTTCCGTTTCTGACGTCATGTGAGTTCGTGTCGAGGCCATAGTAGTTAGCAGGGATTCTCTAGATGTAAAAGATCCACGACATGGATGAGTAGAAGTGAGGCGGAATGTACCGTAAAACAAGAGACTCCAAGAACCTAGATTCAGGTAATGGTATTATTGTTCCAATGAAAAATCATTAGAGAGCAATTTCTTTCACAATCAGATGGGGCGGTGGCGTAGTTGGGAGCGCGTCAGACTGAAGTTCACTTCAGCCAAGCAAATCTGAAGGTCACCGGTTCGATCCCGGTTCACCCCATTACTTTTTGCTCTTTTTTGTTCTTTTTGTCTATCTTGAAAATGTTTCTAGATAGTGTCATGATGCGCTATTATTTTTATTGCTCTGGGGCCGTGTAGCGAGGACCAATAGTAATGCACACTTTGACTGTTTATTCATGTTATACCTACTCCATGAAAGTAATCAGAGAAGATATGTAAGCGGAACAGCAGGACATCGCGAATTTTCGATTGTGGTTGTAGGGAATATATATTCTTTCTAGCACCTTTGTACTAAAGAGATCGACGGAAGGGAACACTCACGAGCATCGGTATTGTTCAATGCTCGGATCTGAGGCAACTCCCCGAATCTATTGTTATCGTGTAACTTCCTGGATAGAGTCATATTCCTCTCTGATAAATAGGTTCCAGTATGCCTCGGTTGTGGATAATTCCAAATACTGAAAGAGCAACCGAAGGAACTGCCACAACACCAGAAACGACTGGTCTGAGAAAGGCTACTTACAAAACCAAACATATCTATCAATAGAACGCTCGCTTGGAAATATATATACCGTGAACAGCAAAGACAGCTCTAGATACCCTTCGACAGGACAAAATAAACAAAAGGATGGTAGATTCTCTCCTCGTCCACAGGATCCAGGATCATTGGCAGATATTTGGTGTACCATTCCTCCTGCATAACATCATCGAAATATTTCGGATTGATACCCACCTGTCGTGCCTTACAGTACTCCCAGTAAGATGGATACCACCCAGCCTGACCCCAGTCGATGATCGCTGCAACCTTCGGATTCGGGCCCCGTGAGAGGAGAATGTTGGGTGGTGAGATATCATCATGCGTGAACACAATAGGTGTCTCGTCAGTGATATCTATTCCACAAGCATGCTGGAACCGTTGGACAGCATCATCTCCCTCACAAGGACCAGCGGTATCTGGATGGCTCTGAAGAAATATCTCATTCAATGGCTTCTTACCCAAGCTGCCTATATGAATAAAAAAAGACATGTTAGCTTCCAGTTATATCGAAATTGGAGAAGACATCGTTACCGATATAGTGCCCCTCCTGTTTCAAAGCCCTCCATGCTTTAACCATGCGCCTGAGCTCCTCGCAAACAGCTCGTCTCTCTGTTTCACTCATACTGGCCCATCTCTCTTGCAAGGTCTCGCCTTCGATCAAAGACATGTAGATAAATCCCTGACCGCCATCCTCAGTCCAGTCAAAGACCTTGGGAATGGGTACTTGCCCCCGCAAGCTCTCATACAACATCATTTGCGTTTGAGCTTCGACAGTAGTGACGTTGGATCCATATTTAACAAGTAGCCCTTGCGATGGGATTATCACGGGTGGCGGGCGACCAAATATTTTGCTACGGACATGGCCAGACTCCCTGTTGATAGCCCTGATCTCGGCTGGCGTGGGTAGCGTAGGTTCTCGCCCACTGCTGTAGGAGGGAGAGGCTGGGAAACTCTTCATTTATCGCTGAAGATAATATCGGAACTGCATACAGCTTCGAAGTATCCAATGTCCAAGATAGCGCTGTGACAGAGGCAAGTGGTTCTTTAACTGTTTTAAGAATATGCTCCGCAAGCAAATCAAGTACAATGTGGTATTTCACGCCATGTAGAGTCCTTGTATAATGATGTGAATAGGTTCGTGTTCCTTTGTCCTCATGTATAGTTTATACAGCTAGGCAGAAGCCTTTTCGTTGGCGCTACGTAGTTAACTATAAACTTAGGCGCCGAGATCACTTACTCAGTGCATCAGCTTCCAGGCATCTCTTATCGAAACAAAACAATTAATAACTCCTCATACATAACAATGGCATCTACATCCAATACAGCCCCGCCCCCACCACCGCCGCCTCAAGGAGTAATAACCAAGAAGACCGCGACCCCATCATCTATTCCAGAACAGCCACTTGTACCACCAACAGGCCCCACTGGTGCATTTCTAGTCGAACTGTTGATATACAATGGCGCACCCTTCAAAGATCACTGGGCGTACTACGTAGGCTCGCACGACGAGCTGGACATTGGCGTGAAGATTCATGCCACGGGGGATGTGAGGAATGGGTTCAAATTCGAGGTGAAACGCAGCGAGAACCTTCGTACCAGCGAGGACGTTCCTACTAAGAGGACCCCGCTCCAGTGGGTTGACGAGAAGTATTTCGATAAAGAGGGGATGTTTAATAATGGAGTGTACAAGGTTGATGATCTTCCTACTTGTGGTTTTGAGGCTAGTGTTTATAAAGTCAAGGCACCTGCGAAGAGCCTTAATGCGATTGATGATAATGTGAGATTCCTAGTTAATTAAATTTGTTGGTTCTAGGATATGTATGGACTGACTGAATAAATCACAGGATACAAGAATAAGGAATGTTGGGAAGAAAATTAAGCAACGTGATTGTCAGACGTGGATCGTGGAGTCAGCCGCCCAGCTCGTCGAGGACGGTGTCTTCAGCAAGGAAGTTGTGGATTACCTTCAGGCGGTTAAGCAGTAATGGCGATTATTCATGGGATTTATAGGATCACGGGAGTATCTTGCAGAATCACTGCGATGTCGAGCCCGAGGACACGGACACTTGCACAATACACATAGAAGATATATGGAAGTCGTTCGAGTCTACTTCTTCTAATATGCAGTATGAGTACTGCCAAAGAAGACTGGTTATTTATCTTGTAGCTGTACAATGGTCAAAAGTCTAGACAGGCAGGCCTAATGTATCCGAGGCGAAACGACTAACTTTCGTCACCATGTCCTCTAACGTGTGGTGTTTCCAGTGTCTATAAGTTTAGGCAAGTTGGTGCCCGACTTCGACACTGTCTAATAGTTAGACTTGGAGACTTCCAATTCTATCATTGTATGAGGCCCGCCTGATTAGAATTATATTTATTTCATCCAGCCCAGCATTGTGCCTAACAACGGATCCCGAGGTAGTAAATCTTCAAGAGCGCTCTCGCAGTTCACGCCATCTACGAATCACCTCTGCTTGCTCTCCATGTGATGCAGCGCACATTTCCTGAATGCCTTGCGTGATACGTGATCGTACAATTTCTTTGGACTTGTCTCTAGCAAGTGATTTGCGAAGAGTTTTGTGGAGTCCATCCAAGGGAAACCCAGCTAATCCCCAAATACCTATATCATGGGAGATGGCTCAGAATTCGTGTCCCTCCAAAAAAGAAGAGTAAACGGACGTACCTGCAGCTGGTTTGAAAATGACACCACCTAGGCCCTTTCCAATTCCTTTGACTAACCCTTTGCCACCTGACTGCTGAAAACCTTGAGCAGGCTGAGTGACGAGTCCAGTCACACCGTGATAAAATCCCTGCACAAGCTCCTACAACAGGTGAGTGATTCTGAACCAATAGTGCATGCCTGGGCATAATTTGCCTGCTTACCTTTTGAGCCGCACCGAGTCCGCTCCCAATCCCTCTCACAGTCGGAATTTTTTGGACCGTGGTGTCATGGTACAACTTGGGCAAGTTATGGAATCCCTTGGCCATGCTGAGAGTCACATCCGTTGGTATAACCAGTACAAAGTTTAGCGAGTGCTTGGCTAATCTGGCTGTTTTGTCGCGCGTATATACAAGCTTCCTCCTTTTCCGGCTGTGCACTTTTGGAGGCTTTTGGATCTCTTGGTCTGCATTAATTTCATTATCGGTATCGCCGGCGCCTGAAGTGGGCATATCTCCGTGACCATCTCCTCCAACATTACCGTTTTGATTCTTCGTACTTGGTTGGCACGGATTATTGACATTCGCGTTTCCATCCTCTACATTGTTATGAGAAGCCTCATACTGAGCCACAGGTCGACGGCCATCTTTGGGTTGCTGATTTGACATACAATCCGCAAAGTGCTCCATTGCCCATTCTCTTATCCGGTAATCGCGGGTTGTACCCTTGGAATCGGCCACGGGTAGAATATCGACGATTTGCTCTGGGACTCGCACAAGTCCAATGATGAAGTCCGTTATTATGCCGTAAAGAACCGCCGCAGTTGCCGAAATAGGCCCCTTTGGATCGCGGGTTGTGTCATATTCGCGGGCTCGGTATCTAGAGGTTCCATTGTTAGGACAAGGAGGCTAGATATAATTCTTGCTTGCTCTACCTACAAGTTCACATCACCTGGCGAAATATGTCCCCTATGCATTAGAATCGAGAATGCAAATGCACTCAGTCCGATATGCAAGTGCCGATGCCACCACACAGCGGGCCTATTGGGGCAGATAGAGCACCGTAATGCGTCGACGTCTAAATGTCGATGGAAGCTGCGTACAGCTTCTGCTGTCCCATTTTCAAGCCTCATTTTCTGTCCAATTTCCTCGGCGGATTTCCGCACAGGCAATTCAAGAGCCTTCATGATGGCTGCGGCTAATCTTTCTGAAGTCAGTCGCCTGTATGGGACTGGCGGTGGTCCTGCGCCGGCCTTTTCCACAATAGAGCCCCAGAATGGCTGGTCACCAAAGAAGGGGATAATCACGGTAGGCCTTCCCAAGAGTAAACCTGCAGCTGTGGTTCCAGCACCGCCATGATGTACAACGCATGAGACATGCTGGAAGAGCCAGTCATGAGGACACTTGTCCAAAAAGAACACATTGTCAGGTAACTCAGTCTCTTCGGAACCAAGATTGCTCCATCCTTTAGATATGAGTGCTCTTTGACCAGTCTGGCGAACAGCGTCGAGTATGACCTTTGTCAGTTTTCCCGGGTCCGCCACCACAATCGACCCAAAGCCAACATAGATAGGGGTATCGCCCGCTTTGAGGAAGGCAACAAGATCTTCAGGAGGATTGTAGTGAGAATTGCCCGGCAAAACTTGAAAACCGCAAACATCAATGTTATCCGGCCAATCTTGTGGCTTAGGCAGGAGGGATGGCGACCTATGCTTATCAGCCCCTCTGGCCGTAGATCCTAAGAAATTCCACGTACCAGAGATATGCGTATGGGATTTGCAACCGATGGTTCATGGTGGGAGCTCGTATAGCATCCAATGGGTCTAGTCCTAGCTCCTTCCTGCGAAAGCGATTGATCAGATCTCCCAACCCTTCCCACATCATCACCTCCACAATACCATATGATGCGAGGTTTGCCACAGATGGTTTGGTGCTATGCGGACGAATATTTGCTAGTGGGTGGGGGAAATATTGCGTTGGTGACCACGGCATCCTACTTCCATTAAATCCTGATACATCCCTAGTATATGGTGTAGGCATTTCTCGACTCACGTAAACATAATATTCAATGGAACGCCCATTCTTTCGGCACAGCTCAAGTGCACAAAGACCGGGGGATTAGCGATAATCACATCGGCCACAAACGGTTGCACGGACTGATCTGTTGTATCAGTGTTTGAGTTCCGAGCGCTGGAATTCAAGGCGGTCCCATCGCCAGGTTCGAAACAAGACCGCCAGCATCCTGTGAAGATGGTCTTCATATCCCGCCGGCGTTTTAGGAGCCCACCACTACTGATTGTGCGCATACCCGGAATCAACCCCGGATTCTGGACCATAAAGGCCATCAACTGCTCTGGGTCTCCTCCAACGTTGAAGAACTCCAGTCCTTCTTTTTTGATATCGTCACGGAATGTCAAGTGCGTAGCTAGCCTAACTCGATGGCCATGCTTTCGAAGCTCCTTACCCAGCGCCACAAATGGCTGGATATCCCCGCGCGACCCTACAACCTGAATCACGATGTTCAAACGTAGAGGAAATTGGTCTCCTTCTGGAACCGGTGTCTCTGGCCTAGGCTTTGCCGTGTCACGATCTGCCCTTGGTTGCATATACTTGGCTAATGATGAGATCCATGGCTTTTGTTTCCCGAATTTTATACCCAGCCTCCCATCGTCTGTTTGTCCATGATAACCGATCAGTACTGGGGATGTCTTCCAATCCGGGGTGACATACCCGTTACATAGACACCATCTCTCAGGTTCGACTCTGATGTAGTCGTAGACCCGTCACTCATTGAAGGCCTAGAGCTGGGCTGGTCCAAGGGATTGTCTTCTTCTGTCATGGTGTATGGTAACCCTGTCTATTGCCGTAGAGACGTCACCCTGGTTTTATACGCTCTTCGCAGCAGTGTTGAGCCAAGATCATGCTCACTAGCGAGACGGAAGATCTCTTAGAGCTGCAATTGTTTCAGGGCTTCCAGAATATAGTGAAAGTATTTCATTCCTGTCTCGCTTGACCCTAAGCATGGCTTTGCAAGTCCAAGTTCTGCGATCATAACTCAGTCACAGTGTCGTTCCTCGAGCGATCCGCAGAGTCACAGCAATCCGGACATCGCAACAGAGAGGACGATCAAGAGAAGAACCGGGAAGACCGACGACATGGCAAAAATATGTCGCCCGATCTACAAAGATTACTGGAAACGTAAGAACCGAGTGTGACGTCAATTATGCAGGAAGCTTCCGCGTTCCTCGGCAGAAAAAAGATCAATTACTTCCCGCAAGCGTTCGAAATAGTCTTTGTCGCCAAATCTTAAAACGAGCAGGAGGTACAGCATCAAAAGTAATGATGTGAAGAGCTTATGCCAACTGAATGGAGACGTCAGTAAGGAAGGTTGACTACTTTATTTCTCTTGGAACGAAATCGCATCCGATTAACTTTCAGGCGCGGCTACTTACTTAGTGCTTAAACCGGCCAAGGAAGTATTTAGGTGAACCCTCCGGCGGAGTGGCCCGTCGGCTTTTGCTTACGCTGGCCTAACATATCTTTGAAGCACTGCAATTTAATGATAATATAATACACGGAGAAGCAAAAGGTTTGTATGTGTCTAATACCGTGACTCGACTTTTATTACTTAAGGATACTAGCCCATTCTTGGGGGTTTAAGATACCATCAGCTCAGACAAAGAAACAGCTTGGGAATATCAAGACTTCTTTCTATATAAGGATGTCAGGATTGATCTCTCCTCAGGCGTATTCGACACAATCCTACACATATCCCAGGTAAATCGCACTTGTCTTACTTCGACCGCACCGCATGTGGGTTGAGTCCGACTAAGGAGCCCTGTATTATATTATGGTCGCATGCGTTATGTTAAGTATGGAGATAAGGTATCTAGTCTGAAAGTAAATAGGTGAGGTGCGATGATACCACCCCCCAAGACTTCGGGTGTGCAATTGAATGGGCATGAACATTCTACGCTCGAACAGCGAGACTGATAACAACACGCTAACAATCACTCGATGCTGAAAAAGCCCTACCGAGGCATGCCCGAGACCCGCTCTGACTGCCCGGTCAATATAATCATGCTTGAAATGGGAGAAATCGCGGTTACATAAGGTGCCACAAGAGCGCAACCAACCAAGTCATATAAGAAATGAAACGGGAAAGTAGGAGAAGGTCTGATTGACAGGGAATATAGATCAATTGCAAAGTGTCCATAGACACAAACACAACAAAGGGAAGTAGGAAGAAGAGAAGCCACAGTGGAGCCAAAGCTCGACATAAGATGATGAGAAAAGAAAAAAAAAAAAAAAAAAAGAAAGGAAAGGGAAGAAGAAAAGCGCGAAATATCCTCAAAAATATACCGCAACGATCTGCAGTCAAAAAAAGAATAAAGAAAAAGAAAAAAAAAAAAAAGAAAGGGAGGCAGTAAAATATGGAACAAGATACTATCCATCACACGCTGCACATGTTGAGCAATAGCTCTGGGAACTAGTGGCAGAGACAGACACGATGGACAGACAGAAGTAGAACATTATACACATACGCCATACAAAGAATTTCCACATGAACATCAGTAATCCTATCAGACATTAGAATTAAGAGACTCCAAAACCCATGGGATCACTCTTGGGGTTCGGCGGGTTGGGTGGGGGAAGGGTGCTCGGCGGATTCAGCAGATTCATCTGCGGGGGGAGGGTCAAACGTGGGCGACACGATGATGGATGGCGTCAATGGTGGTTGAGAAGAATGCTGATCCTTGCTCGGGCTCAACAAGGCGGAATCGTCTGTCTCGGCCATGTCGGTTTTAGCTGGTGATGGTGGCTCTTGCACTGGGTTCAAAGCTGACCCGTCTGCACTATCCTTGCTGCCGCTAGTTGCACCATTTCTTCTTCTCATTCTGCGTTGCCGTCTCTCATCTTCGGCACTTCCTTTCCTCCTTGCTCGCTGGGACTCCGTGTCGTTGTTGCCTCTTAGACCTTGCAACATGCTTGCAGCGCGGTCTGCGATGTCTTCGCCCTCCGAGATCTCTTGACCGCTAGCGTTGCCGTCTTCACCAGGTGATTTTGGTGTCAACAGGCCACCGTCAGTGCCCATAGCACTATCTGCCTTGTCACCACCTTCAGCATTGACCTCACCCTCTATACCGAGTTCTGGAATCTTTTGGCCAGACGCAACACGGACTTGGTGGCGCTCCTTCAGCCTAGCGCGCCGACGACGATCACGTTGATCTCTAGCCTGTGGTGCTGCAGCTCGCAGTTTCTCAAGTAGAGAGTCCATTGCTCCACTGGTTGATGGTGAATTCGGACTATCTGTACCGTGACCACCGCCATTCGCAAGGGCAGGATTGATGCGTTTTCTCGCCAGCGAGGCTTCTGTACGTTTCCTCGCTTCTTCCCAGGAGATATTCTTCTCTCTCGATTTCTATATGTGAGATGCGTTAGCGTATCAATCCTGAACAGGCGCAATCGTGAGGAAAGTAAAATAATGGTGGCCTACCTTCCACTCTTGCAAGAACGAAGCTAGCTTGGCGAAGAAGTCTCGCCTGGCATTATCATCTGTGTTGTCTTCGCCGTAGAAAGTCATAATATCGTCGAAGCTCTTAACCATATCGTCCAGATACAGCTGCATCTGCTCTGCTTTCCGCCGAGCTTCTTTCATACTGCGCTGGACTACCTGGCTGACGCGATCTTGAGGATGAAACTTCTTCGGATCGCTCAAGTTACCCGCATCTAAGCTCATCTGTACGTTCTTGATGGTGTCGATATATTTCTTGGCGTCCGTCCTGAGCTGGTCGACGTTTAATTTCTGAACCGAGATAACACCTCCAATCTCGTCTGTAAAGCCCTGCCATTCGGGGTATTGGTTGCGGACAATACGTTCCACCAGGTCGGCGAAAGTGGACTCATTCTTGTCATCTTTCACCATACCGAGACGAGCCAGGGAGCTAAGCTTGAAACCTTGGGCTTGTTTGTTCGAGTCATTCATAAAGTTACCGATATCCAGGATCAAACCGAGAACGTTCATCAGTGATACTGAGTCGCGCAAGGACTCACTGACTGTAACGACATCCTTCAGTTTAGCAGAAATATGATCATAGTCAGGCTCAAACGACCGCGTCAAAGCCAAAGCACGCATACGGGCCTTCCAGTAGTGGTTGAGTTCAAAGGCTGTCTGTAAATAGATTTGATCCTCACGGGTGAGCTCATTGATATCTTGTTCGCGTTCCGAGTTCAAAGCGTCAGGACCGGTCCAATCCTTGCTGTAGGGTGCCATCATCTTCGCCACGTTGTCAGGAATAGTGCAAAGTTCATCCCTCTGCAAGAAATCCATGACAACATTATTATCCAGAATCTCAGTGTCGCAGTGGATGATCATGCGGACCAGTTCATCCACAGGCACCTGAGAGAATTTCGCCATGGCGATCTGGAAAGTTTTCGAAAGATCATTGGAAATGATTTGTTTCTTATCCTTTCGCTGTTTGGCGGCTGCACTGCCCTTAAGGATCTTTGTCTCCTTGGCCATGAACAAGCGTTCAACCTCGTCCAGGACACCCTTCTTAGCTAGCTCGGTGTACTTCCGCTCCTTGTCTTCATGAGTAGGCGTGTGAGTAGCCCATACAGTTACTTGAGGAGTGTCAACCTTCTCCCAGTGAAGCGCCTTGAGCTTCTTCTTAGGTCGAATAGATGGCATATAAACGGTAGGCCCAGTGTGTTCTGCAACCAAATAATTTGTTCTCCAACTGCCGACTGGGCCACCTGGGGGAGGCGGCGGAGGGGGAGCTCCAGGCCCTGGTGGTGGAGGAGGAGGCGGTGGTGGTCCAGGGATACCGGCACCAGGAGGCGGAGGTGGAGGAGGTGGAGGGGGAGGAGGAATTCCAGCAACAGAACCTGGAGGTGGTGGAGGCGGCGGAGGAGGAGGAGGAGGCGGCGGCACACCCTGTACGCTGCCTGGAGGGGGAGGGGGAGGAGGAGGAGGAGGAGGTGGTGGTGGTGGTGGTGCAGGGACGGCCTTGGCCTCATCTTTGGTCTCATCGGAGTTCTCAACACTGGGCTCGTGGTCTTCTGCTGAGGCCTTAGCATCTTCAGAAGTGCCCTCAGCCTCTTTCTCATCAGCATCATATTTGGGAACTTTGGACGCGATTTCGCCAAGTAGACCGTTCGCCTTCTCTGGATCCAAGCGAGGGCGTTGTAGTTCAATAAGGCGAGGCTTCTCATATACGACATCTTCGTCGCCAAGGTCATCGGCACTCTCAGCCGCATCTTCCTTTGCTTGAGGTACGTGGCTCCTCTTCCGGTGAACGGCCCCCAGAGTACCTGTGTCGAGGTTGCGTGCTTTATTTTGAAAGTCATCGTTGAAGTCATTATCTCCGTCCATCTGCTCCCGCAACTCGCGCAAACGATCTGAAGGTCCATGTGTACCCCATACCTTGCCTTCCAGCTTGAACTGTGTCTTTGTGCGCTCAAGCTGGCGTTCCAGTCTCTCCATGAGTTTCTCGCGGTCCAGGATACCCCGCATCTGTGCTGGGTCAACTTCTCCTTTGTCGTTGTCAGCGGACTTCTTGGCATTTGATGCAGCTATATCTTGGGCATCTCGGAGCATCAGATACAGCTCTCTTGTCTCCAGTTCATTACGCTGGAGTTCCTGACCGCGCAGCCTCTGGACATCGGCGAGCTCGGCTTTCAGTGACTCGTTCTGCCTCTGTTGAAGCGCAATGATGCCGGTTTGCTCTTCAATCTGCTTTTGGAGCTTCTTGACCAAGCCATCCGCGCCCATCTCCACCTGCGCCCTCATCTCATCACGCTCAGCGATAGCCGCCTCGGCCACCTGGCGAGCTTCCAACGATTCATCGTAAGCTCGTCGGGCTTCTGCGTCCGTATGCAAGCGGTCCAGGAGACTCTGAACGGTAAATGACAATCCCTGGCGCAAATCCAGATCCGGAAGCCTCCTATCCATGGCCACGTAGCTGAGCATGGCATCCACCAGCTGGAACATGCGAAGTCCGTCCTCTCCTGAGTTCTCTCGGATAAGCAGCAGATGCTGCATCGCAGAGAGGAAGTAATCGTGTGATCGAGTGCCCTGGATCCTGGACTGAATCGCATCCGTGATTTGCATCGGATCATTCATATCCTTGACCTCGCCCTCGATGCTGTCCTTCATGCTGCTGTTCTCCCGCTGCAGCAGATCCTCGTAGTCAATCGCTTCATTCTCTCTGAACCGCTCGACCTGCTTGTCAATTACTTCATACTGGAAACCCTCCATCTTCGTCAGGAGCCGCTTGATACCGCAGGAGGTAAACTGCGCCCGGATATGGCACCGGAGCTGCAAGTCATTTTCCGGCGCATCGACCAACATATTGATCAGTAGCATTGTAGCCACCGCATATTCCATGAGGAGATTTTCCATACCAATTCCCCCGCTTCGGTATTCATCACTGGCACCAACCAGACTGCCCATCTTTCCACGGCCATCGATGGTGACTTCGACGATACGCATCCATGCATCAAAACGACCAGTTTCTCCCTGGAGATTCTTGACGTGATCCATAGCCTGGAGGACCTTCTGGTGCCCCTGACCTTCGGCCCAGTGGCAGAGGAAAGTCAATACTTCACTGACCAGCTTTCTGGTGTTGAGGCGTGGAGATAACAGCGAGCAGGCGAGTGCCACAATGACTTGCTGGTGAGCAAGGGCATCATCGGCACCATATTTGTTGTTCATCAATGCTTTGAGGCACTTTGCTATGTCATATTCACGGTCCAAATCTTTGTCTCCTGAAGTTGGAGCCACAGGCACAGGTCCAGAAGCTTTCCTTCTGTTAATCTTCATGAGGACATTCGTCAAAGCGATTTGACCTTGAGCCTCTACAAATGCCTTTACCCAACTTATCGGTTGCGTCCGAAGACTGACACTCAAGCTTCCAAGCTGTTTCGACGTGATAGTATCGTCCATCACCTTCCTCACATACCATTCAGGGCTTCCCTCCTCCTCTGATCGGCTCAGAAGCCCGCTTGGGGCCTCTGAACCATAAGTTTGTCTGGCATTATTCTTTCTTCTCTGCTCACCTTGTAGTTCGGTCAATCGATCCTGGTGGACAAGGGTCCATTTCTTCGACGCGGGATATGCTAGCATCTGCCTCTTTGCCTGCTCTGGGAGATTCTGCCAGCCTCTCTTCTGCATGAGGTCCAGGAAGAGTTGGTCGATCACCCGGTCGTCTCTGGGTCGAGTCAAATACTGTTCCGGTGGAACCGGTGGGACCGGAGGCTCTAGGGGCTGTCCTGGTAACCAAGAACCTTGTAGATTCGAGTATCTATTGCTAGCGGTGCTATATTGGGTGTTTCGGTCGGCGGAATGGGATGTGGTAAGGGTGCGAGAAGAATTATTATCCGAGAAATAGCTGGAGCCCCGCGTGTTGGAGGAAACTGACGAGTGAATGCTCATTTGATCGAGAGATATTCGAGAATTTGATGACGAATCCGCCGTGGAAGTAGAGTGATGGCTGAAGCCCGCATTCGCCGCAGAACTGCCCGGTCGACCCCATTGTTGGTAACGTGTGCCTCTGTCTCCAGTGGAGCTTGCAGCCATTGTTGTATTTGACACATGAGGTGGAGGACGGGGCCCTGTCGGATGCGAATACACATTTTGTTGTGCCGGAGGGTTCCATACGGGGTATTGGTGGAAGTCCGATGTTTCCTTTGCCAGATGGCTCGGCGTAGGCTCCTTCCGCGGCGACGATTCTGGCCTGGACACGGTCTCAATGGGGATAGGAGATCTGTGATCTGCTGGCAAACTCTCAAAGGGGATCGATGTGATAACGCCTGCAGTCATTGAAAGACCGGTAGCATCCGGCTCGTTGCCCAAGTCGATAGACTGTACCGATCCCCTCTTCGTATGGCGTGAGGTCCGCGATCCGGGCGAGCTCGCCATGGAAATGGGAGCCTCTAGACCTCCGTTTCCTTCATGTCGATGGTCCTCAGTCCGATCCTTGTGCAGTTTCCGTCCGAAGAACGATTTACCAGCCGACGTCTGTCTGGATTTGTCGCTTGCGGACGAGGAGGTGGGCATCCTGGCGGGTGTCGTTGGTTAGGCGCAGGGTGTAGCATCAGCGTCACTTTTGTTTATCTGTCCCAAATCGAGCTTCTTCTGCGACCAAATTTCAGCTGCTCACGTTCTCACGTCCCCAGCAGCAGTTGCGATGTATCTAGCGCTTCTAGGGAATCAATGTCATTCAGGGCCGATCTTCGCTCCTGACGATCGGTACCCGCTGCGGAGCGATCGAGAGCCGTCCAAAGTCGTCCAGAAATGCTCCCTCTTCACCACAGAAGACGGGAGCAAAGGTCGACCGTTGAAAACTTCCGCTCAAGTGGCGTTCACCAGATGCGCGCGGTTTGTTGTCCTTTGGGAAGCGTTCACCATTCTCGACCGTAGAGGGTCTGTCTACTCTAAGGGGTTCAGCGTCTGGCCCGCGGGCTTCGACGTCGCTGGTTCGCCCGCGGTTGGCGCTAAGGCTGACTAAGTCGCTAGCCTCAGGCCGCGTAGGCCACATCGGGTATGGGGGCGCCACGTGATGCGCGTACCGCCCGGGTCGCATGGCGGCACGTGATGCCGCCTGCTTCAGCCTTGACAAGTTGACAGCTGGGCGAGCACCAACGCGGATTCGATGCTGGCCCTAACGGCTCGTGGGATCTTCGCTCTGGACCCTCGAATCTGTGCTGATGTCGATATCATGAGGGGTGGCCGGTGATCCAGGCTGGTTCGAGCTCCCGGTCCCGTATCTTGTCTCCTGAACTCCGTCTCCGCCAGCCCCGGTGCTCGCGCTGTTCCGGATAGCAGTTCGTCTGTCTGTTGCTGAGAACCCCCAGACAGAGAGACCACGGGCCCGGTTATATTATTTCCATTACAATGGGAGCTCCCGCGGGTCTGCTCAAGGTAAATAAGTTGTCTCCTCTTGCTCCGGAATGCTACGTGGTTCTTCCATACTGACCAAAGCTGCTCTAGACCCTTGTGGTCCCCGCCCTTATCTCCCTTGCTCTATATTTACTTCTCTCATTCTTGATCATTCCATTCTTTCGACGGTATCATCAACGATACTCCCAGTATCTGCCACTACAGACTATCTCCGTGCACACGTCTTCGCTCCGAGATCGTCTGGCTGATGCATTGATGCATCTGTTTCTGCCATCTACCTGGAGGAGAGAGGCACGCCTCATTGAGGGACAGAACGATTCCGGTAGTATCTTTGATGAGGAAGGGGAGAATATGGTGGGGTTCGACCCGTCCAGGCGGGAGGCTCTGGAGAGGCGGCGGAGTACAACGAGTGATGATCAACCTCGTCTTAGTCGCGATCTGGAGGAAGGGTTCATGGACGAGAGCGACGAGGAAGACGAAGAGAGTATGAGCACATCACGTACACGTCGATGACCTTATTAAGGCGCAATTCTTGCGCACTGGGTCTCTCATTACGGCGTTGGCGCTCAGGCAGGATTCAAGGTCCCTTGACCGTATCGAATAATAAGTGGTATCCATGTTTTTCTTCTATCCTGGCCGCTGGACATCATTTCTTTTTCTTATATCTTGCTCAATATATGCCTCTGGGATTTTAGACATCGCAACAAGAGGGCTGCGAGTGTGCAGACCAGTTGATGAAGTATTTCGGGGAAAAGAATATAATTTCGAATCTCATCCTATAAATCGTAATATCACTCTATAACTCCTCGATCTCCATGTACATATAAAAAAATGACCGGTAACAATAAGAAACTGGGTCATGCACTGACTATTGATCCCGACAGCATCCATTGACGTTGTATTGTTCAGTAGAATTATTCTATATACCATTGTAGAATCATGATTTGTTCTCAGGGCCATGCACCATACGTAGTCATTCTCTTCGAATCTGTATGGATAATACATCCCAATCCTGTCTTTCAGGAACAGTCCGTCTTCGTAGCCTGTCAGACCCAGACGCCAGAAGTCTACCCTATACAACGCCAATGGCAAGTTTTCAAGCCATAATAACGTTCGTTCCATGCAATGCAGCTTTTACTACACATATCCAGCTTTAGCTGTATGATACAGGTAGAGAACATAGGCGAGGTCATATCAAGGTCTCTGGTGACAGTTCAATCGACTAGCCTTGTTATTCGACGTGATATTATTACAGACACAAATACATACTGCATAGTACATACATAGTAATCTCCTCGAATAATATGCGGAGGAGAACCAATCGGAGACGCCCAAAATAGTTGATTGATTAAGCTGGGCCTTATCTCCGAATTCCCGAACCCCGACATCTCGGAGCTTCAACCTTGGCGAAGCTAGGAACAGGCGCATTTGGACAGTCTCGCATCCTCTTCTTTTTCTCTTTGATTGTATTATTTACCCATATTGCACCTTGTCGCTGGACTTTCCTGTCTCCGTCTTTAAGTGTTTCAGTTTGTTCCACTGTAATGGGTATCCGTATCCGTCCGCGGGCTCCATGCTGGGCCTGCTTCTTCAACGGCTCAAGTACAATAGCTCGCGTACCATGGCACCAGACTGTTCGATATCTATCATTAACATCCTCATGTCGCTCTCGCCAGCGCATTGAAATTCCTCCCCCGTTTCCGGTCACGCAGACATGTCCCGAACCAACCTGCGCATGTGCACCGACTCCGCCCATGCCCGAGGGGTTGCCCATTGACCATGAACATCCACTCAATGGCACAATGGCAGCTTATGCGCAGCAGCTCATCATAGCAACTGGCCGTCCGGACTGGACAAGTCGCATTGAAGAGGATGGCCAAGGAGAAGGGTGGGGAGAATTGGCGCGAGGATTGAAAAAGTTATTAGGGAGGGGAGGAAAATACGCAGATGTATGCGACCAAACTCACTATTTACTCCCCCCTCTGAGCTCCATTGCAAGCTTTATGCATCATCGAAGAAAGAACTAAAGACATCTTTATCATATAGCCCTATAACAATATCCTCGTGACGAACTCTTCCTTCCCCTCATCACCATCCTCGTCATCCTCATCTACCACGTCCGCTTTTCTCTTTCCCAGCTTCAAATACTTCCGCTCAATACCTACCAACCTCCCCTCAGAGACTTTAGACGTCGCCTCTCCTACCTCTCTCACGACATTCGTCCGCGCCTTTCTCCTCCCTAAAACCCTCCACTCAATGCATGGCTCCATGCCCTCCCCGCAGCGAGAACAGCTCACTCGCTCTCCGGACCTAGCTTCCCACTTCCCAGCGACTTCGCTCGTACACTCTCCTACGATCCTCATCTGCGGCCACGGCGGCCGCGACATGCGCTGCGGTGTCCTAGGTCCTGTTCTCCAGGCCGAGTTCCAGCGCGTGCTGCATACAAAGGGATACCCATCGACGGAACTAGATGGAAACAAAGTGGATGGGCCCGGACACGCGAACGTCGGTCTGATCAGCCATATTGGCGGACATAAGTACGCAGGGAATGTCATCATCTATATTCCACCGGGATTGAAGGTCGAGGGGGGTGAAGTGAGTCCCTTGGCTGGTAAGGGGATCTGGTATGGAAGAATCGAGCCGAAACATGTCGAAGGTATTGTAGATGAGACTCTGTTGAAGGGGAGAGTTGTAAAAGATCATTTCCGTGGTGCAATCGGGCATGATGGGGAGGTTTTGAGGTTATAGGTTGTTATCATTCCCTGGGGAAGGGCGGTAAAAGAAAGCATTCAAAGGGTTATGTTATATTTATGAAATGTACTCTTATTATACACATTATAAACATCTAGATTGATGAATAGATACGATGGTTGGCATCAGAAGAATAAGAAGACGTCGCCGCTTCGCTTTCATGTACGGTTGATGTATGAAGAAGCAAATTGCTAATATTTCAAATTCTATTCCATGACTGCATTATAAGCGGGGATATCCAACGTGGTCTTCTATATAATACATCAGCTACATACATGATGCAGGCTTCATCTACATGATATGATACAAGGGAAACCATCAGCCGACATTTCGACGGAATCCCATTTCTACTCTAGAATACAATGTTTACCACTTTTCCACCCTTGACGACAATCACCCTTCTCCTCTTCTCCCAGTCGTTCTTCTCTGTCAGCCACAGCTTGCCTTCGTCTGTTTCCAGGATGTGGGAGATAATCCAGTTCTGTTCTTCCGCCGCGGGGTCCTGCTCCGCGCCGTGTACGGTGGAGTCGCCAGTAGTAGCCGGCTCAGGCGTGGGTGCGCTGCTCGGTGACAGCATTCTAGGGATGGTTGCGGTGAAGCGCAGCTTTCCGTTGATTTGGACAGCAACTGTCTGGCCGCCGCGAGCAGCGAGTGTAGCCGCGTCGGCGGAGGTAAGGAGCTGCGTGGGCCAAGATGCGGAGAAGATTGAAGGCACGACAGCGTCTGCTTCTTGCAGGAGAGGAGCATGGAGAGCTTCCCATGACTCGGAAGACAGCCCCGGAGCAACAGGAGCGAGGAGCCGGAGGAGGGAAGAGACGGTCAGATAGAGGACTGATGAGGAAGCCGGTGGGGATGAGGACAAGGCGTTTGTGAGTTTTGTAAGGTCTGAGATGACAGTATTAAGGCCGTAGGGGTTATTTTCGATGCAATTCGTGACAGAAGAGATGGTGTTGTGGGTAGAAAGAATGGCGTCCGCATCGCTGTCTGACAGCTGAAGAGGGAGCGGCAGAGAAACCGCATGGCCTGAGGTGAGGTCGTTCTCAGACACAGTAAACGAAGCTCTGGCAAGGTTCTCACGAGCGTCGAGCACAAATTTCCACAGCCTAACGAACCAGCGCTCGATACCAACAATTTTGGTCTCGTCCCACTCGAGGACCTCACTCACAGGAGCGGAGAAGAGGACATGGGCACGGGTCGCATCTGCGCCATACCTGCCTGTGCAAACAGTGGGGTCCACGCCATTATGCTTGCTCTTGGACATTTTCTCGAAAGAAACATTAGGGGTAATATCGGTGCCCTTGATGACGGGCTTGTCTGGCTTCGTCAGGTCTACCTCCGATGGGTGAAGGAATCGGCCCGTCGAGGGTTCCGTATAAGTCTTCCCGTGAACCATACCCTGTGAGAGTAGTGTCCGGAAAGGCTCTGCTGGTTGTTCTGCGATGGTGCCCAATTTGGCAATCTCAGGGAATAGCTCTGACTGGGCCAAGAATTTGTAGATGAATCGAGCGTACAGGAGATGGAGGATAGCATGCTCGACACCGCCGATATAGATATCAACCGGACGAGCTACAGTAGGCGAGAAGGGCAGCTCTTCATTCTTGGAATCAAGGTATCTCAAGTAGTACCAAGAAGAATCGACAAAAGTGTCCATGGTATCAGTATCTCGCTTCGCTGGTTTTCCACAGCTTGGGCACTCGGTATGGAGCCATTCCTCTGCTGATTCTAGGGGATTGCCCTTCTTGCCTTTCAACCAATCTCCTTCAATACGAGGCAATTCGACTGGTAATTGCTCGACTGGGACTGGGACAGGACCGCAATCACCGCAGTGGATTATAGGGATCGGTGTTCCCCAATGCCGCTGCCTACTGATCAACCAGTCGCGCAGTCTCCATGTCTCAGAAAAATCGCCCCGGCCGATTTGCTTGAGATCAGTAACGATTTGTTTGGCTGCCTCCTTGGAATGTAGACCTTTATACTTCCAGCACTTCGCAGTAAGGAACCCCTCCTGCGTAAAAGCTTTAGCGCCTTCCGCAGGGACGGTGTTGGTACTAGTCTCTTCACCAGTCCCAATAGTGGACTCTGGCTCAACGACTACCGAGATGAACTCTGGTTTCACGTTCTCTTTGAAGAAAGCCATGTCCCTTGTGTCGTGAGCCGGTACCCCCATAACAGCGCCTTCGCCATAACCGCTAAGCACGTAGGGTGCGACGAAGACAGGGAGCGGTCTCGAAATCTCTGGACTCTCCTTGTCGATAATATGCAACGGGTTATTGGCATTGACATCACGCAACTTATAGCCTGCCTTTGAATCTGATGGCAGGTCGGCCGCTTCGTCTAAGAACTTGCGCAGGCCAGGATCTCTCTCGGCAGCCTTCACGACAATTGGGTGGTCCAGGGATAGCGCAAGATACTCGACACCGTACAGCGTGTCCGGGCGAGTGGTGAAGACTTCTACATCGACTTTGTTCGACGCATCAAGGGTAAGCGGAAATTTAATTTTAGCCCCTGTCGACCGTCCGATCCAATGTCTCTGCATTGATAGCACACGTTCCGGCCAACCACCTGCGAGTGTATCCAGGTCTTTCAGCAATGCTTCTTTGAAGGCAGTGATGCGGAAGAACCATTGCTTCAACATCAGCTGCTCCACCTTTGCGCCCGAGCGCCATGAGTAACCATTTGCATCGACCTATTTCCCTTATCAGCAGCTTCATCCAAGCGTTCCACTTCCTGATGTCCCGCACCTGTTCATTTGCAAGGACTGTCTTGTCGATGGGATCGTAGTTGACCAATGCCTCCGCTTGATATGCAAGTCCCTTTTCGTAGAGCATCAGGAATATCCGCTGGGTATGTTTGTAAAACTCCGGAGAGCATGTCATGAGCTCCTATAGACCAATAACCCCTGTTAGCATTGCATGCCATTTCGTCTGTCTCCTCAATCAAAGGCGGCCCCAAGCTCATACAAACATCAACAGAGGGCAAATAACTTACCCTATCCCAATCGAAATTCGCCGAAATACTCATCAATTGCTCCTTCATCTTCGCAATATTGTCCTTCGTCCATTCCGCGGGGTCGATTCCTCGCTCGATAGCTGCATTCTCCGCAGGTAGCCCGAAAGCATCCCAACCCATGGGATGCAGAACATCCCGGCCGCGCATGCGGTAGAATCGCGACAAGACATCCGAGATCGTGTAGACGCGCAGATGGCCCATGTGTAGAGTACCGGACGGGTAGGGAAACATCGAGAGAATGTATGATTTCGGCTTCTCTTCTTTGCCCGACGTCGCTGTGGGTTCTGCCTTTGATTCCGATTGCCATCTTTCCTGCCACTTTTTATCGATGGCGAGAAGGTCCAGTTTTCGCGAAAGCGAGGTTGATGAGGTCGACGCAAGTCGTGCGAATGAATATGTATCTAATTTTAGGAAACGTAGGGTGTTGGCACTTCTTCCTCCATAGCTGGCATTGATGCAGCGCCAGTGCCCTCGTGTGAGGGTCACCGCGTGTGATCGCAAACGAGAGATGGGAAGCATTGTGGCTTGTGTAGCATCATGTCACAGCAAAAAGCAATATGCGCTCTGTACCATTGCCATTGACAGTGAGGCAGGGCGAAGTCAATTGAATTCAGAGTGCGTGTCCACCAGAGAGCGTTTCGCGTGTCTCTGTGGCCGGCGGAGAACCAAATCTTTGTTGAGGTCATTCCGGCTGTCGCTCCGCAGATCGCCAAGTTTTAGTGCCAAGAACAACGGAGATATCGCCAGTAATACAAGCGTACGATGAGAACATGAAAGTGAAATCTATATTTTTCTTTTGTTATTCTATTCTATTTTCTGGGATTGTTGGCGGGTCTTACGTATGGGATTCTGCAACTGGTCATCTAGTCGCCGCGTTACTGGTTGAAGAGTTGAGCAGAAACATACTATTAATAAAACTAACATGAACTGCTTCGAGGGACATCATGCGCAGAGGAAGTTTCACTGGTTGTGGGAATCAAGTTCCTCCTCGATGGTTCTCTTTTTCATCATTTCCGCTATATTCCCGTCGCTCTGTGTAGTTAGAGAGTAGTATACAGAAACAAGATGCGTGATCTGCCAACACCTGGCGGCTTGGAACACCAACTAAGGACCTAAAGGATTTCCTGAGTATATCGCATCGGAGTTATATAATGAAAATGGAAGAGAGAAACGAGAGTAGCTTTGAGACATAGTGGTGATCCGGAAGACAACTTGTAAAGGAGCGGACAAGGCTCGCTTCGTCTAGTCACGATACCCATTCAGTGAGCAGGATGACTGCTTCTATCCTTGCCTGTTTGACTAGCAACCCTCAAAGCAGTCCAACGCTAAAGGAGTGCCAGCTTTTATCTGAGGGGCCAACTCATCACGAATCTGACAGAACAGAAAGTGACCACAAGGACAGCCATGGACGCTGCAAGGTACTAACTAGGGAGCCTTCGAGCAAGACGTCATAGGTTGGCATGTCACCGTACTGCGAAAGAAGAGAATATACATGCTTAATTTTGTACAGAAGAAGAGTAATAGTTCGCTAAGCGAACATGTGCTTATATGGCAGCCACGGATACCACCTCCAGGACATGAACAGAAAGAATCACAACCAGTCATTCTGAGGCTGGTAAGATTTTTGGGGTAATGTCGCGAGCGAAGGCTCCGAGGGCCAAGCGTCCTCCCGGGGTGATATTTCCTGGGAGCGGGCTTCGGATAGGCGATAGAGACCGGAACCTGGAGGAACAGACTGTCGAGGAGCGAGGGAGAGCGGAGGTGGTGGCGGGAGAACCTTCATGATCGCTGCTCGGTCTATGGTGTTTCCGGACGAGGAGGAGTTGTGATTCCCTACATCGCTGTCCGAGTAGTATGGGCCTGGCGACTCGCTTCTGCGTTGACTTTCGGGTCCTGACAAGTAGTCTTCAATTTCCTTCATGGTATCCATCGTGAAAGGGACGTCGTAGGACTGCCTTGAGAATCCTCGGTCGTTTTGCTGCGTACTAAACGACTGTTGTGCTGGGGACTGGTACGGGCTGGACAGGTTCATTGTCTGTGGTGTACTGCCGACATTACTCAGTCGCAGACCAATCTGAACAGTGGCACTGCTAACACCAGATGAGTACAGCTGGTGTGACCTGGCGAAAGGGGGTTGTGGTGGAACCAAAAAGCTACCATTGCCCATGCTGTACATGCTGGACGTGGTCTGTGCCGGCAGAACCGATGGAGTACTTTCTGCAGCTGGGAAAATTGAATAGTTATTTGACACTTTCCTGGAATGGCCCGAAACAATCGTATCCTGATATTGTGGCGGTGGAGGCGGCGGCAAGGATTTCTGCGTATCGACGTTGTTTGCTGAAGCCGGTCTTGTGGCTGTACCTGGTCTTGTAGCGGTGCCTGGCCTCGTGGCAGATTCCATGTTTCCTGACGCACCTGATACAACAGACACATCGTGATCGCCATAGTACGATTTCTCATTTCCGTAACCGAACCTCGAAGCAAGGCTGTTTTTCCTTTCCAAAGGTGTCGTTATATGTTGTCCGATATCGAGTGGCATTGAACCGAATAACTTCCAGCCTTGGTTTCTCCGCCACGGGGCATTGACAGGACGGATAGCTAGGTTATCCGCATTTGAACGAAGAACTAGGTGCATAAAGAAGAATACGAAGCCAGACAGATTCAAAGTGACAACGGCCATCATTGCTGTTACTCCAACGCGGTGAGCGAATGTGAATAGTGCCCAGAAAGGCAGAATGAAGACCTACGAGAAATGTTAGACTGAATGAATGGTATGTCACGAGATGAAACTTACTAAAAGTAGTGCGCCAGCTGCAAGATAGTACACCACTCTGCTAGCGGCAACCCTCTCGTCTCTATCGAGTTTAACAGTTCGGAGCAGCTGCACAGTTACAACAGCACCGATGCCGATATAAAGGATGATGAGCGTCAACCCTATGGCAAAGGCGACATCTGCCCAGAACGCACTGAAAAATATCAGGGTGTCGAAACATTCATGGAACTTGACTGGCTTTGTTGCTGTCGGTATCAATGTGAGGATAACTAGGAACGACGCTACGGCACAGCAAATCGGTATATTCCACTTCCCTCGAGGCGCAAAGCGGTCCCTTTGCAGTCCTCTATATGCTGTCTCCGCTCCAAACGTCAATATTGTGAAGGCCACAATCCATACAGCTATAGGGAATTAGCTTCGGCTCCTTTCGCTATGGTTGATTGAATGTGTACCTGGAAAGACCGCTTGAGCGATATGCTGACAATTGCCCACAAAGATACTTTTGAGCCCAGTACCTTGGACACCAAGAAATATCAAGGATTGCACAATAATTGCCGAAGCAAGAACCAAGGGTACTAGGTCTGCGGGATGTAGCATGCGTAGGAATCGGTATTTCTTTCTGCAGTTGGTTAGCTATTGACTGCCTCGACATCCGACAATACCGGCCATCAGAGGCACGTACTCAGACTTAAGCATAGGGCTCAGCTCGTATACTCTCCACGCATCGTACATAATAATACCAATCACCAGTGCAGCAGCAGCAGCATCGAATGCAACGAGGAGCATTGTCGATGTTCGTTCTGATATACTCTCCTGCAGGATTAATTTGAATATAAAATTCTGCGTCTTTTGCAACGCCTTGCTGCTCTTGTTGAAAACATCGCTTTCGTCCATCTGACCGAAGGACCGTGCAACTGGGGCAAATAATGAATGATCCATCATGTACCGGTTAAAGAGGGGAACAAGATTATCCCGGACAGGATTAAAGTGAGCGTTGCGATGGCATTCGGCCGAGTCGAACTCAGTATTTATGCTCGTAAAAGAAAAGAAGAAAGAAAAAGAACGATGACTGGTCGACAGTCAAGAATTGAATGCAACGACAGTGGCTCTGCTATACCGAAGACTGCCGGAGTCTCGACACAACGAGAGGTTCCAGGCCAGCTGAATCGCCGTGCAGAAAAATAGAAAGAATAAAAAGAATAAAAAAAACCTTCAGAGAGGCTGAAAGTCGTAAAGAAAGGTAAACGAAGAATTAAGAAACATCAAGAAAAGCGAAAGAAGGTGGCACAGGGTACTTGAGCAGAAGAGGTCCGTGGAGTCCATGGCCATGTCCACCCCAGACAGACGGGACCAGCGCCCAAACAGTCACAGCGTCGTAATCGACACCAAGTCTGTCCTCGAAAAAGAAGTGGAGGGACGACTAGGAGCTTGGCACTTCCAGGAATATAACTGTTTCATACTTTAGGAGGAGTATTATGATCCCGCAAGCACTACGATCGTCCATCATCCTCGCGGAATCCAAACGAGATATCCGGTCAAGAGCCAGCCGTTTCAACAGAACCTGTCCGATAGCAGGGAACAGACACGAACGTACAAGTGGGTCTGAGCACGGAGACAGTGAATGAGGATTTGAAATAGCATCTGGTTTTGCACAATTGACCATATGCAGGCTTCACGCGAGTATCCCTGAGTGTTCCAGGTGAAAAAGGACTGAGAGTCAGGTGCAGTGACTAGTCCGCAATTGTGCTTCACAAGCGACATGAAGTGATCACAGTCCCCCATCAGAGCGACTGATCTTTCCAGAAACATGGAGGAAGCAACAATGAACAGTCGAGTCCAATCCAGAGCACGGGAAGATCGACGAGTAGCGGCCCGTCATCAGCACATGGCTGAGCTTAGGGGCCAGTGGAGACTCTCTTGGGACGTTGAACCACTGATAGGAAGCTCGCATACTTCCTCTCCGGTGGTGATCCTTTTGTTATCATCGAAGAGGGAAATAATAAACACAGCAGCGGTAGGGGGCTGACACAACAGTCGTGGGATCTCTGGGATGAAACCGGCCGGGTCTGGAGTGGCTCACACTAAACACGCCGAGAAGCCACTGTGCCGCGGTTCATCCCCATGAGTATGGACCATAACCGCAGGCGCTGGTTACTCGATCGGTTTCATAAATGTTTGGCTCATCCCAACATAGCAATTCGCGAGGTCGTCTGGCGATCATTAGGTCTTGTTGCTCTCAGAGTCGGCGGGTAAGTCTCGTTTCGGCTACTTACAGATGGACCAGGAAAGACTCGCCCGCTGCAGAGAAAGCTTGGACCAGCCGTCCGATCATGAAGACATGAACACTATGATCGGGTACAGTTCGTAGATGGTAGTAGCGCAGGAGTAGCGAAATGAGAATAATAGAAAAACGTGGCATTCCAGGATCAAATATCAGTGGGGTGTAGTTTCAACGCACGGAGATCACTAACCTTGGTCTCAGTTTTCCGTGTCAAGAAGACGCTCAGCAATTATAATCTACGCCCTGCATCCGCGCATAGAATGCTCTCTACTCTGACCCATGGAGGCATTTATATTATCAAAATTCGATCAAAAAGGTAATTACCTCAAAGAAAGAAAAAAAAAATTGATGTAGACTGTGCACTACTATGACCCGGAAGATTATGTCCCGTAGTGGGATCACTGAGCCTATCCTCATGAGACAATGTGTCTCACAGCTTACCAGGGAACATTCTCCAGCCTTCCTTTCTTGAAATGGTGCGTCAGTGACTCCTACACCGCACAGATGGGGAATCCCCTTTGTTCTACGTCACTGCATGCTTGAGAAATGGGTATGGTCAGTTCCTACATCTGCGTCTATACAGGCGCTAGGAACCGCTTCCATAATGTGATAGTGTGATAGAGTACAATAATAAGGTACTGAAAGAGACCTGGATCTGTTCCTAACTACTGCAAAGTGACATGATCAGATCTGCCTCATGCTAAAATGCAATTCTACCTAGGATACCCCTGGGATGTATTCGACGCAGTCCAGGCCTTCACAGTTGATCATTGGTAATTGGATTCCCAGTTCATTTTCTTCCTTTCATCCGCCTGAATTAGGCAATATACATCAACAAATCTAGTTAAAGCTTCTCAGATCATGCAACTCTAATGCAACAAGATATCCCAGGTAGGTAATATTACTCCTACCAGAAAAGATGATCTCCGTGGCTCGCGTGGTGTTCGAACCATCCTTTAATCCGGATGGAGTAGTTCCCGGTCTCCATGCTGAACGGAAAGGGAAATGTGACAGAGACTTGCAGCGGTGAGCGCTCTGTTCGTCCAGTAGCATACATTCATGCAGCCAGGGGCCCTTACTGTGCTTCAGCAGGGGCATATAAAGTACGTGATGGCCCTTTTGTGGTGCATATAGATACCTATAACGTCTATCGGTCTACTATAAAGGAAATATATTTGTCAAAATGTGTTACAGAAGCAAGCAGCCAGATTGCAAAAAAAAAAAGTGCGCTATTATTATGTTCCTTTCCGCATCCATCATTTCGACTCATAATTCTCGAGGACCGGCGACTTTCAGTTGCTCAGAAATATAAAATGCTGTAGTTCGTGGCGCTACGATCCTTATGGGATATCATGAGATCTAGAGACTACGAAAGCTCTCCCTCACATTTGTTCTAGTTTCCAGACCCACTGCATGAGATAAATTATCTGAATTGACTCCTATGTCAGAATCAAGGATCAAACGGTAGCTGTATTGGCGCATGGTACACGGAGCTCCTCCAAGACTAAAAGCGAATTCAAGACGGGGACATCCGGAGGAAAGAAAAAGAGGGGGGGACAAGCCTCGAGATGAGATGATTATGTAATTCTGTCACCAGAGAATGACAAACCTTACCAAAAGACCCAATATCCATTCCGTCTTCATCTCCCCAGCTTATCCACCATGCATCACCCCGCTGCAAGATTTGAAAAATGTAATGTTCAGCGACCTCCGGCTCGAGACTCACCATCGTGGAATCTATGTTCTCACGAAGGAAATTACAAAGACCAATATAATGACTGCTTACAGCGTTCATAGAGGACGAGAACAAGGGCATGGTCTACTTACAGTTCTATAACCAAGATAAGCGCACTGTGGAAGAGCTGCTACAAGAAGAGATAATTCTGATAGCCAAAGAGCCATATCTGCAACCGACGTCTGATGGAAATTGCTCCGCGCGGACCGTCTTTCTGAGATTGTGTATCCATACGTATGACCAGCGGGACCCAACGGGATCCAACGGGACAGTTTAGCTCTGCTGGAAAGAAAAGAGCAATATACTCTTCAGTGAGAGCAAGTATATTAGTTCTATTGAATGGTAGATAGCTTCATTTCTACTTTCTGCAAAGTGCAGCACTCATAATGTTAGAGCTGCACGAGATTTGTCAACTGTGAATGGCCGAATGATCAGGTTCGAGCGATCAAGCTCGACCTCTCTCGCGAATTACTGAAGATGGAGCGGTACGATTACCCTCTCAAGTCATCTTGACCCAATTTTCCAAAAATTCCAGCACGACAGGAGAAGGCGCTCTTCTGTAAAATCCCAGACATTATACAATCCGGGAGGTACGAAGAATGCGGCAAAGTCCTCAAGCTCCTTCACCTACAGTGCCCAGACGACACTGCAGCCAAGGTCATATTTAAGAGAACTATCTAGTATCTGGATGAACAAAAGTATGGCAAATACCAGTTTCAAAGAGCTGTAGGTACAGTGAAGCAGGTAGGCGGCTACCAAAGCTAGATCACGCAACCTACAGTGACCCTGGGCCCTGTAGCAGTTAGGTCTTCCGGCTCTCGGGGGCCCGGTCTTTTCACGACAAAAGAAGTCAAGGCAGGAGATTTGTTGTTATGGGAGAGAGGGCATTCTTCTTTTATTACATCGATGCTGAGAATCCGGAGGGAAATGTAGACATGACGCTACCGCTCAAGAAAGAGACGAATACCATAATCATGGGGCACACAGACGGGCCTATTCGATTAGCCGCCGGGGTTCTACCCCAGACAGGGAGGTTGAATTGTGCTATAAGCCAGGGTGATTACGATGAATGCTAGAATAAATTCGCCCAGTGGTGGTTCAAACGCGATTGCACTATCTGCCAAGATGTGTCCTCGTCGTTAAACGCTTTTTGAGCTCTTCCCCTCGAGGAGAGATGACATTAAGAGTATTGGACCTTTATTTAGCCAATTTGAGTATTATATTACCCACAGCAGTGATAATAGTGGCGAGTACGTAGCCATGGCAAGCAGAAATACTCGCTGCCACGTTAAGAAACCCGGCGGTATTTGCACATTATCAACTCTTTTGGTGTTCGAGTCATGGCAACCATGACCAGGTTTACACCCTCATTTATACTGCACCTCCAAGTTGTTGTGATCCTAGAGTACATGCTATATAGCTGTGCCCTGGTCCTTTGCGCACTATCTCCTGCACATACTCGGCCGACCAAGACTCCATACTCGGCCCCAACTCCGGTCCCGGAAGAATACCTCGCAAGCCGCTGGGCTCCGGAGGTCCCGGATGGGACAAATATTTTCGGCTTCCGATGCCTCAAGGCCCGATCTAATCTAGAGATCGGTGCTTAAGCCTTCTTCTTTTAGCGCACCCCCACGTCCTTAGGTATGCGCCACTTGGCCCTTGTTATTCCCTTTTTATAGATGGATCTGGGCCTTCTGCTTTTAAAGTTAAAGATATGACGTCATGGTACAGGAGCTACCGTGACGCTCAAAAGAGATAACGAGAGTTAAGATCTGAGAACATGGAGATGATGGCGGTAAGATAATGAGTTGAGCTATAGTAAAAGTGATACTATGGACTTTTGAATAGATGTAGAAGGCGAGATAGAGCTGATTTCTCTTTTTGGGTAGGAATTGGTGAGATCGGCCTTAATTACGTATCCTACACTATTTCGTCGAAAGAAAACCTGGTATGTGCGTTGATCGTCGATATTTTCAGCGTCCACAGAGATTATATGCAACGTATTCTTCGACATTCAGATTGAGTAGTGAGATCGAAGTGCGCGGCGTGGACGATTCGAAGCGAAGAAACGTTTGATGTGCACTGAAATGTGTTAGTCGGCAAGCTGGCTCAGATAGGATAGCAACCCTTCTGCACTGTAGATTCGCTAGCATTTTGCTCTCCAGTCCAATGAAAATCGACCTGCTGAAGACGGCCAGGTCACCTTATCGCTCCCGAAATCGATGATGGTAGCAATACAACAAGCAGGGCCAGCCTGTTCGCTTCGACATCCGCGCGACTCCGGTCTGGCGGTTATCGCAAGCCAAAAAATGACATCACGATCTCAACAATCGCATTGGAACATGGACGTGAACGGCCAGTAGCCATCTTAACCGACTATTTTCTGCGGCAACCGGTTGCGAGAAATCTCCATCGTTCACAGACATGGGGTGTCGCGCTTTGTTTTTGAGAGATCGGATCCGCTACGGCATTTCAGGATCAAACCGAGTCCGTCCGGGACTGCTTGCGCCGTGGTGATCTGAGAACGTTCTGACTTCCTGGCGTCGTATATTATCAGTTTCATTTTGGCGTTCCTGTTACCCAATTGTCCCCTCACCGGTGAAGCCACTAGATAGACTACACAAGTTCACCTTGGGGACGAGAGAGCTTCCCCTCAGTGAGCTAAGATGGCCTGACGTCGTGCCTGATATCGGAGGATTGGCTCCGATTCGGGGAAACGATGGGAGATACTCGGCATAGTAGCGGGCCGTCAGGAACGCGGGCGAGTAGATTGCAGATGCAGGGATGCGACAATTATTGCAGGGAGGACGAACCATCATTCGCACTGCCGATTGCAGTCTCCAGCAGGGCCAATATTACGGAGTAGAACGGTGCGAGCTAAGATGCTGAAACCGGAGTTTTCTGTCGCTGTGATGACACAGGACCAGGTGACCCCGACCCCTCATTATGTCAGCACCCCTCATGTAAGGAACTAGGCCCTATACAGACTAGCGCGAGGAGTACGTAAGGTGGACGAGGCGAATATAATCACGTGATATCATTGCCCGTTTGGGCTATCTTCTCCAGACACCAAGAGTTGATAGTCGGAAATCGAGACAGCATCCCCACGCAGTTCCTGCTGCGGATTCCAGACGAGTGGCTGCGAACGCTACAGACGGGCTCGGTCTTTCCTCTGGTCTGGTGGCCTGCTGCTCAATCGTCGTGAGCCCCGTGTGAGCCCCTCCTGCGATATCTACGTGGTTAAATGCCAAGTAATTGGAGCAACCCCGCATGCGAACAAGCATTTCCCACTACCACCACCATTCGTTACAATATGAAATGATACTGCAACCCGGCATCTGGTCTAGATTTCCCGGTTATTGCAGGCTACTGTGTAGACAAGACCGACCTCTGGCTCAATTTCGCTCTTCGACGTCCACGAGGTGTCTTGAATACGCGACTTTGAGGGTTCCTCCTCCGGACTGGGTAATTAGAACCAACTATACTGACGCCCCGTTGACGTGCCTCGTGCGGAGAGAGCTTCGGTGGAGCCTCAAGCGCGCGATTGTAGCTGCCCATCCGGGTTGCACCAACTCCGTATGGTACTCTAGTATGGTAGTAGGCGGTTGAGTATCATACACTGGCGATTATCATTATTCTCTCTCCCCTCTTTTTTTGCCGGTGTACCAATTCTACAGGCCGTGGATCGGAGATTCCCCAACCCAACCCACTCTAGTTTAGAGTCCAGTCCAGTCCAAGTCCATCTGTAGAGTATCCACGAGAGTATCCACGTCCACGACAACTTTCCTGACGTCTACGATGGTTTCCATCTCAACGGTGGGGGGGCCGCCCTCAGCACAGACATTGGCAGCTTGGTAGCATCATTGGGAGGGGTCTTCTACCTAGTGCTTCCCAGAGGGGTATCGTAGAGGGGCTCTTTCCACCATGGAGGGGCTGGCCAGAGGGGTTAATCGAATGCCAACGTATCCCAACTGGCTCTTCCAACAGCGAATTATCCTTATGGTGGTGTAGACCAGGACCGGAGGGACAAGTCTCCAGCTCAGGACCCGGTGGGAATTTTGAGTATATATATGCCCGGTTGGACGGCCGGTTTCCCAGTTTCCAGTCTCTCCAAACAACAACAACAACCCTCTTCTATCTCCTGATCTTTCTGAGATCTCAGTCCGCGATCTGATCGCCCATCTTCATTGGTATGTACTTTATCATTATTGGGGGAAGAATGTGACACTAGTTTGTTTCTTGCCGCCCCATTCTGCTACTTTCCACGGCATCTACCGTCGGGGGAAAAGCCCCCCTTGTACAGTATTGTACATACCTACCTGGACATTGTCGTCAGATCGCTACTTTGTTTCTGCCCGCTTCCGGCCTGGTCCTTGATCTCATTTCCAGCTTGTTCTTCCTGCTGGGCTGATCCTCAGCTTGTTCTCTGATCCCCGCTGCCCCGCTCTTCCTCTGCCATGATGCTTCTTCTCCCATCCGGGCTTCCGTATCGAATGTTCAGGGAAAGCTTAACTGCCCCTTGAACTCACTTGCTGACGACGTGCTTCCCCGTACAGATATTATTTAAAGGGTTCGTCCTCCCGTCGGAAGAGGTCGTTTGTAGTCTCAGATCCTAACTACCTCCTTCTTCTCTACTACTACAGTTCAGTGGAATCTCATCATCCTTCAAAATGGTATTTATCCACTCTCTCTCCCGCCAGCTGCGGCGTCCTGCTGCCCAGCTGCTGTCCTCCAAGGCAGCCTTTGCGCGCCCGACAGCGTCTCCTTTCTCTGCTGTACGCACACTAACAGCTACTGCCTCGCAACAGGCCAAGATTCTTATGGTCCTCTATGACGTAAGTCACCCATCACCTCCAACCACCGCTATCTATATGGCCAACCGGTCATTCCGAACGTCGACGGCGAGAAAAACATCGAGTTTTCGTGTCGAATGCGGTTGACCATCAACCTTCTCCCCAAACCCAATTGCTGACAATAATGCCAAACAGGGTGGCGTCCACGCCAAAGACCAGCCCGGTCTGCTCGGTACCACCGAGAACGAGCTTGGTATCCGCAAGTGGCTCGAGGACCAGGGCCACACCCTCGTCACCACCTCCGACAAGGATGGTGAGAACTCCACCTTCGACAAGGAGCTCGTTGACGCCGAGGTCATCATCACCACTCCGTAAGTGTTCTCTCCTGTCGACCCCTTTCTCTCAAACTGGAACATCAACTCATCTAATTGCTTTTTACAACAGCTTCCACCCCGGTTACCTGACCGCTGAGCGTCTGGCCAAGGCCAAGAAGCTCAAGATTGCCGTCACCGCTGGTGTCGGTTCCGACCACGTCGACCTCAATGCCGCCAACAAGACCAACGGCGGCATCACCGTCGCTGAGGTCACTGGCTGCAACGTCGTCTCCGTCGCTGAGCACGTTGTCATGACCATCCTGACTCTCGTCCGCAACTTCGTCCCCGCCCACGAGCAGATCGTCAAGGGCGAGTGGGATGTTGCCGCTGTCGCCAAGAACGAGTTCGACCTCGAGGGCAAGGTCGTCGGTACCGTCGCTGTCGGCCGTATCGGTGAGCGTGTCCTGCGCCGTCTGAAGCCCTTCGACTGCAAGGAGCTCCTCTACTACGACTACCAGCCCCTTAGCCCCGAGGTCGAGAAGGAGATCGGCTGCCGCCGTGTCGAGAACCTCGAGGAGATGCTCGCCCAGTGCGACGTCGTCACCATCAACTGCCCTCTCCACGAGAAGACTCGCGGTCTCTTCAACAAGGACCTCATTTCCAAGATGAAGAAGGGCTCCTGGCTCGTCAACACCGCCCGTGGCGCCATCGTCGTCAAGGAGGACGTTGCTGAGGCCATCAAGTCCGGCCACCTCCGCGGATACGGTGGTGACGTCTGGTTCCCCCAGCCCGCTCCCAAGGACCACCCTCTGCGCTACGTCCAGGGCCCGTGGGGCGGCGGCAACGCCATGACTCCCCACATGTCCGGTACCTCGATCGATGCCCAGATCCGCTACGCGGAGGGTACCAAGGCTATCCTGGACAGCTACTTCTCCGGCCGTGAGGACTACCGCCCCCAGGACCTGATCGTCCACAAGGGTGACTACGTCACCAGGGCCTACGGTCAGCGCAACAAGGCTTAAATGCCCTGAGCGTGACCTCTTTCTAAATATATCATGACCCGTTAACGACCTTCCACTGGACTGGACTTTGGGAATTTCATCCTGAGCACTCGATAGTAGAGATCGAAGGGGGCCCACTGATTCATGAACTATTATTATTATATATATACATATAGAAATTGAACAGATCAAATAATCTTTAAAAATTCTGTTTTTCCTATGTAGTCTCCACTATCGTTATTATTGATTTCTCCACAGCCATTCCCTAGTTGGTTTGTCACCCTGGATCCACCCTTAGTAAGCTACCAACCTCGCCTGCCATATCGCTTTGAAGCACGTGAGCAACATGTAGTGTACAGGGACATGGAATTCCCATTAATGCAGGGTGCCAGGTTTATTTCTGCAGTTTATAACCAAACATACATACACATGTATGTATATCATGCGCTATTTGATTGCGGCATACTGCAGAGTATTCGCGTCGTGTGGAATTTTAGTTACACACACACACACATATATATATATGTATATATATATATATATCTTACCCCATTTGCCGTATCTGAAACGTATGTAGAATATTATATAGTTTCGATAGCGCTCAACGGTAAAATCAATAGCATTACAATGCGTAGGATATCTTAAATCAGCAGATTGGGAATACTCAAATACTTCTATCGAGTTAATCTCATCGTCGTTTCCCAAGCGTAGGTAAATCCCCGAAGGATATCACCATCCTCACCCTGTACGTACTTGACTACTTACTATACAATAAACAAACTAACTAACCTTATCCAAATCCCATCACGACCTCCAAAAAAAAATCCCAAATCCCGTCCAAAAACCTATTACCTACCTAGGTATGCAGTAAATAATAGTTCGCTAACTAACTACGGAAATACCCCAGCCTACCCGACCTAGTGCGCTGTGCGCAACCCCCCAAAAACGCGGGGGAGGAGTAAAAGTAAGGTAAGCTAACTAGCCGCAGCAAGCAACAAGAGAGGGGAAAAGAAGAAAAACCCACCCCGGTGCGGAGTGCCCAACAACTTTCAATAATCGGCAAAGCTAGCTCCAAGCTCCAAGCTCCAACTCTTTTTCTGTTTCTTCCCTTTTCTTGGCGATGTCCACAGTTGAGGGTTGGTTAGCGGGGTAAATACCTAGTACTGTAACCTCCTGTGGTAGTTATTAGTTTAAGATTATTTACTAACTACCTAGGTATCTTGTAGACTTGTACTAAGAGGAAAAATTACCCCGCGTAGGGAGAGAAGTACACTACCTAAGTTAATAATAATAATAGTCTAGTGATTGTTTTAGGATAGTAGGTGTGTTTTTTTGATTAACTGGAATAATAGGAGAAGAGAGGAGAGGATCAATCTGCAAAAATGCGAACTGATAGATGATTATTGATTCGTTGGTTCGTTAGGTGGTTTGTAGGACAATGAGGTATTAGATCTATCTATCTATTGTACGTAACTGAATTAGAATATTCTGTGCACAGACATTCTTTGTATGTGTTATGAGGTTGGTTTGAAAGGGGGAAGTGGTTTCTTTTACGTTATTGATATAGTCTTTATGGCCTGAATAGGGGAGGGGAAATAATACTTGAAAAGGAACTTGAAAAGGGGGGAAAGAGGAATAGAGATATTTAAGTATAGTTAGTTAACTCTTCCTGGTATTGAGATGACTAGATAATGGGGGTGATGGATGACTTGACCTGCCTGGTTGCTCGTATGGTATATGATGACTGGTATTACATGTTGGGGTTCAAGAATCTGTGTTCTTATCTCTAGTTGCTATCTCGAGAGTCTGCCTTCTTACGCCTTGTGTTCCTTCAGGGAGAGACGTAGGCGGAAGCTTAGTAGAGAGCACTCAAGGCCTTAGGTTGATTTTGGTTGCCAGCTCCTGTCGCAGTCGGGGCAGCATTCCTATCTTCCGATATCGTAGGGGCACGCTTCGAAGGACTGTGCAAGACTACCATCTGAAATTATAGCACTACAATGCCTGAGTAAAAAAAAGCAAATTGGTATTGTCGTTTCAAATAATACATTTAAACCAGGCCACGGGGGGCCATCCAAAACGGTGTTAAGGTACGGCACGGAGGAAACATTGCCAGAAAGGACACGCGACGAGCGCCAGGTACGAGACCCGACATTCATCGCGTGTCCTTTCTGACAGCGACGTCTCCGTGCCGTACCAAACTACACCACCGGCCGGTTTCTTCCCCATTTCGGGGGCCCGTTCACTCCTGCTGAACTGCTTCTCCCTCTCCGTCTTGCTCCCAGCTCCGGGAGAAGACCTCATTGAGGGCATTCTGGAAGGTCCGACAGTTCATGTCGATCAGACCCTTCTTGTCGCCCGCCTCCGGGTTGCGGATGACGGAGACGAGGCAGAGGTACCTGGACAGAGTCAGTACGAACATGATCTTGAAGAGGAAATAGGAATACAGAAGGGAGACCTACTTGTTCATCTCCATGAGATGAATCATGCTCCCGTCATGGAGCATCACGTGACTCTCTGCCTCGCGCATCTGGTCGCCCTTTGGCTTGCGGTCCGGGTGGTCCCAGGAGTAGAGCTCCGAGATGTCAACAATGACATCGATGTAGTCGGAGCACATCTCGTAGCATGCCATGTCGACCGGACGAGTGTCTGATGCAATGTAGATTTTGCTGAGAACGTCGAAAAGGTAGGTTTTTTCGAATCCGCAGTTATTGACAAGGATGTTGATCAGGTTCTCCAAAGTTGAGAGCTGAGGGATCAGTTTCTGGATGACCTTGCTGAACGCTTCGAAAACCGAGTAGTCATAGATGGAAGTGAGGTAGTAATGGACTGGGGCGTTCTCATAGCCAGCATCGCTAAGTTCGTCTGAGATACGCTGAACGATATCCTGGAAAGTATCGGTGCGGTATTCGTCAGAAAGGCCGTCGACCTTGTGAATGAAGACTTCGATGTTGATGTTAGGGTAGTACTGCTGGACAGTCAAGATGGTGCGGTTCAAACGTGCGACCGAGTCCAAGTAGTCGTCCTGAGCATCGATGACCCAGACCAGAGCTCCCAGTGAGCCAAAGATGTCTTCAAGATCGAAAGAGGGCTCGAGATACTCCAGCTGTCCCGGAAAGTCCCAGACCTGGAAGTCCATGAAAGAGCTATACCAGTTAGCATGGGAGTGCACATAAGGATCATACATACTTACTGGATAGAGTCTTTCTGAATACGAGTAGTCGATTCCAGGAACAGAGTTTCAGTAGGCGGCATCTTATGGAAGACCACGCTGGATATAGACGACTTGCCGCTCCTGGTGGGGATCAGCCCTTGCCATACTCAGAACATATCCACACCCTTGGTCTTACCTGCGAAGTCCCATCAACAGAAGACGCGGTTTCGTATCACGTAGCTTCGGGTGTCCAGCGAGCTGGCCAGGTTTGGCTTGCCCTGGCTGCGCTAGGGCTTGATTGGAGCTCGATCCCTGTAAGGTTTCCTCAAGGCTTAGCTGTGCACCTGTCTTGACTTCTGGGGGCTCTCCATGCAAGAGGGAAGTATCTGAGTAGATGTGACGTTCTGGACCCGGCAACACCTTCCTGCGGTTTAGATGCGCCGGGGGTATTGGCATCCTGGATGGCCACATACCAGCGAACAGACCAGCGAACAGCCACTCAGGAGGGGGGTGTGATTGTAGATAAGGGTATGGACAGTGGAAAGAAGAGTGTAGCTTGCTTTCAGACAGTTATAACACTAGCAAGACTGAGGATCTTTGTCGTGAATACTCCCATACGCATCACGTGCTGGCAACTCCGGGTTGCCGTGACAAGATGTCAAATGGCTGTAGCCTCAAAGGAGCACTTAACATCATGACCTTTGCACTTGACGGCGACATGAGAGTTTTCTCACAACGCAAAGGTCTCGCTTCTAGCAACTGGATGAAGAAGGCTCTCGAGGCACAAACGCAAACGAAGAAACAAGGAGATCAGGAGAACACGCGCCAGCCCATGGGAAGACTCGTCAACGCTCCTCGCGAGGTCAAGCCTTAGAGGAAAGTACCACAGATGCAAAGACAAAAGTCCGTAAAGGGAATCACAGGCTTATCAGAGATAGGAATACCCCATCAATCAACGTGGATCCGCTGGCGGTACGCGCGGGTACAGGACAGCAACCCAGGCACCAATAATAAAAGGTTCGATGGAGGCTCGAAAAAAAGGAATAAAACAGATAACAGAAACCAAGAGACGGGTTTGAACATGATCGCTTACCTCCATTATGCTATCTGTCTCGTGCTCGCGAGTCCAAACGCCAGTCAAGACGACCTGTCGAGAGCTTTCTCATGCGGATCATATCAGCAAGGCCCATCAAGGAGCTATATCAAGGACAGAAGATCCAATACGTGGCGGAACCAGAGATAGACATACCGCTAGATGATGCTGTTGGCCGGAAGGATTTTGAGTGCGTGAAGCAGGTGTGGAGAAGGGAAGCTGGATGGTCCAAGGCTGTGTCTTCTTCCAAGAACGTCCTGTGCCTGGGAAGGTGAAGAAAGCTTAGAGCAAATCACGGCGGCAAATTCCCCAGCCGTCTTTGAAGAATCAGGCTTGTTGTGTGGACGACGATGTCGCCGAGACGATCAGTGTACGTGATTGGTGAGATGTACGCAAAAAGCAAAACACAGCTGCTCAGGTATGTCCACTCATGGCCGAAAGACAGGAGCTTCCAAGATACACGTGTATGGAACAGCCAGAGAAGCCTACTAGAATGATCATACAGACTATCTCAAGGATATCCCTGCATATCATCCACAGAGCTGGAAAGCGGGTGACACGGACAAGGCGGCGGGTATTAAATGCCTTCACCGGTGGAGATTCTGTTTGCTGAGCCTGAGGATTTCTAAAGGTGCAGCAGTCCAACCACTACAGGAATGGGTTAGACAGGAATATTGAGGTCAGTAAAAAGAATTGAACCAGAGAAGCCGTCACTAAGAAGCCGGCAGTTTGCAACAGGCCGAGACGTCGTGATACGATTAAACGTGGTGGTGCTTCAATTGGCTGCCGACGGGCTTGGCAGAAGCGGCAGCTGTCCCCACTTTCCCGATTCCGCACAACATCCAGGTCTGCTCTTGTATCGGAATTGTATACAGACGTAGGGATTCAGGATCGATTCACAGGGTCATTTGGGCCCAAAGAGGCCCCAGCCGTGGATCTTTCTCTGTTCCGCGATTAAAGCTCTTTCGCTATGGCATAACTCGACTTCGCTGGAGCAGACTACACCCTTGCCCGAATCACCAATGCTGTGCCGACATACCTAGAGGGCTTTTCTCCTCTAGGTCTGAGCGACGTTGTACTAGATCAGTAGCCTAATTCTGGCGTTCAAATTTCAAGAGCGGTCAGAAGTGTTACACAGTAAGATTGTCTGTGAAAGGGGAATCAGTTGGACAAAGAAAACGCCCTGCGAGCTAACTTATTCTTTGATAGTATTTCTATCTATCATGCGAGATCAGAGAATATTTTTGACCAGTTTTAATTGCATTGTCCGGGAATATGGCTTCTGGAAATGGTACTTCTGGCAATAAACGCCTATATATTAGGTAGAGTATATCTGCGAGGCACTCGGGTCGCCGATGACGTATGTCAAATTCTTACTCAACCAGAACTGGTTGCCCTAAATAAGCAGCATGTCTTAAGTTTCGATTGCTATTATTGCTCTGTATGCCGCATAAGAGGGCCCGTCTGAAATTTTCATGATGTTCTTGATAGGGAAACTGTTGGCAAGGACCTCTCGCATGCCAGACATAGTTACCGTTGCTCCTACAACTCATCTTTCATGGTACCCCTCACGTCTCCCCCAAAGTCCTTATCATTTGCCATCAATGCCAAAATATCCACCAGAAGATCAGCAGCGGCAATGCTAGTTGTTTCCGCTACAGTGTCGTACGGCGGAGAGACCTCGACCACGTCGGCGCCTACTAGATGAACACCTTCAAGACCCTTGATGAAGCGTTTCAATTCGCGCGTTGTCCAGCCTCCTGATTCGGGAGTACCAGTAGCTGGCGCAATGGAAGGATCCAAAACTGCCATTATCTCTCAGCACGATGGTCCCAAAAGATGAACGGTAGACGATTTGATGGAGCGACATGGACCAAAAGACAAGCTTGCTTACCGTCGATATCAATACTGAGGTACGTTGGCGTGTCTCCCACAGTAGTACGGACTTTGTTTACAATGCCCTTCACACCAATGTCATCGATCTCTTGAGCCTCGATCAACGTGAAACCCACGTCCTGATCGATCTCGTAGTCCTTGGATGACTTGAATAGCGCCAATATCAGCAATGAAACGCTTCAATGATACTATACTCAGCTAGCTACTCACGAAAAGCTTTGTCCGTAAACCACCATGGACGCTTGTGCCTTTGCTGATACATCCTTCACGGCTAGCATGCCAGAAGAATGTCCCATGTGTTATGGCAGACTGATTCGAGGCGATTCCAATGTAGCCCTCATAGGGATCCCACCTGCATATCCACATTAGCCACTGAAAAGGACCTGTTGTCAATCACGATATAGAGGAAACGCCATGTTGGGGTCAGCCCTGGGGACCTACGTATCGAGATGAGAATCCAAATGGATGACAGATATTGGGCCATATACAGTCTTCAAACTACGGAGAATTGGAAGCACAATAGAATGGTCACCGCCGAGAGAAAGAATCCGGGGATGCTTCCAACCATCTAGAATGGAGTGATTAATGTCAAGAGTTTTTATGAAAATTAGTGGAAGGGACTGACCAGAGATATCACTAGTCTTGTGATACAAGATCTGTCTATATCCTTGCTCCATCTGCTTGAACGCATGCTCTGCATCGAACGGTGTAATAGGTATATCGCCACAATCAATCTATTCCAGGAATTAGCAAAGTGCCCTCTGAAGGTCTGTAGGAAACTCACAATGGTAAGCCCTTGCTCGAAAGGATCGACACCCCATGGTGAATTATAGCTTCGACCCTTTTTTTCTCGCGACGAAGCTGCACGGATACCGCGAGGTCCAAATCTCGCACCAGGACGGTAAGATGTCGACGTGTCGTATGGGAAACCCAATATAGCTATGTCAAGAGGCTTTCAATCTCTTAGTCTCTGAACGCATTTGTGGATCCGTTGCAAATCCCATATACCTCGTTATGAGAGTGCGCAAGACATCTCTGCCATTCCAAATGCGCAAACGTTACTGGTTGGGAAAATGGAAGGTCTACGGACAAATCTGTGAAGATCCAATGATGACTGTCAACAACGGTGAGCCAATTCAATGATTATATGAACATGTACCTTCAATCTTGTACTTAAAATGTGGACCAACATTGAGCGTCGACTCGCTTTGTGCCCCAAGCGCAATGTAAAGGATCGAGAGTATAACATGCCCGATTAAAGAAATCATTTCTACTCTTTACCAGCGCTCAGATGAGGAATATTTCAAAGACATTAATGCCCTGCGCATTGAGGTTCAGTGATAAATAGGTAATGGCTTATCTGACATGTTGCTCTTATCGCGTCTTGATATGCATCGGCCGCTCCGTCGCCGATGATACATCCTATCGCGGAGAGGTCCCATGTGTGACACTATATATAAGTAGAAAGATTTGAAGAAAGGTACGTAAAGAAATAATGAAAGATGCATACTCAACAACGTCATAGTAAGAGGGTGCCAGTAGCTACACCATAGTGTTGATAGTGGTAGGAGATCTGTTACAATCCCAGTTCGCAGCTTACAATGAAAAAGCTTAGGTATCTTGCTAGCTGTGGAGAGTCAGCAATGCGATCAGTGGTCGGTAACATCCAGAGCCTTATGTCCACCGGAACTGATTTGTCGAAATGACTGGGATTTTAACATCGGCATCCGGACATTGGGTCGTGTGGTACATACATCAGCACCTCCCTTCGCAGACTTAGTCCTACCATTTAACTATTGAATGTCCCAAATCACCCATTGCTCAAAGTAGACACCTCGACCCTATAGTTGAAACGTTGAATCAAAGCTTTCTTGTTACTAAGTGTCTGTAATGGTCATATTGACCCACCTTCATGGGGTCCGAAGCATACTTAAACCAAGAAACCCCGATGGCTCTCAAAATAGCGAGCAGTCTAGCAGACTTTTTGATATCTTGTTTCGTACATCATCTCTCTTTTCCCTTTCCTGAGGTTTCTACAAGATACATGGCTCTAACCGTGAATTTCTTTCTTTCAGCTCCCAAAAACAAACACTCATACAAGTACGAATTCCATCCCAACAACCAGGCTGAACTGGGAAACCCCACAGAGAATAAATCAGTGATCAAGGCCGCGGTGGCTTCTCATGTCGAATGAGGAACTCTAGAGACAATAATAATGATATAGGTAAAAGCACCAAGCGATGCTCAGCGTTTAGAGTAGTCGTCGAGTGCATGGTTGGGCGCCCTTCTGAGATGTTCGATGACAACCAGTGATGACATGAATCGACCCTGATTCGATTCGAATTCGAGGATATCTGTGCGCAAAGGTTCGTATGGGCCGCCCGGTGGTCGCCTTACGCTAGTGCTTATGAGCCGGGAGGACTGTTGTGATGCCATTCAGTTGTTGGAGGGGTAAATTATCTTTCCAGAGCACTTGCCCTCTTTTAAACGACTGAATATTAACAAGGCCGCTTCTTGTATATATTAATCCAGTGAAGACACAGTTCGTGGCTTCTACTCTCCATTGCCTTCTTCTGCAATAAAACGCCCTGAATATCAATAGCGTGACATTATGCCCAGGCTTACTCCGCAAGAGCTGCTTGAGGAGCTTGAAGCCTTCGCTGAGAGCCCTCCTGCGGAGTTGGAAAAGGAACCAGGCCAAGCAGCGAGAATCTCGCACGCAGCAAATAAAGTGGTACTGTCACTGGAAAAACCTGCAGATGTTGTCGCTCGTCTATTTCTTTCTCAAGTATGCCCATCCACATTGATGCTTGTGTAACTGCATGTATCCAAACTGACAATCCATACCTAGCCTATTGAACAACTTACAGTACGCGTTGCATCTCGTCTGGGGCTCTTTCGAGTTCTCAAGGAAAGTAACGGGCCTAAGACCCTGAAAGAACTGGCGGCAGCAACTGGTGCAGATGAAGTTCTGCTCGGTGAGACTATGACAATCCATCGATGAAATCTTTCTGCGATAACTAACATAAATCTAGCTCGGGTCTTGCGTGCCTTGGCGGCATTTGGCGCCATTCTAGAAGTCAACGAAGACGGATATGCCTTTGCACCGTCTTATGAGCTGTTTGCTAACCAGACTTTTGCGGATAGTTTGGACCACTGGTAAGGGATACCTGAATGTTCAGGAAAGAAGATACTGAGATAGGAATCTAGTGCCACATTCTTGAATCTCACATACCAGGCCCTTCCAGATTTCCTGTCTTCAATCAAATTTGCAGACCCGACTGATCCTAACAATACCGCTGTGCAGCAAGCATTTGAAGCCCAGGGTCAAGGCATTCTAGAAATATTGATGGCTCGTCCGGAAATTGCTCGTGGCTTCGGGGTCATGATGAATACGTGGGGTGAGGATAACTCTCTCATCCAGGATTTATACCCTGTTAAGGAGAAATTGGCCCAAAACTTCGACCCAGAGACAGTTATGTTTGTCGATGTCGGTGGCGGCTACGGTCAGAAAGCCATTGCGCTTAAACGAGCAGTGCCGGATTTGCCTGGACGCTTTATCGTCCAAGACCTCCCTGATACAATTGAGCACGCGCCCAAAGTCGAAGACATCGAATACCAGGCCCATGATTTCTTGACCGAGCAACCAATTAAGGGGGCTCGCGCATATTATATACGCCAGTGTCTGCACAACTGGCCTCATGAGAAATGCGTTACCATTCTTTCCCAACTTGCTAAGGCGATGAAGCCGGGGTACTCCAGACTCTTTATCCATGAGCTGATTGTGCCGCAGCGTCACGCTGGCACTTGGATGGTGACCCAGGACTTCAACATGATGACCCTCTGCGGCACCAGAGAGAGAACTGAAGCACAATGGCGGGAGCTCCTTGTGGAAGCTGGTCTTAAGGTCTCCGGTGTCTACTATCCTGACGACGGGGTGTCTGAGGGTGTCGTGGAAGCCGAGCTTTGAGGGCGGCGACTATTAGGTAGATCTACCAAAGGAAATCTGCTGTGTTGATGCCATGTTGATGCCATTATATAGTATATTCTAGGTCATTGGATCTCATGTGATAGACTTCAAATCGACAGGCAATTCTCGCATTCGGGTCAAATTTGCTTAACAGCTGCGAAACTCGGCTAGGATAACTTTAGAAACTTGGCAGAGATGAAACGATGTTCGAGCTCTTCATTATTTGGTTAAATGCCGCCAAGTCGATCAAAGAAAATCCGATGGTTGATGTCGCGAACACGCGGCTGGCGGTTTCACCTGTGATACACTCCGCGATGACAAGAACGCACAGGCTCGTAGTGTCCTGCATTTACCTAATGAAGGGAAGAAACAGAGCATGCCAGCCTGTGATTCGAGCCTTCGCATCCTCCTAAACCCTCTACCAGAAGACTTCTTGTTAGTGGAAGCGTCATTGTGGTGCGGCTCGGCATAAGTATGCTGGAGAATGTTGTGATCGGCCAAACGATGTCTCGTTCCTCCGAACAGAAGATTCAACCAAGGACTGAATCGTACGCTTCAAATTAACCCGACTGCTCGACAAAATTGACTGGTATAATTTTGTTGCGGAGGAAATTGATATAGTCACTTCCAAAAAGGAACGACATAATGACAACGATCAAGGTCCCTTCTTCAGTAACGGATGCGCTGACCTTCGCGGGAGCTGCTACGTCATTTTACCTGTTCACGCAATTCGCGCGACACCTTTACATTTACCTTCGACCATCTTCACTTGACAAATATCGCTCCAAGGATAAGGAAACTTGGGCGCTTGTCACTGGCGCCAGCGATGGAATCGGTCTCGGCTTTGCACAGGAGCTGTGTAGACGGGGATTCAATGTCTTCCTCCACGGCCGGAACCGCGAAAAGCTGCTAGGCATTCAGGAACGGCTGAAGGCAGAATTCCCCGCTGCCAAAACAAAGATAATTGTCTTCAACGCTGGCGGGTCGACTGAAGATATCGATGCCATTGCGCGTGAAGTCGGCGATGCCAATCTCAAAGTCCTCGTCAACAATGTCGGTGGCCAGACAGGCGTGTCCAATACATACAAACGCCTTGACGAGATGACGCACGATGAAGTCGAGTACCTGCTGGGTCTAAATGCAAGGTTCACGACGCATATTACGCGGGTTCTCCTGCCTGTCCTGGAGAAGAATGAGCCTAGTCTCGTCTTGAACGTCTCTTCTATAGCCTCTGCAGGCTTCCCGTGGCTCAGTATTTACAGCGCCTCAAAGGGTTATATTGACTCGTTTTCCGGCGCCCTCAATGCGGAGATGAAAGCATACGGGAGGAACATCGAGGTTATGGCACTTCGTGTCGGCAGCGTCAGCACGGCCGCGATGGACATCAATGCAAACCTCTTCGCGCCTACAGGCAGGACGATGGCAAGCGCAGCTTTGAACAGAGTTGGATGTGGTGAACACTTGGTCTGGGGATATTGGTGGCATAGACTGCAGGGTCTCGGGTTTGACGTGCTTCCTCGGGGAGTCATGCTTTCTGCCGCGACAGGCCGTCTAAGACAGCTGAAGGAAGATGCAGACAGGAAGGAGAAGAGTCAATGAAGTTCAGACGTGAACTCATCGTTTTGACATATCGGATAGGACGGTCTGCAAAGAGAAAGACCGGGGTCCGGCCAAACATCAGTCTGATTCATGTCGTAAGATTGTCCCTGCGGGACATAACAGAGGATTATGTATAGACTAGTTGGTAGCAATGGTTATAAAATATGTAATGTATATAAAAATCTGCCCAAAGAGCAGCATTAAAACAATTATTCGACTCGATCGACGATTCAGCTCGGACAAAATGGAACTTCCGCGTACTTACTTAAGTAGCTCACCGCCTGCCTCCCACGTCATAAGTGCAAAAGCGGTGCGTTGGAGATCGCCGGTTCGTTTCCGTTGGCCCAGCAGCTGTTGGGAGCTGTGAGCTTGCGATATATCCTTGTCTCCGTCTGTCTGAAGTGTTGGTGATCGATCTCGAAGGCCATTGTCCACGATGACATCGCTTGTACCCCGCGAGCCCTACTCGAAGGAGGAGCTCGAGCGTCTGTATCCCAAGGGCCTGCAGCTTCAATTGGTTCAAGTGGTGAGTGACTTCGATAAGGCGAGTTAGTTGGGGGTCCCTGACGATCATACAGTTCCTTCGACACGGTATTTGCCATTGACGCTCATTCCATGATCCCAACTGACCGTGGTAGGCGAGAGAACGCCTGTGTCGTCCAGATTTCAGAATGTATGGACCTCCCGCTTCCAATTGTCGATCCCACTAGCTGACTTTTAACAGGCAGGGCTGCCACCATGTAATAAATGCCTGTCAGATATCCTCGTTCATCCGCTGATGCGATAGTTAGATTGGCCCTATTGCAGTGTGGCCCGCCGCATGACTGCGATGGTAGCCAGCAATGAGGACCTTTCACAATGGAATAGCTTTCAATGGCGACGGAAGATGGAAGCCTTTGGACGAAACGACGAAGCAGTCGTCTCACTCGGTCCTGAGGGAGAAATAGAAGGCATCTGGTGAGTCAATGGCAAGAACACGAATCTGGGAGCATTCTATCTAACAAGATGGATAGTCAGCTGGGTGAGCTGACAGACAAGGGACGACAAACGACCTTTGCTCTCGGCCAGCGGCTGAGATATCTCTATGTCGACAAACTGGGCTTCATGCCAAAGATAAAATCTCACGCTGAAGACATGTACCTTCGTACAACTCCAATCCCCCGGGCTCTGGAATCTCTACAACAGGTGTTTTGGGGCATGTATCCCGCACACGCTCGTACGGCTGATTTCCCGCCTCCTGTTATCGTGGGACGCAGTGTTGCGGAGGAGAACCTTTTCCCAAATGAGGGCAACTGCCGTCGTTTCAGGCAGCTCGCCAGAGCGTTTGCCCAGAGAGCGGCAGACACATGTATGCCATCTGCTGAAATCTGGTTTACAATGGCTAACGCACTGTTTAGGGAATGAATCCGAGGAAATGGACTATCTGAACAAACTATGGTCTAAATGGATGCACCCCAGTTACCCTCGGGTCGCTGTCGACTCCCACCCTCGTCTTTCCGGAATCATGGACACCATCAATGCTTCACTGGCTCACGGACCGGCCACGAAGCTCCCATCAGAGTTCTACGATCCTAAGGCCAGGGAGTATATACACAAGATCGCTGTAGACGAGTGGTACTCTGGGTACAGAGAGAGCGCGGAATACCGGAGATTGGGCATCGGTGCTCTGGTGGGAGACATCGTTGATCGCATGGTCAGCACAGCGGTTGAGGGTGGTTGGCGCAGTGACACGACTGCTGCTAGCACCTCGGATACGGGAACTCCTATCAAGTTTGCTCTCAGCGGATGCCACGATACTACTCTGGCTGCTATTTTGACCAGCATGGGCGCTTTCGAGAACCCAGAGTGGCCGCCTTTCACCTCATCGGTTGCGATTGAGCTTTTCTCTAAGAAGACGAGAAGCTCGACCGAGCCCGCCGGGGTTGACGCCGCAGGAGCTGTCCTGGACGAGCTATACAACCCTGCCTCAAAGGATACAGTTCCCAAGTCGGGCCTTCTGTCTTTTTTCACAGGCCGATCATCTCCCTCCCCTCCTTCGCCATCCGACCTCGCCCGCAAGCCCCTGGACAGCTATCCTCCAGCTACCAGAGGCGTCCTACGACAGCACTATGTCCGTATCCGATATAACGACCGCCCCATGAGAATACCTGGCTGTGCCGCTAAGCCAGAGAACCACCTTCCTGGAGACGACACATTCTGTACGTTGGAGGCATTCAAGGAGATTGCAGACAAGTTCACTCCGAAGGATTGGAGAGAGGAATGTCTGGAAAACATCGGAGAGGGACTATTTGGCAAGGATGGAAAGGAGAAAATCCCATCAGGATACTAGTAGATGAGTGATAACAGAACCAATGTCAGCGTGAGGAGATGATTCAATGAGCCGGATCTCATCTGGAAAAAATAAGCCATGAGTATTACCGATGTATATTGGATGATTGCTGAGCAAAAAGATTTGACGATTCTTACATTACATTCTCTACTTTGCAATCACGATGTTTACAGTTCAGTAAAATAAACGATTAGAAACGCATCTATCTAAATAGCAAGAAAAAGTCTCCTCATATCGCAAATAAAAGAGTATTATCTCTCTAAAACCCTATATGAAAAAAAAAACAGTAGTTCATCGGCATATAGATAACTAATAGACTCGATAACTAGACTAATAGACGCGATAACCCCGATAGGCAGTTCCATTTGATACCGTAGATGTTTTCTGCAGAAGGGATGACAGATATGCCTGTAGGATTATTTCGGACATTAATAAAACGTAAAGGCGTGCGTGGAGTGGATGATACTTCGGGAGAGGACGAAGGAGTATAAGGAAGGGAAGATTGAAAGGGCTGTTGGAGTTGATCTTAAGTTGTATACTTTTTATCTTTTGAGAGTGGTAAGAGGATTGCTTAAGTACAGTGGTTGAATCTGCGACTAGGAGCCGAGCCCGATGCCAAAGTATGGATTTTCATCGCATTTATCTAGGCTACTTGCCATGGTTCTCTATATCTATGAGAGTGTTTATTTATTTATAGTAGTACATGATATCGTTATATACCAAGAATGGCCGATATATTCAAGAGGAGCCCTTCATCCTCGCGTCACTTCCACTCCGACTGCGGCTGCGGCTGCGGCTCCGGCTGGACCTCCTACGGTAATTCGACTCGCTTTCAGTCTCACTGACACTCCAGCCCTCCTCGCTCTCACTAGCACTCCAAACAGAAACGCGCCTCTTGACGACGTTATGGGCCTTTGTGGTGTCCAGGTCCATTGCTCCCGGAGAGACGGCTGGTTCTTGCTGCTTTCCTTTCTTGCCCTTCTGCTTGTTCTGCTTGTTCTGCTTGTTCTTTTGGTTTTTGTTTTCCGTCTGCTGCTGCTGCTGCTCTTCCTTCACCCTGAAAGCATCTTCAGCTGCAGCGCGTTCCAAAATTTCAAACAGCTTCTCAAGTGCTGGAGCATAGGCCTGAGCGACAGGGATATCGCCAACACGTAGGCGCATGTAGTCAAAGGCGACAGCAACTGGAGCCTTGCGATCTTCACGAGGCTGGTTTCCGGATACATTGATTTCGTTCGAATCGGCTTCGTCGACAGGTATGTCCACGGGTCTGGGCTCTGCTGCAGCAATAGCAGCAACGGCAGCAGGGTCCTCGTTTTTGACAGTTCCCATGCGCTGTTCCGCGCTGGCCACTTTCTGGTAACGTTGACTGAAGTGGGTCAGAAGGATAGTACGGGCTTGCATCTGACGGCCGACCTCGAGGGCCTCTGCGGTTGTAGAGTGCTTCTTGGCAATGGCCGACACACCCATGTCATCTTGAAACGTGGCTTCGTGGATGAGAACAGTGGAGTCACGTCCGATGGTGGCAAAGTTGGCAGAGGGACGACAGTCACCAGAGTAAGACACCTTGAAGGAATCCGGGAACACCAGTGAAACAGCCATGGCTCCACGACAGTGATTGACCCTAGTGGTGAGGAGGTCTGCGAGACCCGTACGCTCCCGAAGAAGCTTCGTCAATGGAGAGTTGGTATCTTCAAAGGTCATATCTGTCGTGCGAGGTCTAGCATCAACAGCTTCACTTCCTGGATAGGTACCGTCGCCACGGACATGGCGATATCTCAAGGTGGTCTTGATACTACCTTCCTTGTGATACGGATAGACTGCCAGAGGGACAAGTTTGTCGAAACCGTAGTTCTCCACCGAGGCGTATTCCTCTAGCCAGCCAATCATCATCTCCTCGGACACGACAAACAGACGTTTATCCTGAAGGATCTTGGCCATGTCCATTTCTATCATCTCGGTTGAATCAGGACGGTCCCCGTAGTTCTCCCTGTACCATGCTTTGATCACAGAGGCGGTGCCCAGATGATGGTCCGCATGCAGATGACTGACCCAGATCATCCGGAGATTCTGCAGAACCTCCTTCAACTGCTCAGGTCCAAAGACGCGTTTCAACTGGCCAAGAGTATTTTCACCGCAGTCGAGTAGATAATATCCATGACCTGGAACCTTGACCAGCGTAGCAGAGACGTTGCGGTACTTGGATGGCACGGACGACCCTGTTCCTAGGGTAATGATCTCCGCATCTGCGCCAGGTATGCTTTTCTGCAAGTCCTCCAATTCTTGCTGGAAAGACGGCTTGCTGACTCTTCGACGAATGGCTTTCATACGTTGTTCCACGGAGCGAGGGATACGCGAGACTGTAAGAGAAGGGTTAAACAGAGGCACGACCTCTGATCGGTTGACTCCGAAATTCGGCTCCATATCGAGAATCAGACCACGTTCAGCAGGCTGGAAGGGAGAGTTCTTGATAGACTCTACCGTAGACTTGGAACCAGCAGTGGGCGTTCCAGGTTGTGGGAGGGTCACATTGTCATGGAAAGGGATGGAGTAGCTATCACCCTTGAGCTTCGCCAGGCGGATAGATGACCCTGCAACGCTGTGCAGAGCCAGGTAGTTGGGACAGTAATCCGTGCCCGATACTATATGCTTGCAGTGCGGCCAGCTAGCAACGAATTCCCTCAGCCGTGGATGTTCACCGACACCAGGTCCCAGAATCCACAAAAAGGCCTCTAAGTTGTTTGTGATAGCAGGCGATTTCCACTCAGGGCGATTCACCAGATTCTCAACGTAGTCCGGAGTGGGCAAGTCGATAATGGCGGTTCCTCTCCCAAGGCGTGGTGGTCCGAGAACCATGTCCGGAGTGATCGTCTTGCCGTCCTCCGATTGCACGCTCTGGCCCCTGGTCAGAGCAGCATACGATGGTCCCTTGGGAACTTTCAATTCCTGTGCCTTTTTCGGGTCGAATTTACCTCTGATGTCGTGGTTCTTGACGATGTAGGACAGCGCTTCTTCCGAACGAGTGGTCGGTGGGAGCTTCTCGATCGACGCACCAGGCCAGGGTTGACGAACAAGAACCCGGATATCTGGCAGAGGCTTGTCATCTCCTGGCATGGGACCCTTGTACTGTTCAAGATCCTTCGTCACTGGGTTGCGGACGAAAATGGTGGCTGGCATCTTGACAGTCGCCAAGGGCATCTCAATCAACGAGTCTAAACGCCAGGAAGAGTTGAACATATCGGAAACAACCGACTGACGCATCAGCTGGTCCTTAGTACGCTGGTCCAGACTTCTTTCCGTACTTTCTCGCTCCTGGAACTCGTCCAGGCTTCTCTTCCGCGGACTTTTAGGGCTCTTGTTGGGTGCACCAGAAGGACTAATCGCCATTGCCCAGACTTTGATGTTATTATCAGTGAAAGTAGGCTGCTCGAAGGGATCTGTCGTTCCCGCCGCTTCTGATCTGGACAGGTTTTCCGAATCGTACTCCTTAACATACACTGGCATGCCCTTACGGAAAACAAACCTCCTCGCCGTGGCCAGCGTATGGGTCAGGTTCCGGCCCCCATGGATGGTCAGATGGCCCCTCTGCATCACCAACTCACCGTCCCGTAAAGCATAGGGAGCCCCATGCTTCATCTCAGGCTCCTGGCTGCGCAGCCGTTCAGCAGTCTGTTCGGGTGTCTCGTTTGCTCTACGGCGGGCCTCCTTCTCACGCTCAGAGTCTGCAATAGCTGCCGCAGCATTGGCTATCGCGTCCGCCTGGGTCAGGACCGCTCCGATCAGTCCTCCATTATTCGCCCACTCCGTTCGACCAGTCAGGAAGATGTCCGTAAGATAGGACAATCTGACCCCGCGCTCCGTACATGCCCGCTGAGTACCCTCTGATATCTGACCGAAGAAGTAGCGCTTTTCGGGGAAATTGAGCAGTAGAGTCGTGCCTGGCGTGTCCGCCGTAGGCGTCGTGAGGATCTGGTAGAAGAACTTCATTGGTTTGTTTCCCGGAGAAGGACTAGGCAAATGGTCAAGTCCGCTGAATTTAGTGGAGGAAGGATCATAGACGATATAACGGTTTGTTCCAGAGCTGTTCGAGTCGAGCTTCGGAGCAGGGAAGACAACAACGTCGGGGTTGAGGGGAGGCCGTCCAGATTTCGAGCGGAACTGCCCAGGTTGCGACTTGAGGGCGCGTGCAGTTGTGGAAAAAGAAACTCGAGCGCAGCCTGCTGCGGGACGAGACAATGCTCGAAGGATGAAATGGCTGGGGAAGCTACCGCGACTTGAAAAGCAGCTGGACGATGGGGGCGTGACTGCGCGGAGAGCTTTCAAGAGCAGCCCCCCGGACAGACGAGGAGAAGCCAACTTGGCTGGTGGAAGAAGACAACGGTTAGCAAATTCAAGATGCTAGAGATTAACCAGTCCACATTTCACGCCTTCATGTCTTGTGGGATCCAGCACCGATGTTGAGGGCTCCTGGGTTGGTTCCAAAAAGTTACTGTATCACCTCCGCAAGTCCCAAATTTTCTGCGTCAACTACGGAGGCGAGGCTAGGCCCGAATAAGGATCCCACCTATGATTAGGTATAGTAATCTCTCTCAATTCTCGCAACTCTCGCAACTCTGATGATGAAGACTACATTCTCAAAATCGGCTATTCTATGTTATATTGCATTTTGATTTCAGCTATTGCTGCTACGCATATGTAGATAGATCTGGTCGCCTGCCAGTACAGATGGTTCCAATCCCTGGTTTCCCTCACACGATATTCCCAGTAAAAACACAACCCTCTTGAACGCCAGACCTTACAAAACTGCCCGATGTCGAATGGCGTCGATAGAAAGAAAATACAACCGATGGAGACGAGTCACGAAGGATAATGAACATATGAAAAATCGTTATGTCCTGAACGAGAGCATCGATGAAGAACCTGTCCGTCACCGCAGCCTGGCCGATGACACGGCAATACATTTCACCTCAACACCTGAATTTTCCCTATCACGATCACACAGTAGATTCAAACAAGATGAGCGGTGACCATGGACACACGCTGGAAGGCGGCTTCCATGCTGTGGCACAGGCGCTCGAAACGGCGCATGGTAACAGCGCTGACTTCAGTCGACTCATCTTCCACGACCAGCTCGAAGGTGGAAAGAACCTTCTCAGACTCGACACCATCGAACAGGTTCTGGACCTTCTCGGGTGATGACGACTGCGAAACTGGGGGCGAGTCCAGGAAGAGAGCAAAGGCGGGGTCGGATTCATCGATTTCCACATCAGGGTTAGGAGTGCCAACGTTGGTCTTCTCCTTGGGCGCTTCAGGGACCGGCGGGCGCTCCAGAGATGGAAATTCGTCCTTGGAGGTTTCTAGCACTTCAGAACCAACAAAGTTCGATGACTTTCCGCAGAGCACGCCAGTGTCAATGACAGGTTCCGGCACCTCAAAAACAGCAAAAACAGGAGCGTTCGTAAAGTTCATATCGATCCCGGAATTCCAACCACTGGGGTTCATGTCCATGGTCGGGACATTGACGCTCTGTTCGGGGACCATGACCATGCCAACCTGGGGGTTCTGCTGCATCTGGAAATCCTGTGCAACACGGGCCGGGTTCACATCCTTCTGGTGGTTTTGCTGCATCTGAGGCTGAGACACGACGGCCGGCTGAACCTGCTGTTGCTGCTGGGGCTGAGACGAAGGAATTCCGTTTAGACTGAAGTCATTGAGAAAGGAAGAGAAGTGGGGAGACGAAAGGAGCATGCGAGTCAGATCTGTCAGGCGGGCATTCTCCTCGAAGAGCGCACGGTTCTGCATGCGCAGTTCGTTCGCCTCGTTGGTCTTAACCGCGACTTCGCCTTCAAGCTGGCCGATGTATTCTAAGACAAAAGATTAGCACGTCAAGATTAACGGGGCTGTAGATGGTAAAACTGTACCCTTCCGGCGAGAGCGGAAAGCGCGAGCAGACACTTTGTTGCGCAGCTGGCGGCGCTCCTTGCTGCTGAGCTTCTTGCCCTCCTCACTGGCCAGGAGTCTCTCGTCCTCATCCATCTCCTCCTCATCCTTCTTGGCCTTGGCCATCTGGGGCAGGATCGAGGGCGGCGAGGCGTCCTCCTGCGAAGTGACACTGCTCTGTCTCATCTGTTGCAACAACCGGGAGATGCGCTCCTCGACCACAGGATCCGGATGACGGTTGGGGCGCGCTTGGCGGCCAGTCTGGCGAGCCTGCTCCTCCATGCGGCGCTGCTGGAACTGCTGCTGCTGACGCATCATCTCATGCTGTCTCTGCTGCTGCGCGGCCTTGGCCATGGCGGCCTGCTGCTGGTGCATTCCGGGGTACATGCGGCCAACCTGAGCGGGTGGACCGACCGGGGACAGTTCATGTCCGCCCAGGGCGTTAGGGTCGACGAATTGGTTGCGGTTGGGCTGGTTGGAGAAGAAGTCGAGATCCATCTCCGACGGATTGCGGGCGGGCACGCTTCCAAAATCGATGGGAGTCTCTTCGTGCTTGACGCTCATTCCTCCGTACACGTTGCCGTTAATTGGGAATCCCTGGGCGCCCATGGTGAAATTCATTCCATTGTTGTTGCTGAAGGCCATCGCATGGGCCAATCCACCGGGTGGTAGCGGCGTCTGCTGCTTGTGGTCATCGTATTGATGACTGGGGCCTGGGAAGGGAATCTGGGGCTGACTGTTGGTGCCAATGTCACCGGTACTTGACTCTGAGCTGGCGACTGAGGGCTGTGAGATCAAGGCAGGCTTGGGCCGGGCGGAATCGGCGGAGGTATATGTGAGCTGATCGAGATTGATGAAGGAGTCGATATCGGGATCGTAGCAGGCGTTGATATTCGACATGGGTGATGCCGACGAGGAAGTCGACGGCATCGACTGCTCTGCGAGAGTCGTCATGATGGTTTCCAAGAAATTTTTTTTTTCTTCTTCTCCTGGTTGCCTCCACTCGATTGATGCGTCGGTCAGGGAGATGTTGTCGCGAGGGTTACCGTGACGGGCGGTGGTGGTGTGAATGGTAGTCGTTCAAGGGATCAGTACGGAGCGGCTACCAGAGCTGGAGAATTGGTTGATGGATGGGGGAAGACGTCGAAACGATGGTGTGAGGTCGAATGAGGGGAGAAAAGGAGGATGATAAAGAGGGTGAGAAGACAGAATGAGCGGGAACGGCAATGGGAAACGACCGGAGTCGAGATGGTCTCTGGTCTGGCGATGGAGGAGAGGATCCGGTCTCTCTAACTGCTTCTAAGGGGGAACGAGGAGCAGCGCCGAAGGGGAACCAAGAATAGAAAAGCAAGGCCGAGGCGATTGCGCGTCCTCCGGCTGACTCAGCGTGTTCTGGCTGCTGATTGGCCTTTCTCTGCTCCTGGCGGGGATCTGGCCAGCAACCAGAAACAGCCCGTTCTCGCCCGTAAACAAGTTGATAACTATCTAGTAGTACTGTAGTAGTAGTAATTCTAGAATCTAGCATCGATATGGACTACTCGATTTGCGAGGAACCAGTCTCAGTCTCTGTTTCTCTCCCCTGTCTCCTGTCCCGTCCAGACTGCTTCGCGCTGGTGGTCTCAGCAGTGCCTCCGACGGCGCTGAGACGGACTCTGACCAGCGGCCGTGCGAAGAATGTCCTTGGCTGCTAGGGCGCAAGCCGGGCGGTGCGGATGATACCCTAAGCCCTAGTGGAGGATGCCCTAACTGGCCCAGTTCGGCCTAGCGCGCCTGTCCGTCGTTCCTCTTGCCTGTTCCGGGTCCGGAATCCGATGCGCCGATGCGCCGATGCGCCTCCCAGTGACGCAAGTGGCTTCTCGTGGCTTTTGCGCAAGTTGACGCCGGTATGGATATCAAGTAGTTACCAATACAATCACAATAATAATCATAATAATAATAATAACACTCACTAACCACTCGCTGGCACTCTCGCGAGCTTGTTTTGCAGCGTACCTACTCTAGGTTGCTACGTGCATGCCAGAGAAACAGTCCCTCCGCATCCTTGCATGCAAGTCAAATGCTGTCAAACAAGGAATTCCACACAACCGTACTCCCCCATCCTGATCTCAAGCATCGAAGTATTCTCGTGTCGACCAACCCGGGACACGTTCCAACTTGGAAAAATCGGCAACTCCCGGTCGGGACAAAGGATATCTAGAACTGCCCTACGGTACTTCTCATCGTTTCTGACTCGGGCCTAGATCGCACTTCCTAGGTCGGACGCCATGGCAAAAAATGAACACTGCAAACGACGTGCATGCAAATATACGCGAGATTAGATCAATCAGTCCGTCAATCATCAGCCGCCATCATCTTTTCGTTTCTGTCTGATCCACGGATCCGATGGATGAATCGCCCCCAGAGGCCCGCTTCAAGCCTCCAAGGCGCCGTGGCTGAAAAGCTTAGCATCAGTGCCAAGACTGCCGTTTCGATTTTTTTTTTTTGGGGGGCTTCGATAGCCTTAAAGCCACGAGAACGCCAAGTCGCCGTTAAACCCTACCCGATACGGTAAGTAGGAAAGAGCCATGCTATACAAAAATGAACGGGCTTACCAGCATCGGCCACGCCAGCAACGTGACACTGCCACAGCTAATTTCGGGGAATGCACGTTTTTGTACACCTTCAGCCTTTCAACTCGGGGAACGTTGAAAATGATCTTCCAATTCGGTCAAAATCCAGACCGGATTCATCCTTATCCAACATACAACTGCCGAGGCAACGTCAGCAGCAGTAAAAATAAAAAATAATAAGCTTCTTTTCTCTTTTGCTTCGTGTCTAGACTGCCTCAAGCCCCTCAGTCCAGCTGGAATATCCGGATGATCTTCTCGACCTTATATTATATTATTATTATTCCCTTGTGCTCCATAATTATCAACTTTTACCAGCCTTGAGCATCTGATTGGACGGCTGTTTCCTCAGCCCAGTGAAATGGAGCCGAGTCCAGACTGCAGCAGTAATGATAATACCTAAAAGCACAAACACTATTCTCTGGCTGAAACTCGGCGATCTTCATCCGTAGATAGCTACTGTCGTGGGAGTCGATGAGTCGTCTTGAGTCTCTTGTCAGCCGGGCCAGGGTGACGAATCCTCTCTGCACAGCATCAACAATCGTAGAAATAACAACACGATCTGTTCTCAATTGCGCTGTTCTCTGCGTCAGAATACGGAGTAGATAGTTCTCGAATAACTAATAGATACCCCAAGCAAACGCACGACCGTTTCACGAACTACCTGCACTGTCCAGTCCCCTACCTTAGCACACCCGCCTAGACCATACTAAGTAGATAACCAATATTGCGATTAACCACTAAAGTAACAGTCCAGGTCCAGGGCAGTCTAAACACCCATCTCCGGTGGCGCACGAGACTCTTCCAGAACCCAACGCAGAGCTGGGGTGGCAGCTCAAACTTCAGCCCCAGTTAGGGGCAACTTTCATCCTCGGAGGAAGAGTGCAGTATCGGGCACTATTGACTAACTAGTCTAGTCTAGAGTGGTCTGTTTCTGAGTCTATTCTTAAGATCGGGACTTGAAACTCGGTGTGAAGAAAATAAATGATACATGCTGGGGGTGCTCAATAACAATTTTTAATAATCATGCGCCTCCTTGAATGGGAAGGTTGACGCGTTCAGACGTTGGGGATCTGGTCTACGATAGGATATTATGCGAGTATTCAGGGATGTTCAGCTTAGAACGGCATTCTCTACTAACTATATGTATGTGATTTTCGAATACTCTTGAAGGAAATGCTAAATCGCTATCATAAAGGGGTGAACATGTGACTAGGAGGATCAAGGTATTACGGCATAATAACGATCACTGCATAGGTATTACTAAATCTGTATTATTGGCTAGTGATAACTATTATTATGTGGAGACTATCAGACTATTAATATTGAAGATTATAGAAAAGCTGAATTAATGCAAGTGAAAGTCGTCCCTAGGTATACAAATCACCGATCCTAGATAGATACAGAAATAACCGGTTCTTATCGACGGTCCACACCTTCTTTATGCCTGCCTGCTTGCCTATCTACACCGGGATAGGGTTCTACTGGGAGGGATCCAAAATAGTGAATCTACCAAGTTTGTAGTTATATTGTATCTGTACAACTGTACCAAAAAAAAAAGAGAATTAGCGAGTCACTAACCTACCCATTCCGTAACTCTTCCCTATCACTCAATCCAATCCACACACACACCTTCCAAAGAGTAAATTCATCAATAACCCCCGCACACAATTCACCTTTTGTGAAGGCAAAAAGAGTCGGAACCTCCCTGCCATTCCATCAATGACTTGGATATGATCCATTCCAGGGAAGTTACATAAAGCTGCAGTCCCCGCATCTTCTCTTCCCTTGTAAAAGTTTCTCCCTATCCAGAAAGAACTCTTGTATTCCTGAGAGAATGGATTAGTGATATCAGAACTGCTACTCAGATCATACTGGTGTCATCTCATGCTCTGCTCGGGCGTGGTCGTCAGAGAGATCGATCTCATACTTATACCAAATGATTCAATATGCTTTCTCTTATTCTTATAATACAATAACTGCAACAATGACCACTTTTGCTTGTTTTACATCAGACCTAGGGGCCAGACCTCTAAGGAGTCCTCTTTTTTTCGTCTAGTCGTGCAGTCGACTTCCGTAGTTGTATGTATCTATTGATCTCTATTGGTACTGTTTGGTAATACTAACAGCTTTTAGGATATCCCCCAAATGCGCAAAAATGTGCCCTTACTGTGATTACTAGGTTTTACTTCTGAGAGGGGCCCCTTACTTATGTCCCCATCGGAATTCCTCCCTTAGTGGATGTATTATTTTAATTATTTGGTTCTGACCCGGGGGGCTGCGCCTGCTCACTTACTGTGAATTCAATCGGGTGACCGCATACATACGGTTGTGCTAGCTGACACGAAAGTTCCAGCAAAACCACCACATCTCAAAAGTTCAACTAATGAAATCCGTGTATTCGGGGGTTTTAGTTTTTTTAAAAATTATACTAGTTTCTATTGTCTTATTGATCAGTACTGATGTTTTACTAGTATAACTAGTCACTGCAATTGCTGTAACAGGAAGGGCCACAACGAGTGCGACCGAATTGACTATTAATCCTGAATTATTGTCCGCAGAGGTCAATAATATCCGCTTCTGAAGTCTTTCTAACCTTCCCACACTTGCAACACCAATACAAATACTACCACAACTGATACTGCACCATGACAAAGACGACAAACGTTGCTTATTTTACATACATAGCGATCCTGAACGGAGATCGCTCTACTTCCGCCGCAACCAAAATGCCATGGCAACAGTGAGTCGGAGCATATGTTTTGTGTATTGCATTACTGATGGTGTACACTCTCCCGAAGACCTCAGCTCAATGGGAGCAAAAAGCCAGGAGAGAGGAAATAAGTACTGGCTCCGCCTCCGAAACGCTCAGACGTACTACCTAGCGGCAGACAGCCTGTATACGCTCCTACTGTTCATGTGGTAGACCATCCCTTTGATGTGAAACTCAAGGATCTCAATGGCTGGGAATTAGCATCGAAAGTACAATTCTCGCATATCTCAACGACGAGGCAACTTAACCTTCTCATTCGCCACAGCAGACAAACTTCCGCTAGGTGATTACCTCATGCAGAAGATCGCACTGCTGCGAGAGGCTGGGACAACAGATAGCGAGGCCGTGAAGAGGTGGGAATTAGCATCGAAAGTACAATTCTCGCATATCTCAACGACGAGAACTACAATACAAATACTAGAAGAACCTGCTAAAATTCACAAAATTGGAGAGAAGAAACCTTATTATCTGAAAGAGTCCCATTTGACTATGGAAACTTGCGTGAAATCTTGAAATTGGCTCCGCAGATATGGCGACTGGAACAGATATCTTAACGATATAAAAACATATGGCCATAATGTGCCTCCACCAGGGCAGGCTCGCATGCTAGGAGAATTCGGGAACGCACAGTAGTTATCACCAATTGCAAGCAAGGCTACTTCCCAATGTTTCCTACAATGAGGAAAGCCTGACAAGAGACGACCAGATGCAGGATATAAGAAGCGCTTCCAATAGGCCACCTTTGCCAGATCTCACTTACAAATCTAGTGGAGGCTCAAGATTCTCGGTGGCACTTCCCGCCGAAGATGACGAGATCATTAATATTGGGTTGGTGGACTTTGTTGTTGCTCTAAAATCTCCCATTGTGATCACTCAGAGTCAAATGTCCAAGCTTTCGCAATTCTCGGCTGCCTCTTCCGTTTCTGGCTTTCTTGAAGAAAAGGTCGAAGCTCTCAGCTCGCTCCCACAGAGAGTTTTTTTTTTTTTTTTTTTTTTTTTTTTTTTTTGCCCCCCATAGAGATGGTCTCCTGGAAGCCAGAGCTCAGAATTATGCCCCTCAATCTGTACTCTACCACCCTGGCGAAGTTGACAGCCCAGGCTATGGAATAATGCATGGTATTCCTCAACCCATTGCTAATCAAGTAGCATCATTTCTCCGCCAAACAAAAAAGATAATTTACGTATGGCCTTGCGTACAGACAGGGAGTTTAACAAGAAGTCCGCTTTTTCGATTTCAGGTTTATAATAGTACGCGTTTCGAGATAGAGGAGTTCACTCATCATATTGCAGAGTAATGTAACAATCCTGGACAACTATTCTGTGAAGAGTCTTCTGTATTGGAGCTTTAGGCTGAGAGAAGGATGTCAGTGGACTGGATGTTGCAATCCATGTCCGTCGGGGCTTGGGTGACTCACTACATAAGTAGGTAGTCGGGACCAAGTTGTTATCGGAAATTTAGACAAACTTAGCAACAACTCGAACCATACATATGCGGATAAACACAGTATTCTGAACGTATAAGGCATAAATACCTGGAAGTCGATTGATACAGCAATGGTTCCTTCGACTTCATCTCGACCAGTAGGCCCTCTGGTCACCCTGCCTATCCCCGCGCTTCGGCCGTCTCGAAACACCACTCTTCGCGGCCGTACAGTCCTCCTAGAACCCCTCACAGAGTCACACGCAAACGATCTCTTCGCGATTGTCGGAGGAACAGATCCCATACATGCTCCTCTATGGGATTACATGGGCGATGGACCATACGGAACGTTCGATGAATTCCGCGTCGCAATAGCAGCCAAAGCGCGCTCCGAAGATCCATTCTTTTATGCCGTCTTCAAAACATCCTCCACCCCGGAAACCGAGGTCAAAAAAGAATTAGTCGGCTACCTAGCTCTAATGCGTTTCGCGACATCAGATCTTTGCGTCGAGATTGGCAACATTCTCTTCTCGCCTGCTTTGCAGCGCACCACAGCTGCAACTGAAACTGTCTATCTAGCTGCTCGATATGTCTTTGAGGATCTTGGCTACCGTAGGCTGGAATGGAAATGCAATGCTCTAAATGAACCGTCGAAGCGTGCAGCGATGAGATTTGGTTTCCGCTACGAAGGCCTGTTTAGACAGCACATGATTGTCAAAGGAAGAAGTCGAGACACGGCATGGTTTGCTATTTTGAAGGATGAGTGGGAAGGAGAGAAAGGGTGCAAACAGGCCATGGAGAGGTGGTTGGATAGGGAGAACTTTGATGAGAATGGGCTGCAGAAAAAGAAGCTGGAGGAGTTTAGAGCGTAGTAGTCTGGAAACATGGGCATGTGGCTGTATTTCATAGGGCGAGTTGCAAACCTGCTGTGTTCCGATGCTGCTTCTCTGTACAAACCGGATAGCAACTACAACGGAAAGCTACATAGATCCACCTGCATGGGATCAAAGAAGACGGGAGTAGAACCGTGGAACGGTGTAATTAGGTGAGTGTTCAGTTCAGCTCTAGACAGCTGCGATATTGGGATAGAGTCGAGCAGCATAAATAGCTGATATGTTCCGGTGTCAGTTAGTTCTTCAAGCAATCCAGAGATCATTCCCTTTTTCATATTCTCCTTCAGAATCTTTGCTTCCGTGATCCTAGATCTTCACACATACTATATATAGCATAATGGCTGTTGCGGGAACTCTTTGTCGCTATCTCCTTGTTGCATTAGATGATATTAGAAAGCCACCGTGTTGTCTCCAGCCACTTCCATTGTCCAGCGTCCTTTATGATTGATCACGGCATGAGTCTACAAGAGGTGAAGGGCGGCAGTAGGGAAGTTTCATCAACAGTGGGTATTATGCTTGTTTTCTGTGAACATATTAACAATGAATATCTCTGACTCGATGTTAGATGTTAGTCATAGATGTACTTTACTGGGTATATAAAACTGCATTCTGTGCCAGTTTCGTGCTGTATGTTCTATCTCTTTGTCTCACATTTACATTCTGCACGCTTGAACTTGCATATTTGAACAATAAGCTTGTTTGATCGCTGATATCTATCAAAATCATCAAGTTGGTACTGGAGATATTGCTAAGATCTTCGTGGTATCAACATACAGATATATCCATCTTTGTATCTAGTACTGCTCTCCAGGAACCGCACTCCTTCCGAAATGAGTACCGCAAGACCCCAAGTCTTCCGGGGACGGAATTACTATCCTCACAACGTCGACAGCACAGACTTCCGGATCAGCTGCCAGGGCCGCTTGTTCTGGGTGCATAAAGATATAATTAGCCGAGAGTCTCCCTACTTCCAGACACTTGTCAGGGGAACTTTCTCCGAAGGGCAAAATGGACGACTTACCCTCAGGGACATACAGCCGGACGTTGTTCACGCCCTCTTGGCATATATGTATACGGGGAAGCTGCAGTTGCATCTGGTCCATTCGCCGCCGGAGTACTATTGTAAGTTATTCCAAGCAAAAGAGACGGTTGTTCTTTTTATATAACAGATAGTGCTGACGAGAACAAGCTTATACCACGGGGAAGCGTCTCGACTCTGAGCTAGCTGACTGGGATAAGAATGAGGACTATATGGGAACAGTCATGTCGAAAGCGTTCGCTTGTGTTTTAATCTACATCGCCGCAGACAGATTCTTCCTTGATAACTTGAAGGAGCTAGCAGCCCGTGGGTTCATGGCGAATTTTCGCCCACGGCAGATGAGCGATGAGATCCCAGACGACTTTGTCGAGCTCATCGGTGAGATCTACGAGAAGACGCACGCGGACGACGATGCGCTCAAGAGCCATGTCGTATTCCACCTCAATGAATATCTGAGCCAAAGCCAGAGAATAGTTTTTGAGGAATCTGCGTTTAAAGAAGCTTTCTTGAAGTTCGAGAAATTCGCATGGGACATCTTCAGCGGTACTGTAGGGACATGGGGCAATGAATGTGATCTGCATCGTCGTGCGACGGGATACCTGAGACATGTTATAGCCAGGGAAACAGGCCTGATTGAGACTCTCCAGACAAACACAGAGTGCCGCCAATGTGGTCATGAGTTCGGCTGTGTCGTCGAACTGGTTGGGAAGGATAGGCGCCGGATAGAGAAGGAGACTTGGTTGAGATGTACAAAGTGTAAAACGAGACACTTCCCGCCGGGATTCCCACTCGGGCGGTTATATTAAGGATTTCAAGGGGCATTCATGTTCTGTGTCCAATGTGATTGTTCCATGCTTTGTTTTACTGTCAGGGTTTGGTCGCTGTACTGATTGAGCTGCGACACGCCTCTGGGCTTTTACCTGCAGGAAACCTCGTTAGGGTAGCTAAACATCAAATGACATAACCCACATGCGGGATACTGCTTAAAACAGAGTTGTGGAGAGTACCTAGGTTCTATATATGTAACAGATATGTGCGACGACCTCTCGACTTCTTCTTCTGTCCCACGCCAGTGACTACTTATAGACTGACTCGGCCAGTGAGCAATGCTGAGCACCTACTGAGCTAATGCTGAATACCTTGAGTGCTAAATGAACATATATGCCATCTATACTGAGAATTATAAAGAGTTCACTAAGTAAGCAATCCTGGTGAGAATTTTCTCCCGTTGGCTGTTGCTGTTTGGCGGACTTTGGCATCTGAGCCCTTTTCTAACATTTCGAGCTTAACATGAGGGGCTTTAATAAATTACCCCCAGACTGTTTATTGAGAGTTCAATAACCTCGACAAGCTTGACTCCCTAAGTTCTTGTACTGAAGCTTGCATACGGGCGTTCATACTGGATACGATAATAGCGGATTGGGAGCTGCTGGTTTGATCCCGTTTAAACCAGAGGAAATACCTGAACAGTCTATTTATACAATTAAAGACTTCTATATCGCAGGAAGTTCGTCAACTAATTCAACAAAGTGCTTAATGTGAACCCTGCATGATCTGGATCAGCTAGGGAGAAGAAATGACCATATTCGAAAGATTATTAGCTGACTAACGGTAAGTCTTAGTTACAGTGCTCTTAGGCTATACCAACACAGTATGCTTCGCCAACCCAGAAATTAGTGGTACAGTCTGTCGAGACCGACGGGTTCCAGGCGAAGAATTCAGTGCTTGTGATTCCAAACTTAGACTCGACAATGGGACAAGTATCTCCGGCTGTAGTTGATTATATGGTCAGCGAGTTGGACTCTTCTCAGGAGGGAACAGGTTGCAAAGGAAAGGGAAAAGGCAATGGCGATTAGTATTGTCGGTAAGATGTTTAGAATGCATGAGATGTTCAATACTCACTCTGCACCACGTAATACTTGTTACAGTTACTAGGAATACCAGACGTTGTTGGTCCTGGCACTGACGCTGTAGAGGTCGTGGACGGCGTCGACGAAGCAGGGCCGTCGTAGTCATAGCTTAAGTATCTCATCTGTCTTGCATATGGCTCAACCGTTTTTGCTCTTCCTGGTGCCACTTGATTCGTGTTTCCTGTTGCAGCTGTCGTGGTGTTTTGCCATCTGCATTCTTTTCGTTCATCAAGTCGAGCCCGTCACCAGCTTCTTCTAAGATTTTCATCATCAAGTCTTGTGCTGTGATCTTAGCATCTAGGGGAATGCCATTCCGCTCAGTGGCCAGTTCATATCGGTAGCCAAACACCTTTCCCTTTGCCGCCTGGTGAAGCGGCGTATCGCCTTTCAAATTCTTGACACTCATGCTGGCGCCACAACGGAGTAAAGCTCGCACGGCCTCGACTTGGCGCAAGTTCATCGCCATCTGGTTGAGTGGAGTATTTCCACGTATATCAATATCATCGATCTTGGCACCATGAGCCACGAGGCGTTCTATTATCGCCGGGTCTATAACTTCACCGTTTTGCGTGAAAGCTAACAAATGCAACACATTTAGGCCATCTTGATCGCGCATATTTGCTTCTGCTCCATACTCAAGCAGGGTTTTTGGAATATTCAAATGCTGGTCAAAACCTTCTCTGAAGCTAGAGACTGCATACCATAAGGCATTGTATCCTTTATGGTCTCGAGCATTGATCGTGTCTGGATCGATGCTTAAGAGCAGCTTGACGGTGTTTACCGTATGTGTGACGATTTCGTTTTGAGGGAGCATATAGTGATACTCTGGACCATGAGCCCCTCGTGCGGCCCAGTGAAGGGGCAGACGACCAGCGCTATCACTGGCCAAGACCATTTCCGCAACAGTAGCCTTGTCTCCGCGATGATCAAACAGAGCCTGAACACCATGAAAATTCGCATGGAGACTCCCCAGATGAAGTGGAGTAACATCCTGCACTATCTCCTCTCCAGACTGACGAGAAAAAAGTTCGATCTGGTGCATCGTCTTGACGTGTACGTCCGCTCCTTCAGCAATGAGTCGCTTCACTAAACCATAACTAGCCCTTGAAATGGCCAGACTGAGGACTGTATCTAAAATCTGTTTTTCGTCAAGCAAAGATGTCAAGGCATCTCGAGCGGAAGCTCCTCTGTTGAGGAGTTGATTCATAAGTTCTTCGGCACGTGCCTGTTTAGCACAGATTGCAAGGTCATCTTCCTCGACGCCGGGCGGGCAATAGGCAAAGGAAGATGCAGCCGAGAGCAGCGGGGTCTCGCAATTGTCACGCCCCATGCAAGAATCATCTCTAGCATGGAGGCTTGCCAATACAGGTCGGGTGTCTAAAAGAAACAGCGCAGTATCGACCCGAGCGTTTAAGCACGCCACATTAAGCAGTCGAAATTGCCGTTTTTCAAGTGGTATCATGTCAGTGTCGGTTAGATGAGCGTCGTAATGCTTGAGAAGCAAGTCAAGTGCTGCGGTACTCCCGGATTCTGCAGCAACGTACAATGGATCCCAATAGTAGACCTCGACATGACCCAGGGTGGCACGGGCATTATTCTCGAGATATTGGGCTAATTTAGCCGCGTCATTGTATCGCACAATAGTATTCAGAAGACTGCCATAAGGTTCTTCATAGAGGACTGTGCCGTCCTCATCCACGACTCCAACATCATAAGTTTCTTCATCAAAGTTCCGATAGGGTTGATATTTCGACGTTGGTAGTGTTTCGCCGGCTTGTACTGACATGGTGTATGCTCTCGTCCCCCAACCTGAGCAGGAGATTATGCGATTGGAAAAAGCCGGTAGATGTCAAGAAGGAAGGGGTAAAAACCAAAGAAATAAAAGAAGATGAAAGGAGGGAAGGTAGTATTGGTTAACACTAAATGTTGCTTAGATCAAGGCAACTAACTAACTTAGTAAGAATACGGATAGACTAGTTAGTTAGTTACTAGCTAGGCGGCTAAGTCTATATATATGCCCAAGATCCTTTGAAATAATGTATGAGAACTATAATAAGGTAGACATAAAACGGTTATATATATAGAATTGACCCTTCGGGCATCGTCTTTAGAACAGCATAACTACTCTACTCTCTGGTCACATTTCCACTCTTGCAGAACCCTCTGGGTATGACAAGAAGAAGCTGAAAATTTTTGAATCTTGAACGGTCGAAATAATGAGCATGCCATATTTCAAGGCAATATTCCAGGAGCGAAGATTTCTGATAGTGCCAGCGGCGCATGGCAAAAAAACATGATACACGGGAGACAGCGAGCTACTTAACGTTAGGTAAAAAGTAGGCCGGTAAAAGGTCTCACTCCTCAGTGCATGATGACTGATCAATCTTCATATGCTCGACGCCGTCCGTGAGTGCCTACTTGAGTGCTAACTGAGTATTTGTTGAGCAGCCCCGCCCTTTATCTGTGTGATTAACTACCCCGGGAGTGATTTAGGAGCAACACCAAGCATAAAGCGGTATAGACCGCATCCGCCCTAGAATGGAAGGGGAAATTGACTTGGGCATTGCTATCTAGGTCCTCTCTATCATCTACTAGTACTTAAATCACTCTGGTATAGTTATCCCTGGCGCGTTGTCATCTTGACGAAGTATTTCCATTTCTGTATTTCCTTTTGGACGTGGATTCGCGAGGAGAACGCAGCTTGTTTTAACCAGGATACAGGATTCAGAATTGGATGTATAACATCTTTCTCCTCGCATTGAGACATATGTCCTGTACCTCATATAATTTATATAAAATACTAACCTACGGAGTACTGTAAACCGACCACCAGGCTTCAAAGGTTCGGATATAGCTGATCTAGCTAGCGCTGCATCCCAGTTAATACTAAATATAGCGCGGTCCTGGCTCATGAACCGTGTCCTGCAGGGTCCTTCTGATATCTTGTCGCTTTGCAAACTAAATCACCTTGATCAGGTGGCCGTGATCGGAAAGCGGGGGAAGGGTCACCCAGTCACGGACAATAATAATCCCTACAGTACTCCGTACTTTGCATGCATCTCAGTTACCGGGTTCAATCCGAGTTACCTAGTGGTGAAGGGGACAAGCCGTGCCGTGGACGAGTGTGCTCCGGTTCGGCTACCCACGGATCGGATGGAGTATGGTATAGGAAATTTAGGTATCTGGGACAGGGACTGTTATTACTTCGAGTGACTCGAGGTCAAGTTGGATAGTTATGCATTTTTATTGAATTATTTCGGTCATTACTTCATCGCATTTATATATAATACCCAGTAGATATATATATGTTGGTAGTAGTAGTAGTAGTCCCTCCAACCGGAAATGTCATATATAGATTATTTTCCTTCTACCCCGCGGCGAATACGTTTATCGCACGCAGTAACCACCGTCGATCCGGATATCCGCACCGGTCGTGTACGTGCTGGCATCACTGACCAGGTAGACATAGGCGCCCTTCAGCTCCTTCGCGTGTCCGTTTCGACCCATGGGGATCATCGAGTTCCATAGATCCTGCGTCTCCTTGGGCACGAAGTCCGAGAGACCGGTGTCGATGTAGCCGGGGGAGATGGAGTTGACACGAGCAAAGTCACGCCACTCGTTGGCCAGCGAGCGAGCCATATGGATGCAGCCGGCCTTGGCAACGTTGTAGGATGTCTGCTCCTGAGGGAAATTGGCGATGTGGCCGGACATGGAGGCGGTAATGACGAAGCTGCCGGTCCCGCGCTCCTTGAAGTGAGGACCGACGGCCTTCGCGCAGTAGGCAGTGCCGTTCAGGTCGGTCTGGATGACTTCGTCCCAGTCCTCGACGGAGGAGTCGATAACACCAGCGCTGGCGGTCCGGCCGGCGTTGGCGATGAAGGCATCGATCTTGCCAAAGTCCTTGATGACGTCGTCGACGAGCTTCTGGCAGTCCTTGGCGTTGGAGATGTCGAGCTTGTAGGCCTTGACCTTGACGCCGTATGTCTCGCTGAGCTCCTTGGCGTTCTTCTCACCACCTTGGGGACGAGAGGCGTATGTGATAGCAAGATCAGCACCCAACTCAGCACAGCCGCGTGCGGCCTCGATACCCATTCCGCGGGGTCCGGAGGCGCCGGTGACCACGACCACCTTGCCCTTCAGGCTGAAGAGGTCATGGACACTCTCTGCGGCGGGGATGTTGATGGGCATGGTGGATAGGTATAGGTTCTGGTCAAGGACGCTGGGAGGGAGGAAATAGTAATATCCGAACCAAGTGAAAAGCTGGTGATTGTATAGAGATCGAGAGAATATGATAATGCAATCTCTCTTTAACAGGAACAATGCCTCCTTTTATATCTCCTTCCTTTCCTTACCTCTCAACAACCCCTCGTCAGAGCCAGTAGAAGCCACATCCACTTTTGTCGTCATGGATCGCATGGTGGGACATGGGATGCCGGCCTGTCGTTGGCCCGTCCTGGATTCAGCATTCAGGTTAGTTAATTGGGATGTTGCTATCTGCTATGAGCGCTGCGAGAGGAACCATCGTTGCATCCATGATGTCAGCCAGAACTAGAGCCTGCGGTCCGGTTTCCGCTCGTTGTCAATCCCCACCATTTTTCCCGGATGAGGATTCTCCGAGAATAAGTCAGCCATCAATAATGCCACTGCAAAAGCACTCATTTGCATGCTTTCGTCTCTTTGTTGCTGAAGAGATTGAGCCAGCGCCCATGGGAGCAGCAGAAGGGACACAGTACGTCCTTTGGATCGGTTGCTGAGTTAGTCAAAACTAACCTCACTGGCGGGATTGAGTGAACAACTACAAAGGTGGGTCGACCATTATTATTTCAGATTATTTATACATACAATCTCCAAACGGGTAGAAAATGTCATTACATCATAGGATATTGGTCGAATGCCGTTGAGAAGAAGCCCTGCAGCATAGTTGCAGTACAACATATTTACCAGGAGCTATCATCGACCAACAAGGCCAGAATATCCAAACAATGGTGATGATGCTTTTAGGAGAAAGATTTTCAATGATAATTGGAATGCCATCGACTATCTCTTTCCCCGCTAAATCGCAAGAGCACAGTTGGTTGAGACAATAGAAGACGCCCGCTACGAACATAACATGACGGAAGAACAGGCAGCATGCAGGTGTCAAAAGAAGACGTCAATAATCTTCTTCTTGATCAGCTAATTCCTCGTCGCTGTAGCTACTGGGACGACCATCGAGGTAATCCTGTCCTCGCACCCAATGTCCACTCTTACCACCCATCTTCTCCATCAGTTGGACCTTGCTAATCGACATCCCCTTATCTACCGCCTTCAACATGTCGTAGACTGTCAAAGCGGCACCCATTACGGCCGTCATGGCTTCCATTTCGACGCCTGTGCGCCCAAGACAGGTTACTGTGGCTGTGACTGAGATAGAGCCGTATCGGTGTGCTAACTGTGGAAAGGAACGATCCCTTCTTGGAGGTGGCGGATTCAGTATAACATCGACTTCCACGCCGGTGATACCAATGCTCGGATGGCAGAGGGGGACAATGTCTGGGGTCTTCTTCGCTGCAGTAATTCCCGCGATGCGCGCAACACTGAAAACGTCGCCTTTCTTGGTGACGCCTCCCTCCTTGAGAAGATCGTATGGTTGCGAATTGGAGAAGTTCACGTAGCATCTTGCTGTAGCAAGACGTTTCGTGACCGGCTTCTCTTGTATCTGGGTCATATGTACTGTCTGTGACGGCGTAAGGTGCGGGAGGTGCATGTCCGAGACTGTAGGCAAGGACGCCACGGGTTTGGCAGCTTCGCGATTGGGTGCTCGGGCGCCACGCCGTGCGTAGACGTGCCTTATCTTGGAGGTAGGCTCTGCATCAGAGCCACTCCATTTCGGATTATCGCGGCTATTGCTGGCGCTGCTGTTACCGCCATTCCAATTACTGCTGCGGCCGCTGCGGCTGCTGTAAGACCGGGCGTGCAGTAGTGACGAGGAACCATGTGGCAACAGGTGGGCTGGCATACGAGTCCAGGACCAATTCGGGGTGTTTGATAGACGTGAATTTGTCACTGACGATATCGACAGAGCCGATAGCTCATCTAATACGGCCTGTCAGCGTGATTCGTGGTGCAAAAGCCCGTAAATATATTTGAGAGAGATGATATATGCCATTGATATGATCATTGAATATGCCCAGACTGATGCAGAAACATCAAACAAAATAGAATAAAACATGCACTCGTCACATCGTAAAGACATCTGTCGGACACTGACCCTCCAGAAGGAATTTGCCTACCCACCAATGAGTATCATAGGACGGTTCCTCATATTCTCAAGTTCGCCCATGCCAGCATGCTTAGCCTTCTTCCGCTTGACGGCCATGCCAATGACATCGAGCAACTCGCGCTCGCGCTCATTGACAAGTCCCCCTTCGTCGTGGATGCGAGAAGCCATACGGCCTGATTGAAGAAGGTTCAGTGCTTTCATTGCTTCGTTATCGACGGGTTGGCCATCATTCACTTTCCGGATCAAGTCACGGAGAGACACTTCGGCATTCCCAAACAAGCAGACTTTTAGATTCCCATCAGAAGTGATCCGTAATCTGTTGCATGTGCCGCAGAAATTGTGCGTCATGCTAGTGATGAACCCAACGCGGCCTTCAAAACCAGGCACACGATATGTTTTGCTCGTGTCGTTTTTGTGACCCTTGACCGTCTCCAGTGACGGATACTTGTTTCGGATAACTGCAAGCATTTCCTGATAGGAAAACATCTTGCCTTGACTCCATTTGTTTCCGTCGAATGGCATGTACTCGATGAACCGCACCTCAATGGGCTTATCACGACCCAGCTCAACGAATGGAATGATTTCACGATCATTTAAGCCGCGCATCACCACACAGTTGATTTTAAGCTTGATGCCAGCACCCGCCTTGTTCATGTCGAGAATCCGGTCAATGCTTTTCATCACAGCTTCAAATCCCTTCCGTCGCGTCATGATCTGGTACTGGAACGGATCCAGAGTGTCCAGGCTTAGATTGATCCCCGTCAGACCAGCCTCCGCCATCGCGTCCAGCTTGCGGTGCAGGGAGATCCCGTTAGTCGTCAAGCACAGCTCCTTGAGTCCATCTCGCCTGAGATCGCCAATCGCCTGCATTAATGGTAGAATGTCCTTGCGCACCGTAGGCTCGCCCCCCGTCAGACGGATCTTGCTGACACCCTGCGACACGAAGAGGGAGGAGAGGTATACGATTTCCGGCGTTGTAAGGAGATGAGAAGGCGGTGAAAGTGGCACTCCCTCCTCTGGCATGCAGTAAAGACAGCGAAGGTTGCACCGTTCCGTGATGCTGATCCGCAGATAGTCATGTTGACGGTTGAAGGTGTCCGTCAAGAATTCGGAAAAGGGCTTCGCAGTCTTCAGGGCTGATACCCTGGAAGACGAAACTGGTGGCGGAGAGGTATGCGGAGGGTTAGTAGATACCGATGCATATTCTGGAGAGGCAGATAGTTCCTCCTGTAGCTTCAGAGGTTCAGAGGCAACTGCTGTGCCCGTGCTGGATCGTCTACCAGCGAAGTGTTGAACGCCACGAGCTATCCAGACCCGGTTCTGGCGGACTGGGCGTCGCAAGGACGGCAGCAACGAGGCAGCTCGCCTCCGGAGAAGAGACACAGGCATCTTGAAGAGATATCCTGGTCAATGAGGGCGCTATTGCATCGTCCTCCCATCCTCTGGTGTAGGCAGAAGCGAGAATCAGACGGCAAGAGAGCAAGGGATATGCGAAGTCGGGGAGAATGGGGATTCTAGACTGCGCTCCGCCCTTATCAGCAAGCTTAGTCAGTTTATGATAAACAGCAACCAGAACGCTGTTATGCCATCGTCTGCTTTATCATTTACTATTATCATTTACTATTTCCTTCGTGTAGCTATTATTGTTTTTGTCTATAACAAACAGAGAATATCCTACTCTCACAGTCCATCCTTCTGGGCGACAAGAGTGATCATCTTCCCTCTTCTACCTGAGAGGCCCGAGCTCCCATTCCCCTCATCTCCACCCCCGCCTACGGATACGAACAGACCAAGTCTCAATACGAGATTCTTTGTTCTTCTCCCAGCTTGGCCAGCTGATTCTCTCATGGCGAGATAAATAAATTTGCGTTGTGAAATGACAGGGGACCTACACATCCGACAAAATGACTCACGAGTTAATGGCATTATTGCAAGAGCCCCTCCTCCATCATCGGATCCCCGCACGCTATCGGAGATATGCCATGAGTTAAGGCAGAAAGTGACTGCCTTTCTCGAGCAATCAACAGGAGACGAATTGATACGAAGAGTACAATGTCAAGTACGAGTATCTATTCAAGTGATAGAGGAAGCCTTGACACGGTACCGGTAAGTGGACCGGGTATACAAAACCGGGGAAATTGAGCGCTTTACTAACAATGATGACAGATTAGAGGAGCTCTCTCTTTCATATAATGGCGGCAAAGACTGTCTCGTCTTGCTGGTTTTGATCTTGGCGTGTCTGCCGACATTAGCTTCGTCAAACACTGGTGCTGCCACTCTACCCGAGTCCCTCCAGGCCGTCTATATCGTCTCTCCCCATCCGTTTCCTGAAGTTGAAGCCTTTGTCAATACTTCAGCGGCATACTACCATCTCCATCTGAGCCGGTACATGTTGCCTATGCGTGATGCGTTGGAGACCTATCTCCGCGAGAAGCCTACTGTCAAAGCGATTTTCGTGGGAACCAGACGGACTGATCCTCACGGCGAGCACTTGACCCATTTTGATCCCACGGATAAAGACTGGCCGCAGTTCATGCGTGTGCATCCTGTGATTGATTGGAATTATGTAGATGTTTGGACTGTAAGTCAAGCTGTGCCCGTGCCCTTATTCCAGATGCCCATACGAGCTGACCCCTGACATCGCAGTTTATTCGTCATCTCCATATCCCTTATTGTAATCTGTACGATCAGGGGTTTACCTCGCTAGGCGGAATGACAGATACACATCCGAATCCGGCACTCGCGCGCAAAGGGGATGTCACTTCATTTCGACCAGCGTATGAGCTCACCGATGACGATGAGGAACGCTTGGGACGCGACAAGTAAAACAGGAGTCGTACAGCAAATGGAGCTGTTAAATAACTCCCTGGCCTGTATGAAATGCCCCGTAGCAGAAGCTGTCGATATGCATATCCGTAACTTGTTGTTAGAGGACGGAGAATACGTGCTCCTCATATAAGTTTTGGGTTATCTCCCGGCGGACACTCGCTAGAAAAATCGGGAATCAATCTTTAGAATATATTATATATCCTGTCTTATCATGTATATACACCGTCGTATATAGCATTCGCTGGAGATATGTATTAAGTGATCATGAAGACCACCGCGAGATTATATATCAGCAATAACCCCCACATCATTATCGACGAGAATTCGACATATAACCACCAGAGAGAAAGAAAAAAGCTATTAACATAAAACGGAGATTATCATCATTGAAATAATGTTAGACGATTCCGATCTACGACCAAATATTTGCCCCCTTGAGCGCCAACAACGCAAAATGACTGCCCAGAGTTGGTCTGGCTCGGAAGGTATACGACTGTCCGGCTGTGTAGTCTCCGCTGTCTGCGACCCAATACCGGTCCGAAAACGGGGCCGTGTTCAGCCCGTTCGAGATATACGCATGAAGGTCCGAAATGAATACCTCCTGCGTACTGCTGCCCGAAATCGCAGCTACCCACGCTTGCCAGTTCGTCTGGCCCCATTGAAGGCTTCCGTCGAGTGGGATTCCCGCTGTGCTGCGGACAGTAGGGTAGAAGTCCGAGGTGGCGTTGTAGGACTCCTGAGGGAAGATGCCCAAATCGAAGAGGATATCCGGGTAGTTGTTGAAGACGAGGAACCAGGGCTCGACGCCGTATTGGAGCGTGTAGTAATTTCCGCCGGAGTTGGTTCCAAGACGGTTTGTGTAGATGTTGTCCGCGAAGGTGGTGGCGGCGCTGGTATATTGGGTGCTGGAAGAGAAGAGTTTGTTGTAGGCTCCGAGAGCGACGGCCGCTTTGACGCCTAGGTTGGTCTGGTTGGCCAGTTTTCCTAGGGCGTCGTTAAGGGAATATTGGGCCGCGGGGTATTCTCCATTCTCGTTGAGGTATTGAGCGTATTTCTGCAGGTAGGAGGAGTAGGTTGTTGCCAGGTCGGTCTGATTGGAGGCAGACTGGTACGCGTAAGTAAGGAGAATGACGTTGCCGCTTTCTTCGACAGGCATGGCTTCTTCAGTGCTCGAGTCCCAGCCGGTGGCGTTGGGGTAATGTGCCCCCAAGTCATGAGGAGCATAGGCCTCGGTGTAGCTGCCTTGGTCGAGGTAGGTGAAGACAGGCTGGAGAAGAAGCCTGATGAAGTCTGGATTGAGAACGTAGAATATGGGGAAGGTTGCGTAAATCACGTCGACGGTCTGTATGTTGCCGTCACTGGAGATCTCCTTGAGGAAAGCTTGGACATCGCTGGTATCGAGAGATTGGTTTGGAATGGTCAACTCAATGCCTCCAAACGTCTGTCGTACCGACAAAGCCAGGATATCTGAATAGTTAGATCCATATGCTGAATTTCCGGACGATTGGATGAGGTTGTCAAATGTAGTGGACTCGCTCGCAGCGTCGGAATAGTCATCTAGGAAATATGTGACAGCAGCAACGGTTTCCGGATAACTGGCTCTGTAGTAACCTGTCTGTGCAGCTCCAAGGTAGTTGATGGCTTCCTCGCGAACATGGCCAATGGCAAAAGTAACAGCGCTCGAGCCGCTGATTGTTCCCAGGTCATGAGCAAAACCGACGACACCACCTGAAGTCCAGCCGGGGTAAGAATTGCTCAATTTTCCATTGCTGACGAACTCAGATCGAACTGTGGACGGCGGCCCTGATGCGGAAGTCAAGGTGTCGCCATCGCTCGGTCTAGTAGCATATACAGCTTCTCCCCAAAGAGCTTGTTCATTGGCACTCTCAGCGTACGTTATAGGATTTGCTGGGGTGATCTGGTAGACACCAGTGGTGCCATTGGTGGAGTAGCTCCAGCTCGAAGCACTTGATTGACCAGTCCAGGTGTCGTCAATGTCAGAGTAGACCTGGACGTTGCCCGACGTGCCACTCACTGTTACCGTGAGATAGGAAAATGGCAAGGACTGGCGCAGGTAGTTTTTCGGAGACACCGGCGAGAAGAAGTCCAACTTCACAGTACCATCACCTGCGGTCAAGGTGAAGGTACTATGTGTGGATGTGAACGTCGCATCGGTGAGAGCGGCCTGTTGAGTCCCGTCCAATGCATCGGTTACACCGAATACATTGTAGGCGACTCCATCTACACGCACGATCACTGACCAGGCGAGGTCATTGCCCGACCAGAACTGGGGGGCGCTGGACGGCAGACTGTTGGCAAGGTTCCCGGGTAGCCAGGCTATAGAACAGTCAATCATCAACTCTCTTTTAGAACTATACGGGGCAATCCAACCGACCTGATAGATATGGACTTCGGACCGCCAGTGGGTATGAAGGTGGTTGGAATGGAGTGAATGAAGCCGCATTGGAACTGCTCAGGGCAACAAAGGTCCATGTGGCTACAAAGACCGACCACAAGCTTCTGTTGCTTACCATCTTGACCTGCGTCTGCTGCACGTACACTGAGGGGCCTGATCAACAGCCCGACTCGGCGGGCAGCACCGACATCTAAATATTTTCCCCGAACACATGGTCGTGGACGAGAGGCTGCAAGGATACTCCCTTGCGTGCTGAGGGGTCTCGATTAGCTTCTTGCCGGATGAGGATAACTGATCTTGCATAGCGAGCATGACACCTGCTGCGAGATCCATATTTTCCGCACTCTCTGCCGGTCGACGATGATCTCTCGCGGTCAACGGCAGGGAGATCTAATCTGAACCGCTGTGGAGGTCAGGCGATCTCGTGTCTTTCGCCCAGGCGATGTCCCAGAGCACGCCATTTGTCGCATCCATTGTGTACAACGAAGTTGCTCTGCATGATGCAGTCTTACTGCATAACATGGACTGAACCTGCAATATCCCCTCCCGACAGAATCAGAAAAAGAACATTCAAGTTCACCCAGGAGCTGCTGTCAAACAGCCCCTATCCACCATGTAAGGATCCTCGGACCATGAGTTAGAAGGCGCAATGGTTCTCGGCTGAGGCGTCGCCTTGATGTGATCCACCAGACAGGGAGACTTCTACTACTACTCCGTACATACTTAGTGGTTCAAATGGGCAATAATAGTCACTTTGCGGAGTGCGCCAACGGAACTGTTGCTTGTTTCCAGCTTTCATCCTATCATAGGACAGCAGAATGATAGACAAGATGCGGAGAAGGACAGAGCGGGTCAGATGAACTGCGCAACTTTAATGCCTATTGCGCGATACTTGGCACGAGAACATCCTGACTGTGACCGGCTCAGCGTCAGGATGGAGGTTCTGTGGTCGTCGCTCACTGGGCGTGGGCTTCGAATATGGCTGCAGGACTCAACTATCAGAGAGGTATCGCAACGTGTGCCCTGCGGGAATCGCGGAAAGGGGTTGTTCATGACTAGGATCCCGATATTTCGGCACTCAAGTCCCGGCCGCGCTTAACAAGACATGATCGCGAAAAAGAACAATGAAATAACCCTAAGAGAAGTTGACCAGAACAGGGCATCGGATGTTGTCCCGCAATGGCGCAATAGTCTCTTATCAGTTCTAATAACGGTGATCGTTAATATATGCCACAATGGTACATGTATATACGCCCTGCCAACATACTACTTATCTAGACACTGTACCATATACATCATTGTATACAGAGCACTGCCACATCAAGTTAAACAGCTGGATCTGCGTAGATGGAGGCAGATCAAAATCCAGGAACCCGAAGACAATAGCGAGTCAGAATGAAGGACTTCTCCGGCATCGAGCAAGCAGTGGCTGTTGGAAAAGATCCCGACGAAGATACAGTTAATGGAAGCGCGTTGTTCGCTCCACCGGGCCACGCGTCCAACAAGCACGATCCAGGTTGTTGTTCTATAGCTTAACTAGTTCAGCATGGAACTTCCTGCAAGGATTGTACATGATTAAATGACGGCTATGGGCAGTTAAGATGAAGAGAATACTCGATAAATCTTATTCTCCACTTGCTCACAGCATGTTATCAGTATTTTCCGGTGATTCTACGCCTCATTGTTCATACGACTCCGTAGTACGTATTGACTTTCCCCTGAACCGGTTGCCGGGTTTTTAGACATAATATTAATCCTTACCTATCATATCAACCGCTTATTGCTTCCCTATTGAACGCAATAGATATTAATACTGACTGGCTCAGATGTGGCTGTCGACAAGGTATTAAACCCTGTCGGTGATATGGCCCGGTCGAGACCGCTGTCTCTTTGAATGTTTCACGGCATCGGACAAAAGTACTAATACTAAAACCTACTATTATATACAAGGAAACGCGGATACTCGGAAGTACTCAACTCTCCTTTTGTCGACACCGCCATGTGGACTGTCTAGCAAGAATTCCTTATACAGAGTACGAAACACGGAACTAACTATTTATCGACCAGTATACTTCCTCTCCAGATATCGAGTGACGGGATATACAATGAGCGTGATAACTCCACTGAGGAAGATACCAACGTCTCCACCGGCTCCCCCGAACTTGGCAGCAATAGGCCCAATGTACCAGACCTGCGCCATACCTGGAACACCACCGCCGCAGTATCCGGCAATCAAGGAGAAGACAGCCGCCAGACCAACTGGAAGTTCGTCGGGCTTATCCCATGCCTTTAAGTTATAATCCACGCCATGGCGGAAAACACAGTCTTCGATAAGGAGAATGATAGTAAAGGAAACAGTCCAGTATCCAAGCATGGAAACGAAGTTGGATACAATCGTCGACAAGTGCTCTCGACCTGCGATCGCTAGGATAGCAACGACCAAAGCGACAAGGAACGACCAGACAAAGCGAGGAATCGCGTGGAAATAGTCGCCTAACAGCTGGAGCGACAGGCCGGAAGAGTAGTTGATGGCAATATTGTTACCACACACGGTAAACACGGAGATGACCAGAGCAAACTTGGACCATCCTTCAGGATGCCATGCTTCCAGAAGCAATCCACCAAGTCCATGGTTGTTGTAGGCATCTGCGTACGGAGGATAGGCATTCAACGTCGCGGCTTGTCCTAGCACTATTCCCAGATAAGTTGTGAAGCAGGTAGGAAGGACGAGACCGATCCAGGTCAGCAAGAAGATTTTTATCTTGCTGGTATCCTTGGGGTAGTTGCAGTAGTAGTCGGCTGCCATCGAGCACCATCCTGAAACCGAAGAAAACTGCAAGGCAAAGAAGGATAGCCATGCACCTGAAAGCTCGATGCCCTTGTCGGAACTGGGCGTATCCAAAGGCGGTGCATGTGGACTCGCCTGCGCATACAGAACGACAAACAGGACGAATGCCGCAATCCAGGCATACTTCTCAAAGGTATGAATCAACCTGAACCCAAAGACCGAGAGAATAAATGAGATGACCGCGATGATCACCACCCCAACAATAATCGACATGTGGTAATCAGACACTGCGGACAAGATTTGGCCCACGACCACGGCGTTGACGACAGCGAAACCGCCTCCCACCACCACATTGAGGACCGAGCACAGTTTCGCGCCCCAGAATCCAAAGGAATACCGCGAAGTGGCAATCTGACGAAGGCCCAGTTTGGGACCCAGTGTGCCCGTGTATGCGGTAAACAATGCCCCGACCATTATACCGACTGTGGCCGATGACATGGCCCCGTTGAAGGACAGTCCATATTCAGCCCCCAGAACACCCATGGGGATTGTTCCAACGTGCATCACAACCGACGACCACATCATGAGGGCATTCCAGATGGACGGGGGCGTCTTGGCCTCGTCGGGGATGCGATCGATACCCTGAGTCTCGAAGTAGTTCTCCCCGCCCAGCTGGCGATCCATCCATCGCTCTGCTTCATGGAGTTTGCGCAAGGGCGTGAACGCATTCTGAATCTGAATGGCACGACGGACCTCATCTTGTATGAGGCCTGCGTCTGCACTATTGATATCGAGTGGCTCCTCGCCAGTCAGGTTGGGGCCCTTGTTAGCCTCGAGATCCTTTCTGTCTCGCGAAAAGTCCGACATGTTGCATCTGCGGGAATGCAAAGCGAGACCCGTGCCATCTTAAAAGCACGCCCAGGACCGTTTGTCCTTAATATATTCCTCCTGCTCTAGTTAGACTGAATCTATCTTTTTCGATCTTGATCGCACTGAATCTCAAGATAAGCTCTATGGCCAATCAGAATGGACGCAGGGCGGCACAGCATTGATGCTACAGATAAGGCGACAATCGTTATTATTATTGGACTTCAGCGTTATACAGAGTAGCATTGCGATGTTGGACTCGGCAGCCCCGATGGCTTTGTTCTCGTATCGCTTCAGCAAATATGGCAGGTGAGGATGTTTGATAGCTGCGATGCCATGAAATGCCTACTTAGCGCATGATGGATGGGCTTTGTTCTTTTTCAGGAGCTGGGAAGGTATATTTGGAACCAAGAGAGTCCGAGATGAAGGGCTCCTGTATTAGTTAGAGCTGGTGTTCAGTCTCTGTTGACTATCTTACCATTTCAACGGAGTCTTCTCAGAGCTTTCACTCAGCAGACCCTGTTACAATTGACACCAGATCGTCCATAGTCTGGATCTTCCTGGACATGGCTGCGTTTTTCTCAGAACTGCTTAATCAGTCCGATAGCCGATTAGTTAAGGGTTTAGCGCATCTGACAATGGTGGTCTAGGTACACCGCTTCCGCCGTTAGAGGCAATATGCTGCTCCTACTTGCATCTACTCCTTGATTTTTTTTCCCGGGTATCTATTTAGTTGAAAAAAAAAAAAAAATCATGTCTTCTCGCTCTAATTCTCAGCATCGTGCCTTTCACACCTGGTGCTGTGGGTAGTGGTGTGCGTTTAATCACACAACCTACTGCGTTTCCCCGCGCAAAAGTTTTTGCCGGAGCTTGCTTCTAGCAAGCTGCAATTACCCATCTCTTTTTTCGTCGAAAGCCAGGGCCGACATGGGCCTGCCTGGTATATAGAAAATGATCCGTGAGTTTTTCCTCTTCTGCTGGAGTGTGAGATTTCCTCGAGTTAATATGCTGACGTATCGATAATAATAGCGTACAGGTGGCGGCGCTTTGCCGTTCAGTGCACAATGGATGTGCTACCGCCATTGAACTTCCTGACCCTACATTACACTTATTTTATTGCGACAGTACTCGGATGCAGCTTGGTATTCTGGGGTGCAGCTACCCCCTTTGGCAGCGTAGCTTATGTTGACGCGTTGTATATGTGTGCAAGTGCCATGACAGGTGCGGGCTTGAATACAGTAGGTCCCTACCATCATGCTGAATATGTCCGTTGCTTATACCAACTCTTCAATTTCTGTACAGGTCAATCTGTCCACTCTGAATACGTTTCAGCAATTGATCTTATTCCTCCTTATCGTTTTTGGATCAGCTATCCTCGTTTCCAGTGTCGTTCTGTTCGTTCGGAAGCAGGCTTTCGAGCGCAAGTTAAAAGGAATCCTAAAAGAAAGACAGTCGGCATCACACTGTCAACGGTCTGGACTCCATATACGCTTATCGCACTTGCGCAGGAAGCCCCGATCTCCGCAAGAGCCTGGTGATGTCGACACCGATTTGGGGGACCAGTTTCCTGACGGCAAGCGGCCAGTGGTACAGTCGGCCTGCATATCGACGAATGGCCCCAGCACGACAAGAGCAGATGCGTCTGGATCTATAATCTCGGACTCGATTCACGAGCGCCCGCACGAGTCGCAATCCGACCAATTACCACATGACGACGACCATATTCAATGGATTGATGATGACCAGGTCACGATTGGGGGCTCTCCTCGCCCAAGAAGACATTCACACCGCAGGGTTTTTCCAATGGCGGGAGTCGGAGCACGTCCAGATTTGAACAACCACCCGAGAGACATTCTCCCAGACCCATTGTTATACGAAGGAAGGCGACCGTCCCTTATCGAGACTGCCCTCAAAGGAACTCAAAAATACTTCCTCTCGAAAGGGTTCATTTCGCGCAATTCTCAGTTCTACGGCTTGACACCGTCTGAGCGGGGGAAACTCGGCGGAGTAGAATATAGAGCAGTCTCCTTCTTGTCCATTATCGTTCCGTTATATTTCGTGTTATTCCACGTATTTGGCATTGTCGGTGTCGGAAGTTGGATCTCGATGAACAGGCCAGATATTGCGCGGACAAATGGACTCTCTCCTTTCTGGGTAGGGGCCTTCTTCGCCACATCAGCATTTGGCAACAGTGGCATGGCGCTGCTTGATGCAAACATGACTGCCTTACAAACAAGGTATGGCTAATGTTTTTTTCCTCGAACTGGCGCTTAGTTACTGACAAATCATAGTGCGTATTGCTTGCTAACTATGGGCATGCTGATTCTGGCCGGGAACACATTGTACCCATGTTTTCTGAGATTTATCATATGGAGCATCAGGCGCATGCTACCGAACAAAGAAGCATGGCAGGACTGGAGAGTTGTCCTTGACTTCATCCTGGACCATCCGAGAAGGGTATGTTTCTCACCCCGGTGCCTTGACAATGCTTGAAGCTAATATGTGCTCAGGTTTATACAAACCTCTTCCCTGCGCGCCACACCTGGTACCTCCTTGGCACCATCATATTCTTAAATGGGATCGACTGGATGGGGTTCGAGGTATTGTCTATCGGAAACAATGAGATTGACAAACTGCCACCTCCCTATCGTGTCCTGGACGGTCTATTCCAGGCGTTAGGTGAGTGCCAGGTTGAATAATGACATTCGACTTTTCTGCTAACGTAGGTTGCCAAAAGCCGTGCGATCAGGAGGATTCTATGTTGTCAATATCGCCAACCTTCGTCAAGGCTTGCTTGTTCTATATGGTAAGTAGAACATTCTAACCTAGTACTCCTCCACAAGAAAGACCTATGCTAACAGGCCTGCAGCACTCATGATGGTATGTTGGCGCTGTTCCCCAATAATTCTGTCCTCCCACCTGGACAAACTAACGTAAGACCCATTATAGTATGTTTCAGCATTCCCGGTACTTGTTACCATCAGGTTAGTGAATTGTTGCTCCTTTGGCTGGCTCCGTTCACACATGCTGAGAACTTGCAAGGAACACGAATGTTTACGAAGAACGCTCTCTGGGAATATACGCCGATGACAATCAACTGAGCGACCCGGAGAACCGAGCGAGATCGGTCAACCCTCTCGTCAGTCTGCTGAGGCACCATCTGCTTCCCAATCATCAAGAATCTCCTCCCGTTGTCGACCTCGAAGCATCGCGCAGCTACTTCGTCCGTCAACAACTTCGGTCTCAGCTCAGCCACGACATCTGGTGGATCGCGCTAGCGGTCCTGTTCATCACGATTGCTGAGTCAGGACACTTCGAGAAGGATCCCATCTCCTTCTCCACATTCAATATCATTTTCGAAGTTGTTTCCGCTTATGGCTGCGTTGGCCTCAGTGTTGGGTTCCCTAACCAGAACTACTCGTTCAGCGGTACCTGGCACCCCATCAGCAAACTGATCCTCGCTGCTGTAATGATCAGAGGACGGCATCGCGGGCTGCCTGTCGCGATCGATAAAGCCATCATGCTCCCCAGTGAGTCTCTTGCCTGGGCTGAAGAGGAAGATGCCGCTCTAAGGATTGAAAGATCCAGGACACGGAGCGTTGGCAAAACGCAGCCATCAGGCCCAGCGGCCGTCTAAACAAACGACAATCTTTAACTCCGATTATGTTCGCGCCAGGCTTGGTTTTCTATTACCCATCGAACTGTCCGGTCATGCCGCTATCGGATGAGCTAATTAGCGGCTTTCCTCCCCTTCTTCGTTCCTAATTAGGGAAAGGGTTACTTTCGACTATATATCCAATTACTCTCACAATCACAATAATCATGACTATAACGACAATAGAAGGATGGCGTTTGTTGTTTAACAGAGGGGATTTCACACTATATAGAGCTGTTTGCTTTTCTATTTCCCTTTCCAATCTCGAGGAACATGCTGATGCAATGCAAGTTGTGGTGTTAATACACTCATGATAGCGTTCGTCTTCTGCTTTTTTCTTTCGCTCATGACAGCAGGATACGGAAATCATGCATTTGCTTTGTGGTTATGGAACATCGGTAATGAGAAGTTTTGACATCTTGGTATGAGGGAAAAATAGTGAATTTGATAGATATATGAACTGAAATGGAATTTTTTTAATACCCTGGTGCCGGTCCCGATGATGATATCTAACGTACAGAACAATGTATACCAGATAAGAGAAAACATAGACACTGAAAAGAGAATGAGACTGCAAAGATGACGATGGGTACTAGACTCTGAAGGAATTGGATGAACAAAGGATATGACTTTGCATCTATTATTCATCATCCTCCTCCTCATCATCTTCGTCGTCCTCATCCTCTTCTTCCGACCCCTCCTCGACTTCTTCCTCTTCCTCTTCATCGCTTCCACTAGCGAGATCTTCCATAATCTCATCGTCATCATCACCGCCTCTCTTTCTCCTCTCCTCTTCTTCACGTCTACCCTGTTCCAGAACAGCGGCGCGCTCTGCGCGAAGCTTACGCTGTGTCTTGACGAACGCACCGAGAGGGGTAACTTCCCAGTCAACGTCCTTGAGGAAGGTCTCAACTTCAGCGCGGTCCTTGGGCGAGAAGTTGACCTTTGAGCGCTTGTCCTCGATCCAGCGAGAGTTCGATTCAACTTTCTGTACGAGGAGCAAGATCTGCTGGTTGAGTTTGGTGTTCTTGTTTCCTGTGGTGCGAGAGCCAGCGTCTTTCAGCCAGCGCTTGAGCATGACCACGATAGGGAGGGAGAGTTCAGGGAAGGCAATGTGCTTTGTCCACAAGACGAAGAACTCTGAAAGGAGCTCGCTGACTTGCTCGCCGACGCCGTCCTGGTAGACGCGGGTGCGAAGGTAGGATTTTGGCGCACGGATGGCGGTCTGGAAGTCGAGCTGTTTGAGAGTGCTGGACTTCGGGGGCTTGCGCATCTCCGCAGACGTGAGAACTTCAAGGAGCGCGGATCCGAGAGGAATGTAGGTGCCTGTGGCGCGGGAGATGCGGAGAAGAGCGCGGACCAGCTGGAAGCGAAGAGGGAAGTATTGTGCCGTGGGGATCAGGCGCATAGCACCAATGGTGATTTGAACGACGGGATAGATGAGTGGACGGAGGGCAGAAGCCTTTCCAGCCTTGGCTTCAGCGAGGCCATCGCAGTGTTGGGACAGGACTCGAGACCAGAAGTCAAGCGAGTGGACGTATTGCCAATTGTAGATAGTCTTGTAGGAGTCCTTGGAAGGATTCGTGATGCTGCTTCGCAGGTGCATCGCGAGCTGGCGGATGAAGGAGAAACCGGCCGTGTAGGAAACGTTCTGGTCGATACCCCAGATCTCAGCCGCCGAGTTCTTCATCAGGTTGACACCGGGGAGAGTATGGACGGTGGTGTTCCGGCTGCCCCTGACGACACCTTCGTAGGTAGCCTTGAGGACGGCTTCCCGAATACCGGCATCACCAATGACCATCAGACGCCGGATGAGAAGGAACGCTGTGATTCGTGTGGCTTCGCTGGTGGAGGAATCAGACCAGATTCCCACGACAGTCTTCACAACAACCTTGAGCAACTTTCTGAACTGCAGAAGGTAGGGGAGCATCGGCTCAATCGAGGACAGAGTCAACTTCAGCGTCGACGCATCCGACAGGTTACCGAGAAGCTGGTGAACAGAGGTAGTATGAGACTTGATGAGAGGTGTCAAAGTCTTGAACTTCTTCGAGTCCATTTGCACCCTCACTTTCCCGGAGGCAGTCTCCTTGACAGGAAGGTGATGCGTCAGAACCTTCGGGACCACATTCAGGGCCGTGATGAGCACCTGGTGGTATACGTCGGGGTCCGAGATGGTGTATTTCTGTTCAGGAGTTTCGGCTTCGTTGACATAGGCAGCAGCACGGAACGCCAGGACAATCTGCCGCAGGGCCCTCATCGAATGCTGTTCTTCCATAGACTTCCTCCATTTCTTGATATCGGCCATGGTGAGCTTGTTATCTACCTCTTCCATATCCTCATCCTCGGACTTGGACTTCTTTTTCTTCTTCGCAGGGCCTTCCTCCTCGCCCTCACTGAGCTCATCAACTTCGGCCAGGTCTCCGTGATCACCAAAGTCCAACAACTCGGCATCATTTTCTTTCAGATACTTGTAGAACTCCGGGTCCTTTTCCTTCAGTGCCTCCAGCTGATCCTTGTGCGTCGCCATGTCGTTCACACTGCTTGTCTCGGAGGCGGCATCATCCTCACTCTGAGATTCGGCATCTTCCTCACCACTGCCTGAAGCCGAAGACTCATTGTCGTCTCCATCTTCTGAGCGCTTCCGTTTGCCTGTCTTCGGGGTGACAGCTGTTTTCTTCGCCTTCTTTCCCTTGGCTGGGGCAGCATCAGGAATGTCGAATCCGCCAGCGAAGAAGTCGTCAACGTTCATCTCCGCAAAGGCATCCTGCTTCCGACGCTGTTCAGGGCTTTCATTGTCACTGTCGTTTGCGTTCTGCGCCCGATCCTCAGCGTTACGCGCTTTCCTCTTTTCCTTAACCTGCTGTCGCTGCTTAACCTTGGCGAATTCCTTGCGACGGTCGATCACATCCTTGAGATGCTTCTTCTCGAACTTCTTGGTCGACTTCTTCATGCGACCCGGCATCTTGGCGACTAAATCCCAGTCTGCAGAAGGAATCTGCAGGAGTATACTGGGTTGGTTGATGAGTGCAGTGCCGATCTATATTGTATCACTCGAGAAATTTCAGTTGAGAAAAATTCCCGCACGGTCGACGCTCACCGCCTTCGGTCCGCAAGCAACTTCCCCGCCAGCCGCAACAGAGCAGCGAGACCGTCCAAGCGATCATATCATGTATTCTCAACGTCCGCTCTCTTATGCGCCAACGCCCTACAGCTACACGCCGAATCCTGCGTTGGCTGCTTCGATCAATCTCGATGAGGTCTGCTGCTCCATAATCTCCATCCACCAACACGGCTGACCCTTGTCATAGGAAGTCAAGCTAGCCACGAGCTCTGCGGAGCGCGATCTATACGAGTCGCTCGCGGAGATCTATAGCATCATCGTCACACTCGACGGACTAGAGAAGGCCTATATCAAAGATGCGATTACGGAATCGGAATATACGGAGACGTGCGCTCGCTTGCTGAAGCAATACAAGTCCAGTTTGGGAGATGATGCTGTCGCACAGGAGTTTGGAGATCTGGACACCTTCAAGCGGACATGGGGGGTATGTGCCGCTGTCAACATCACGAGGCAGGAGATGCTCTGCTAACTCAAGCAGCTGGAATGCCCCAAAGCAACAGAGCGACTACGCATCGGCCTCCCGGCCACGGTTGAGCAAGCGTCCCACAGTGCCCCAACCCCGAGTAACGGCCCTGCAGTCGCCGGTGCTCCAGGAGGTGCATCCCTGATCTTGACGGCTACTGAAAACTTCATCACGTTCCTCGATGCGCTCAAGTTGAATATGGTCTCGAAGGATGCGTTACACCCACTCCTGTCCGAGGTGATCCAGTCGGTGAACAAAGTGACGGACCGCGACTTCGAGAACCGGGGGAAGATCATTCAGTGGCTTATCACGCTGAACCAAATGCGTGCAACAGAGGAATTGAGCGAAGAACAGGCGAGGGAATTGTCATTCGATATTGAACAAGCATATCAAGGATTCAAAGCTACCTTGGGCTAAATCGGTCGGTTCATTGGCATTGGAGTCTTACGCGGCACGGAGTTGGGTGGTTTCTTGTCTTGAACGTCATGGCGCTTTTTTGATACCAATCGCAAACAGTACACATACATATATGTTTCCTCTTTATCTTTTGCCGACAAGTCTTTTGTTTTTCCGGCGATGAAATCAAATAGAGTCGAGACCCATTCCGACCCACGGACGGCGCAGACAAACCTTTCCCGATTGGGTAATCGCGACTTTTTTTTGCGTTCCTTTGAGATACCGCCCAGAATCCCCCGCGCCACCCCATTCAGCTCTTTACAGCATTCATGGTGATGGCAGTGGCTTCTTTGTTGCTTTCATACCGCCCTGTTATACTTACAGACCCTCGCCATGATCAGCGCCGACGATGACGAGCCTCTTCATGGTAGTGACTCCCCCCCGCCTTCTACACCGCTGTATAGGATAAGATAAGCTGATAAGTGGGAATCGTGCTCCAAGGAATGCAGTGTTCGACCTTCCCCAGCTCTATACTAAGCCTTGCGCGGCGGATATACTGAACGCTCTCGAACTACTGAGAGTCCAGCCGCGAAGCTTTGACAACAACGGCCAGGATGTGGTGAAAGGACGGACAGTGCAGTCAGTAGGCGTTACGAAGTATCTCACATCGATCGTCTCAAGCGCTCTGTCATGGCTGGAATCGGACGAAGTAAGAGAGGCTGTCTGGGACGCAGCGTCGGCGAGACTCAGTGAGCGCTCTGGACGAACTGGTGAGCTGGATCCGGTGCATGGTTATCCGGAATACGTAGTGCTAACTGACGAGGGTAGCCATGGGAGCCATATCTCGCGTCTTCACGATTCCCAGGTCGGCCACCGAAGACTTCACACTCACACTCCATGAGCCCGCTCTGACATCTGACAATCTGGGTATGAAAACCTGGGTTTCCTCCTATCTCCTGTCACGGCGTTTACATTCGTTGTTCGAAACCACCCCCGAACTTGTCCCCGCTACATCACCGTCGGTATCCCGGAATAAGGCAGGCAAGACGCTTCGAGCCCTTGAACTGGGCGCTGGAACGGGCCTTGTCGGTCTCTCTTTTGCTGCTCTTCGTGGACCAGCCGCTTCCATCCACCTTACGGATCTGCCCGCTATTGTTCCGAACCTCTCGCATAATGTCGGCTTGAACTCCGAGCTTCTCAGCAAAGCTGATTCTGTCGTGACTACCGGGGTGCTCGACTGGTCTGTGGCGCCGGAATCTCCTCCAACGTCCGATGAACGCTACGACATCATCTTGGCTGCGGATCCTCTATATTCCCCTGAACACCCCAGGTGGCTTGTTCAGACAGTTGAACGCTGGCTCAGTCATAGCTTGTATGCACGGGTAGTCGTCGAGATGCCCCTCCGCGATGCATACAGTCCCCAGCGCCAGGAGTTCCGTCAACGGATGATTGCTGTCGGTCTGGCCATTGTAGATGAAGGCGAGGAAATCGGGTACGACGACTGGGAAAGTGCAGACGGCGGCTCATTGGAGGTTAGATGTTGGTGGTCGGTATGGGGATGGAGTGAGAAGATATAGAGTCCTGTGTATTTTGCGCATCACGATCTTACGAGGCTATGATAGACGTTCGATAGACTAGATCTAGATCTTGTTTTCGGATATAAAATGTCTTCAATACATCTTTTTACGCCAACGTGTCGATCAATTCTAACATCTAAAAATCGTGCTCGGTACAAGTATTGAATCAAAGGCTCGCATATACCGAATATCACCTCGAAAGGTAGATAATATTGTTTGTTCATTTCTCCCAGTTGCTTTCGTAGTCCCTTCTAGATCACGTGCAAGCCACCGTCCTCCTATGACGACACTGCGTCAGGGACCATTGCTAGATATTTCTTTTCTCTGCTGATCAGTACTGTCATCTCGGCGTTCTTACAAAAATCTATTGTCAATCTGTGGGCGCTTTACAGATATACTCTAGTTTTCAATCATACCCTCCTATACTCGACTCTTGTCCAGAACTAGAACTGAGACGGCCATCTGCTTGACTAAACTAGGTGCGCTACGGCTAGGAGGGGCCGTAGCAAATAATCATTGAGCGTAGTGACCAAGCTGGCTGCTCTGACTAAGCTGGCTGCTGGCGCTGACGCGCTGGCGCGCTGGCAAAGCCTGGCAGATAGGTTGATTGCTTAATCAGGTAATTTATCAGGTTCTTTTAGTTAGTAACTATAGATAATGAATATTGTAAAGAACTATCTAATAGATAAAGCTAGCTAATAATTGCTAATCGGCCCTTTTGTCAGGACCGCGAAAAGGGCCGATTAGATAGTATAAGAAGCCAAAGTCTATATAGGATAGGTAGGCAGAAGGGAGATAGATAGAAGAGATTTAGCTGATATAATCGATATTTCAGACAGACTAATAAGAAGCCAATATTTAGATAGAAGAAAATGCTTTAAAAGCGAGCTTTAATAGGCAAAAAAAAGCAGGGGGTAAGGACTGCGAAGGGTGTAAATTAATTAATAATACAGACGCGAAGCTATGTTAGATAGGAGGTTTTTAGAGGAATTATTTTGATTTCTAAAAACAGTAGGCGGTAAAGGTCACGTGCTCTTTCCTTCAAAAATTTCCTCTTATAGAAGACGTCACGTGACAAAGGACCAATCAGAGCGAGGGAAAAAAGTGGAAAAAAAGTGGAGCACTTTTGCAGCCAGTATATTGTAAACATTTCGCTAGCGCTCAATGATAACTCGTTCTATTCTACGGTACTCTATAAGTGGCCGTGACAGAGTACGGACATCATATCAATTGAATACAGCCAGTTGCAATTCTTTCCCTGAACAACTTATAGTCAGTGGAAAGATATCCGCACCTGCGAACTCCACCGCCCCAGTCCCGTTACTGCGCATCGCATCGCGTCGGAACTCATCTCAAAGATCGATGGATATACCTACTCAAGAACACTTTCATTCGCAGCGATAGATAACGCAATATGGTCCTTGGTCTTCTCACGATCACAGCGATCCCAACCGTGACCGGGGTAGCTCAAGGGGTCAGCGAGCAGAAGCGTCAGAACCAACAGAAGGTAGATGCGAAGCGCATGGAGAAGTTTTGTATGGATGTGACATGCGAAGACGACAGTGATGGATACAATCTAAGTGGGAAGAGAGTTGTGTTGAGGGATGAGAAGGTATGAATTGTCCCTGGCGTTTAACATGCGGAGTATATGTTGCGGTTCGTCGGATACACAAACCAAGTACATACATTACTAACTCATCTGATCGTACAGGCCTATCTCGACGACCCCAATCCTTCCCTCCGCTCTCTCAACCCCTCGCATACCGCACAAGCTTTCTACATCACATACCCCGAAACCGAAGAGACAAAGGCTCACCCGCGAGGTCTGGGGCTCGTAACAACAGTCTCTGACGATCCGCCTATGCTGAACTGGCTCTATGCCGATAAAGATACGCACGAGGTGAAGTACGGTAACCGGACCCAAAGCATCGCGCATGTGGTTGGGCCCTGGGACTGGACCAATGACGAGACGGGCGTGACGCTAGAAAAGAAAGATAGATTTGTGGCTGTTGAAGAGGAAGATGGCAAGTGGGCTATTTATTTCGATCGAGATGCGGATCAGTGTCAGAGGGTATTGGCAGAGAGAGGTCTGGATGGCAGGAAAGTCGTCACTCTCCAGATGCGGAGAAAAATGCTTGAGCAAGCGGGCGGATCTGCTGGGTAATTATGTGGGATCAAAGATACGAAACAACGAGCTCGATGATGTTACGATATGGGATGGAGTTTGGCGTCCTTTTATCCCCGGGGATATATAGCTGCATGTTGATTGAACTCTGTAAATTGCATACTCTATGGGGAATCGTGGGCGGTATTGTACAGAACATAAACATGGATATGGATATAAACTCTGCATATCTCTGGACATGGCAATCCAGGGAAAGCCAATGAAATCAATCATCGAACCCAGCCCAATCCTCATTTTCGCTACCAGATTCCTGACCACCAGGTCCCTTGGCCTTCCTATTGCGGCTACCCATAACGGCCCCCTTCCTTTTATTCTCCATTCGTCGATCGAATCCGCTCTTGGTGCTAATTCTCATCTTCTTCTGCAATCTAGCATCCTGCTCGTTCTTAACGGACGACTGACGTGCCTTGACTCCATGCTTCTTCAATTCTTTCTTATCTTTCTTGCTCAGGTCTGGTAGAGCGTCCAGCAGCCACTTCTGGACAGATTTCTCACTGGCGTCCTTGCCCCGGAGCTTCTCGCTTGCATCAATAACATTCGCGATACTCTTCACGTAAGGAATGTCCTCCTTCGTGTAGAATGTCACGGCTATACCGCCCTCGCGGCCTGCACGTCCGGTACGACCCACACGGTGAACATAGGATGCAGCAGAGTTGGGAATATCGTAGTTGACCACACCGTTGATTCCGCGGAAGTCGACACCTCGGGCGAGCAGGTCGGTGGTGACGAGGATCCAGACCTCGCCTTTCCGGAAACGTTTCATGATTTCAGAACGTTGAGTATCGGACAGATCGGAGTGTAGCACTGCAATACGGGAAGAACCTCCCGCTTCCAAGGGGATATCGTACATAAGCTCCGAGTGCAGGGCAACTGCCCGAGGGATGGTTTGGGTAAAGATGAGGAAGGGTGGCCGGAGACGGGTCTCTGTAGGGGTGACAGAAGAAGTAGGATGGAGTAGTTGTCGGAGTCCAAGTAGTTTTCCGTGCTCTGTAGCGGCGTAGACGAGCTTGTGGGTAATATTGGGAACAGCTGAGTCCTTCATGCCGACAACGAGACGGATAAGAGGCGCTTCTTCAGCGAGGTTGAGCGATTCCCGGCGTTCTTTGATAGTTGACTTTGTCAATTCTTCAATGCTGGAACCCATGGTTGCGGACCATAGGCTGACGCGAAGCTGAGGCTGTGTGCAAGCTCGCCATATAGTAAGCGTCTGCTCCCGGAAGAGAGGGTCAAGCAGGACATCTGCTTCGTCCAAGATCAAGCTTCTGACTGTAGGTAGCGGTGTAGGATCGCTTGTCTGATTTGCCGTCAGTGCATTGACGAGAAGTAAAGGTGTTGTAACCAGAATGTCGCTCTTGGTCACAGTGCTCTTTTTCGAATTCTTTTTAGCGTCAGCTTTTTCTTCCTCCTCCGATCCCGACGACTCTTCGCTGTCTTCCTGTTCATCATCGTCTTCACGCTCAACGACACGCATTCCCTTTTTCATTAATGTGATCTTCACACCGGTCCCCAGAGTGAGCTTCCTGCCTTCATTGACGATCTGGCCCGCTAATTCCTTGGTCGGTGCAACAATAATGGAGGAGATACCACGTTCTCCGGGATTCTCATGATGCTGTCGAACGATCTTGTTGATAGCAGGGATCAGGAAAGACAGGGTCTTTCCACTGCCAGTAGGAGCAACAATCAACAAGTCCGGCTCAGAACCTTCAGAGCCAGACTGCTTGGGAAGAGAATCATCTCCCAATAATAACGGCAAGCTCCCCAGTTGCACTTCCGTAGGCACAGTAAACCCTTGCTCGGCAATATTTGCTGCAAGCCGCCTGGAGATCTGATATCTCGATCGAAGCTCATGAAAGGAAGTAAGCGGCTGCGGATACAATCTCCTCGCCTCCTTCTGCTGTTTCTTTGTGAGAACTGGGGCGGACTCCTGTCTCTTCTTTTTCTTCTTCGGCTCTTTTGTCGATTTCAACGGTTGAATCTCTTCCAGATCACGAAGATCAGTGATTTTGATCTTGTGAGTCTTCAAAATAGATCTCTTTTCGCCTTCATCCATGACTTTGGCTCCTTCGGAATTCGAATCTTCCTCATCATCGGATCCAGTCCGATCATTTGAATTTTCCTTCTTAGTCCCATTTGAGGCATCTGCTTTAGCCAGCGAGGGTAACCCCTTTGAAGAGCTGAAAAAGTCCAGATTCACATCATCTCCCTCATCACCTGCTTTCTCACCATCGGTGTCTCTTTTTCTTTTTGTCCCATGCTGCGAGTTTTCCGAGTTACGGAAGAGTTGCGGATTTTCCGCCTTTCCTGCAGACGGCAGAGGTTTTGACACGACACTCGACTTTAGTTTTGTCGACCGGGTCAGTAGCTTGAAAGCATCCATCTTGAATTTAACAGAATGGTTGCTTTTTACTACTGTGAAGCGGATGAGCTGAGAGCTCTGTGTTGACACTGGGTTTTTTGTGTAGTTGATGTTCGGACATGCTTCGAAAATAATATCGGGGAGTGCAGAATTTCTCTCCGCGCACTGGCCAATCAGAAGCGCGGAAAATGGTCGACGGCGGGAAGCAACTGGAATGGGAAATCAAAGCTTGGGAATCTTGTTCTTTGAGGCTATTCTATCGGAATTTGCTCTCTTGCATTATGTGGTGTTGTTTTCTAGTCAAAGGAGCCTATCTTTAGAAACTCAAGGCCGAAGAAATGGAGGTGGGAGCAGAGTAATATCAAGTGAACTGCTACGGACGAGGCCACCAACACTATTGGACAACATGCGGATGTAGTAAACAGACTGATAGCAGGGTTATCATTCGAATCTAAAGCTACAATCCTAGGACTAGATGCCAACTTGCTACCTCGCGGTTCACTAGACAGGCCAGCGTTATCAGGTAGCTTTAAAAGGTGATCCCTACAGTAATGAGGCCCTATGTTATAAGAGATTAATCATGGTAGATGCATCTCATTCAACTACCTCATGATGTTTCTTCCGCATCCTGCAAACCCGAATAAGTCTAGGCTCTATGCACTTTGAAAACCCATGTATGAGGCCAAGTAAAGAAAAGTCTTTGGATATTGAAGTCTGCCGGAGAGAGAAGCTTGGTCAGAGACAACAGTTAATTCCATCGTCTATCATACAAGTACAAGAGAAAACAGGAAGCTAGGAAATGGGTCAAGGCTGTGTGTTATTTGCAAATTAAATTTAGTGACCGTGAGCAGACTCTCCCCGGTAGCCCACGACGTTGCGTCGTCCAATGATCTCGCCAATAGTGAAGAATCCGAGGACCTCAGCGGCAGTCACACCATAGAAAGCCAGCTCCTTCTTGTCGGCGTTGCGCAGACGGCCGAGAAGGGCCTGGGGGGAGGGGATGTTCACGTTGCGAAGGTTGGAGGGGTTGCGGATAATGTTGATGACGGGCTCGAAGTAGGCCTGGAAAGTAGCCAGGTTGCTGAGGTGAGCATTAGCGAACCGAGTTCCTATGATACAAGCAAGGGCTGCTGCTTACGGAGGAGTCATCTTCTGGCCCCTGAACACAAGCTTGGCGAGTTCGATTCCGACTTTCGAGTAGTAGACAGTAGGGGGTATCAAAGCTGTTATCGCATCCGGTTAACCATCTTGATCCTGTAGACCGCAGCATAGGTCGCCGCAGGGGTGTAATTGAGAGGCTGGAATCAACAGGCAGCGAACACCGCATGACACTTCCAATGCCGGTTTTATATCCCCATCGCAGCCTTTGGCCTCAGCAATAAACTTGGAGGAATCTTTTCTTACTGTCAATGTAGGCGATGACCTTGCCGGTTCTTCCTCCGACCTTTCTCAGCGCGCTGCCGATATTCGACGCAGCTCCGGCGATTGCGGGACCAGCGGAGGAGGTGACTCTGGACAGACCCTGCTGAGCCTTCGAAGCGGCATTTGCAGCAGACTCCTTGGCCTTGTTCGCAGCCTCCGACGTAGAGGAAGAGTGTCTGACCGCGGTCCTGCGGATCATGAACTGCGATTGCCGCAGAACGGCACGCGACGCCGCAACAGACATTCTGACGACCACTGGGTTGAGGAGAGAAGTAGAAGACGAGGAAGGACGAGGATATGTTGTCCCTGTTGGACAAGAAGGGGGTCCAATGGCGCGGTGGTGGAGTGGAACAGCTGGATCTCCTCGCAGGCACAGAAACCAGATGAGATTTGAGGCTCGGGAAGTCCAGGGAAAAACTTGGGCCGGAGCTCGGATTGTCACGTGACGGGGATCACCACGACGAACCTCGCGATCCATATGCTGATTGCAATAGCAGATTGCTCAGTCGCAGTTATTCTATTTTTCATCAGATCAGTTATAGTTCCTTTATCACTACAGTGCTGCTGTATATTGTGTGGGACATATGGAGTTCAGGCCTATTCCACTGCCGGTATCGCCCCCATACTCATTCATCTTCAAGCAACGTTGCTCGGACAACTTCAACACGGGAAAACGGCCCATTCCCCGCAGCACTTAATCTTGCTGGAGGAACACCAAAAACTTGGTCCAGTCCTATTCATCTGCGATGATGATACCCCAGGGCCGACTTATGGTTATTTTCCGTTGCACGGGCAAGGATGATCAGTCATCAATGCGCTGAGTGACCATGTTCCGCTCCTAATCTGACAAAGAAGCTGGATATGTGTCAATCCGCTAGTCTAATCCAATAGATTCTACGGCATCGAAGGAATCTACTTCAACAGGCGATTTGACAGGTTATATTATTGAGATAGCCTTGAGGTGCCGACATTGAATCGCTTCCTTGCTTGTCTGACATACGATAAGTTTTGTTCGACTGATTCACACCTTTCCCCTCGAATTAACTATAGCATGGCTTCCTGGACTGCCATTGATTCTCTGTGTCTTCGTATTACATATGTACGGACTCAGAGTCACGACACAACCTTTTCATTTCCGTACATATGGTGGACTACTTGCCTGACGGATTCAACCACTAATGAACATGTGCAGCTGCAGGAGGTGCGGGGTATTATATAGCCCGACAACCCCAATAGACCTGTGATGCAAGTCCAGCAAGACAAAAGCCGATGACACTAGGCGTTACTACCTCATCAAATTTAGCCGTTTATTGCGCCCAATTGCAAACACATACAGCGCCTGCTGGTTGCTTGGATTCATTCCATCGGCTTCCTGACCGAGATATACATGAAAGCCATTGCTTAGAATGCTCCCAACCAATCGATGGTCTTGCTTGAAGGAGCGTATAGGCCTTTGTCGACATGGCTTTGTTCTCGTGCCCGAGATCTTCGGGACAGGCAGCCCAAAGGCCAGTTAGATTGGTTCTTCAGGTCTCGCGGTGCTTTCCCCATTGCCAAGACGGCGAAATATAATTACCAGGAAGAAGCATAGCTGAGTGATGTTAGTACTAATCTCTTCCAAACATAACAGTTGCGAAAGAAACATGGTTCCATTCTGTGTTACCGTTTCGTGACTGGACGACGATATTGCCTGCAATGATTAGCTTCGCCCATAATATGTTAAGTTGCTCGAAATTCGAGGCCATCTTTCTGGCACATAGGGCCCTGGGGAGAGATTCTTAATCTTTCCCCGCAACATTATTTAGCTCATAGGCTAAATGTATACCGTCGCTCTCGAGTCCGAGAGCCCCGCAAAGACGTAGTGAGCATCTGAGAGCACGATAGGGCGCGGTCCGTATTCGTGGATCTACAATCTGACTGATCTCCCCGATAGAGACAGAAGATGGTGTGAGGCTACTGTGGTACCATCCTTACAGCAGCCAAGGCTCTGAGCAAGGGACAGCTGCAGGACCCCAGACAAAGCGGTGTCTCCGACAGTATATATATGCCAACGTGATCTACCACGAGGAGTGCCAATCTAAGTATTCTCCCAGTGAACGAAATCCGTAACATGCGTGGTATCGCTTTTCTTCTTCCCTTCCTCTCGTGGGCAGCAGCTCTAGCTGTTAATCGCACGTCGCTGCCCCTTGAGCAATGTCCGGGGTACAAGGCATCTAATGTGAAAGATTCGGGAAATACGCTGACCGTAGATTTGAAACTTGCGGGGAAACCATGTAACACTTACGGCATAGATATCAAGGATCTCAAACTTAAGGTGGAGTATCAGACGGGTATGTCACTGGATTGCGAGATACTTTTCCTTGACAGAATTGAGCTTAATTCTATTTTTTAGATACCCGTCTCCATGTGTTAATATATGACGCGAATGAGGAGGTATATCAAGTTCCTCCGTCCGTGCTTCCTCGCCCTGAGTTCACAAGTGGACCTGCGTCGAAAACGTCTACGCTGAAATTCAACTTTAAGGAAAGCCCATTTTCGTTCTCAATTGAGAGAAAAGATACCAAGGAGGTTTTATTCGATACATCTGGATCGAACTTGGTTTTTCAGTCGCAGTACCTAAATCTTCGAACGTCGCTTCCTGAAGATCCAAACTTATATGGACTCGGTGAACATAGCGACTCTCTGCATCTGGAGACAACAAATTATACGCGCACTCTCTGGAGCCATGATGCGTATGGAATCCCAGCACATACCAACCTCTACGGAAACCATCCAATTTATATTGATCATCGTGGCAAAGCTGGTACTCATGGGGTCTTCTTCTTGAACTCAAATGGCATGGATATCAAGATTAACAAGACGAACGACGGCGAGCAGTATCTAGAATATAACACCCTTGGTGGTATCTTCGACTTCTACTTTCTAGCGGGCCCCACTCCAAAGGAGGTCAGCACGCAATACGCTGGAGTCGTTGGCGTTCCAGCCATGCAGAGTTATTGGACGTTCGGGGTATAGACCAGAGCTCCTAATCGATAATATTCTCGGATTCTAAAAGCTGTATAGTTCCACCAATGTCGATACGGATATCGAGATGTGTTTGAGGTAGCAGAAGTCGTCTATAACTACAGCAAAGCTAGTATACCTCTTGAGACGATGTGGACCGACATCGACTACATGGATGGACGAGCCGTATTCACCCTCGATCCTCAACGGTTTCCCATCGAGAAGATGCGAGAGCTCGTGGATTATCTTCACCAGCACCAACAACAGTAAGTTAATGTATTGCTTCTTTGTATTCATGAGCTGGCTAGGATAACCTTTGATATCTTCAATTTCGACAGCTATATCGTCATGGTCGATCCTGCCGTGAAGTACGGAGGTAAGGACTCCTTATAACGATTTACCTATTGTCAAGAAGTTGTTCATGTTTTGCATGCTTAACGTATGTGGTTCTAGGCAATGACGCCTTCGACCGCGGACAGCAGCAAGGGGCCTTTTTGAAATACGCCGACGGGTCTCTTTACCAAGGTATGTCTAAGGACGCGTACTATTCAGGTCCCCATATTTACTCTTACAGGCGTCGTATGGCCCGGTGCGACTGTATTTCCAGACTGGTTCCATGAGAACACACCTTCTTGGTGGAATGGGGAATTCAATACTTTCTTCGACCCAGAGACAGGAGTTGATATCGACGGCCTTTGGATAGATATGAATGAGGCCTCCAATTTCTGCCCATGGCCATGCTCAGATCCTCAAGCTTATGCTGAAGAGAACGACTATCCACCGGCGCCGCCACCAGTCAGGGCTTCCAATCCACGCCCCTTACCAGGATTCCCCTCTGATTTCCAGCCATCTGCTTCTGAGAAATCCAAGAAGAGGGCCCTCAGTGGAGCAGGTCAGAAACTTGGCCTTTCAGGACGTAATCTTATCAGTCCCCCATATACAATACACAATGCTGCAGGATCTATCAGCAACTTAACAATTCGGACGGATCTGATTCATGCGGGAGGTTACGCTGATTATGACACGCACAACCTCTATGGAACGAGTAAGTTACTATGCAAGGAAAGCCTCTGTGTAATTGTTTCTGAACAGTGAAATCAGTGATGAGCTCTGCTTCTCGTAACGCCATGCAGCAACGTCGTCCGACCGTAAGACCGCTGATCATCACCCGTAGCACCTTTGCGGGTGCTGGTGCTCATGTTGGCCACTGGTGAGTTGTGCATTGTTTTGGAAAACAGGATTACAAGGAGCCCTGGTCTAATGTCTAATGTACATGCAGGTTAGGAGATAACGTGAGCAATTGGGATAAATATCGCATATCAATTGCCGAGCAGCTATCCTTCTCAGCTATCTTCCAGATCCCTATGGTCGGATCTGATGTATGTGGGTACGCCGGTGCCACGAACGAGGAGCTCTGCGCGAGATGGGCTACCCTTGGTGCATTCTCACCATTCTATCGTAATCATAATGAACTCGGAAACCCACCACAGGAATTTTATCAATGGCCAAGTGTTGCAGAGGCAGCGAGAAAGGTCATCGATATTCGTTACAGACTTCTTGACTATCTTTATACTGCATTTCACCGACAAGCGACAACAGGAGAGCCCTTCCTTCAACCTATGTTCTATCTATACCCGGAAGACCCCAACACTTTTGCCATTGACCTGCAATTCTTTTACGGTGATGCCATCCTCGTGAGTCCAGTGACAGAGGAAGGTTCTACTTCTGTCGAAGCCTACTTCCCCGACGATATCTTCTACGACTGGTATACGGGTGCTCCTTTCCGTGGGCACGGTACGAACGTCACAGTGACCGATATCGACATCACGACAATCCCATTGCACATTCGGGGTGGCACTATCATCCCCGTGCGGTCTTCAGGAGCCAACACAACAACCGAACTGAGAACGAAATGTTTCAATCTTATAATTGCGCCTGGTCTCGACGGTACCGCTACTGGAAGCCTCTATATGGACGACGGAGACTCACTGCACCAGCCTGCCACTCTCGAGGTCGTATTCGAGTATAGTCATGGTATATTCCAGATGGATGGCATCTTTTCGTATGTTCCTGGTGTCCAAATCGAGTCTGTCACGCTTCTTGGACAGGAAAGCGAACCTCAAGCTTCGAGAAGTGGACAGGCTCATGGCATCGAATATCACTATGACGCCGAGGCTAAAAGTGTGACGGTGAAGACAAAGATGGACCTCACCAAACCGGGTAGAATCAGCTTCGTCTGAGTATATATGCCAATAATGTCGACAGTCACAGAATCCGAGCATCTCAGCCAAATATCATACCATTTATCAAATCAATATTCAGCAATAGTGCAGTGTTGTCCTAGCATGTGAAATCCAGAAGCAGTCCTAAAGGTCAAATTTCTCTCGACATAGCTTGTTAGCCTTTGACTCCACAAGTTTCTTGCAAAAAAAAAAAAAAAAAAAAAAAAAAAAGACAAAGGGATTCTATTCTGTAAGAATAACGAAGACTCTGTGCATTTTAAGCAGTTGACGGACATAGACGTGCGGAGATCGGAACGGCCCGAGATTCATGCTACCTTTCTCTGTCAAGGACATGTGCCTAAGAATGATCGAGACGTCTAAATGGAAATAATCCATATGCAATGATACCCGAAAGAGAGTATCCCACAAGTTACGGAATTGCATCTGGAAGTCCCGAATCTTCGCCGTGCATCGTCCTGAAGAGAGGTTCCCAGACTGTCACCGCTCGTTTAGTTACACGACCACTGCCCATTTCCGGTAGATCGTAAGCAACTAATTTGTCTGCAGAAGCCTCCAAGACCTGCCCAGTAACCCCCGTCTCACCGTCTAAGAATTGATGGTATCCTCTGATGACAGTCTCGACAGGTGTTATGCTGCGTTTCACGAGTAAGCGAAGCCGTTATTTGGCCTGGAGATTAACGCATCGTAGTATACGATAGTGTAAGAAGTACATACCATTCCGGCGTTACTGCCTCAATCATTTCTGGAGGAACAATTGGAGTGGCAACGATACCAGGAAGGACAGTGTTTATGAAGATATTGTCCTTTTGTTTCAGGAGAGGTGCGACGCCTCTAATGAAAGTAATCACAGCGGATTTCGTACTGCAGTACTCAGGATATGATCTATGCGGGAAAATACCACCAATGCTTCCCGTGACCACAATCTTCCCTCCTGGCTGCGGTTTGTTTTGTCGCATGAAGTGGATAGCTAATTGGGTGCCGTAGACAACTCCTTTGTAATCAATGTCGGTACACGAAAGATCTGGCTCGGGGGGTATATCGTTCACATCCTTGCCTCTCCAGTTGAGTATATATACGGAGCTCTTGTCGACGATTCCTGCGTTCGCGCAGAGCGCATCGATGTGGCCCCATGTATCATATACGGCTTTGAACATGCGAGCTTGGCTGGCGTAATCTTCTAAGTCGGCTTGAAAGAAGCGCGCATTCTCCCCCAGGCTTTTGACGAGGGCTTCACCGGCTTCACGGCGACGGCCGACACAAGCGACTTTCCAGCCATGAACGTACAGGTCTTTCGCTAGGTAAATTCCAATTCCAGACTGGATGTTAAAGTGTGGTTAATACCGACATGGATATTTAACCAGGTAGGTAACAAACTGACAGTAGCGCCGGTGATGATTGCAACGCGACCTTGGCCCTGACAATTCGTCATGATAGCCTTTTTTTTTCGAGGAAGCGAGGAACTGAATTAAGAAAACACAGTAAAAAAGGAAGATAATGACAATTAGAACCAGCTTCTCGATTATTGCTATCCAAGTGTGAAGTGCACACAATCAGTGTGGACAGTCTTGTATTTCTTCAGTACCCCTCACTTGCAAGGACAGGGGAGAGATTCCGTCTTAGCTCAACATTGTATCTTAGTTATCGCAGATACTTACTAGGTACCTACAGGGGGTTCAACAGCATTTGGTGCCGTCGGCGTCGTCGCATGCGCACTTTGTAAAGACGTGCGTGTTTAGACCACAAGATGACGAAATACTTAAGGTGAGTACCAAGATCTCTTTACCATCATTTTCTGTCTCTTATTGATAGGACAATGATACCTAGATCGAAGTTTATATCGAAAACACTGAACTCGCTAAGAAGAATAAGTTCCATTGATGTTTATCTCGAAGTACACTCAGAGTTTTTCCTATCACTGATACCTTAATATCCCTCAAATATCAAGTTATCGCGGCGACTTGAGGCTGCGAAATGCTAACATACTCTATTTGAAGTGATGTCTCTTATTTATAGAACGCACAGAGTCTTCTGGCGTCATAACAGGAAAGCCTAAAGAAGGCGCAGCTTCGGGAGAAAAAAGTTGAGTACTGTCCTAGGAGGGAAAGGCACATAGGAAAAAAGATCGGCTGTGCTCTTTAGTCCCACAGCCGTTGTAAATATAGACAAAATTATATGTTATGGGTTCCTGTGGCGTTGGTGCCAAAGATAACTATCAATGGGCCCAGAACGCGTACCATACAGGGCGCACCCACGTTTCCCTTCACCCGTCTCTAGCTACCACAGACAATTAATATCATGCTCTGTTTTGGGTGGATAATGACACAAAAGTTACCATATTATCAAAAGCTATCCATAATTCTCAGTCGCGCCTGAGAGGATGTGCAGTGGCTTGTCACAAAAAGCTCTGTTAGTGAACGCTTAAGCGCCCGCAATGAAGTCACCGGCTGTTGATCATGGCGGATACAAGCATCTCGGATGACCAAATAACAACCAAACAACAACCCCCCCCCACTGCTACTTGTTTATCGTGATTCTAGATATCCTCTCAGCTCTTCCATGCAACTAGAGCACTATGGGATAATCTAAATACCTACTTAGTGACTTCTAATGGACTCCGGTCTCTAGAACCACAGGGCGCATATTGCGCATGCCCGGATAACCCCGCTATCAGCACTCTACTGTCTTCATTAGACTGGCAAAAGAAGTTACAACTGTCGTCCATCCGCGAAAACAATAATGGATCCAATGGATTCTAAGGATGGGGCATCTGACGAGGTCTTCCGCGAAACGTCAAAGCAACCTTATCGACATGATACGGAGGCTGGTGATGTGCCCTCCGAAGCGGAAAACCAAACCTACGGGCATGTGGACATGGATCAGGATGGCTTGAATACGGAGGCAGAGGTAACAGGTAAATATCGCTGCTTCTCTGATATTGTGTTCCGAGCTTCCGGACTCTGGTTAACGCTTCTCCAGAAAATGGCAGAGTTAATATCCGCATCAATGAGCACGCACACGGCTTGGCCTCCCTGATAGCATCGGCGCTTCCTACAAAACCCAGACCCGAAGATCCTTTACCACCTGCTTATATTCCGCCTTCGCTGGGGGTTGAGGGCGAGGCTCCACCGCCGCCTCTCAATGTTGTTATCCATGTGGTTGGGTCAAGAGGAGATGTGCAACCGTTCGTCGCCCTAGGAAAAGTTCTGAAGAATAAATTTGGTCACAGGGTGCGCCTGGCTACACACGGAACATTCAGAGGGTTTGTGGAAGAGAATGGGCTGGAGTTCTTCTGTATCGGTGGGGACCCTGCAGAACTGATGGCATTCATGGTCAAGAATCCTGGGCTGATGCCGGGTAAAACGGCATTAAAGGACGGAGAGATCACAAGAAGACGACAAGAGATAGCTACTATCATCAAGGGTTGTTGGAGGTCGTGTTTTGAGGCAGGTGATGGTACCGGTATTCCTGTCTCAGACTCCAAACTCGAAGGCCTTTCTTTTACCGAGACTGCACCTCCATTTGTTGCTGATGCGATTATTGCGAATCCGCCAAGTTTTGCTCATGTTCACTGCGCACAGAAGATGGGGATCCCATTACACCTGATGTTCACTATGCCGTGGTCACCTACCCGAGCCTTTCCTCACCCCCTTGCGAACATCCAGTCCTCGAATTGCGATGTGTCATTGACGAACTATATGACATATGCTCTCGTGGAAATGATGACTTGGCAAGGTCTGGGAGATGTCATCAACCACTTTAGAGAGCGCAGTTTAGGCCTGGAGCCGATTAGCGTAACGTGGGCAGCGGTGATGTTAGCGCGCCTTCGGATACCCTACACATACTGTTGGTGAGATCCCTCTTTCCGCTAGACTATAAAACGCTCGCTATAACTTCTGTTGCAGGTCGCCGGCACTCATCCCAAAGCCTAACGACTGGGGTGGCCATATTGATGTAGCTGGATTTTACTTCCTGTCACAGGCCTCTAATTACACGCCGCCCGAAGACCTTGCCAACTTCCTTTCTTCAGGCCCAGCGCCCATATATATCGGCTTTGGGTCCATTGTCGTCGATGATCCGAATGGGCTAACTAATACGATCTTGGATGCGGTCAGGAAAACTGGCCAGCGAGCCCTAGTTTCGAAGGGATGGGGCGGCATTGGAGCTGAAGACTTCGACGTACCAGATGGCGTCTTCTTTATAGGCAACTGTCCGCACGACTGGCTGTTCCAACGAGTATCTTGCGTTGTTCACCATGGAGGCGCAGGCACAACTGCTGCGGGGATAGCATTTGGGCGGCCAACTGTTATAGTTCCTTTCTTCGGTGATCAGCCATTCTGGGGTTCAATGATCGCAAGAGCTGGAGCTGGACCAGAATCTATCCCAAACAAAGCGCTTACTGCTGATAAATTGGCAGATGCCATCACGGAAGCTCTTCAGCCGTCCGTGTTAGGGAAAGCAAGGGAACTGAGCGAAAGGATGAAACATGAACGTGGTACAGATATCGGAGCCACTTCATTCCACCAAAAACTCCATGTCGACAGTCTACGCTGCACTCTAGCCCCTAGCAAGGCAGCCACATTCCAACTAAGGAAGACGGACATCAGGCTGAGCGCCTTTGCTGTCGCTGCTCTCCTCAATGAAGGATTAATTGATCTCAATGATCTCAAATTGTAAGCCTTCTTTCATAACTATTTACTATGCTGCTGGTAATGACAGTTTCAGGTACCGAGCACGGGAGTATGATACGGACCCAGGTCCCTCGGATCCCGTCACAGGTGGTGGTGCTGCTATGATCGGCAATATAGGAGACATCATGATGAGCATTGTCGACATCCCTCACGAGGTCAAAAGGACTATAAAGCCATCTCGCACTTCCAGTAAGGGTGGCGATTCTCCGAGTTCCTCGCAGCAGGTCATGGAAAGTTCCCGTAATCTCGAATCTGAATCGGAGAAGAGCTCTACAGAATTGAGAACTACGAGGCACTCTGCTCTCAGTGGCGAGGAACGATGTGAACCGACTACATCCAAAGAAACGGGATCAAGTTCACCTTCCAGGAAATCTCAACAGAGTACGGCTACAGAAAGTGCTGAGAAATTCAATCTCGAAACGGCCATTAATTCGACACGAGCCGCAGGCAAGATACTAAATGTGGGCATGAGAGCTCCTACCATCTTTACTATGGCAGTGGCTAGGGGTTTCCATAACGCACCTCTCCTATACGGGGATGATACAGTTCGAGAGCCACACAGGGTTACAGGAATCAAGAGTGGTTTTAAGGCTGCTACAAAGGTTTGTCAACAAGACTTGTCGTGCCCGTATTTACGTCATCCCACTCATTATGTTTGCTTAGGAGTTTGGCTACGGATTTTTTGACGGTATCTCTGGGCTCGCAACACAGCCTTTGGCTGGAGCCAAAAAGGATGGCGCTGCAGGTGCCTTGAAGGGCTTCGGCAAAGGGATCGGAGGCCTAGTCCTCAAGCCCGCCGCAGGTCAGTGAATTCGGACATATCTTATGGTAATTTAAACACTAACACTGTATAGGTATCTGGGCCTTAACCGGTTACACGATGAGTGGTATTTACAAGCAGATACAAAAACAATTCGGCGAAAACGTCGGCGGCTATATGATTGCTTCTCGTTGTGCTCAAGGTGCAATGGAATACGAACGAGCAAGTGCTGGTGAACGCGAAGATGTCATCAGGCGATGGCAAGAAGTGCAAGCCGGTCTCAAGGCGAAGCAGACTCGAGATCATTATCGTACTAAAGGAATCGTGCGTGATTTGAGGTCAAAAGGTCTCTTCGAACAGTCAGCCAGCGGAAAGAGCGCGCTCTCCCCTGCCGCCGAAAGACTAGGCAGTCGGTCACCTGCGGCCAGCAATCAATCTGCTTCCATCCCGCCTGAGTACGAAGAAGCAATCCATGAATCCGTACGTCAGACGTCGAAGGGGAATCCCGAGGAAGATGAGATGATCGAACGTGCTTTGCGTGCTAGTGTGCTTGAGCTCGAAACCGCTGCGTCCGCTGGCGAGGACGAGGAAAGCGCTTACAACCGCGCTATTGAAGCCAGCATAAAAGAAGCAGAACGCGTAAAGAATGAACGTGAAGGCCCTCAAATTTTATTGCCGAATGCTGGCGGTACAACTGAAGCTACTCAGAATTCCCCGGCTTATCGACCAGAACTACCTCCACGTTCTGCTGTGGCTGGGTCATCAGATGATGACGAAGATGCGGAATTACAACGCGCCATTGCAGAGTCAAAGAGGATACATGAAGAATCCCAGAAAAAAGCTCAATCTGAGAAGTCAGAGATGGATATCGTCATGGATTACATCAAGAGACAGAGCCTTGCCGAATACGAGTATCAGCAACAGGCGAAAGCACGTGCTGACTCCAATGCTAATTAAGAAGTCGACTGGACACTGTTGGTAAATGAACATAAGCTTCATTTGATGATGTTGCACAGTCTTGCGTTACTACAATCTCATCGTGCCTTGCGGTGGCTGTTCATGACGATCGATCACTGCACTTAAGTTCATAGACGTCTATGAGTTCATATACCCCCTTTATGAATCAGACCGCTCTGTCATCTATCACCGAGTAAACAGTGCATCTATTTATCTACACACTTGGTCGCCTTTCTGAGATGCAAATACAGTAATTAACAAAAGCCGCCCAGAGGGGGGTGAAATATCATCGTCTTCTGCGCTAGATGTATCAAGTAGGAAAACATCAAGTTCTCCTCGTGCCCTTATCTCCAGAAGTATAACCCCGCGCACCTCACATTCCAGATTCCATTTCCAGTGAGCAGTTATGAACGTGAACGTGTTGATAAACTGTAAGTGGCTTCAACGCGACCGCGTCATGGATCCAAATACCACAGCGGCAAGGGATAGAGAAACAAGCATCAGTGCAGCCAATCCCTTCAAGGGGGTCAATTATTCCTGAAGACTTAAAAGACACGCTTTTTCTGTAAGTCTAATTCCACTTCATTCAAATCTTGGCTTGAAATCTTCTTGTCCATTTGTTGGTTGTGTCGGCTACTTAGGAACAAAGCGCGTCGTATACATCTCGTGGCTCCTCACTATCAACCCTGAGCTAAAGCAATCCACGGAGTACGCATCCGCACCAAACTACACAGTCACACAAAGCTCAAAATGAAGCTCTTCACCATCCTCACTACCACTCTCCTGGGCTCTGTCTCCCTTGTCGCAGCCAACGGTGCCCAGTGGAGTTGCGATATCGCTCAAGATGGCTCTGGACTTCCGCAGCAGCCCATGTGCTGTAACAGCACAAGCCGTCCCAACAACAAGCAGGGCTCAGAATCAGTCGTAGGAGCCGACTGTGAGTCTCTCTCCTAGAATACCTGAAAAGCGAGGCGATCTCGTACTTGTTGCTAACCACATCTCTGTTCTGGTTTACAGGTTTCCAGGTCCCCCTTACCGAAAACAAGATCTGCCCCGGTAGAAAGCCGTTGTTGTGCTGCTACTCAATTGTAAGTTCATGCCTCTCTTGACTCTTTCCTGATGGATCATTATCACATTACACAGTACTGATACCGTATTTTCTATATAGGGTCCGCAAAATGTGTGCACGTCCTTCCCAAAGTGGGGGAACCCTGATGACATGTAACGGATTCGATGGCTATGACACTATGTTTCTTTATTACGTCGCAATTTTCATCCTTGAGTGTTGGGGCCGCGGGCACACGCCATGCTGAGCTTCAAGATTCATGCATGGGAATAAGGAAAGTTGATGGGATGGGTCTGTTGAACGTGATCAATATCCTGAAGGTTTTATCTGTTAAGTCTAGGCATGACTAGCGGGAAATAGGAGATATGGTTCTAATTATGAAAAACTTCTAAGTGTTCCTGTTCCCAATTTCGATAGGAAGGTACGCGATAATCGAGACCCTTTGAATGTGCTTGTAGATCCTTCCCTCGATTCTATATTTAGGAAGTTAAGCTTTGTTTTCGACGATTACTTGAGGTCAGCTATATCTTCGCTCTGTGTAGGAGCTAGCGTGGTCAATAAAAAGAGGTAGACATACCAGTTCTGTCATGTTTCCCCTTGTCAGTTCTTTGGATAAGCTGTGCTCCTGTGATTATCATTCTCCCTTAATCGAACTGTATCGTCTGGCAGCAATTATTCTAAATCAGATGGTTGCTTGATTTAGCGTATCGTCAGCCCCCAACCCCTCCTGCCCCGCAAGAGAGCCACGTATGAGTCTTATCTTGCTCGTCAAGTTTCGTCATTCTAAGCAATCCACAGAGCATTCGTATATATCTGAATATATTTGCATCAGCCTTCATGGGTCTTGTGGTTTGCAGATGACGGTTTACTTGGCATATATGCAACCGCTTTAACGCACACAGCTTTAGTCAAGCATCAGATCCTTGCTAGCTCGACGCACTCATCATGGATCCCCTGAGCATAAGTGCAAGTATCATTGCGCTCCTTCAATTATCCGAGAATATCATCCAGCTACTTGCCGCTATAGCTTCCCAGAACACAACAGCTCGAGCCCTGGCGCTCGAGATTAGTGCTACCCGTGGGCTACTTACGAGTCTATCGGATATCGCATCACTTGACTCAGAATGGAACGACAAACTTCGGGAGATTGTAATAGCAGATCAGCCTCTGCAGTTATTGGGAAATCTCCTACGGAAGCTGGAAGCAAATCTGGAAGATGGGTCTCCCAGCCGACTGAGTCAGATAGGGAGAAAGATCATCTGGCCCTTTAGATTGCAGGAGTCTCAAGAGATGATGGATATGGCAAGAAAAGTGCGCGGTCTCTTAGCTGAGGCGTTGGCGTTGGATCATTTGTAAGTTTTACTGTTCATTTCCCGTTCTGCGCTCCTTGGGGGAAGGGAGGCTTAGTCCGTGACAACAATGCCTTTGGGGGTTTTGAGCCTGTTCACTCAATAGTAGCACATATGTTATTATATTTTCTCCTATTTCGAGGAAGATTCATGAACAGCTGACGATGGTAAAGTCTCATGTCGAAGGAAATTCGACAAGACACGAAATATATCCGCGAAAGCGTCCAGGACTTACAGTCAAAGCAGACTTGTTCGTTATCCTGCGACTCGGGTTTGATAAAATATCTTCGCTGATTTTTCTAGTTGATGAACGGGATAGGATTCTACCTTGGTTGTCTCCAGCCGACGTGTCCAAGAACCACAACGCTGCTAGAGCCAAACATGAGCCCACTACGGGAGACTGGCTGATTAACTCAGACAGCTTCAAACTCTGGATCGGTGGAAAATCGAAATTGGCATGGCTACATGGGATCCCTGGCTCCGGGAAGACAGGTATGTTGTCAGTTACAATCGTTTTCTGAATCACTCACTGACTATCGCAGTTCTCTGTTCGACTGTTATTGATTATGTTCAATCACTTTGCAAGACCCAAACCGGATCCGAATCTGCATATGTATATTACTACTTTGACTTCAACGACAGACAAAGGCAGACTGTAGACTGCTTCCTCAGATCGGCTCTGGCTCAGCTTTCACGTCAAGTCGAAACTATTCCGACGGAGGTCAAAAGGTTGTTTGACAGTGCTACTAAACAAGCAGAAGAACCCACCACAGAGAAGCTCGCAACTGCCCTCTATGAGCTTATCGGCAGGTTAAAGAAGACGTATATCATTGTAGATGCCCTGGATGAGTGTTGCGAGCAAGATGACATGATCGATTTGATGTCAACGCTCAGAGGGAGTCATGAATGGGTAGCAAATCTATTTGTCACAAGTCGCAGAGAGAGGCTGATAGAGGATCAGTTAACGTCTTTAACTGATTTATCTGTATCTCTGGATAACCCCGAAGTCAGTTCTGACATTCAAACGCTGGTCAATAATGTTCTCGCGTCCGATCCAAAGCTGAAGAGACGCCCGACTCTTCTAAAGGAGGAGATTCGACGAGCGCTAGTACAAGGTGCTAACGGGATGTAAGTCTTTGATTCCATGGTCTTGAGTGCCAGTCACTGACAGATTCTTTGGCAGGTTCCGGTGGGCTGCTTGCCAGTTAGATATTCTGAGAACTTGTCTCAGCCCATCAGCTGTACACAAAGCCCTTCAGTCTTTGCCTAAAGACCTTGATGAGACATATGGCAGAATATTATGCAGCATCGAGGAAGAATCTCGTTCCATCGCGTTCACAGCATTGCAATTCTTAACATTCTCAACGCGTCCAGTGACGCTCGCGGAACTAGCTGAGATTATTGCTATCAAACCGGGAACAAGCATCTTCGTCGAGATCGATCGCCTGTTTGATCCTAGTGATGTTTTGGTTGTCTGTTCAAGTCTGGTTTCGTGTTACAACAGGGACCGCTGGACTCGACTAGCACACTACTCTGTTCGAGAATATTTGGTATCAGACAGGATCAGCAAAGGCCCTGCGAGATATTTTGCGTTGGAAGAAGGTCGCGCGCATTTAGCTATTGCCGAACGCTGTCTCACTTATCTCTTATCATTTGATGGATCACCCGCTCATAATTCCTACGGTTCGGTATCTGGTGACGTGGAGTTCCCCTGGAAATTGCTCCACTATGCCGTACTTGAATGGTTTACTCATGTCCGTTTCATCCCTACAGAGAGCTATCAACTTATTGAACCATTAGTCTACGGTCTCCTTGATACAAAATCCCAAGCCTTTCACCACTGGCTAAGTTTGTATCGAAAGTTATATCGAAAGGAAGATGGCGAAGTTGGATTGGGCACTACACTACATTATGCCGCTGAGCTAGGTCTATCCCGCACAGTACGTAGCCTTCTACAGGCAGGGGCCGATATCAACGCCATCGGAGGTATGCATGGCTCAGTACTCGCGGCTGCGGCTTTCCAAGGATACGAAGAGACCGTGCTCGTCGTCCTTGACCACGGTGCTGACGTCAACCTTCGCGGAGGACACTTTGATACAGCTTTACAAAGCGCGTGCGTCAATCGTCGAGAGATAATATTCCATCACCTCCTCGAAAAGGGCGCGGATATCAATGCTTCTGGAGGATATTATGGCTGCGCTCTCCAGGCGGCCGCCGCTAGAGGATGGCCAGAAGCCGCTATGAAACTGATAGAAATGGGCGCTGATGTTAACATCGTTGCGGGTCAATTTGGAACTCCCTTGCAAGCCGCCGCACGATATGGGCACATGTCACTGGTTAAAAGGCTCTTGGAAAGAGGTGCAGATGTCAACTCGACAGGAGGATACTACCGTACAGCTCTTCAGGCTGCTGCAAGGGGCGGGCATGTCGAGATCATCCACGAATTGCTAAACCACGGAGCAGACGTGCATATCAAAGGAGGCTTTTGTGGTACCGCGCTCGAAGCGGCCTATTCGCTCGATCATTTTGACGCTGCAGAGGCGTTGAAGACAGCGGGTGCTACTTTTACACAAAGTAACTTAAAGTCTTCATCAGATGGGGTTCGTATAATCCAGTCCAATTCCCTTCAAGGCTACCACCGCCATCATCACAGTTTTCTCCATCTGATCCAGAATACGCAGGATACGCTTCCCACGACGTCACCAGCTAAAGGTGATGTCTGATATTTTAAAATGTCAAATATTGGCTTTTATACCCGACATCAGAATTTTCATCTTGTAAGTCTTGCATTTTTTTTTTTTTTCCCTGTTTATAGTATGACCGCACCTAAATTGTCATAAATATATATATTTAGATTTTCTAACATTACGTTCTCGAACCACAGCTCGACCACAACCTCTGCGTCCTTGTCTTCCATGGTCTCGAATGGAACCAAGTCAAAATGAAACTCGTTATGGAAACGATGAATGTCGTTGCGGACTTACGAAAGACTCACTGGTCCATTTTCTTTGAATGGACTTCGATGCTCATATCTCACGATGCAAGAACATATAATATAGACCTTGAGAGCCACGTCAAAGAGAAATCAAGCAACCAAATAGATATACCATTTCTATGGTTCATAATTCGTTCAACACGGTCTATATACAATGATGCTAAAAGGCGTATGCGTCTCAAGATGCAGTTCTGTATAACGCTGAATCATCACTCATGCCGCCCGAATATGCAATATGCAGATATACAAAAGAAAAGAGAAGAGTCATATAAAAAAACCGAAAACACCGACTACTTCACTCGTTTCTCTGTCCATCGACGCCCCACAGCTCTTCCGCATTGATCCTGAATAGCCGCTCTGCAAGACCCGGCTCTTTGGCGCACCACTCTAGACACATTTCAGTGAATGGCCGGATATCGTACATGTTGAAGCGCGTATGCGGCCAGTCTGTGGAATATACGACACGAGTGGGAGCAACACGCAACAACTCCCTCGCGAGTATACCGATATCTCGCATTTGCGGATCGCGTGAGAAACGGTACGGGGCGGATAGTTTGACGTACGTCTGGCCTGTCTGAAGGAGGGATACGAGGGATGAGAAACCGGGCAGGGAGTACGGATCGAAGGAATCATAATCGATGTCCGATGGGAAAGCAGGAGCACCAAAATGGTCGACACAGACTTTTACGCCCAGAGTGGGAACAATGTGCTCAATGGCAGAGACCATATCCATGGAAACGTAGAGCTGGACCATCCAACCTAATGGACGGATCAGGGCAGCGTGTCTCTCCAAAGTTCTCGAGAGCTCCTCCCCTGTCATGACCTTGCCAACAGACTTGAGGTTCAATCGCACGCCACGAACACCGAGTTGATGCCATTCCGCTAGGGTCTCCGGTTTCGTCGTTTCAGGGTCAATGACAACCACGCCACGGCCGTGTGAAGGACCGACTTCCTTCAAGGCGTCCAGCAAGCATGAGTTATCGAATCCGTAGATCGATGGCTGGACAAGAACCAAATTCTCAATGCCCAGAGTGGCGTAAAATGTTCGAGCCTCAGGCAAGGTATGCGGTGACGGCGTATAGACCGCATTAGAAGAGATGGGATACCGTTGAGGCTCGACCACATGCATATGGCTATCCCATGACCCGGAAGGAATCCTTTGCGCCAGTGATAACTCAGATGTTCCATTTCTTTCACGCCCTCGTTTCTCTTTCTCTTTCCCTTCCCTTCCAGGACTAGCTGGAGTATCCGTCGAATATGATCGTCCTCGTTTGTTCGCGATAGCAGATCTCACCAAAGGCAGTCGTTGTAACACCCGGATCCGGACCTTCAGCGGTGTGAGCAGAGGCGTTATATCCATCATTATTGCGAACTAGGTTATAGAGCAAAGAGCAAGGAAAAGACGATCAAGGGAGATAGGTGACTATTCACCGGCATTGGCCGTACCCCTGGCAGTGAAATCGGTTCCATACAATAACGCTCGATCAGGCACAACTCACTGGAGGGACTGAAAACGCAGAACAGCCGGCCAATACTGGCCTCAGCGGAAGACACGTCCACATAAGGAGCGGTATAATATATGAGAATTCCTTGAAATCTCGACTACGGCCACAGTCCGAAGTACGTTAAGATATTTGTTGAAAGACCCACCGACAACGAACGGTCGTCCAAAAAAAAAAAAAAATCAAAAAACAAATTCCCACAAACATTACCGGTGCGGACGTTGACCGGGAAGACCTCGATATCAGAGAGCCTTAACTGATATAAGAATGCTGTTCTGTCAGGAGGACCTGGAAGAGTTACAGTACGTTAGATGCCGGGCTTCGGCACTTGCAAGATAAATGGAAGGACAGGTTTTGCTCTCCCGAGAACCACGCGGACAGGCATAACTTAACATCATCGCCGAGTAAGGTGGCCGCAATCTCAGATCTACTATTCTTACCTGGAGAAGAGGAGTCAAGATGTTGCCAATTCGAGTAATACAACCGTCGACCGTCGATTCAATGTCACGGGCCTCTGCGGGAGATGCCGACATTGTTCTACCTTGAAATGTTTTGCTCACGGAAGTTGACCGAGCCTAGAGCTGCACACAATCGCCCTCTGGCCTTCGGCGATCTCTAGCGGCGACGAGCAACAGCGGCGCGATCCATCGAACTACATCCGCCACCCGAACCACGTTCGGTCGCTTTAGCAATGCTGGATGGGTCGCTGCAGTGGAGCCATAAATGGTTCTCGTCTTTATCCCTTATCCGCTGCCTCGACCCAGCATGGGGCCGCCAATCTGGAGGGATGGGATGGGGAAAGTTCCCGGGGGAGAGAAGCTAGATGCCGTTAAAGTTGGAGGACGACGAGGGGGTGGAAGCTCTGCTATCTCGTTCTTGTGGTCAGACATTGATCTAGTGACAAGGATCCTTGTTCAATTGATAATACCGTTGTGCTCCCTCGTCTCCTGCCTTTACTTTTTTTTTTTTTTACAATCCCTCATGTGCTGTTTCGACAATAGGACCGGGACCGCAGTTAGTCGCTAAGTCCATATATCCATCCAGCGACGATGGGTTTGGAGGTCTTCGCGGACAAGTCCAGATGGACCACCAATCTATACTATGCGGCAGTCGTCGTTATTATCGCCTGCGGGTGCATGCCAAAAGGTATTGCCATGATCTTGCCTGATTTCAACATAAGGACCTCATACTAACCCGTTGATTCTTCCTCATCAGGTTACGATGAAGGAGGCTTCAGCGCCAGCGTCAGTCTGGAATCCTTCGTGAAGGACTACAACCTGGTCAAATCGCACTGGACACACGACCCGACAGGACTCGCCAACCGCAAAGCAAATATCACTTCCTTCATGGTGTTGGGTGCCGCCTTTGGGTGTCTCCTCACTCTGAATCTGACCGATCGTTTGGGCCGTCTGCGCACCTGGCAGCTGGGCGTCATTGTCTGGGCCACCGGTCTCTTCGTCCAGATCTTTTCGTCTGGTATATATGGACTCATTCTGTTCGCGCGCATCTGGTCAGGTCTGGGCGCCGGTGCGCTCACCGTCGTCGCACCCATATATCTATCGGAAGTCTCACCGGCAAGGACGAGAGGTGTGGCCGTGAGTATGACCATGGTCATGCTGTTGGCGATTCTTGCATTGGGTACGTAATAGATCGCATACAGTCCCAAGTCCTATAGAGAAACATTGAATTGACATTGCGTTTCCCCTCAGGCTTCTTCATCAACTATGCCGCCGAAAAGCACATGGCGCCCACTCGCACACAGTACCGTCTCGTCCAAGCTATCCCCCTCATTCCCGTGGGTTTCTGCTTCATCGCATCCTTCTTCCTGACCGAAACCCCACGCTACCTTGCCTCGAAAGGACGACACCAGGAAGCGCGCGAAGCACTCGCCCGTCTACGAGGCACTACAACTTCCGATCCGTCCATCGATGCAGAACTCGCCGAGATCGAGACGCAAATCCGCGCTCGCGCAGCCGACCTCGCCGGTGCCTCGACGTGGCAGCTTTTCCTGGAAACCCAATCATCGTCGAACTACCGCCAGCGATTCTGGCTCGTCATGACAATGCAGACGATCGCGCAATGGACCGGCGGAAATGGAATCACGTATTACGTCCCACAGATCTTCGAATACGCAGGAGTGTCCGGATCGGAGCAATCGCTCATTTCATCGGGCGCTTACGGTATCGTCAAGCTCGTCTTCACCATGGCTTTCACCTGGGGCCTGATCGACCTTCTCGGTCGTCGTCGCTGTTTCCTCTGCGGTCTCACCCTCCAGCTCGCAGCACATATCTATATGGGCGCCTACATGGGTATACCGGGATCATCGAACAACAAATCCGCCTCGGACGCCGCCATCGCGTCCGTTTTCGTCTACGCTGTTGGCTGGTCCATCGGTCTCTGTACGATCCCCTACCTCTATGGCACAGAGGTCTTCCCGACTCGGATCCGCAATGTCAGTTATGCCATCAGCATGGCGCTGCATTGGTTCTTTCAATTTGCCGTCGTGCGCGTCACGCCTAACATGTTCGTCTCGCTACATGTCTGGGGCGCATATCTGTTCTGGGCCATTATCTGTTTCCTGGGTATTATTATCCTTGGTATCTGGGCCCCCGAGACTAAGGGCGTGCCCATGGAACGGATGGGTGAGCTGTTTGATGGGCCGTGGTATTTGCGCTGGCGCGCCAGTATAAAGACTCTAGATGAGTCTTCACAGAGTCAAACCGCCTCCTTCCGAAGCGGGACGAGGGAAGAGGATACGAAACAGCCTGCTTTGAATGATGTGCCTGTTTGAAATACTTGGTCTCTTGGATGAAATGTCGTTCGGATCTGAAATCGCCCCTAATTATACTATACCCCTTCTTTTCTGCATAAAGCACAACATATTTTGTGTGAAAGTTCCCTCAATAAAGAAGGGAAAAAGAAAAGAGAAGAAAAACCATACGACTTGGAGCGCCCGCGATACATATAACAAAAGCATGTCTATTAAATAATATTTCAACCCTGTAGCAGATCTTGCAGCGCTTGCGGAATTTCTGCCTATATAAACATCTTGTCAAATGATAAACGAGTGCAGTACAGTATCAGAGTCAGCGCTAGTAGAAACAAGCAGAAAAAGTAAGCACGTCGCTCACATCGCCATATACTTTTTTTATGATTGATGGACAAACATTTGGGGGAATCATGGTAAACGATCAAAATAGAAAGAGTGAAAAGAATAATTTCATGGCTGCCCTCCCATACCCCAGCCAGAATCGTATGCGGGTGTCATGTTGGTTGCAATTGGCTCTACGTAGGAAAAGGCCTCAAAGACCTCTGGAGTAATCCCGTATGTGCCTGCGCCGTCTGTGTTGATAGCAGCACCCGGGAAACCCCCGACGTGGTGAGTGGTCATTGGGTTGAATGTCTCTATGGATGGTACTGTTGTTTGGGACAGTTCAGGGTCTGCCAGAGGTTGCTGGAATGAGTACCCTGGCATCATGGTCGTAGGGTCCGGAGAGATCTGAGGTGGAGAAATCGGCGGAAGAGGGCCAACTGCGGCTTGAGAGGGAGATACCTGGCGACTGGCATGTCCTGAATGTTGTCCCTGGAGATGACCAGGAGAGGTGGTTCGGCGTTGCGTTTCTGACTGCGGCATTGGCACTGTGACGTGGATATCGATCTGCAGCTTTTGCAGCTCCTGATAGATCAAGCCAATCGCCGTAGTGATAACTGCTCGTATATCACCGTCAGTTATCGCTTTTGAGGCTAGAGAAGCAGATACCAAAGCGGCACGAATTTCTGTATCGACCAATACATGATAAATACTCACCAGGATTTGAAACCTTCACGCGCTCTAGAGCTATGATACAGTACTTGAGTTTATCGAGAGTGCCGGGCGCAGCGAGTTTCAGTGCCTGTATCTCTAGCAAGAATATCGAGGCTGCTGTGTAGACGCTGTACGCAAGAGAAAGAACAACGTGGCCGTCACCGAAAGTCCGACGGTAAAGATCGAAGAGAGAAAGGATGGTAGTCGCGGATGACATGCACTGAACTAGATGGTCCATATCGGCAGCTTCGTGTTTCATGGCCAGCGGCCCTGAACAAAGGATCGGGCGATGGAGGAGGATATTAATCGTATGATATAGGCAGCTGCATTTTTAAGTCATGTCAGCTTCACAATCCCGGCAGCTACCAATTTCCAAAGGAGGGCTATACTTTAGAGTGACAATATGACTGGGTGGGCAGTAAAGCGGAAGGTCGGTGGCCACCAGTTTCAGAAAGTCTGGAAGCTCCTCCCACCACTCTTTAAGGTTCTTCCCCTGCTGTTGAACACAAGCATAGAATTCAGTTTCTGTACTCTTTCGGACAGGGTCATAAATATGTATTATTATTTGATTCAGGATTTCAGCGAGTCCACACATCCTCATAAAGCATGAGGTTGAGTGAGCTTGTGCTGGCGGGTACTGCATTCCTTCAGGGAAGACAACTCCGTGCGGAGTCCATACTTCAATCTCAGACGTATCGTCCACTACACTCCACTGTCAGCATAGAAGGCTTTTAAAACCGGAAATATGGACACCCACATATCATTCTGGGTGGGCTGACACGCGAGTATTGCATCACTGGGGACCGTCCAAAGTATAATGAGACAAGCTTATCCCAGAAATAGCAACTCCAGAAAAGCCGGTTCCGGATCTCGATATCCTCGTCACTGAAATGAGCTGAGCCTGAATACTTTTGGCTGTCTATCGAGATTCCCAAGTCGTCGACCAGTCTAAACGCCATGCCGCTATACAGCCATGCCTGTGTTCTGTTGCCTCGGCCGCATTCTTGTGCGCTCAGAAGCAAGAGGGTCTGGATAGTAGGTATCTTCACATAGCCCGATTTCAGAGTGTCATAAAGACCGGTGACGGAACGATGAAAGAACTCAGCTCCTCCGTCGAAGGCTGCTAATAGCGGACCGATCTTGGGTTCCAGTTTGCACCATCGTACGGAATGGGACAGTATGGCGTTCAATAGTATATCGGAGTAGTAGGGGCCATTAATCTTCATGTCACCTGATAATGTGTTAGACGTAGGGGCCGGGTAGATGCCAATTGAGGTTGGGATACTCACGGGTGAAGGCGGGTCGATAGACGAAATTGAAAAGAGGCTGAATCCAGCACCAGTGGGAATCGAGAAGATATTGGAATGGTTCCTTCGAGGAGTGTCAGGCATCATACCGCACACTAACGAGAACGAGTCCAGCCTACCGGAATCGCAGCCAGCTGCTCAAATGCTCGTTCACGCCAGGCATTATTAATTAATCTTTCTTTCCGCGCTTCCAACTCGAGTGCAAGGTGAGTAGTCGCTGAGGTTTCGTTGACCACACCGCTGGGCAATTGGAAAAGACTTGTTGGACCATGGAAGGATATCCGGCCATCATCCTCAACTTTCAGCCCTTCAAAGTCTCCTGACAGATCCTGTTGACTCCCGCGCTCGTCGTGCTCGGATTGCTGACCGGGACTACTGCAGTATTCTCCTGTCGAGCCTTGAGGGCTATCCTTGGCTTTCTCGCCGTACTGAGACTGCGGACCTTGTAGTTTCGCGAGCGCATCTTCGAGCTGAGCGACCCGCGCCTCCAGCGTCTTGGTATACGATAAGGTTGGAGCTCTGCAGAATCTGATCAGTAACTGGAAACACCATAACTTGACAGGCCGCGCATCTTGGAGATATACTTACAAGCTGTAAACGCAGACTTCTCCGCGAGCAGCGCATCGCGAACAGGAAGGACTCGCTCCGTTACATTTCACCTGTAGGGATGAGATCAGCCATCAGGCATCCGATCACTTCGGAATCCAGCCGAGAGGAACCACCTTGCGTTTGCGACAAGCCTCGCAGGAGAAAGCGCTCTTTCTTGGAAGACTGCTCTTGACCGGAACTTCGGCCATGATCCGAATTGCAGTCTTATGATTAGAGTGAACCGCCTGTTCAAGAGAGAGTGGGATCAAAGGCAAGAAAGGCCCGAAGGATAGCCTTCATTGAGGCCATGCGATACCTTCCGCATGGAGAATCATCGGCGGTACTGGCAGAGCTGGTCGCGGGACGAAACATACCATAATCGCGGGGAACGACATCGCCTTTTCGGGTCACGGCGGGGGAGTTTTCTTCTCCAGTTGTATTATTATTGCATTTGGTTTAAAGACGTTCGAGACGCCAACGGCCCACATGGAAGGATCTTCTCATCCCACCGACGATGCGAAAAGGGGAAAACAGCGCGGCAGCACCCGTGCCAGGCGGAGTCCCCAGCGATCGCGCCGCAAATCATGAATATCATCGTGAATTTTGTGGCTGATGGGACGCTACTGGGCCCCACGAGCCAGGAGTTGAGGGCATGAGAACGATCATGCCAGCCCTGGAAAGAATGCTCGATAGTGATGGCGCCGCCCATAGTCAAACGTCCCTAGTGCCAACTTTGTTTCTGACCAGAACGAAGGAGGGCATAAGTCGACAGGATATGAGTCGTAGACTCGTAGTGTAGTCTGGTGGCGCCCAAAAGGATGACCCACGGATGGATTAACATGTGCCCAATGTGGTGCAATTAATAAGAATCATGATACAGGCAAATGAGAGCACTTGGATGTGGCAACAAGGGATCAATCACACTCGTAAAAATAGGCTTGGGCTCCGTGGGGTCCAAAAATGTTTCTCAAAAATCTATACATACATTCTGCCGTAATCATGCACTGTACTGTACATCTATAATACAATTCATAATATATGGCCCGGGACAAAGGGACATTGCCTCAAAAAAGAGAAAAGGACAAGGGATGCAGAGCGGGCATAAGTCTCGCAAGCTAATAATTAGAAAGGCGTAAGCTGCCGCACTCATAGGAAACTCTTCTCGAGCTGGACTAGGAGGTCATGCACATCATCGACCTTCATCTTGACGGCTCGAGGATTTCGAAGAGCATCTGCCCCGACTTGCCGTTCCATGATATGCTGCAATTTCGTAGCACCGGCATCGTCCATACTTTGCATTTGCCCGGCGATATCTAGCTCGATTGTGCCGTCTGCGAGGTTTCTAGAGCCAAGGACAAAGATGAGATTGTACTTCATCTGTTTTGCCCGCTGTATTTTCTTACCCAGCGATTGGCTACTGGTGTCCACATCAACTAAGAAAGTTGGATCGACCGACGATAACGGGGCTGGGGGTTCGGCCTGATTATGGTCCTGCAGAAGTGCGCGAAATCCAGCGAACTTGGCTGCAGCCTCTTGCGCCTGACGCAAGACAGTGTCGTCCTGCTGGACCGTTAGGATGATGGCCTGGCGGGGAGACAGCCAGAACGGCCAGCGGCCGGCGTAGTGTTCGATCAGCAATGCCAGAAACCGCTCTAATGATCCGAAGATGGCTCGATGGATCAATACCGGAGTTGCTCTCCCAGGTGTGTCCGGGTTATAATCTTCCTCTCCTTCTGCTACCTGATATTCTAGACCGAACCTCTGGGGGAGGTTCATATCCAGCTGTATCGTGGAGAGCTGATGGAACTTTCCATCCGAATCTTGCAACTGAATATCGATCTTGGGACCGTAGAATGCCCCGTCTCCTTCGTTCAACTCCCACGGTCTTCCAGTGTCATCCAACGCCTCTCGTAGCTGGGCTTCCGCACTATCCCACAGCTCCAGACTTCCAATAAAGTCCTTCTCCGGCCTTGTAGACAATACGAGTCGATATTGACCCAGCTTGAATGTCTTCATGACCATGTCTACGAACCCCAGGGCTAGTGCGATCTCCCTCTTGATCTGCTGCGGCCGGCAAAAGATATGGCCGTCGTCCTGGTGGAAGCGGCGCACACGAGTGAGGCCGCTCAAGGACCCAGAGACCTCATTGCGATGTAGTGGACTGAAGTCTGCGTACCGCACTGGGAGCTCACGATAGGAATGGTTCTGTGATTTGAATAGCAGACAGTGGCCCGGACAGTTCATCGGCTTCAGTCCGTAGGATTCATCCTCTCCAGCTTCCCCCTCCGTCGTGCCGGTCGCACCTCGCCCGTGCACTTCGTACATATCATCTTTGTAGTTCTGCCAATGACCCGAGACCTCCCACAGCGATCGTTTGTAGATATTGGGAGTCAGGACTTCGCGGAAGCCATACTGGCGGTATTGGGTGCGGAGGAAGGAGATGAGCTTGTTGACAACATGCGTACCGTTCGGGAGGAAGAGAGGTGATCCGGGACTGTAGGGAGACGAGGTGAAGAGTTCTTGCGCCGTTCCGAGGACTCGATGATCTGCTGCTGGCGTGTGAGGTTGGACAACAGAGGCATCACTGCTCGCAGTCCGTGCTGTGGAGCAAGACGAACAGCTCCGGGCGGAAATCGAGGGCCATTGAGGGCCAACTCGATGCCCGCGGCTGTCACGGCGAACAGCACGAGATAGAAACTGGCGCTGCCAGCGACTGCTTGCCAGGAATCGCCGCATGGCCAGGTTTTGGTCGGCAGAGAGAGGCTTTTGGTTCTACTTTGCCGCTGTCCGGCCAAAAGACAAAGTCGCGGACGCGGTGGTCTTTCTCCGCCTCGAGCCTGCCAATCATTCCGATACAAGATCTGGCCAGTGCTTTCGAGCTCAGCAAAACAATTCCACGCGATGCGCTTGCCAGGTCGATAGCTCAGGGTAAACAAAGCGCGCTGTTTACTCTTGTCATGTCCTTTCACTTTGCTGCTGGCTGATTCAGATGCCCTCTGGGTCTTTTCTCTCAACTTTGCGCTCGTCCAATCTTATCTTACGGTACCCCGCGATATGACAGCTGGAATCCATATTGACTAGCCATTACAACGCTCGTTTGCTATACACGCTCTTTCATTCTCTGCTGTCACCATTTTATCAGAGTCTTCTAGCTCTACTTCTCTATTTTTCGCACAATATAGACCGTCTTGCCCCTCATCATGGCTACAAACTCAGCACCGCGGCCAGAGAACAGTTCTGTCTTGGGGGAGTCCTGGGTCGTTGCAGACGCCAACTCGCAGTTCTTTCCACAGAAGAGTATTCCCGAGGTGCCGCAAAGTCGACAAGATGAAGTCAGATCTCGGCGTTCGTATAGCCAGCCACCAAGGCCTAGTTCGCCCCAGGCGACATCTGTTGCTTCGAGTTCGGGACCCGAGCTTATTATGCCATCTATATACGACGATACGATATCAGAGGCCTCGTGGGTCGCTCCAAAACTACGACATCGCAAGGGTTCGTTACACAAGCACAAGAAGACTGAGCAGACTTCTCCAGAAGCAGCACAAGAGAAAGCTCATGTTCCTGAGGCTTCCACGACAGTTGCCAACGACCCTCTTGCAGCTCACCCAGACATCTCAAGCAGCCTGTCCGAAAAAGCATGGGAGATTGTCCAATCGATAGGATCCAAAAAGTACACGAAAAATATAGTGTCAATTTTCCTACTCCTGGCTATTTTGCACCTGCTGGTTCTGCCGGAGTTGATCTATCAGTATCCGATTATCTGCAACGTGTCCCTCGTCCTTACTATCTACCCTGCCAGCTGTGCTCAGACGCCAGGTACTGTCCAATATAAGCGCTCTCCAGCTGAGATTCAGAGGCATTCGCAATACCAGTCAATCGCAAGCTCTCAGGCGCAATTTGAAGCTGCGCTCAATACAACGATCCACGAGATCAACCTTGTGCCCAGTCCGCTCAAAAAAGAAGAGTCCGCACTTCGTGATCTATACGGTCAGCTGAAGGCGACATATACAGGAGCGAAATATGAGCTAGACTTGGAATTCCAGGGAACATGGCCAGCCATCCGTTCTGCTTCTCTTCAGCTTGATCTCCTCACGGCTGATATGGTGTCAGCTTTAGATCGACTCGAAGAAGAGTCCAGGATGACGAAGCAACTATTGCAGGTTCGTGATCCAATGCAAGATGATGCAAATGGAAACGGGAAAGGCTCTTCCAACGGATTCTTGGGATTCTCAGTCGAGTTCTCTTGGCGTTCCCCGGAAAATAGTGAGACATCGTTTCCAAGCCAGATCTCCCACCATGCGCATATCCTCCAGCGACAAGCTTCATTGGTCAGGTCGAGAGTCGGTTCAGTGCTTTCGGAAATTGCCAAAATGGATGAACATCTTGAATCAGTAGAGGACATACTGATTCGGGAGGAGCAAGCGTCATCCGATGCTTCTCAGAACAATACGAGGTCCTTCGTTTCAGATGCCACGCGTTTGATCCGTCGAGTATCCTCTCTTGTTCTCGACCAGAACGATGAATCGCAGCCAGAGGTTCAGGAGGTCTCCAAGTCCTCCCTACTACGTGAGATAGTCTTTCAACACCGTCGTGTGGCGCAAACCCTGAGGACGCTCGACAGCAAGATGGAGGGGTTGCAGAAGCGCATCCCTTGAGGGAAAGATCATGATGACAGTTTTTGGATAATGCTATAATGCTTATGAATTATGATAGCAGATGGAGAACACGCATTGCATGGTACAAGGCTATGAGCGATCATACCCATATTTTCGTTATGAGTTTGGGCGTCTTTCTGTTCAAAATCGCATGGGTATGCTTTTATTATTATGGGAGTAGGTCTCGTCTTAGTAGGATCACGTGGGAATAACCTTATTGGGGGTATTTGCTTTCTATGAGCCTCGCAATCGATACATGCCTTCTTTCTATGTATTTCCTGGGTCCATGAAGAAAGTTACACTTGGTAGAATCCTTTGCGTCTTTGGAACACGAGTGTTAGCTAGGCATCTAAATCTCGAACAGAACACCCAGAGAATGGCCCAAAAATAAGCGGGCCTTTGGGGGAAAAAGTAAGGGCTCCTCACAGATTACGTAGGCCTATCTACTCCTCCAGGTCAGATAAACCCTAGATCCACCTAATATCTCACTTTGACACGTTTCAGACTCGCTTGACTTTTAACACCTAATCATAAAAACAATTAGAGAGAAAGATAAGAATTTGGTAGCAATGTATCGTTTTATGTACGTTTCATAAAAAATCCCGAAATGCATCAAAGATATATCTGTTCTACACGGAAAAAACTCAGGGGAGCAAAAAGGTGGTGAGGATTAAGAGTACGATTTTGAAAAGGGCAGGAAGACCGACCCGGTTCAAAATAATGCCCCGAAAGGATGTGTATGGAAGGAAATTTGTTGACAGGAAATCTTAATGTACCATCGAATATCGAACAAAAGATACCCGATCATAAAAAACAAGAATAATATGTGCAAGTTTCCCTTCCTGAATTTTTGAACCCTTCTTTGCTCAGGAAAGGAGAAATAATTCCAGAAGCAGCAATTGGAGGTTTAGACGAGGATGACGCTGGCGAAGAAGAAACCGATAAAGCCCATGAAAGAGCCGAATCCAATGCCAGGCTTGACAGACATGCCGGCGCTGTCGGTGGTAGAGGCGGAAGAGGAAGACGAGGCGCCAGATGATGACGCGGCCTGGGTTGTGGCTCCGGATCCAGCTGCAGTGCTCGAGGCGCTGCCGCTGACAGACTTGGAGGAGTTGTCAGACGACTTAGTAGTCGAGCTGGCAGAGCCGGACGAGGAAGAGCCAGAAGAACTAGCAGATGAGGAGCTAGAGGAAGTGCTGCTCTTGTCGCTAGTAGTGCTGCTGCTGCTGCTTTTGCTGCTGGTAGATCCATCGCCCGAAGTTGTCTCACCAATGTCATCCGAGGAAGTTGAGTTAGAAGCCTTAATGCTCTCCCAGGATCCGGAAGTGCCGTCATAAGTGTACTCCGACGCAGGGGTATAGTTGGTGATGTTGACAGACTCGACGTACATGGTGAATGGTGCCTTGGTGTAATCAGTCTCACCACCAGCCCATTCGATCGTTCCCTCACCGTTAGAGGGGTCACCACCGGCCCAGATACCGATCTTCACACGGCATGGAGTCTGCGGGAAGCGGGTACCGTTCTTGGCATCGGCGTACAGGAGCGTACGCACGTTCGTTCCATCGATCAGCCACTCAATGGAGCTCGCAGTCCAGTGGACAGTGTATGTGTGGTAGACAGATTGCGGAGTGGTAACCGTCGCATAGGTGGCACGGTCATAAGTGCCCGTGTCGCCTTTGCCGAAATAGTCGGTTTCGATCTGGGTGGTGTCGCCGCCCAGCGCTTCCTGTTTGTGGTTCGTTAGGTTATGCATTTCTTATATTTCGGTGGTATGTTGGTGATTTAGAGATAGACACATACCCAGTCGATTTCATCTAGATCATCGGACTCCAGAACGACAGAACTGACGATACCAGTTCCAGGAGCAGCCTTGAACTTCACATCGATCTGTCCGAACAGGATGTAGAAATCCGTCTGGATCGTTGGTGCATCACCACGCTTCTTGATGGTGAACTCAGCACCGTTCTCTGAAGCGGTCACCGTGCCGGCGGTCGTGTTCCAGCCAGGAAAGCTGGTACCGCTGATTGTGGTAAAGTCGGTCGAGAAACTCGTGGTGTTCAAGCCGGCATCAGCAGGGCAGCCCGCTGGACATGGTCAGCCTTTGGTGCTCATATTGGTAGTGGCATATGAACTATGTCCATACACCCATATGAAACGGAGAAAACTGGAGAAAATTAAAATCTACTTACTCGTTTCGATTGGGTTGCAGGACGAGTAAGTCTGAGCAGACGCAAATGGAAGCAGCGCTGCGACGGCAAACGCCGCGAACTTGGAGTATGGAGCCATGATCGACTGCGTCAAAACGCAAATATGTATGATCAGAAAACTGAAGCAGAAATAGGATGTCGCTGATGCGTCACCAGTGGGATAGGTATATCTATGTATCAAGTGAAGTCCTCAAAAACGAAGCGAGGTTACTTCGAAATGCGAAGTGAAGATATACAATGAACAATGAAACGACTGTCCCGGTGTGAAGAGCAGCGAACCACAATAGTGATTCAGCAAACGAAGGAAATCTCCAGGTACGCTGGTTAGACCACAGAAAAAAAAATAACGAAAGATGGATGTAGCTGGACAGGCCAAAAAACAAAGACTAAAGACTGTGTCGATACAGTTGCTCTAGGAGCGAAGGCCCCATGCGCTTAGTTAGTCGGGGTGATGACGAACTCAAAAGAGGGAACGGTTGCGACAAAGGGACAACCAAAGTCAAAGCCATTTAGTCTCCATCAGGGCGGCAGCAGATGTTGTTCGCACGACGTCGCATGCAACAAACACAGCCCCATGGGATTAGGGATCTGACAAGTCGCAGGGACACCGGCAAAGAGCAGTTCGGCTTGCGTCAGAGCTGAGGCGTCCATGAAACATTGACCAACAAATGCCAGCTGTGCCTGCGTCGGCCCGGTGGAGTAACTAGTTATTGATTTCGCTTACAGAGGGCGAACCGAGGGCGCGAGGGACGACGAATCGACGATAGGCCCAAGGCCCGGTGATAATAATTTTAGCACCAAGAACGCGAGACATTTCCAGTCTCAATCTCACCGCGATCCGTGGGAAAGAAACAGTTGGCCATCCACAACCAACAAGCACAGCGCATAGATATGGTACATCGAGTGTCGACATAGGCTGAGAGTGCGTCCCTCACATACCGCATCCAGGGGCTCGACTGCGGTGGACCCGTGGGATGAAGTAAATAACGACCGACTTGATCGACTGAGAGATCGTATCATGCCTTCGATCCATGAGTCCTCCTATAGGGATCTGTTCTTTCTGATTCCAGACAAGTCTGACATCTGCCACTTCATTCCAGAGATCCATACCTATCCTGGGGTAGGCTTATCTAGTTGTATCTCATGAGCATTCCGTAGTCCTTCATTTTCTCTAAACCCAGGTACATATGATCACGACTTTGAAATGTAACCAACCGATAAGACATCTGGCAGGGCTGCGAAGGCCCGTCCTGGATCCATCATCCATCCCATGTCACTTCGTAAGCCAAGAGACAAGCGCCTCTACTTGGGCGCTTGTGCAACCGGGCACATTCTCCACTCCCGGGCGATCATGCTTGGCAAGAGGCAAAGTACAGAGTACATGGACTTCCGCAAATGATTGATGGCGATAATAATTATTAATAGCAAAGAAAAGGGACGTTCAACAATATGGTAATGGTCCCAGGGGAATGATTGCCACCTGAGTCTGTGTGGAATAGCCTGGAAGGAGTTCCCAATGCACGTGATTGTCCTCACTCCTGCAGCAGACCGCCTTTACTCTACAATGTGCTTTGGACTAGAGCATTCTTATAGACTCTTGTGGACTCTTATAGTCTCTTCATCATTGCTATATCGCACATATTTTAGCAGAAGCCTATCTGGCCTTTAAGTGAAAGCCTTCCATAGTAGTAGTGGTGCTGCCAACCCTGTTACTTCGCAGAGATAGATCCTAGAAATTGCATGTATATCTTTGGGAATCGGGTATCAATTTCAGCATATGTAGATGAGCATGTCATGAGAAATCTCACTGTCAGTATGTAAGGACTGCCCCGAGTTATTTCCAAACAAGTTGGTGATGATGACGCTCCCATGATGATGATTATATCAAAGAGCAATGGACTGTTCCCATATTATCATCATTACTGGACGAGGAAGCATTTACTTTCTGGAGACTCGATGTCGTATTTTCTATCGTTTCGTACCAAGTCATTGCATCCGCGCGATCAGGCAGACAATATATATTAATCATTATTGACACAGGACATTAGTCGAGACAGTCTCTATATATGTTAGAGTGGACGTTTCCCAGATACGCGGGAGAGACAAACGATTCGACCAGTCAACGATGCGAAAGGGAAAGAAAGTTCTACCAGAAGGTTTCCTGCTGGCGAATTTTAGCGGATATGAGTCGCTCAAGAGAGAGATCTGGCACCATTCTGGATCGATCTGTTTCAACCCTGAAGGAAACGAGTAATCCTGATTGATTGTTTCTATCTGAATAACCATAGTTACCTCAGCAGACTGTGACTTAACTAACTAACCAGGCAACAGCGGTCTAACTAGGTAACTAGGTGCGCTACGGCTAGGAGGGGCCGTAGCAAATAATCATTGAGCGTAGTGACCAAGCTGGCTGCTCTGACTAAGCTGGCTGCTGGCGCTGGCGCGCTGGCGCGCGCTGGCAGACAGGTTGATTGCTTAATTAGGTAATTTATTAGGTTCCTTTAGTGTAATAATGACTGTGGATAATAATCATGTTGTAAAGAACCACTTAATAGGTGAAGCTAATTAGTAATTGCTAGATAGTATAAGAAGCCGAAGCCTATAGGCAGGATAGGCAGAAGGGGGATAGGTAAGAGGGATTTAGCTATTATAGTCGATATTTTAAACAGACTAATAAGAAGCCAATATTTAGATAGAAGAAAATGCTTTTAAACCGAGCTTTTATAACAGCTAAATAGGCGATAAAAAGCAGGGGGTGAGGACTGTAAAGGGTGTAAATTAATCAATATAGACGCGAACCTGTATAGGAGGTTAAGAGGAGTTATTTTAATTTCCTAAATCAGAAGGCGGTAATACCTAGCAGTTCAAACTATATGATAAACCAATTGTCATGTGACTGTAACTCGGAATAGACCAATTAAATAAGTGGTCATGTGACTGTAACTCAGGATAGACCAATCAGAGAGAAGCGGAAAAAGTGGAGCACTTTTGCAGCCAGTATATTGAAACATTTCGCTAGCGCTCAATGACTAACTATCCAGATCCCAGCAAAGATTGGAGAGTGATCGATCTGAATGGCTTCCTCGATCCCCACTTCGGCAACTCCAACGGGAGAGAGATGAGATTCAGGAACAACAACGGTCGGAGATCTCGAGATCTGCACCCACGAAGAGGAGAATAAGAAGAATGGACACATCAAAGACTGGTATGTTCTCTATGAACCACATGGACATGGGCACATCAGTGTCTCTTTGTTTTCTTTATCCTCTTCGCGACGGATTGTTGACTGACCCCGCATTGCCGGCGATCGCCAGTGCAACTTGGCAGGGCTTCGTTGGGGTAACTCGTGGCCCCTGTTGAGTCGCCACATCTTAGTTATCAATCTGCTCTACTCAACCCCTACTCAACCACCCCTCATTTCGTTGCACCTCCTTTCCTGCTTACCACAACCGAAGACGAGGACGAACAAGCATCCTATCGAACACTGCAACAGATCTCTACCATACTCCATGTCTAGTGCCAGCAAAGTCGATATGGACCGCATCGTCTACATCCCTCTGTGCTTCTGCCTGATCTCCTTCGCGGTGATCGTCTACGTCAACTGACGCGGTGGATGCATGTCTGTTCCTGGGAGGAGGAATCCAGGAGCGGTTCATGGGTGATGGTCCTCTAGACCGTACATGAAGCTATGCCAGAGGTCTGAGATCTCTGGGAGTATTTGTTGACCGTCGAACTCGTCACCAAACACCCTATCTACACTATCTGCGCTCTTCACTACCGAGCCGCGATAAGCTGTGTTCAACCACGGCAGACCTGTCTTCACCAACCGGCACGATCAACATGCCCACCGCGCCTCTTACTACACCATCTTTCCTACGAAGCATATCCCACTATACCGTGCCGGTACGAAGTCGCCGTCGAATGCCATCTTCAACTCGTTGAAGCGACCTTCATGGAGAAACATCCCAGACAATGACAGCGAACGAGCTCCTCTGCAACCGCGCCGCCAGTTATATTACAAGAAGGCTTGCGCGAGCGCAGGTTGATCGATTAGAATGAGGATTGTCTGAACAGTCGCAACACGACTGCTGGCCACTATACCCAGGCCAATCTCCACCATCGACCATTCCAGCCGTTGGCTGCCTTTGACGACGATCGAGTTCATTATGCCCTACGCGACGGTCAAAATACCACGTCTTAGGTGCTAGTGATCTGAATACTGGTATCCTCAACTCTGTCCGTACATGTGGACGACAGACAGTCGACGAGGAGATCAAGGACCTCGATGAGTTGAGGTCTGGAGAGTATTCATCAAACCTTTACCAATGCGCTACACGCGTACCGATGCGACTCCTTGACGGAATCGCATAATTTGGACTGCAGTGCCAAATATCCAAATCACCTCGACATATCGAAGCCATTCATTTAATTCACTGACCGAAGTCCGAATCCCAACAATTTCCTTTTAGTTTGCTGAATATATTGTGTTTTCTCCAACATATGTCAGCATATTATTACCTACAATTGCCTGATCCGATAGAATTCAAATATCTAATACTATCATTACATTTTGCCTTTACAGAAATACATCTCATCGGTTTATCCTTAGGCAAATTCTCCAAACCACTTCGCTAAGCCAGGTCCCTTAACATCCTAATAATCAACCAATAATGAAGTCGTCTAAAAAGCAAAGGACACAAGTCTATACGGCAAAGCACGGTAGTCAGCTAGTACAGTGTCTTATGCAGCACTATGAAAGCTTCCGGGTATCCAGCAGCTCCTGTATGCTAGATAGTATTTAGACTCCATTAATTCTATATATTAAATAAGCAATGCTAAAAGTCTACCCCATGTTCTACGCAGCTATTTGCTTCCATCACTCTTGATTTCGACACCTTGGCATGATGTGATACCGCCATCTGATTTCTGTCTATTCCATTTTATATTCAATATCACTAGAGTATGTTTTATTGAATAGTTAATGCATCACACACCAACTAACATAAAACAGCTACATATATTCATAATCCCGAACCCATAACTAATAATAACAATAACAACAATGATAATAATAATTCATAACCAATAAACAACCCCACCCCAAAGAGAGGGATTCAAAATCCGGGTCTCAACTTGTTCAAATCCTCCGTTGTCCAATCCGTAACGAGCATGTGGCCCGGTTCATGAGCAAAGACGAGTCCGTCAATTTTATCCCCTGCGGCTTCGACGACCATTTGGGGCGTTACACCACATGCCTTGATACATAGAATTCGTTTGGTTAGTATAGTCATTTTTATCACTTCCAATCGATCGATTTTCTCTCTGTCCATAGGAAAGGGGGGGGGAAGGGAAAAACTCACCCAAAAAACAGGAACGTCCCCATCTTCAAAAACCTGCTTCTGACCAAAATCCGGCTCATGCACATCTCGAATCCCAATCTCCCTTGCCCCCTCCCATCCCCACGCAACCGGTTCTCCATGCGTGGACAGAAACGGTCTCGTCACATCCCTGACTCTTTCCACTTCATGCTCTTTATACGGCCTCATAGACACGATGGCCTTGGCGCCCGTGAATACGCCCGCGGGTAAGATTGGGATGTTGGTCTTGTACATTGCTACGATGGTGTTTGTTTTCTGGTGCCGGGGCTGCAGGCCCGCGGCCGTGAGGGCGTCTTCGAAACTGAACGAGCAGCCGATGAGGAAGCCGACGTGGTTCGGAGTCCAGACGTCGAGGAGGGAGGGGACGGAGGTCGAGATGCATTTGCCGTGTTTGTAGATGCGGTAGCGGGGGAAGTCGGTGCGGATGTCGAAGTCGTGCGGGGTTTGGATGCATTGGGAGGGAGTGATGGTTTGAGGGTCTCCTGGGGAAGAAGTGATGCCTAGGAGAGGGCAGGGGACGGGGTTGCGTAGACAGAGGTCGTGGAAGTCTTGGGCATATTTGGAGGGGAGGACGAGGAGGTTGGCTTGTAGGTAGTTGGGAGCGAGGCCGGAGGTGTTTGTGATGAGATTATGGCGTGAGAGGAGACGGGCTTCGTGGGCGGGCGAGGTGGATTGTTTAGAGATCTGGGATCGGAGGGTGGAGGAGGAGTCGGTGCTTTCCACGGCGATACTGCCCATTTTGAGGTTGTATGTGTATTCCTAGGAGGAGGTTGAAGTTGTTGTTTATGCTTCTTGATTCGAGTTATAAGGTAGACGAGGATGTAACAGTAGACCAGAGACTTGTATATGCAAATATTAATATCAAATTTCCAATAAGTGGATCATATAAAAGGATATGGTATAGATATGGCATAGAAAGAGGTGCAAGTGTGTATAGCTAGCTACTCCAGCCATGCCTGATATACTTAAGACTCTACACTGCAGATCCCATAGCGCGATACGGGGAGGAATAATACTTCCAGAACTGCCCATAGAAGGAAAGTAAATGCATTCATCCCCGCAGCAGCAGCCGACGGCTTCTCGTATACTCTTTTCGGCCGATAGTAAGTTAATATTGATGGGGCTCGGTTCAACGTCCTGCAAGCCGATTAGATATTTAATATTATTAGATATCTTCCTATCTATCTGTGGACCTCAGCAAGCCAAACCCCACTCATGCTTTGCTGTGGCGTTATGATAGGACAGCAAAAGCGAGCTGGTGTAATGGAAGCACGCCTGTTAGGACGGTACCTTACCTCTCTTTCGGGGTAGGCCCTCACGGGCTCGCAGGTATCCGGGTTCGACTCCCGGGCTCGCAAGTTTCTTTTTCTATCGATTATTATTTAATGGACTCTTTCTATCCAAATCTGTTCTGCAACGAAAAGGGAGAATACCACAGCTGCCTAGCGGGTGCATTATATTTACTAGTGGAGTCTCAATGCACCTTTGGTAGATTCTCCAAATCATACCATCATAATAGATCCACATTGCAAAAGCCCAAGATAAAGCGGCGCGTATTTTGAGCAGCAAGCATTTCTCTGGCGTATCTTCCCCAGATCAAGCCATGCCTCAGAAGGTTTATCGGCGGATTGGTTGCTCTTCAGCTCTCCCAGTACGAGGATCCGGGACCAGTATATCATCCTGGTTCGCGTCTTTCGACTATCCTCTCCAGCCGCTATCATAGAGGGGTAAATTCGGTGACAGCATGGTAAACTTGGTCCCAGATCGAGGCACGAAGGCCTCTAGGTAGCATAGAGAGGAGATCAAGGGGTCAGATTTTGCAGGTCTGCATCCAGTCAGAAGAGCACCTCAGCGGAGTCTGGCAAATTACCATTATACAAGTTGAATTGAACGAAGCGCGGAAAGGATCAGGTAGATATATAGTAAGTAACACATGCCTGATATAAGACTATCTAGTTACTCTGCAGATCCCATAGCGCGAATAAGTACGGGGAAGAACGCTTCCAGAACTGACCCATAGAAGGAAAATGCATTAACCACGGCTTCTTCATACAGCTGTCCCAGCTAAGTAAGTAGAAGATCCATCCATTATTCTATTCCGCCAATACGAGCATATCCACCCCGAGAAGCGATGCGTTTTTCCAAATAATTGCATATTCCCACCATCCAAACCGCAGAGAATAATAATTATTCAATCCCATTTATTATTCTCGGCCGATAAACGATACTTATCAATAATAATGGCGCTCGGTTCGACGCCCTATAAGCCGATTTCGTATCCTATCATCCGTGAACCCTCAACAAAGCCAAACCCCACTCATGTCTTTTTTGCCGTGGAGGTATGCCGTCGCGATGTACATGGTTTCAGGCCGATCTCTTATCTGCGGGGAATTTTAAGAAGTTTTGGCGCGGTCTCGACGCCGGTGCCGGATAGCGTCGACCTTAGGCGTTATCGAGAAGAGCCTTAAAAGACTCTTAATTGGAGAATGACTTGAATTCTGCACACGCGATTCCAGTTGTCAAGTTCGGCGGTTCAAGCTCGATAAGCCGCCGGCGTTTTCCTTGCAACAGCCGGTTTGCCTGAAACAGCTTTGTTTAGCCATCTTTCTTTTCTCCGCCTTACTTCTAGTACAGTAGCTGGGTAGGTAGTTATGTGTACATCCCTCACGTAAAAGCTACTACTTAGTCTAAACCCTGTAAACTCGGTTATCAGTCATGCGTTTTGCTACGAGTTCCCATGCGGAAATCAATGCGCGAATGATCATGATGCATTCCAAAAGTCACGGCTCCTCTTTCCTATCTCAGGAGATAACTCCTCAGTCCAAGCCCGTTGAGCTAGCTATCGGCCCTCATGTAGGTGAGTAGTACTAGTAGTACAAAGGTAATCGCCCGCCCACGGGATAAGAAGGTGGGAGACGATCGATCAACACTCAAGAGACCACAGGATCAACCTGGAACTCGGAGTGTCCAGTTATCCCCAGGTGGTGGCATACCGAAGCCCAGACAACACAACTCAACTCAAGATGTCTGAAGAAAAGAACGAGTATGTAGACCAGCCCCGGAGCGGCGATGAAAAGCTGCCCGTGGAGGAGGAGAAAGGTGCTTTGGATACGACGTTCGGGACAACAGAGGATATCCAGCTGGATCCTGCGAAGGAAAAGAAACTGCTAGCGAAGCTGGACCTGGCCTTCGTTCCTATCATCATGTTCGCCTATTTGAGTTGTTTCCTCGACCGATCAAACATCGGTTAGTTTCTTCCTCCTCTAGCAGGCTAACTAATCGCGACCATGACTGACAGCGATGATGTTTCAGGAAATATCGAGGTTGCTGGAATGCCTGAAGATATACATGCGACCTCGCAGCAGTTCTCCGTTGCCGTCTCCATCTTCTATGCCACCTATGTCACGTTTGAGTCTCCTCTGGCCGTGTTGATGAAGAAGTGGACGCCACGGAACATGCTCACTGTTCTCTGCATTATCTGGTCCCTGACCACGATTTTCTCCGGCTTCATCGTCAGTATCGGCGGCCTCTATGCCACACGTCTGATCTTGGGAACCTGCGAGGCTGGTCTGTTCCCGGCCCTGAACTTGTACCTCACCATGGTGTACAAGCGAGAAGAGCAGGCGAAGCGTGTGTCGTATCTATTCAGCTGTGCAGCCATTTCTGGTGCAGTCGGTGGTCTATTGGCCTACGGAATCCTCCAAATGGACGGTGTGGGCGGAATGGCCGGTTGGAAGTTAGTAGTTATTTGGATCCCTGGACACGGGTTGGAAAACACTTGCTAACGATCATCCAGATGGGTCTACATCATCGAAGGTCTGTTCAGTATGGTGTGCGCCGTATGGATCTGGTTCGGACTACCAAACGACCCGACCAATGCTTATTTCTTGAACGAGGAGGAAAAATGGATGATGAAGGTCCGCAACGAGCAACGGAGGAAGTATATGGGCAGTGATAAATTCGACTGGGAGGAGATCCGCATCGCTGCCAGAGACCCGAAACTGTACTTCAGCGGTATCGTCCAGTTCTGCCAGGATATCCTGTTGTACGGATTCAGTACCTTCTTGCCGGCCATCCTCAAGAGCATGGGTTACGATTCGCTCAAAAGTAACGCCCTTACGGTGCCCGTATACGTGTGGGGTGCCATCGCGTTTATCAGCATTGCCTACTTTTCCGATCGTTATAGGACATTTGCTCCGGTAAGTTGTTCATTCCCCAGAATATATACCTTCTAAATGAAGAGGTGACAAGAGTATGCTGATTGATTCTTCCTAGTTCCTACTCTCAGTCAACATCTTCGGTATTGTCGGATACATCCTCCTGTTGACCGTCTCGAACGGTGGCGTGAAGTACTTCGCGACCTTCCTATGCGCCGTTGCAACCTACAACGGACCAGGGCTGAACCTCACCTGGCTGAACGTGAATGTAGCGCCGCACTACCGGCGTGCCATGGAGATCGGTTTACAGCAGACTATCGGAAACTGCGCCGGTATTGTGGCGGGTCAGGTGTACCGGAAGTCGCCATATGTCCTCGGTAATGCGTTCTCCCTGGGATCATTGGTGGTATCGCAGTTTTTCATAATAGGCCATGTTTTGTACTTGCGCAGAGAGACCGCTATGAAAGAGCGTATCGAGAGCGGCGAGGAGGACAAGAGAAGGGTGAAGACGGGAGATGCAGAACTCGACTTCAAGTACCATTGGTAAAGGTCATCGTTGCATTTTCTTTTCTTGTCCTGTACTACTATAGCCGCGTGAGTTCATCTCTCATGATGTTTCCAAAAATGAATGACGGGAACGAAATATGTATATACGCCACTCATATTCGTCCAACATGATCATAATCTTTACCATATGATAATTCGTACAAAATATGTTCTGGGATATCTGCTCTATTTCTACCTCTAGACATTGCATATTTAATAATTCTCAGTATGCAAAAGATCTGATTTTCTTCTTTGAGAGCTTGTACAAGCATCTACCTCATGGTTACCTAGAAAGAAAGCATTAGCGTTCGCGAAAAAGAAGACCTATGTTTTTGGGGGTATCAAACTTACCAGCTCCTCTGAACTGGTAGGGTGGATGGCCACACAGCTGTCAAAGTCCTGCTTCGTTGCTCCCATCTTGATGGCAACGCCAAAGCCCTGCAGCATCTCTCCAACTCCCAGGCCGAGGATGTGCAGGCCGACAACCTTCTCCTCGGGCCCGGCGCAAATGATCTTCATCTCGGTAGGGTTCTTCTTCTTCTCCTCTGGGGGCAGCAGGTCATAATACATGGCTGTGAAACGGGTGTGGTAGACCTTGATCTTGTCGTCACCGTAGTGTTCGCGAGCCTGAGGCTCCGTAAGGCCAATAGTTCCAACCTCGGGGTGAGCAAACACGACAGTCGGGATGTTGTCATACGAAAGTTTGGAGTTCTTCAGCTCTGGAGGACCAAAAAGACGACTACCAAGCTGACGGCCCGCCGCAATAGCAACTGCCAATGTGTTAAATTCTGGCAAAGGAATCTGGGGGGCTTTTTTGGCTTATTCTTACCTGGTGTAAGCTCTGCCTGTCCGGTGACATCACCAAGAGCGTATATACCTTCCGCGGAAGTGTTTTGGAACTCATCGACGACGATGTACCCTTTGCCGGTGGTCTTAACGCCGGCAACATCGAGGTTCAGTTCCTCGACCTCTGGCTGGCGACCAATAGCCCACAGCACCTCGTTCACCTCAATCTCCTGGCCGTCGTCTCCAATCAGCTTAAGCAGCTTATCATTTCCCTTTCCGTCCCGAATAAGCTGCACCTCCTTGAAGCCTTTGTGACCCTTGTGGACGTGAATGCCAACATCTTCGTAGCGCTGGGTCATCGTCTTCTGGATCATAGGGTCGAATTTCCGCAGCATTGTCTCTCCACGGATGAACATGTGTGTTTCGGCCCCGACGGCTGCCATGACACCTGCCAACTCAACGGCAATGTAACCAGCACCCACAACAGCCCACTTGCGGGGAATATCTTCGAGCTCGAAGAATTCATCGCTGGTGATGCCGTGCTCAGCGCCCTTGATGTTGGGAACGGAAGGACGACCGCCAACCGCAATCAAGATGTGCTTCGCCGTATACCGAACCTTTCCGCCCTCTTGCAACTCGACCTCGATGACCTTTGGTTCAACAAACTTAGCTTTTCCGTGAACGAGGTCGATACCTTCCTTGTTCCAATTCCTCTCGTAGGCACCGTTGAGACGGTGGATGGTTGCATCGCGTGCGCGCTTGAAGTGACCATAATCGATCTTCACGTCCTTCGGGACAGTGTAGCCATAGTGCTTCGAAATGTGAATGTTCTCATTGATGGAAGCAAAGTTCCAAGTCATCTTCTTGGGAACACATCTGTAATTTGTCGTTAGCAATTATACGCGGCCGGTGAGTACAGGCAGCCATCGATCAATAACATCAAGCCCAGATCGTCGCATAGGAAATACAGCGGCCGATCCTGGCCATCCAGAAATATCACTTTCCAGAAAAGGTTCAAGGAAAGGGAAAAACACATACCCAACATTAACGCAAGTACCTCCAGAACGGCCACGCTCAATAATCAATGTCTTCGCACCATACCACCCGGCAGCTCTTCGCGCACTACCACTACCGCCACTACCACCTCCAATGACAATGTAATCGTATTCCTTCACTTCCACAGGGGCCATGGTGCCGGTGTTTCCGTCCGCGCGAGGAGCGGTGCTCGACGAAAAGTGTCTCGAGATCGAAGCGAGTCGGGGAACGCTACGCGCGGTGCCAGAAGCAGCCCGAGAAACAGAAGTCGAGCTAGACGTCGTAGAAGCCAGAGTTCGGGCTGTCTGAGTAATGCGTCTATTTGTAATCGAGGCGATTGATTTTCTTCCTGCAGGCAAGAAGCAAAGCGGAGACGACGATGGCGCCGTTTTCAGCAGAGACTGCGTAATCGAAGACCGGTTCCTCGAAGATCGGATAGGGAGGTCAACGAGAGAGGAGCGGGCAAGCATGGATAAGTCTTCCCTTTGGTGAGGGGTAGGAGGGCGTTATATATACAAGGGAGAAATCAAGAAAAGCGAGGGGCGGAGCAGGAGGGGGAGCTAGGTAATTTACAGGGGGTCTCTGCGCGATGATGGACGTCGATTAACTCGGGGGATGATAGGTAGCGCTGGATCGGCCAGCGCCAAGAGCAGAGAGAGAGATATCCCATCTTAGTCAGAATCATATAGCATCAGAGCTTAGAGTAGTTACATGCTTCTTGATTATTATTATTATTACATGCCGCAAAATACGCCATTTACTCTTTGATATCCCATTCCGGCCGATTCTTCACGTAAAATGTCCTGCTTATATGACGGCTTCAATGTTGGATCCAATCACGTGATTCGCAGAGGCGATGGCCCGGCTGTACTCCGGCTGGACGGTTTAAAACGTTTTATCGTGATTAATGTATTATTAATTCTCCACGTTCTGGACATCCAAGGAGCATGGACACCCTCTAGACTCGATTACTAACTACTATTTACTAGTTAACTAACTAGTTAATTACCTACTGTAACTATTACAGTCACACTCAAACCCACGAGGGGGCGTCTTTCTGCGGTTCTATGTTATGTACACATGCTGGCTTCTCGAGCTCGTTTAAAAAAGAAAGGAAAAGAACATAAGACAACAAGACTTTGATATGTGCGAGACCGAAGCTGTCTAACAAGCCCGCCAATGGCGCAGTAGAGTATCGGAAACGACAGAGACTCTAGGGTACATCGTGAAAAAGAAACAGAAAAACGGACCACGAGGGGTAGAGATCTTCGTCAGCATGGCATGATGTGAACGGAAATGTGAAGACATAAGTGGCAATACGGTTATGATTGTAGAATGGACCGACAGGACTCGGAGCGGCCAAGATGGTTTTCATAAAAAGCTCTGGGAGCGCCTAGATATGTCAAGCATCATGAGAAACAATAGTCGTAAGCACCAAGGTCTGATTTGAAGGGGCCCAGTATGAACCGACGCCTGCGCCGCTGCTCGTGTTCGGGCTCCAAAAGGTTGCAGAGAATATTGACCTCTTGCTCCGGCGTAGATCGCAATCCGTCTTGATTCTTTCATGGAGGGTATGCTGTACCGAATCAATCAAGCTGGGAAACTGGTAGGATCATCTAATAGAGGGCTTCCTGGCACAGCATCAAGGGCTACTGCATGCAGGGCGGGTTTCTCCGAGACGCCTAGCAGGCCGCGCTGTCGACGATCCAGGGCATCCTTTACCCAGTCCGCAACCTCCTTATCCTCAGTTGATAGGTTGCCCTGGCGCGATTGGATATCCTTAGGGGACTCTTCTGTGCTAGACTCGGGGACTTCATCCCCGCCCTTCCCCCCAGCCTCAGAGGCGGTAGGAGGCTGCATCAAAGGTGCAAGCCAGGGATGTCGAAGAAGCATGGCATACGAGGGACGGCCGTTCGGGCTCTTGTTGAGACAGGCGCGCACGAACTCGTGGGCTTCTTCCGAGTAGCCAGTCTCTGGAAGAGAAGGTGGCTCACCGTGAACGATTGCCTGAAAGGTTTGTCAGTAACTAAGACAATGAAAAAAAAAAAAGACAACTCGAAAGCGGTACTTACATGGAGTTGACTGAAAATATTGTTGTAAGTCTCAGGAGGGTAAGGATACCGTCCCATGGCACACTCGATGATCGAGAGCCCCAAACTCCACACATCACTCTGCACACTGTATGTCGCAGTGGACTGAGTCCCGGACTGCTGGACACCTCCGCCAGCAATACGCTCAGGTGCCATATAGCTCTGACAACCAATGTTCGTCTTGGCGATACTGGCCACCAGATTCCCACTGACACCAAAATCACAGATCTTGATTTGGCCGCGAGTGTTCACTAGAATATTGGTCGGTTTGACATCGCGATGGATAATGTTATGGTCATCCTTCAGTGTCTTGAGACCCATCACAGTCGATAGCGCAATCTTGCGTAGAATATTCTCCGGGACACCCTGCTCATACAGCTTGTCGATCGACCCACCGTCCATGTACTCCACGCAAATATACACAGCACCTTCTTGGAAGAAAGCTCCATAGAAGTCGATAATAAAAGGTGACACGCAGCGGTGCAGGATATCCAGCTCCATGATGATCTGGGCGAACTTATTCTCGTCGAGCTCCAGGCGGATCTCCTTCATCGCCATTATCACCCCCGATAGATCGTCCTGGGAAGTTGCATTCTTTGAATCGTCGACTGCAGTAGGACGACTCATGATACCACTCAAACCTAGCCCGGGCTTTCGAAGATGTGGACGACTGTGGCGAACCTTGTATACTGTTCCGTAATTACCCTTTCCTAGTTCGTCTAACCGGTCGACTTCGTCTAGAGAAATGCTGAAACTCTGACCTGACGAGAATTCGATCCCTCCTCCATGAATAACCGCCTTGTTCTTAAAATTCAAGGTGCCAGCTTTGGTATCGATATACTCGGAGTATTTGCTAAACGCGGTTTCATCGTGTTTCCCATCGGGACCTGGGCTGCTAGAGCCTGAACCCGGAGAACCAGTAGCATCCGACAGTTTCAGTCCCGGTTTCAATCTCTTCGCGGCCAATCCACCTGGTTTAGGGGCCGTTGGCCCTGAACCAGCCACTGAAGGAGCAGAAGCCCAATTGGGAGCACCGGGGCGTTGTGCATGTGGTAATCGACCAGCCAGACCAGCAATGGGAACTCCTACTGGTGAAGGACCGGGGGGCGACACTGGACTGCTAGAGCCTGTCAATGGCCCTCTTGTTGTCGGGATGACACCTGTCGAGGCCACATGGGCAAGCCCGGGGGGAGCACCCTGTCGAGAAAGAGAGAATGCTTTCATCTTGGCCAGAATATCCTGGTTAAGACCGCTGGACTGGGCGCTCATCGACGCAGGTGGCCGCGGAGGAGGCACTCCTCCCCGTCGTGCCGCGTTCAACTGACCGAGAGGAGTGGACGATGCTGTCATGCCTGCAGAGACATCTGGTTTAGGACGGAGGGAGGGCACACCGTGAGAGGGGGGCTGAGGGGACGACGCGCTGGCTTCAGACTCATCGGACCTGTCGTCCACGTCCGGTGATATGGGCGGTGTCTCTGCGAGAGGTTTCTGTGTGTCCGTCATGGTTGTTTCCAAGAAAGAAAGAAAAAGACTATAGTGAGAGCAACACGATCAAGCTCTTCTTCTCGACTCTGCGCTATCTCCACCACTGCTCGGTCCAGTCACCGGCGCACCGGGTTATGTGCACATGAAAGAGAGGAATTCGTCGGTTGCTCGTGCAGACCGACCGCAAATGTTTCTGTGAAAGACCTGATAGAGTCGATGAGAAAGCAAACGACCCGAAGGTGGAGGACCCGGTTCAAGGTGCGTTCCCGGGCACTGTCCAAGATGTCCGCGCGGGGCACCGCTTGTGGCAGGATTGGATCCACGGAAGCGGGTTAGGTCAGGTCGCACAGGCGGAGACGGAGAAAACAGCTGGAAGGAAGGGATCGATCTATTAAAAGGAGAGAGAAACAGAAGACAGAGAAAGAGAGGGAAGAGGACGAGGGGGGAGAGAGAGAGAGAGAGAGAGAGAGGGACTAAGCCGGCAGTGAGTGCTTCGTGCAGGAAAGAAATGCGCCCGAGAGGGGAGCGGGACGAGGGGGTCAGTCAGGTTGAACTCCGTGGAGGCGACTTGCTGGGGAACGATATCCCAGCCTGGCGGAAGAAGCAACCGTTTGAATCTGCCAATATCGGGCTCCAATCCACGCCGCGCGAAAGAAGAAACACCAGTTGAGGGGATGTCTAGCTGAGTCCCTTGGCCTTTTTGTTCCTTCAGTCCACGGTTCCAACACCAGTTAGCAGTGGCGAACGGATATGTGGTTGACGAGTCTATCGAGAACTATGGTCGACTTAAGGGGAACAAGACCCTGGTGCCACGGCCCTGGATTCGGTTGAGAAGAAAATTTCCTTTGCTTCTCCTCTTTTGTTTATCTGTTGTCGAACAGGGAAGAAAGACGAGGGTGATGTCTGATGGCAAATCCAACGCTTCCAGCAGTGTTGACTTCGCAGAACAAGGGATTCTTTGGCGACGCGCAGACGACAGAATCAAGGATTATTACTCCATGAGACGTACACTCCGCTTATTCAGGCCAGTGGGTGATTTCGCCATTCCCCGGAGTGCGTCGCAGCCAACAACTACTAGTCGATTAGATGCCAGCTAGTCAATTACTCACCGAGCACCATCGACTCTTCCGGTCTCCGTTCTACTTAGTTTGCTTGACTCCTTCCGCTGATTTGGTTCTCTGCTGAGTCTACTCGAGTATAGTTTCCATATCGCGGATCTCAAAACCCTGCCCGGTCAAGATACCGTTGGATTCCGCCCAAAGTTTAAACGGCCTGCCCTTTGGGACCACATGGTCCCCCCTCTGGGACCTGCTGGCAGCACTGATCTACGATGTTAAGACTACCATACGGTTTGATAGCTTCTCTCGTCTCTTCTCAGGCACGGACACCCCAGGATCTCCTGCTCTACGCGCGTATTTGTGGTGAGCGCGCCATAGATTGGCATGCCGGCGCTGTCTCCCCATGAAATATCGTCCAACGAACTGGTCTGAGATCCACGCATCATGATGCCAGGTTGACGAGGTTTCAGGTTTTCGAGGCGCGCGGTGCTGCAGGATGATTCAACTATCCGTCTCTAGCTCGAGCTTAGGGTCCTGAAGCACTGTCGATGCCGATCTCTGAGGCGCACTCCGGTCTTTTGTGGCTTGGCGCTGTCTGCGATGGAGAACTACACTCGAGAGTATCCTATGCGATAGCAATGAGAAGCCAGCTTTGGCGCATGTGCATATGATAGTGAATCGGGAGACAGCAGGTTTCTCTCCACACCGGTGTTCCTGTATGACCAAGACCTCCGTGTAAGAGGGAGAGCTCAGAGTACGGAGTACTCCGTAGTATGTTTTTCTTCTAACTACCTAGTCCAGTGTACAGCCACGACCAGGCGCAAGTCCCAACTTATTTCCACGTGGGGCAAGCTTGTAACGACGATGTAGGTTACCATATTCAAGATTATTGTCATTTCAGAGCCGCCACATCTTCGAACACCCCTTCCTTCTAATAGTATATTACTCCTCAATCATGCCTCTACCCCGGATCGACGAGAGTAATAAAAAACATTCTCTATCCTTGCTGCGTCTTAAAGACACGGCACTTTTGTGGTTTGATGCTCGGCCGGACAAGATGGGAGCAGCTCAGGGATTATTATTGGCGGAAGCCTGTCACTCCAATCGGCTTCGTCATCATATATCAGTTTTGATTTCTTCTTCTCAACCGAAGTCAGGCCGCGAAGATCCCAATAGGCACCGTAGCGTTTTACCTAAATCTGTCACGATCAAACTATCCCGCCGACATCACAGCGCTGGTACATTAATAACGACGGCTGGAGCGTGCGCGATGGCTAAAAAAGATGTGGTGATCTGGGTTCCTCTGCCGGCGAGCACGGGCACAGAACAAGAGTGCTATCATAGCTCTGTATGGAGCACTGCTCACTCGGAAGTCCGGACAAGATTCGACCCGGATTAGTCTGCTTTCAGGGTTTCGAGGACATGGGTAGATAATACCTAATTAGTTAGTTCAGACCTATCTACTTACGTTCTCGCGGAGAACTTACCCATCGATCTGATGTTGCTGCTGTGGTTTCCGCATGGGACCTGCTCTTTATTATTATTATTATTATTATCATGATTATTATTATTCTTAATGAACCAGCCGCCCAAGCGCCCAGCAGAAAAAAAAAAAAGAAATAAAAATATATATAAATAAAGAAAGAAAGAAGCCTAACCCACAGTTCTAACAGATTGGCACTAAGAAACTACTCTACACATGCAGACCTGCAGTGGAAAACTAAAAATTGCGCTGCCTGCAGGGACTTTGTGCCAGTCTGAGATTCGCCTCTGCTCGATGCGAAAGAAGAATCGACATAACCAAGAGATCTTCTAGACTTCTATGTACTCTTACGCAGAGATCGATCAATGCTTGAAAAAAAAAAAAAAAGCTAGCAATTCACGATCTCCCCCGCATTCCTGGTTGCGTCAGATTTGCGCTTCGATCTTGGCCACAACCACCTATTGTCACCGAGTCCAGCGTCATCCTGCTTAACTTAGCTATCTATCACCTATCATACTGGATCATCCATCCCCAGCGTGGGGAAAGATCTCTAATCGGCGTTGTCGTCCACTTCCTCTCGTAAATCTGTAAATAGGGCTCGCATGAGCACATAACTATTACACCATGCAGTTAATGTAACTATCTATCATCCATAAAAACTGCTTTTGGGTTCGTCAACAGAACAGAATTTTCACTTAGCACGGTTGAGGATCCTCTGACCGTCTCCTCAAAGTGTCGGTCTGTTTATCTTGGTAGTGCTTGGCATGGGCCGATTAACGGTTAGATACATGAGTAGAGTACCACACAGCCTTCTTGGCTATTGCCCTCCGCCTCGTTGATTACTCCTTGGCTGACTGAGCCAAACAGTGCGAGTCGTTGATGATTGTTGAGTGGTGGTTGTGCGATCGTCTTGCTCTGGTGCGCCGAATGTTCCTGGCTGGGACGGGCCAGTCTCAGCTCCGAAACGTCAAAAGTCGCCGTGGTGATCTCATGCAATCCCAACCTGCGCGAGCTAAGTAATAGTTACTACTACCTATCAAAAGCGCCCGGCATCCTCAGCGCAACCTTTTTTCTATTGTCATCTCACATTCTCTTTCATCTTTCCCGCCATCGTTCTTCCATCTTCCACATACTCCCGATGGCAATTTTCACCTCGCCAACATCATTTCGCAATGCGAACAACCTCTATGACTTCCCCCAACTTGAGCGTCGGGGCTTCGTCGGCCAGATGGGGAATCTAACGGCTGGCATCATGCAGAGCGGACCAGGGCAGCATTCCAATCATCCCTCTTTTCTGCACCTGGTGCTGCTGGTCTTCGAAGCTGTGCTTGAAGTCGTCTGTGTGAGCTTGCCAGGATACATCGCCGCGCGCCAGGGCATGTTCGACGCGGACGCCCAGAAGCTGGTCGCCAACTTGAATGTCGCACTTTTCACGCCATGTCTGAGTGCGTACCTTACAGTTCCCCCCAAGGAGAGCTTACAAGATCCTCTAACTATTCTGCAGTCTTTATGAAGCTTGGGTCCCAATTGACGGCCGAAAAGCTGACGGATCTCGCTATCATCCCCTTCATCTTCGTCGTCCAGACTCTCGTCTCCTATGGCTGCTCCGCATTTGTATCCCGGTGCTTCCGGTTCCAGAAGCGCCAGTCGAATTTTGTTGCTGCGATGGCGGTACGTGCATACAGCCTTGGGTTCAGACCTTATCAATCACGATCTAACTTGTAATCTGCGCAGGTGTTCGGCAACTCCAACTCCCTCCCGATCTCCCTCGTCATATCGCTCTCGCAGACTCTGAAGGGCCTCCACTGGGATAGGGTCCCAAATGATAACGATGATGAGGTGGCTGCGCGAGGAATCCTATACCTGCTGATTTTCCAGCAGCTGGGCCAGCTGGTGCGGTGGAGTTGGGGTTATCATGTGCTGCTGGCGCCCAAGGAAAGATACCTGGAAGATGCGAGCGACTGCGCCGCCATCGAACATGGCCAGGAAATCTACGCCGATAACCCAGAGCAGACCGATCCCGACGAACCGCTCATCAGAACGAGAGAGGAGGATCTTCCTTCGTTCCACGAGCACACCGCTCACAGCAATAGCACCTTCGAATCTGGTGGCCAGACTCCCGTTAGCGACCGCGTTCCGTCATATTCGAAGCTTTCCGCTCTGGGCGATGCTACGCCAGACGAAGATGAAGACCGGGTTTCTCATCTTGGCCCGCCGCCCAGTGGTCCTTTCCTGCCTCGTCAGAGTTCTACTGGTCTCATCATGTCTTTCCCCAACGTCGAGGTAAGGAGACGGGAAGACCTCCCTGCGTCCGGATTCAAAGGTTTCCTGCAGCGTTGGGGACGGTCCATCCGACAATGGCGCCGTCGCGTTTCGCGCTCTGTGAAGGCGAGGGCGAATGCAGTTTTCGAGCGATTGCCGTCACCCGTACAGAAGGTTCTTTCGATGGTCTCCGCAGGGCTGTATACATTTGTTAAAGGTGTTTGGGACTTCATGAACCCTCCACTCTGGGCAATGTTGGTTGCTATCCTCGTGGCGTCAGTTCCTTCATTGCAACACCTTTTCTTCGACGAGGGCACATTCGTGCAGAACTCTGTGACCCGAGCTATCGACCAGAACGGTCAAGTCGCCGTGCCCTTGATTCTGGTAGTCCTGGGCGCCAACCTGGCGCGCAACACGCTCCCAGAGGAGTCATTGAATGACATGGAGGACCCGAAGGAGGAACGCAAGTTGATCATCGCCTCACTCGTTGCTCGGATGCTTCTTCCTACCATCATCATGGCACCCATCCTCGCATTAGTTGCCAAGTACGTCCAAGTGAGCATTCTGGACGACCCCATCTTCATCATCGTCTGCTTCCTCCTTACGGGAGCCCCGTCGGCTCTGCAACTGGCGCAGATCTGCCAGATCAATAACGTATTCATGGGAGCCATGTCGAGTATCCTCTTCCAGAGCTACGTCGTATGGTAAGTTTTCCTCCGATTCTTCCGAACCTCTTTTGCACCTAACTAATATATCCTGCAGGATCCTTCCTTCCACGCTCGTCCTCGTCGTCTGTGCCCTGGAGGTGCTCGAGTGGTCAGCAGCCTCATAATACAGATTCGTTCTACCCTGGGACCGGTTCCCTTGAGTTTCAGTCATTTTTAGCCTGGAGTTCGGTGTTGCTTTTTGTACTGTCTGTATACATATTACAAGCCGGCCGTAATACAAAATACGGGAAATGCTTACCTTATCCTACTGCTCATACCCTCTATGACCCTGTCCTGAATACATACCTACTTGGTGGCCCTTTTCACCATTCTTGCATGTTTTGCGATTGAACAATAAAACCACGCTAAGGCTTTAGATCCGATATTTTTTTTTATCATTGACTGTCTCCATGAACCCTTTTCCCCATCAACTTAGTCTTTTGAAATCTAGAATGAGAGAGATATATAATTATATCAGAACGGTTCCGCCTTTTCCAGACTAGGAAAAGAAAAAGAAAAGGAAGAACGCATTTACATCCCCGCACACGTTCCCCCTTCCCCCGCAAAACCCAGGCCATTAAAAGAAGTATGCGCCTCCACCCCCTCCCTATCACCCAAAACATCCACCACCATAGCCATCCCGCTAGCCAGATGCCACGCGATATGACAATGGAAAAGCCATGTTCCCGGATTATCAGCACGGAAGCGCAAGACCGCGTATCCACGGGATGGGATCTGGACTGTGTCTCGGAGGATAGAGCGGGTGAGGTTGTATGGAGTGTATTCTGGATTAGAGGAAGAAGGAGGTAGGCCTGGAGGGGAAGTATCTTGGAATGGATTATACGAACCCCATCCGATAGAGGCTTTGTGGATGAAGAGGATGTAGAAGTTATGGCCGTGCTGTTAGTAGTTCCAGGTAAGTATTTTGTGTATACATTGTATACATACACACATTCACGACAATCTAGCCCCTGATAACACACCACAAAAATAAAATAAACATAGACTTACAAGATGAAAAGGATGTGAGCTATCATCCAAATTATTTACTATGAAATCAACCCATTCTGGCTCTGGACCCGTCACGACAGCAAGTTGGTTCCGATCCCATTGTTGTCGAGGTAGAGAGATTAGCGGTGTCGGTGGATCAGCCTGTGGTTTCCATGTGGTGCGGTTGAAGAAGCCGTAAGGGACGTTGGAGAGTCGAGCGAGTTTTTCGACTTTCGTATATACCACGTGCGTTTGTTGTGCTTTGGAGGGAAGGGAGGCGAGGATGGAAGATGCGGATGAGGCGCGTTCTATGTCGATGTGGGAGGAGTCGTTGGGGGTTGACGGCGGTGGTGGTAGTGGTTGTGAGTTGATGTTGGATATGGGGATGGATGCGCTGTTGTAGTAGATGGGGAAGGTGTGCGATGGGGTTAATGCTGGGTTTGGGTATTTGAAGCAGCTGTTTCGATAGGACGGTTAGTTGGATGGATGGATGGAAGCGGTGGTTGTTGTGATAGGGGTGGTTTTGATACCCTTTGTCTAGCTCTACTGTTAAGGAGGATGGAGTATGCTTGTCTGTATGAGAGGATGCTTTCAGAACCAAGTCCATTCGTTGTCCTGGAAAGAGAATGCCGGCAGACGTGGCTGTTTGCTGATATTGGGATTCCACATCTATACCACCGTCTAGTTGGATAAGCTGGAGGTTCTCTTCCTTAAATCGGAGCGTGAAGCCGGCGAGGGAACTATCTCAGGTTAAGTATCAGTGTGCTGCTTGGGGATCAGCTGGGTGAGAACCTACCCTGTGTTGACTACTCGGATTCTATATGTAATACTCGGATCCAGATCCAGATAAGGAAGCGAACGGTTCCCATTGCAATCTACAGGCCGGGCTGGTACCGCCATCGAACAGTTATATCGCCCCAGTCCGTTGACAAGCAAGGAATCAGGAACTGGCTGCAGGGAATTTAGTAGATTTCCCAAAACAGTTTGCAATGGTACGCACTTCGTTTCCAAAGGACCCAGCGCGCATATACCAAGCCAAGACATCTACAGCGGAGCGATGATACCAATCGCCCACAAGAAGCAAAAGCTCCTTGTTATAATGGTACTTTTCACTATCTGGAAAGTCATGACCGGCCAACAGTCCGCGTACCGTGGGTTTCGATACAGGTTTATGCACCACGAGACCGCCATACAGTCCGTCTGATCTTTGAACGTTCGAATGAGAATGGTACCAGAACGTGCCGCTTTGGTCGGCCGGGATGGTGAAGTTGTATGTAAATGAAGAGCCAGGAGCAATGGCACATTGTGTCACGCCAACGACTCCGTCCATGGAGTTTGGTCCTAGTGGGCAACTTGGTCAGTCCGAGTTGACTTCGATCAATATTAATATCCTGCTCGACAGGAGAAAGCCCACCTCTCAGACCATGCCAATGGATAGCGAGAGATTCGTCCTGCAGATCATTATGGACTGTGATGACTAGGGTATCTCCAGAGCGTGCCTCGATAGTCGGGCCTGGAAATTCATCTGTAGTATGATATTAACACAGACCATCTAGATAAACGAGCATTTGAATGGAGAACGAACCGTTTATTAGGAATACGCGTTTCTTGACCCCATCGGGACGGCGATAGCTGGAGCTTATATGCCAATTTAATGACTGCACTGTTGCCTCGCGAAGTATGTGGTTTTCAGGATGGAGCTGTAGTGCTGATGAAATGGATGCATGTGGAACCTGATGCTTCTTATCGTCTGGGAATGCCAGAGGTGGCCGAAACGGTCCATTCCCGCCGCTTCCGATATAGACAAAGAGTATAATAGAACACACGGCCAAAGAGGAATATAGCGTTGGCCATAAATTATTCGATTTCGAACCGCGTACTCTGGCTTGTTCTCGTGCCTTGGCAACAGGCTTGTGCTGCGGCCTGTCCATGTCCACTGCAGGAGCGTTTCTTCTGCGACTGGATTTGCGCTCCATCCTTTGTCTGAGCACTTGACTAACTGCTCGTTCTACCACATCTACCATCTTTTTCTGGTCGACCGATGCAACGTTCCCAATTCAGGTCCCCAATTCTAGAACCATGCGAGATGCTTTCGGGGAGAGACCCGAAAGCCTTCCCAACGAGCTTATGGGGATATTACTTTAACGAGCCGAGACTCGCATCGGAAGTTTTCATCCAATAAGTTATCTAACAGATGAATCAGATTTTTTATATCTTTTGTTTCGCTTCAAGCCGCCGCGCATAATCGAATCGGCTGTGCGCATTCATCCACATGGGCCGCAGAAGCTTGTCCCCCTATCAAGCATCGTCGTTGCTAACGCCTGTCGCATACTTAAGTACTTATTGGCCCAAGCCACAATCCTCTTGCCCAACACCGCTATCGCCCTCCGCCACGTGCGAGTAGCTTCCAACACATTGTTCTCTCCAAAGCTCCGAGCCTTGTCAGGAAATGGCAGGTGCTGGTTTTGATGACACTTACGCCGGCTGAATGAAGCAATACTACAGCGGCCGGCACCGTGAAATAGAAACGTTATAAAGTATGGTCAACAGACCTCCCCGTTGGCTGCAAGCAGACAGCCAAAGAAAACCACGAGCAACTGTTGCCATCATAGTCAGCATGGCGATTGTGGCTGGCGTCCTCCTGGGACTTCTCCTTCAGAGCAATGTGGTCTCCGCTGGTTCATTGAAAGATATTGAACATGTGGTGATCTTCATGCAGGAGAACCGGTCATGGAATACCGTGTGTATCATTTGACCTGGCTTGATAGCAACATCCCAGTGCTGACAAAAGTAGTACTTTGGCACCATGGCCGGAATTAGAGGGTTCAATGACCCCAACGTCCAGGTCAATGCTGATGGGAAACCAGTCTGGTACCAGTTAGTATAGCTAATGTATCCGTAGCGTGAGACCAAATTCTGATTTTCGTCACAGACAAGTCGACCCAGATATGTCGAACGAGACAGACTATTTGCTGCCGTGGTATCTCGGCTATCAAGGTGGTGACTCCCTTGACGCAATCCAGTGCCTGACAGCCGGATCGAACGGTTATGAGGAGAACCATGCAGCACTGAACAATGACTTAAACAACTACTGGGCCAGAAATAATACCCCGTGGAGCTGGGGTTATCTGAAAAGACAGGATATTCCCGTTCATTTTGCTATTGCAGAAGGATGGACAAGCGGAGATATGTATCAGGTACGATAAAAATGCAGTAGCAACCAGTGTGCAGATACTAACAATGGCTTTTAGGAGGGCCAAATCACTGCCACCAACCCCAACCGTGTTACGCTCGTAAGCGGCTCTGTGAATGTGCCTGGTGGCCATCAGAATCGCTCTCAAGGAGGACCCTACATTGACAACAACGAAACTCCAGGTTAGAATAGGCTCTAGCATTACTAAACAGCTGATTTGCTGACTTCTGCCCGTTCAGGCTGTGAGCAGGGCGATTTTAGCTGCTACCCGCTCAGTTGGAAGACCATCTTCGAATTTTACGAGGACGCTGGAGTCTCGTGGCAGGTGTATCAAGACACCGATAACTTTGACGACAACCCTCTTGCATGGTTTTCACAATATCAAACCGCCCCGCCAGACACTCCTTTGGCCAAGAAAGGAATGTCGTACGTCGGCCTTGATTCATTCTACGAGGCCGCTGCAAATGGAACTCTCCCTGAAGTTAGCTTCATTGTCGGTCCAGCAGAGCTGTCTGAGCACCCGCCTTACATGCCCAAAGACGGTGCTTGGTTGCAGCAGCAGGTTGTCAATGCCGTTACCAACAGTCCCAAATATGCGTCTACCGTGCTAATTATCAGTTATGATGGTATGGTTTATTTCCGGCCTGCATATAATTCCACATTGGCTGACGGTAATCAGAATCCGGTGGTTTTGGAGACCACGTTACCCCATTCCACTCTCCAAAGGATACCGCAGGGGATTGAATGGAGGATCCATATGGTCTCTTTGGAGATGTGTACGTTGGCCCAGGTTAGTTTTCTGTGCAAGAAAATAGTTGATACCCATCTCTGCTGACACATATCTTGTTAGGTGTCCGCCTGCCTTTCTACATCGTCTCCCCTTTCACACGTGATAACCGCGTTTTTACTGAGAGAGCAGACCATAACTCCCAGATCATGTTTATTGAGGAGTGGCTTATTGCTAGAGGTTACAATGGCGTTGAGACAGACCAGATGGTAACATGGCGTCGTGAGCACATGTCCAACCTGGTCAACGCACTTGATCTCGATCACGTAAGTTCAGCTTTTGCCCATGATTTTGAAACTCGCGCAATTGACACTATACTGTAGCCTGATTTGTCTCTTCCTGACATCCCTCTCGCACCGGAACCTCATACAGATTCATCTGGAAACTATGATGGCACGTCACTCTGTGAATCTACGTACTCTGATCCGAGGCCGCCTGTGCCGTATGGCTCACAGAACGTCTCTGAAGCCCTCTTCTTCGAGGACGGTTACAAGGAAGTCGTTGGATATCTCACCGAGGGCCGCTATCTCGTATTCGAGATTGCCGGCAAGGCGTTGACGAATCCATCGAACGGTAACAAAGTAAGCGCCAGCTCAGCCACCAGTGATCACGCGAGCAAGTCCCAGCGCTGGGTGATTCACTACTCCAACGGTGAGGAGAGCGGCCTCTTCAAAATTTCCAGCGCTCTGGATGGAAGATGGCTTGGCAGCAATGGCATTCTTTACCCTGCAAGCCAGAGTGCGCAGGCTTCCGACATCAAAATCACCTTTTTGGGCAACGGAAAGGGTTACACTCTGGAATACGCCGGCTCTAAGAACGAGGCTATCAACATCAGCAGCTCAGGTGCTCTTACTGTCACACCCAGTGCTGCAGGCAAGGAATCTGGTTTCAAGATTTTCAGCGTCACTTACCATGACTAGCCGTTTAACCCGCAGTTTTCCAGCCTTCAATAGATAGGGCCGATTATACGAGTCTTATAATGTGTACAAGAATCATAATGAGACATGTACGTCTCTGTAGCACATGAAGCAGGTGACTGAGCGACAACATCGTCTTTTGATGCGACCTATTTCTACTACCATCTACGATCATGTCTATCATTTGCTCTTCTAATCATGTTACATCGGCAAAGACACCATGAGAGCACATCATCCATAAAACCGCCGAGAAACATTTGGGTAAGCAAAATTGAGGCCTACAGGCGTCAGTAGCCATTCCCATAATCCACATTTAAAATGCCGCCTCATCAGTCGCGAGGATGTCTTAAGGTTTACTAGATCCTGTCAGCACGCCTCGCCTAGTTATATATCCCTGCAAGCATATCACGTAGGGCTGAACTGCGCCCTTGACAACGCGGGAAAAGGCTCTCTACACCGCTGTCGATCTCCCGGATTAGGCCAGTCATCGAATACTCATTGTCAGGACAAGGCAAGCTCCTCATCACAAGGCTGATGGTAGACCTTATTTCTTATGACGAAATTCAGCTCACAGGTCTTGACAAGCAAGAATTTATGAGTGCGATTGGTTATTTTATTCGTATCCTCGTGATCGTTTCCTTGTAAGAAACGGCCATATTTACTAATTATGGATACGGGATGTTCAGCTCGAGTTGAGAGCTACATCACCCTCAGACGCCCTACCCGTGGTCTGATTAGAATAGCTCGAGCGATGGTATATTAACTGTGGAAGCACGTCCAGTGTTTCTTCTGTAAGGAGTTTCCTCGCTCTGAAGATTTCGACTCGTTGCTGTTTGACTTTCTGATCTTTGCCGGAAACCCCTTTTTGCTTTACACATTATCTAAAATGACTGCAGAAGAGGTACTAAGATAACCCATAGACTAGGAAACACGATTGGCTGACTGATCTGTAGCAGTGCCCCGTCGAGCATCCAGCTCCTGAGGTCAAACTCAAAGGTACGATGGTGTTGCTAAGTCATGAAAAGGCGGTTATTAACGATGATCAGGATGTCCTTTCATGACCGGCCAGCTGCTCCCACCTGGGATTAGCTCTCCGCCGGGGGCGCAGCCTCCTCCGGGAGAGGAATACTATACCTTGGCCAATGGTAAGTACATATATGAAGCTGCATCCTTATAACCATGAAAAATGTCGTTTATGAGTAGTGTAGGATGTCCCATCAGGGCACCGCAGGCGTCTGAAAGGATTGGTCATCAGCTTCGCGGGCCACTCCTTCTCCAGGATATCAATCTAGTCGACATCATCTCTCATGTTACTCGCGAGCGTATCCCTGAGAGGCGAGTATCATTCCCATTGGAATACAATATGCAGTGAACACTGACCGGACTTAGACTCGTCCACGCCAAGGGTGCAGGTGCTTTCGGAGAGTTTGAAGTTACGCATGATATCTCCGAAATCACCAGCGCTGCATTTCTCAACCAGGTTGGCAAGAAGACTCCTCTCTTTGCGCGCTTTTCCACAGTCGCTGGGGAAAGAGGTTTTGCAGACAGTGTCCGTGATACTCGTGGATTTGCTTTCAAGCTGTATACTGAAGAAGGGAATCTGGATTGGGTGTTCTTCAGCACTGTAAGTCATAACCTCCCAATCACGTTTCTAAATACTGATGATGATAATTCTTTAGCCCGTTTTTCCCATCAGGGATCCGGCGAAGTTTCCTTCCTTCGTCCATGCACAGAAGCGAGACCCAGCTAGTAACCTGAAGGATCCTACACTGGTAAGTAAATATTAACGAGTTACACTGTAGTGTCCACAGGCTAATGATCTTTCTCATTATAGTTCTGGGAGTAGGTAACCTCTTCCATGAATCGGTCAATCCCTAACGCAGTGCTAATATCTTAAAGCTACTTCAACAACAACGCGGAGGCATACAATGCCCTTATGTACATATTCAGTGACCTCGGCACCCCGGTGTCCTATCGATACGCTGATATCTACAGTATAAATACTTACAAGTTCACCAAGCCGGTGAGTTTCCATTCTACATCCTCTCTTCGCACGACTAATATGATACTGACCTCAAAAGGACGGATCATTCAAATACGTCCGACTCACCCTCAAGACCGACCAAGGCGTCAAGACCCTGACTCAGGACGAGGCAACAACCATCACCGGAAAGGATCCCGACTACAATACTCGCGATCTATATTCTGCCATCGAAAAGGGCAACTTCCCAACTTGGACTGTATATGCACAGATCATCGATCCCGCTGAAGCAGAGAACTATCCTGTCAATATCTTTGATGCGACAATGACGATTCCCACAGAGGACTTCCCCTTGATTCCTTTTGGAAAGATCACTCTGAACCGCAACCCGATCAACTACTTCACGGAAGTCGAACAGGCTGCCTTTGCGCCTGCGAATGTCGTTCCGGGATGGGACATTAGTCTTGATCCGAGTATGTTCCTTTCTTTCTCCAGTTCCATCCATTGAATCATTTATCTAGTGCATCTCACAGCTAACACTACACCCCTCCAGTCCTTCAAATCCGCCTATTCGCCTACGGCGACACGCAGCGCTACCGTCTAGGAGTCAATTTCCCCCAACTACCCACCAACCGATCCTTCTACGTCTACAACCCGACCAAACGGGACGGCGCCTCGAACATCATGAACTACGGTTCCATCCCGAACTACATCCCCAGCACAGAGGCGCCTCCGATCGTCCAGGCAGAGCAATATGAACAGCCGGCCTTCCACGAGGAATTCGTAGGCAGAGCGACCAAGTTCGAAAGCCATGTTACCGATAACGACTTTGTGCAGCCACGAGCATTCTGGCATTCTCTGGCTCATGAAGAAGGACAGCAGGAGCATTTCGTCTATAACGTCGCTGTCCAGTTGTATGGCGCTATTAGAGAAGTACGATTTACGACGTATGGTGAGTTGTGATCTTTTCTTATTTATAACTCGTAATTATCTAGTTTATATTTGTTTCCACCTCCCGGAAATAAATATATCGGAAACCTAACGCTAACGGAATTCCAATTTTCCAGCTATATTCCACAAAATCGACGCACGGCTCGGCGAGTGGATAGAGAACGAAACCGAAGAAATGGTTAAGGCCAATGCCAGTATGGAAGAGATCCCGGGTGTAGTTGTCGGTGGAGCGGATCACAATCCAGTTCCTCCTACGGTGCCGGCGCCGCATACGAATGTCGAGAGGGACAATATCTTTGAGAAGATTGCAAAGAAGTTTGAGAAGGCTGTTTGAAGGAATGTGCGTGTGAAGAGGGTAAATTGGTCATGTGTCTCCAGGAGGATGGTTGTATGATTGGTATAAGTTGGGCAGATTGTAACAAATCACTTTGGTATGGTTTTTGGTGTTGGGTTGATAAGTTCCAAGTATGTAATTAGGCAGATTGAAAGTTTGAACAGGATTTTGCGGTAGCTTATTCCAAGACTTTGGCCGCAACAATGTATACTTAACTATACTGAATAGCGGTTTGAATTAAGCTAGTATGTACGTACTGCAATCCATCCAACTGGGCGAACATCATCATACGATAGACTACATTATTCTCTCCCGCTTCGAATCGGCTAAGCTGAAAAACTGAATTCCGTGGACCAAGCCTGAAATACATACATACATACATATATACATAGCTTGTTCTCGACCAGCATGAAGCACTCGAGTCAGTTGTGATCGGCTGATCAATTGTTTATTTAGTTCTTAGAGCTTTCTCTATCGTAATAAAAGCCCTGAAATTTAGCTATAGTTTATTTATTTAGTCTAGAAATATATTAAAATACGTACTGCGTAATGCAAAAAAAAAAAAAAAAAAAAAAAAAAAAAAACTTAAAGAATATTTAAATATTAAGCTAATATTGCAAGAAGCTAGAATTTATGATTATACCAGTATACACACAGATTATAATCTTCTCAACGATTTGAAGCATCTTGTTAAGCCTAAAGCTAGGGCCTGGTATATCTGTGTAGTCTAGTACTAACGCGGATAATACTATATATAACTAGATATATCTTGCGTGAAAGTCGCGAGCACAGAAGAATGTAATGTACAATATTGTTGGTTCAATTATCTCTCAATCCTGGCATTGATTATGTCGTTCTGCAGTCTGACATGACAGCTACGGATCCAATATATCGAACTGCAAGGATGACAGTCAAGAAACCTGAAGTTTGAAGGCCAGAGTCAAATAACGTCCAAGTCTTTGTTTTGTGCTCTGGACAGATGTCCCATCTTCCTCCGATATTCCCGTACTTGGTTGAGACGTGCTCGAATACGTGTGAGATGTTTCGGGATTCAAACCAGGATATTTTTTTTCCCACTTTGGCGCCTGGCGTTAGTCGGCTGCTCTCAACCCTAATATCTGGAAGACGGAGGCTGTGCTCATTAGGCAAAAAACAAGTATTGCTGGTCTAGCGATCGAATGGCCAGGCTTCTTCCCACGCAAGTCTTTCCGTTTCAGAATGTGCTAGCTGGTCAATCAGCTCCGTCTTTGCTTGCTTGAGACGCTTTTTAACTTCGTCGTATTGCTCTGGCCGTACAACACCTTTGTCAGGCCACATCTGGCCCAGCGATTGCCTTAGGCTTCGCATTAATTCCATACCTCTTATTGCGCCAGAAGCATCCTCATTAATCGAAGCAGCCTCATCCGCAGAAAACACCAATGGAAACGGCGGGTTGCCAGAGGCTTGCACACCCGGAAGGGCTGTCCACTCCTTTTCAAGATCAAGGCATCTAGATTGATATAATGCCTCCCCGTCTATAAGGAGATTTTGAGCAAGAAGTAGCATCTCAAAGCTGGCAGTCTGTCGAAATTCCATGGCTTTGAATAATGGCATGTTATGGCTATAAGTGAACCTGCGATACAATGCCGAGAGTGACATTTTCAGGTATAAATCCTGGGCTTCAGCTTTCTTTGCAGGATCGAGTTTGTCGAAATCCACCGGGAAGGCTGGTGGATCAATACCTGTCGATTGAGGACCATCGTAATCAAGAAAGTATGGCAGGCGGGCATGGTCAAAGAGCGGCAACAGTTCAGTTGACTGCCAATCTATGATGCCTAACACCTCCGCTGGCCTTTCAGGGTGCACAAAGATGTTCTCCGCGTGGAGGTCAGGGTGCCATAGAAAGGCAGACGTGATTAATGGGTCTGTTGGTATAAGGTATTTCACGAGACGAAGATAATTCTGGAGAGCCGCTATCTTTTTAGAACGAGAAGGGCAATACGTGCCAGGCCCGTATAGCGATAACGGTGATCGAGGTAATCGTGCCATATTCTGCACACATGCAATCTCTCGAAGGCCGATCGCTGACTTGTACTGCTCTACACTCTTCCCTAGAATAATCGTGTAAGCAGATATCTTCCAAAATCGCAAAATTACGAAGTCATACAAGGACCTCTATCAAAATCCAATGCTATCCGACCATCATCGAGAGATTCGCGGCCTGTTGACGGGCCAACAGCAAAGCGATGATGCTCAGTCACCAGGTCACATCGATCGGAATATTCCATGTCAGACGAGTAATAGAGACTTCCATATTGGGTGAAAGGTGTCGACATCCAGTTTTTTTGATATCCGGAAATTGTTTTCACGAGTTCAAATCTTTCCTTGATACCCATTGTGGGCCAAACTTTACTGAGCTGGATACCGGCGACCTTCTCCATTATAATATATTCGGCGCCAACCGAGTTGTCTTCTGCTTTAGAGCTCCAAGCTAACACTTTCGGCACCGGGGTGCGTAACTCATTCCGAGCCTATGAGTGAAGCATCAGATAAAGTTAGAGTAGTGAGGGTCAACACCAAGTTGAGGATTTCTGCTTACAAAATCCATTGTTGCCACTTCACTGGCAGTCGTGTAGTGAGCTCGCCCCGCGTTCGGGTTTGGCACTTTACCTACAACTTGCGTACCATCGTGCATTGTGAAGAGGAAGGTCTTGTTGAACATCCCGTCAGGGAACTTCTCAACCCGAGCGCATTGTGCAGACGTCAAGCCGACTGATTCAGCAGCGCGCTTCACTAGCTCGTTCATATTGAATCTGACATAACGTATTGACATTTCCTGAGACTCATTGAATAGAAATTGGCCTCTTGTATAGTGAAACCAGTCATCATTTGCGTTCCAATCCGTGTGGGATGACCGGTTGAGAGCGGTTGCCAATTGACAGGAAGGAGAGGATGACATCCAATTTTGCTTCTTAAATAGAGAGAAGGCGCTGCGCATGGTATTAGGTATCATTAAAGTAGGGGAAAAAAGGAGTAGAGCTGAAAGGTGCAAAGTTGCTCGCCCCTATGAAGGAAGGTCTTGCAGTGGTGCAATTAATTTACGAGCTTCCTTATGAGATTGTGGAATACCTATAAAGATACTAAGGATGACCTTCATGGAACGAGACTAGCAGATTCAGTATCAATAAAAAGAATGATGGAAGGTCGCAAAAGAGGAGAAATCAAACTTCTTTCATCAAGGCAGTTGAGCCTCTAGCATGGATAACTGTATTCGTCGGGCTTAGGGATGGTATTTGAAATTTAAAATGCCATGGACCTCATGAATTTTTGTGTCAGTATTTCGCAAAGAAAGGTGTCTGACATTTTGAAATACACTAACCAACAAGAAAATTATTCTATTGGTTAGATGCATAGCTTAATTATGCTATTTAATACTAGGTGACCCAGTGATGGTCTGTGCGTTTTGAATTTCAAAAAGATAAAAAATGTTGAAATTTCGGTATCTATTGCATAGATTACTTACCCCTCCCTTCCAGTATTTCACCATTCCGACTCGGGCTTCCTCCCAAGGCCCCATTTCTCCGTAGGAACAATCACGCTGAAGCTACAGCAGCTTGCACTTGCACGGGCAACACGGAGTTGGTCATTGGATAGTCATTGTTTTGATCTACGGGTTTGTAGTCATATTCTCCATCATCTGGGCAGTTTGCATCAAAGTCTAGGTACATCTCCGAAATCCAGCCGCAGAGGACGCGAGCCGCGGTAGTCTGGCATATGGGAGTAGCTGGGTTGCCAATTTCATCGTAGCTCTGACGACCCCTATTCTCTTGTCGAAAAGCAGCTTTGCGCCATGGGTTCTCTTTGGAGGCTGCATGCTTCTCACGGCAATCGTCTGCATCCTCTTCATGCACGAGACTAAAGGGAAGTCTCTGGACGAGATCGAAGAGGCGTTCCGGACGAGGACTTCCAGTTCTCGCGGGCTTGCCAAAACTGCTCAGAGGCTCGTAGAACTAGGGCGGACCTCAGCAGATGAGTTTTGATGAACTAAATCCTCACGAGTTAGAGATGTGTGCAAAAAAAGGCCCTCAGCGAAGAGCTTCTGAAAGGCACATAATTGAGCAGTCCCAATAGATTGTCTTCGTCGTCGTTCGTCGATCGAAGTCTATTGACCGTAAATAAATTGAACCAGTTTACTGGGTACACCATGCTCTTCGACGTGTTACCATTATAGCTAGAATGCCTAGCAATATGTCATAAGCTGTTCCGTAGAAAGACGCAACAGTGTTCCACCATGCCTTGGATAATTATCTTCTTCATGCTCTCTGGAACATCCTGAAAGGTCCCCAGACCTCGTGTCGAGACTAAAAAGTTTTAGAGCCGTTTGCTAAACGCGAATTGGTACCTGATGTCCAATAGCACGCAGCCCTGAGTGGACACAAACATGCTTATCAGCTTCCCTGGCACGCGCGGGCCAATAAAGCAGTTTTTGCAGCCAGAGTCGCCACTATCTTCTTTGTTCTATTTGATCGGACGTCCCGGGACGCTGGACTGTGATAGAGCTATATGCCCGCTATGATAGTGTCATTCTTCAGGTTGGATATAACAATCGAGCAAACGAAGGCGAGAGGAGAATAGCGGTGAAGACATCCAGTAGCGAAGCAAAGAAAGTATTACTTACAGTAGTCATTTGATGCAGTATCGCCACACACAGATCGCGAAGACGGGGAAGGATCTTAGCGGCGGCAGGGGGCGGTTATCGCACTCTAAACCGATTAAAGAGGAGTTTTATCTGCTGGAGAACTTAGCAGAAAAATAATAATAATACCCCATACTCTCCCCTCTTTGCGTCTCCTATGAGTCCTATCAGTCGCATCGTTAGCGGGGATTCCGTCGAAGCTTGACTTTTTTACGAACAGCGGAAAGTTGTCGCCCAGCACAGAACCCCACTTGCTCCCGTCAAACTATCGCGATTCAATTCCCACTGCTGAAGCGGACACCCCGGCTTTTCAGCGTCATCGGCCTCGTCGACAAAACAGGCATTGTTGTGCGCTTCCACAGCGCGTTAGGACATACCATACACGCAAAGACATACAGTCAACATCTCCGGTGTTCTCCCCGCGACCAGACGACCGCTGAAGTGGGCAGATGCCTGGTTCGGTCGACGAGAGAAGCCCCCATGCGGGCAGCAGAGTAGGTAAGTGCTAGAGTCTATGCTTGCAGTCAACTTGGTCATATGTATGCAATCGATCTATATCTTGAGGATGGTCGATCGGGCATCCATCTGTCGGGGGCCTTTCCAATAGGGCTGGAGAATAAACGCTCTTTTTCTTTTCCTTTTTCTTAAAAATTTTTTTCTCTTCTGACAGGAATATTTTCTACGATATCCCCTTTCGTTATTGAAATATTTTCAAACTGGATTCTTGACTTCTCTTGCATAATTGTTATTCTTATTCTGTGATATTGGCCAAATTCCTTTTACTTGGGTCATCGATGCACATCGTCTATGACATATACACCTTTGGGGCTGCGGCATCATCATGAACATGTCTAACTTGCGTCGCAGAACCTCTGCCTGCAGCCGGAGTTTCTAACGACAGCTTGGCCCAGAGTCAGCATTCGACGAATGGATCCACGCCTGTTCTCACTGCAGAAGGTTGGGGTCCAAAGCAGCATCGGGCCAGCGTGGGAAAGAAGACGACAGCACGGCCTCCTATGCACCACTCTTCATCGTCTTTTTCGCAGTTTTCCTCTGCTATCCTCGATGAAGAGCAACTGGGGAAGCTAGCGACTGACGAGGATCCCCAGAACTTCCTTTTTGCCCAAGTGTTTGACTGGCTGCAACAAGAGCAGTCCAAACGCAAGGCCCGCAAGGCGAAGAGCGCTTCGGCGCCCGCACCGGACCAGGGTCCAGCAGCCGATATAGATAAACCTGCTCAGCGTGGCAGAAGTGACTCTCAGGGTTCTGAGGGCGCCTTTTCGCTGGGGAAGCTCGAAGAGATTCTGTTTCAGTATGCTTCTACGCGGCGAGAGGGGCTTCCGCTGGCAAGCGTCGCACGAAAGAGATCGCGTCGACGTCTCAAAGGGCTGCGACGAGGATCCATTTCTGAGTCTGATAATGCGGATGTCGATTCTGTTGTTCCAAGTGTTGATGCAACGTTGGATAATTCCAAGACACTTGCTTATAGCGGCGGTGCTGGAGAAGACGAAGCTGATGAGACGAGCTCCAACAGTAGACGGGGGAAAGAGCATTGGCTAACTTTCAAATCGGAAATCCTCCGTATTGTCCACACTCTTCGTATTAAGGGATGGCGGAGAGTGCCCTTGGAGAAGAGTGCAGAAATTGAAGTGACTCGTCTCAGTGGTGCACTCACCAATGCAGTCTATGTCGTTGCACCTCCTAAGGGATTTTCCTCGAAGAGCGCGGGTGCCTCCCCCGTCCTTGTGCCCAGGAGACCCCCACCGTAAGTTTAGGTCTTCATTTCATCGCGTGAAGCATATTAACCTTCGCTCTCAGGAAACTTCTTCTCCGTATATACGGACCCCAAGTGGAACATCTGATTGACAGAGAAAACGAGCTGCAGATCCTTCGTCGGCTTGGAAAGAAGCATATCGGGCCTCGCGTCCTGGGCACCTTCAACAATGGCCGATTTGAGGAATTCTTCCATGCTCGTACACTGACGCCTGTGGATCTGCGCATCCCCGAGACTTCTAAGCAAATCGCAAAGCGAATGCGAGAGCTGCATGAGGGAATTGAACTGCTCGAAGAAGAACGGGAAGGCGGTCCCTCTGTTTTCAACAACTGGGATAAATGGGTCGACCGCTGTGAGCAGGTGATTTCCTGGCTAGACAAGGAAATTCTGTCCCCAGAGAATGAACGGAAAGCGCAGTATGAACCGTGGCGGCGGAGGGGCTTCGTCTGTTGGGTCCCATGGCCTGTATTCAGGAAAGCAGTCGAGAACTACCGCGAATGGCTGGTCGCAAGCTGTGGAGGATCGCAGGGGGTTGCGCAGCAGCTCGTCTTTGCACACAACGATGTAAGCAATATGCGTCTGTTCCTCTATATGCCTCTAGCTAACATAGCTCAGGCTCAATACGGAAACCTCCTCAGGCTTGAGCCCAGTGGAGAGTCCCCTCTCATGCTTCCAGCCAACGAACACAAACAACTTGTGGTCATTGATTTCGAATATGCATCGGCAAACACTCCCGCTCAGGAGTTTGCTAATCACTTTGTGAGTCTTCCCCCATCCTGTATTGTCTATGGATCATCCTAACCACCCTTCAAAGACGGAATGGTGCTATAATTACCACGACCCAGAGAAGCCCTGGGCTTGCAACACACGAGCATATCCAACGCCAGAAGAGCAGCACCGCTTCATCCGCGCCTACGTCGACCACCGTCCTCAAGTGAGCGAACGCTCAGCCACCTCGCCATATGCCACACCCTACTTGAATCCCATGTCCGTCACTACCCCGCGCTTGGCGCCCTTCTCACTTGACAACGACGTACTCTCATCCAGCCCTGGCGCCCGCGCTCTTGGCCTAACTGAAGCCGAACGTCTCGACCAAGAATCCATGGAGATCGAAGTCCAGAACCTCATGCGCGACACAAGACTCTGGCGTGTCGCTAACTCCGCCATGTGGGTAGCGTGGGGTATCGTCCAGGCAAAAGTCCCCGGAATGGAAGAAGCCCTCGCCGCAGTATCGACACCACAAGACCAAAACGGCAACGGAGCCGACAACAATGCGGCTGCATCAATCGCTGAAGCACAAAAGCCCGGTAATCCGCCTGTTGACCCCGAAATTGACGAGTCGGATGCATTTGACTACCTCGCCTACTCTCAAGACCGCGCACTCTTCTTCTGGGCAGATGTTCTGGCTTTGGGCGTCGTTAAGGAAGAAGAATTGCCCGTGGAGCTGGTCGAGCGTGCAAAGTCTCTTATGATCCATTATTAGAAATGAGATATGTCTACAGGATCATGCATATTTGCTGGTCAGGATAGCTTTTACGTTGTGTATATATCCGTTGTATGTATGTACATAGACTTCGAAGATATTTCTTTTGTATATACATTTTGCAACGAGATACTTGGTCCTCATAGTATCCCAGTTGAAGTAGGAACTGTAGCCGTTCAGGAAGCGGGTCAGAATAGTTCTAATTAAGCGAACTAGAGAAGTGAGGAAGAGGAGCTCATCCTATTTATTCCTGTTATTTTTTTTTTTTAGGTCACATCAACATATGTCTTATCGTACCGTCCTACATTCCCACATTGTTAATTCCCCAGTTATTCATTACTGCATCATATGATTAAAGAAATAGGACGAAGATTCTGAAGAAAGATCCCGTCATTATCCTTCCGTCGTTCGTCTTCATCGGCAAGAAGCATCATCTAGGGGGAAATTGATGCCGTGGCTTTGCTCCCCCCTGATTCACATCATTCCAACCCACCACCGCCTCTTCTCTGCTCCGCTCTCCGCTTCGTCTGATTCTTCGCACTCTTGATCCACTCCTCGTAAGCCTCCGGACCCTGATTCTCCTTCATCTCCACAACACCCTTGAGAACCTCGCCAATGAAACCGACAAAGTTCCATCGTCGCAGAGTGTTCTCCCACGACCAGGCACGTCTCTTTCTCGCTTCGCGCTCTAATGTCTCTACGTCACCGATCTCTCGGGCCCGCACTCGCGGATCCTGCGTCACCGCCATGAGGTTGAATCGGATCTCGTCGCCAGGATAGCGCGCAATGCGTCGCTGTAGGACTTCGATCACTTTCTCGGGGAAAGCATCCAAGTCACATGGTCCATGGCTGATGGGGTATGGTTGTAGGCCGTCCAGCTCGTACAGCTTGCCGTTGACGGGCGTATAGGCGATGAAGTGGTACACGTCGCCTTCTTCATCTGCGGCAGTGCGAACCGTCTCATCGACGAATGGAGATGCGCGCGCAAAGGCATTGTGTGAGCTGCGGATAGCTTCGGAGTTGGAAAGCGCCTCTCCACGGAGGTCTGGTGGGAATCCTGTTGTGAAGTCCTTGAAGGAGCGGAGTTCTGGTCCGATCTCGATGGGGGCGGGGGTGTTGGATGGATCATCTTGGTTGAGGATCACGGATAGGATAGCCTGCGTGCCGCAGGCATTTTGGATCGTTTGCGCTGCGAAGAAGAGCCCGTCTTCTGTGGCGGACTGGTCGTATGTGCCGTCTTGCGGAGTGGTGGAATCGCGGCTCTGGCCGCCGATCCATTTGAACAGGAAGATGACGCCGTACACTGGCCTAGGTAGAATACGTAGCGAAATCAATAGCTGTTCGATCCGTGCACAACAAGCCCTTCAGACTTCAGGTGGTTCCCGTAATGGAGCCTAACTATGCTGCACTTACCCTAATGACCGTATCGTGTCCGCATCCAAGGAAATAAGCTCTTCGAATTGTACACCCTTGACTCCAAGATTCTCAATCAGAGATGTGAAAACACCCTTAGATTCTATTAGCGCAGCTCATACACACCACCGCGACCATGCTCAGAGCTCAAAGGAAGCTTAGTCCAGCAAGCGCCCATACCTCGTCCGACTCGATAGTGCTCCAGCCTCCGCCGTCCGCCATTGCTGTCCGACGTAGCTGCAGAGATTTCGTGCAATATGATAAATGGAGTAGTCGCAACTAGGAATGTATGAGATAAACGATGCAAGCAAAGAAGTACAGTGTCACAGTATTATTGAGCGCAGCCGGGTGCTTTGTCTGTGATGAGATTCCCTAGACGGGCAGTTCGACGATGTCACCGCCTGGAGCTAGGCCGTATCTGGCTCTGTTTGTATACTGTGCTTAGTCAGCCGCTGACCACTTCTACTTCACGTGACCATAGACGATCATTCCCGACGTCAACAGACTCTTGCTTCTACTACTACTAGTTAGTTACCTAGTAGTAGTAGGTACAGTTATGTACTCCGTACTACTCCTGTAGATTGTCGTGGTACACTTTACCGTAGCTCAGCAGTACCTGAATAAGAATGCTATCCTTCTCATTCTCTCTGGAATTGCTGTTCAGCACTAAAGATACCTTTGATGATACACCTTTGATGACGATAATATTGGCTTATCTAAACCCCAGAACAAGTCTCCCTTAACTAAGTAGTCCCTAGAACTAGTATCCCGAAAAAGGCAACTTTCTTGACACGGAGAGTATAGCCAGTACTCCAATACCGCAAAGCTTTTCTAATCTGAGGGGAACCATTCCCGCCCCCAACTTGGACAGCCAACTTTACTCCTCCCCCTCGAATTTAGGGTCAGTATCGGAAGGAATATTCTTTTCTCGAATTTCCATATCCCTGGCCTTGGCGGTTTTGCGCTTTGTTTCTTCCTCGTCAAAACTTACGATTTGACGAGTATTTCCGATTCTATCACATGCCATATGTTGCGTAAACAATGTCATAGATCGTTTGCAATCTGCCTGTTCATCGAAATCATACAGCTTAGACTTTTTGATAACAAGCTGGCTGTCTGTTACGTGAGCCTGCAAGATCCTTCCTTGGAGAGAGTCCATAAACGAGACCACCATTACCTGAAGCGATCGCGTGAAGAAGAGAAACGTCAGCTTTAATGTGTATGTCTTAAGGAGAAGCGTTCCAGATATGCTTACAGGAGGGATGCAATGCTCTTCAAGATGTTCGTGCTCCAGTTGTGTCATCATAACAGCAACAATTGTCAAGATCTCTGCTCGTGATATCTTTTCATCGGCAGTGTAATTGTGGTTAATCGTCACCATGGTGTGCGGCTCGTTAACACGAACACTCCAAGGCACTGCGCAATATCCATTTGCGATTTTGAATATTCTTCCAAATCTGCCCTTTTTCCGAAGCAACCCGGCGCTATCAATCGCATCGTAGAGGTCTTCGCGGAGTATCTCAGGACAAAGTCCGCTAACGACACAGTTAACCATCAGATATTCTTCTTTCTCTTAATAGGCATAGTAAGCGACACCCACATATTCTTCCAGTTCACTGCTCGGTGGAGGTATGTCTTCCTGTTGCCTTCGGGAAAGATTCGTCGACCCCCTCCGACTAACCAAGTCAGCTCACCTAAGAGGCTTCCAGCTGTGGACGGCTTGCTCCCGTCCTGGCAGTCGTATGCACGTAAAAAGCCCTCAGTGGCTCCATAGTTTTGATCAAAAGGAAAGGAATTCAACTTGTCTAATGACATAGGACTGAAAAAAGAGGAACCATTCTGGTCTTCGGGTCCCTCATTCTCTAGTTGAAGATCGCATAATGCGATACACAAGTCACTTGCAACTTTGTCCTCCAAGTATATGTCTTCTTCGTCTCTCACCAAGACTGCATTGAATATAGTACTGAGGCTGTTATGAGTGTTCTGACGCGCAAAGTCCTTAGTGAAGTTCAAGCTAGACGTGTCCTTCCCGAGCTTTCGCGCGACTTTTCTGAGGTCTAAAGTCGAGCTGATGCTTTTGAGAGTTTGGCGGCCCTTCAGGCGAATGGATGATGACATGGCCACTGAAACTCTCTGTATATCGAGGTTTAGCGAGGAATACCAGATAGAATGGAGTGTTTGAGCTGTATCTGATATGAGAGAAAGATTCATGAACGTCAAGTCTTTAATAGAAGTTGTGGGCTTTGGGTGTGTGCGAAGAGGTAATAACTACCTAACTACAGCATTGCCTGATGCTGACTCATCCACCTTCAAAGGGGAGGGATAACTCCATGCGCTGCGCAAGCAATTGGGTAATGTCTAGGCGTTTCATTCTTTGTTCCACATGATGGTGGCGCTCTTTGTTGTTCAAAAATAGACACAAAAACTATCCAGTAGAAAGTGATGAGACTACTTCGCAAGTTCTGCTGACAATATGTGGCCGCTCCACCTTTAGCTGAACTGTTTGCCAGGTCCTTGCTCTCTTTGTCAGGTTTATCTATTTCCTAGTCCGGGGTATTAAAGAAGCACTGTGGCTGTTTATCTCTTTCTACTAGTTTGTGCCTTTGTCGGTTTTAATATCGATAGATTTTGTTGATAAGTGGAATTTTATAATTTACCAAATCTTTTTTTGACATGAAATAAGTAACTTTGTGAATATCCTATATGTTTCATCCTATATTATTTTCTTTTCTTGTATGAAATGCAATGTTACTTTTTCTTTTTCTTTTTCTTTTTCTTTTTCATTTTCTTTTTCTTTTTCTTTTTCTTTTTCTTTTTCTTTTTCTTTTTCTTTTTCTTTTTTTTTTTTGGCATTAGACAGACAAGCTCTCTGAAGAAACTACGGAATTTGTCGGCGTATGTAGCAAACGCCAGGTTATCTGAACAAAGAGCAGTATCTGCGTGTGTTCCATCCGCAATGTCCCTAACGCACAAATATCCAGTGCTAAATGTGAAGTGTTCAAACCTCATTTCATATTTATTGCCCAAAAGTCTTTTGCAATCTTCTTTCTTTACCTGAGAGAATCCATTGACAAGCACGACATCTACCACGGACGCCTCCAGCGCTGAAGGCGAAATACTCGAGCTCGTTGCCATATTCGATTCCTCAACCTCCTCACTTTCAACTCTCCTTAGCTCTCATACGTCTTTTGGGTCTTCCCCTCCCCGCGCAACATGGCGTCTGGATTAGAGCAACCTGAAGTTCCTGGTTTCTCTTTTCCAGGCGACTTGCAAGAGTTACAAGACCTCCTAGAGGAGGCGGGGATCTCGAACAAATCCATCCACAACCTGCCTTCAAAATGGTTTCTGTCTGCATCGAAAGTAACCCAAAAGCAATTTCTCGCTTTTCATATAGTCTACCCTGAGATGTTACCGCCAGAGAAGCTGGTCAAAGATCATCTACATCTCTACGATCTCGACCTGTCCTGGGAGGCTGCAAAAGTCATACTGGGGGGCTTCGATGACTTTGGAAAGTATCTCGACCTACTCGAGAATAGGATTTCAATCAATGGCATCTCCAGGAATCACCCCCTTTTCCCTCCCTCCCTCAAAACAATGAAAGATCTGCACGAACTTTGCATGCAAGGACAGGATTCCACTGAGAGAGCCGCACCCACAGTGGCAAAGACCTCGGGAAGAAAGAGTACTAGGCTCGCTATGAAGGATCTATTGTCTGGGGCTACAGGTCGTCGTGAGGACCCAGCTATCCCCCTGGGTGACTATCCCGATGAGAAAGGGGAGGTCGAACGTGAAGCCACAGTCAACTCCGCCCTTGTTGTATTTCTCAGGGAATTTTCTTCCGTCGTTCATAACCGAGAGACTGAATCTGTGTTTGATCCGCTGGTCGAGAAGGCCACGTTTTCCAACGGCAATCACTTTACTGCAATCACAGACGGCGTTCTGCGGAGACTTGACGACAAGCAAATCCTAGCAATTTTGGAAGTGAAGAAGCGGGACAGGGAAAAGAACAAAGAATTGATTCTCATGCAGGAAGCGGCCGAGATAACTTGTTGGGTTAAGAACTCGTACCAGAAGACCTCTTTCTTAAACGGCCAGTATGTACCGTACCGTGAATACATATATTCTAACCCCCGGAACGTTTTTAGAAGCTGACCCTTGGTTTTCTTGCGTTTTAGTCCACTCCTAATTTCTCAAGATCGAGAAGAGCTCTTTGTGTCTTTCGCGTTTTGTGACGACGAGTACATCGACTACCTTCGGACGGCTTCCGTGGAAAACCCTGCCAGGAGATATGCGACCATACAAACGTATGGTCCGTTTAAGATCACTTTGAGGACAGAGATGCTGTGGTTTGCGACTTTAGTGGTCACTATCACCCTAGCAGCGCAGAATCGGATACCATCGACAATCTAAGTCCTTCAGTAATATTACTGAAGGCTGGACGAGTCACGGATTTATCTATGCTCACCATCCGTTCTCTGATGATTATTGCGACTGCTTTGGTGTAATAACATACAATGGTCAGTAAAATAGATGAGAAGTGCTGCTCGTGTACTTTAGGTACTTACCTACAGTCGCGCTAATTAAGTATTCGTGATTTTTTTTCGCACCACCAAAAATCTAGGTGTTTTTAAGCCTTACTAACCACAATAAAATTAAATAGAATCTCCTGTAAAATAGTATTATATTAAAATATATTGATTAAAGTATATAATATATTTTTTTAAATTTTTTAAATTAAGAGGTTCTTATATTATATAAGTTTAAAGTTTATCCTTAAAAAAGGTATAGTTATATATATTTTAGCCCTTACCTATTATATAAATATTAACCTTTTTTAAAAAAATTTATATATAAAAATTAAAGCTTTTATCTTATATTTTATATATATTTAATAATATAATAGGCTTTATATATAAATTTATTGAATAAAATCTATTTAAAATTAGCTACTTTTATAAAAAAGTAGTAAAAATAGCTAAAAATATAGAAAACTTAACCTTTTTAATTAAGTTTTTCTCAATAAAATTATATATAATATATAATATTTTATTGATTATATTTATAAAATAAAAGTAAATATTTAATTTTTATATATAAAATTTTTTATAAAAATTATTAAAAAAAAACTTATTTAGGTTTTATAAAATATAAAATTTAATATAAAAGTAGTATATTTTAAACTATAAAAAATATATAAAAGCTTATATAAATAATTTTTATTATATTTTTTTATAAAAATTAATGTAATAAATATTTATTTCCTTATTTTATTTTAAGTATATCTATATTGTTGGTGCTGTTAAAAATAAATATATTACATGGTTGTTTTTTTGTAGTGTCGAAAACTTTTTACATAGAACTGTAGTATCGGTCGAGCTAACTGAATAAATAGGCTAGGTAGTTAGTACTGGATGCAAACAAGCTTTTCATATCACGTGATCTCATCAGATACATGTCCACGTGATCGAGTTCCCGCTGTAACGGTCGTCCTTCCGCATCTGGATCCAGTGCTAGTTAAGTAGGTAGGTAGGTAGTTATGGAGAAACTAGAATAGTTTAAAGTCACGAATACGAGCTCCATCCCTACGCACGTTAGGACCCTGTCTTACCAATGGTTACACCGAGTGTTAGTAAGTCGACTAGTCTACTTCTTATATTCCGGTCCAATGGTTTCAAGCCCGGATAATTCACACGCAGGTACACAGGTGGACGATCTCTGTGAGACCAAGAAAACTCGTATATGCGACCTTTTGCCTAAGTTATAGTGATATCCGCCGCTTTGGTCCTGTATAAGCTTATTTTAATGTTACTTGTAGTGTAGGCTAATTTCATTGTGGGTATACTTGGATGATAATCGCCAAAGTATAGAATTTCCTCAGGACAACGGTGGCTCCCTGCATTATAGGCAGATTAGATAATTATAAACCAACGTATTGATTACTCCGTAAAGAGGAAATGGTATAATAGCTATCCTGTTAACTCCGAACGAAATGCTGCTATTTCGGATCCCTAACTGGAACCGAAAACAGATTTATACGATGCAAAGCTTCATGGACGGGTCGTTTCGTCGTGCATAAGTCTTGCAACTGCCGGAACAGTAACATTAAACTTTCGCATAGTCAATGTAATAAACAGTTATTTCGGCAACTGCCGAGAATACTATCACATGGTGAGGGACGTTGTGGGAGCGGTGTCGCATGCGGAAGCATAGGCACACCCCTTATTCTCGAGGCTCTTGGGAGTTTCCATTGTTTGGTTTGAGATGAGCCAAACTGGTTGACTCTGACATATTCGAGGATGGTGGCTCCGGGAATCGTACCGTATATCCGATTTTGTCTTGCAGCGACCATTATGCTGCAGTCGGTTCGTTCTGATTCCATAGTACAGGCCAAGGATACGTCGGAAAGACATAGCTTTCAGTATTGGATTATACGCACTGGCTAAACGGGAGTCCAGGGAGCGTCTTTATCCTGGTATTCTGCCAATTGGGGAATCGTATGAGAAATCTAACGAAGCGCATTCGCTGGAAGGCACTCATATTGACTTCTTTAGTTTCACGTCCAACAGACTTCATGAGCAGCAACGTTGTATGCAGATGGTCCATGGTAGGCGCCCATTGATGATCCTCCGGAATCCTCAGAAGTTACTGCACCATGACCAACGATATCATTCACGTAGGTGGGCGAATATGTAGACGAATGGTCATCCACAGCATCGAGACGCTCATAACTTGAGAAGCCAGCCCGATCATGTGTGGGTTGTGAATGGAGGTCGGTAAAGTCATGGGCTTGTGCGCGGGATCCATAGACAGACGTCAGGTGAAACGGTGAAACGGACATCGCAGTGGCTGGCGGAGTGTGGACAGGTGATGCATATGCCGAGTATAGGTTGGCGTTGGAGGGCAAAGGGGCCGAGTAGAAGTCTTGGAGACCGTGGTATGGACTAGGAGGCGCAGGGGAGTAATGATCCGTAGGTCTCGCTAGATTGTGTAGGTTGTTTCTGTACGTCGTGACAATGTCGAAAGGTAAGTCCATCAGTGCCAGAGCCAGCTGCACCTCTGGGGAAAACGGTTGCGCAGCTTTCCGTGCTAGGACAATGCGGTAAATGTCTTCAATGGGCCCTGCTGACATGCATCCAAGGTAAGTGCCACCAATCGCAGGAAAGAGAGGCTCCAAAGCCAGAGCAACAGCGTAAAATTGAGCCAGAACTGCCAGCGCTCCCAGGTCGCTCTCCTCGCCACGAAGCATCGCTGGTGGTAACCAAAAGAGCCATGTTCGAAGAGGTTGAAGCCTTCCGAAAGCTTCTTCCGGGGATTGAAGGGGAAGATCGTGACGAAGTTGTTGGACAAATCCTAAAAGATCCGCAATTCGCTGGTAATGCTCCTGGTTGTGTCCGATTCGTTGTTGGATATTCGCAAGGACGGCATACGTTCGATCAAAGCGATCTAGCTCGTCATCGTGAAACTGATTGATATTGTTTTGATATCCTGGAGTTCTAGTGCTCCTGAAGCTCCTCTGTCTCTCCACGAATTGTGCCAGTTCTGATTCTTCCTTCCAAAGCGGCTGCATCGCACTGAGGACCTATGCGTCACTGTTAGCTGTGGTATACCTAGAAGCGCACACGTAGAAAATTTACCGTTGAGACGCCTCGCTGTAGAAAAACCCAGCCACGCCTGTTGATACGTTAGCCTGTGTGCTAGAATGACGCTAGAGATCTTCACCATTCAGTTATCTGCCATGACAATAATATCGACGCAGACAGAATAGCGTCGCAATTTTCTCTTGAGAAAGCGCCTATAGCCCCTTGCAGTCCTTTGATGGCTACACCACGGTGGTGGTAGGCCAAATTGTCTGTCTCCCGGTCTTTGGTTATCCATGCGAGATGGGATGCTGAAAGTGCAAGAATGGAGCTCATAACGAAGTCATTCGAAATGCCAATAGCCAAGAAGCTACACATCGTAGTGATTAGATCGCGTCACAAGTGACAGTTATTGTTGACGGATCCGGGTACACTTACTGAGGCATCCTCTGCGCCCATACGGTTACACCACTATACCCTTGCCGATGCAAGTCCACTGAAAGCCCAGCAATGTGGTGAATCAGCCTTAGCTCAATGTGGGAGAAATGGTGCCAGCCATTTTCTGGGCACAGATGTGAGAGCTCCGTAAATGGACAGATCCCTGTTCTCCGCCAATTCTCGATTTCCATTTCAATTTCTGGGGACATGAGGAGATCGGGGGCCCTTTGACTCCTGGATGCTCCCTCGGTTACCACTGTATTATCCATATAGTCGCAGCGGCAGTTATGTTTTGTGCAGTTCCGACTACATTTTCTCATTGTCAGCAGGGAAATACATGATTTTAAGCAGAGTTGCAACTCATCAGATGGTAGCATACCATTGAGGAAAGGTTTCATCACAACGAATATGTCTCTTCTTGCAGGTTTTGCAGCCATTCCTTGATTTTGTATGACTCTTTCGAGGAGGACCACCTCCCGGGCCTGCCATGCCGGATGGTCGAATGCAGGTATCGAGAAGGTCTCCGCAAGGCACAAGAAAAAAAAAAAAAACAAAAGAAAAAAAACAGACAAGCAAGGGCCCTTCAGGAGAGGTGACGTGACTACAATGAGTCTGTTAGGTCAAGAAACCTAGGGTCAGGAAACCGCCTGCTGCCCAAGGTTTGGCACTGCCACCAGATAAGAACAGTATGGCAGCTGAGAATAGAGGATGGACGCTAAAGAAAATCGGTGGAATGTGAGGAAACTGGTGCTGAAAGTGCCCTGGTTCGTGTAGACCGACAATAGCGTTTTTCCTGAGTGCGAGGAAGTGGGATATCGCGAATATCTTGGAGGAGTGTACGCTCTCCACGATAAGAACCGTGCGAAAAGACAGACAGAGGCCGTATGCAAGCAGTGAGGCGGCCTCTGTTGTTTAAGAACCTGCAAGCAGTCAAGAATGGCTCAGCATCCGCTCTACAACGACCTGTCAAGATGTCTGAAGCGCGCGCCACGGCTCGGTCAAGTGCTGATGCCCAGATCGCAGTTAAATCTAGCCTGTTATGTAGCCTTTGGCCCATGGCTTGCCTCCGTCTCTCCTGGCGAGCAGGCTCTGCTATGCCCTGTTTGGCCCCTTGTCCTTCAGCTCAAAGGCTACGAAATGAGCTAGACCAGGCGCATTGTAGTTTAAGGGAGTTGCTGCTAAGGGCTTGGGCCATCCTCCTAAGTTGACGGCCCGGAGAGGAGTCTCAAGCTCCCCATCAGCGGTGGATTAGCACGTATAAATCCCGCCCAGTGGATGGCCTAAATCTACCGTTAGGCGGTCCGTAACGGGCTAACTAAGGACATTCTCGCCGAAGCCAGCGGCGAGATATAGCAATTTACTACGTACTGACGCCCATCTCTTTGGAACGATCCGGAGATCTTTGATGCCCAGGAAACCCCCATCAGTACTGCGAAAGGTGTACTTGCAGCATGACCCCGATGGACATACTCTTGGGGAACTGCAGTAGCGTATCCAACACGGCTCATCGTAGAGAGCGGTGCGGCCAAACCAGCGACGGCGCATCGGGGCATCTCGCTTGACCACACCTAAATCGCGACCTGTCCCAACAGGCCCAGCGCGGAAAAATCGCCATCTAGCATGCCTCGATAGTCCCTTCTGGAGAGATATACGCTTTTCTGAGAAGGGTTGGTCTTCGAATTGGGGGCGTTAAAAGACCGTGCAATTGCAAGTGGAGTGAGGCGCGGGGGGAAGAACGGCGGGACCAGGGGTCGCCCAAATTCTCTCGATGGTAGCCTAGTTGGATCGTAGAAAGCCCTGCATATTATTATTGTTATTGTTGTTATTCTTGACAGCTCTTGTTCTCTGCTCGTCGGCGGCTCGGGGGCCGAAACCTGGAAGTTGGCCCCACGAATCCACTATCTAACTGTTCCCCGGTGTAAGTCACTGCGTGGATCGGAACTCCCAGTTGGCTGTACCGTGCGCGCCGTCGCCAGCCATCCCCGCGCTGCGGGAACGGCCTATCATTCCTAGTAGTGTACTGTCTCTTGGCTGATTGCTGACATGCTGCTAAAAACCCAAGAAACTTTGGCGACTGGTTTGGACCGGTGATGATCATTATTGCGCATTGGATGACATTGTGGGTGGAAGATTATTTCGGTTCTGGCGTTGACGGTGCCCGAATAATTGCACAGTGGCATCGCTTAGGCCATTGGGCAAGCGAATCAGACGGCAGCTTTGGATAAAACGCAGAAGCTATCGCTTTGGGCGCATTTCCGGTTCCAGCAGAACTTCTAGTTGAATCCATATAGCCATTAGTCTCACCTCAGAGTAGCGGTATCCGGTGCCCTGGATATGGAAACTGCTTCCAATACACTAAGCGGAGTGTACACTTTCAATGGATGCAGCAGCATATGAGCGGGAGCGCCTATTACCAATCCCAACAGAGTTCGTTGGACCGTCTTATGGAGTCCTGGAGGAGTCGATACATATTGTTAGCGCGGATTGAGTCGTCTGATGCAACGGGGAATTAGGATTAACTCAAGAGGGACCAATAACACCACGAAAAGAATTATACGGTGGACCAACTTCGATATGGAGTTCGTCATTAGACTGATTTCTCTTAGGATGTACCCCATCCCAGTGATGTCCCCTCCGTCCCGCTGGAAAGGATTAGCTAATGAGCCTCGAGCAGATTCATCGGTGGACACATAATATCACATACCATCTTTTTTCCCAAACGCGATACTCTCCAATTGCGGCTCATGTCCTTAGCGGAAAGCGGTCTCTCGCTACCCTTACTGTTTCTGTTATGTCTCCGGAGACAGTGGCTTGCGCGATCCAGTAGTTAGTTCCTTTTCAAATATTATGGTAATCCCTGACGACATTTGCCTGTCACTGAGACAGCGTCTGGAAATACACTGTCGCCTAAATAAAGTGACCACCCCGACGCTATGACATGGAAAAGTCCCGTTCAAGTCATCTGTCGTAGTCTTCATGCCATTCCCAGAAGTAGATGACTCTTCCCCTCCAAGAAGACTACTTCGAAGACAGCCTCATTGAGTGATTGCTCCACGTGTCACTGCCCCGTGGTTGTGGCTGCAGCCTGGTCTTAGATTGTCTCCGAGGAAGACGCATGCACAGTACAACCACCTCGTTGCGGTCTTGGTAGGACTGAATTGCAGAAGCGCGAAATGCGGACGATCAATGCCGACGTTTGGAGTATGGATCAACCGACGCAGATGTCTGTTCACGTCCCTGAGGAATATGTCTATGGCAACAGGCGGAAATGAAAGGTCTGATCACCGTCTGTTTCCAAATGGCCATGCTGTCTCAAGGACAACACGTATCGTGTTACCAGAAATCCGGTACGGGAATGGCATTCCTCTACTGTTTCTGGTCTGATCATCTCGATAGGCATTCTCTGGTTGAGTGCAGGCTGTTCCGTAGGGGCGTAGCTTGCTGTGCGGCGGGGTAACACAGTGGCGCGAAACAAAGTTATCCGCCAACGACTAGGTAGAATCATGGACGCCTGGTATAGGTCCAGCGAACAGACACGGTCGAACCAGCTGTCTGGCATTCTGGGACCGTGCGAAACTGAATCGAGGCTGAGATGAGAGATTGGGGGTTGAATGGTCGGGGGCCGACCCGAGAGGAGCGTGCGCGGCTCAGCCCGCGGATGACCTTGTCAACTTTGACGCTAAACGCTCAGCCTAGACTCTACAGTAGTCTAGAGAAAGCTACGCACCTCCAGTACACGCACCCACAACGTGGAGTATCATCATCTTCTTTTTCTCATGTCTCGTGCTTATCCATCCCGGACAGATACTTCAGTGTGCTGCCAGGAGTCTGCAGATACCACCATTCTCATTAAGCATCCTCATTAACCATTGCTCTTCGGATTGCAAGCTCTAACTATTGTCAGGGATGAGGCCCAGTGATGAACAGTGGCCTAGTATTGCAGATCTTCCTATAGATAAGGGACAGCCAAGCCCTGTTGACGAACGTTATCGGACAAGGCCCCTGATTCTATTGCGGAGACACTTCTTGTATGTACAGTGCCTCTGGCTGCAGAATCATTAAATCGAAATTGCAGGGAGAAATGCAGATCAATCAATGCCTGCAATTCACCCCCATTATCGGCTACCCCAGGACGCTGTTTCATGAGAGGACGAAGTACTGAGCCCCCAGCCTTGTGATAAGATGATTCATACTGAATATCATCGGTGCTCATGATATAACCCTGTCGTTGGAGAAAGACTCCAGACAGGCTGCCAGCTATTACCAGGATGGAACTGCACGGCCCTGCTTGGGTTCTTCATTGAATCTCACATCCCACCGTGATCGTCATGGAGGTTATTTCAGATCCCTACTAGTCGGTTCTTCTACCCGGATTGACCTCTCTTGTGAGGGCAGATACCATGTTCTTACTTGGTTCATGACTGGTCTTTCTTTCATCTCTCTTTTCAGGATTGAAGTACCAAGTGTCTCACTATGCAATACCTGCCTGAAGGACTGGAACGTTAATTGGCCCAATCTGCCGAATCTCGTCACGTAGTGGTCATTGCTCAAGAAAACTCGACCATAACAGTGGGCGATTCTGGGGGCTCTTCGTTTTCGCCATCAGCCCTATACGGTGGGATTGAGAGCAAGTTGCGAACTGATGCTTGCTTGGCAGACCCAGTCTGTCACGATGTTTGTAAGGATCTTGTAATAACTATCTAGGTGGTATTTCCACTTTACCAAAGAGCGTTAGAACCTCTCTCCTTGGCATATGATATACCAACGGCTAGCCACGGTCTGCTTCAGATCCACGGTCATGGGCTAGTCTAGGTTTCCGATCTCCAAAAAAGCAAAAGAACAAGCCCAGATCAACCCAATAACGGCGCTTCAGGTCTATTCTCCGCATTCACCAGGACTACGGAGCACCAATGGAAGCATTATGATTTCTAGCGAACTGCGCCCTCGCGAGATTGTCCCTGAAGAGGTTAGTGGGTAAAGTACCGCTATTCAAGTCTGTTCAAGCGTGAAGCTAAATATCTCCACGAAAGTTTATCGACGTCCATCCAGAGAAGACGCAGAATAAATTAACGCCAACGCCACAGTGCATCGAGATATTGCCATAGGCGAGGGATGACTGTAAATGTATAGCTCCAGCTCAGTTTCAAAAGAGGAAGTATTGACCATGCATACTGGGACAGTGTGCCTCGTTCGCTCCCAACTTACACCGCCTCTCTCAAAGCCGACCAGCTAGATAGTTACCTACTATGTAGGTCCCTAGTTCCTATGGATGTTTTTCTTTCGAACCCTAAGACGAGTCGTCTATCCATCCGCCCCTACAGTCCATATTGCCCTTTTCCAGTGTCATAGGGCGCTTGGACAATTGCCCTCCTGGTCGAGCCCCAGCCACGCACCTTTTATCTCTTATCTGACAGATCGGTTCCAGCATGGGGGAAAGGGCTGGGGCTTAGTGGCAATTATTTCTAGTAACGAACATATGGAAAGGCGGACCCATAGCCAGATCGCAGATTGCGAACTGCAAGGGCCCAACCGATTCTCAGCCGCAAGTAATATCAAACCATTCTTGCCGATAGATAATACCCCAGCGTCAAAGTCATGACTAGTAACTGTGGCCTCTCTGCAATCCGCAGTTCACTTCTTCGCGTGGGATATTGCTGACGGACAGTCAAGTTGTTGCTATCAGTGTTTGGGGGCGAAGCTATTTCGAACATGCGTTTGGCCGGGTCTCGAAGCATTGCTATAGCCTATGACCCAAATGGTGATTGAGGCTCCAGTCCCACTCGGAGACATCCATGAGTGATAATCGTGGGGGAAAGAAGAAGGCGCATGCAGCTGCATCGCTGCGTTTGGTCGACAACGGCGTTCTACCCACGTGGCCAAGCAATAAAACATGGCATTACTAGTAAGGCTGCTTGTTAGCTACTAGGAATTCCCGGCATATTGATTTCACTTCCCTAAGCTTGCGAAATAGGGAATCAACCACAGATTTCGATTTCTGGTTGAGATCAAGTGACTCTCATGCTTTAGTTGAGACGTTAACTATTAGAAGACAAATTAGTCAACCCGAGTCTTCCTGCGGTCTTCTCGAACGAATCCTCAGGTGGCTCACCAGCCACAACTCACCATTCTCCCGTGGAGCCTGGAAAGGGCCCAGATTTTCGCCCCCATGTCTCAGTTGATACCTCTAGAGTACGTCAATTGCCCGAAGAGCCTCACACAATGCAGAAATTAGCGAGACATGGTGATTTGCTAACTCAACAGAGACTCGGGCATTATCAGGCTGGAGCCTCGATATGCTAGCTTGATATTAGCGAACAGAGATCGGAATCCGGAACGAATGTCTACCGATCAACTGGAAGCCCCACTGTCAAAGATAGATGCTACATGAAACTATCTGACTGCTTTACCTGTTTACAGCACCAGCTAAAAGCTGTAGCGCGGAGCAGCCTACTGTGCGGAGGAACAGGCGGTATACAAATAATGATAACAAAAATAGGTACCCACGCACACAAAGTCAGGCGCCCTGGGACGGCACACAGTGCTCCGGGTATTAGATGGTTCCTCTAGCAGGCCAGGAACATCTCCAGCTGCTCCTGAACCAACTTGCTGGATGGCGCCGCTAAAAATACACACAGGCTGGGAAAGATGCTGTGGAACGAAACGATCAAATAACGTACGCTCACTTGCCTACCTTAGGTACCTAGGTAGTAGTTAGTATATGAATGCTGAGCAACAGATATATCTCAAGACATAGTATATGGTCCAGTCAAAATTGCACATACTCAATATCCGCGTTTAGAAATACGATATATCGAGAAACCATCGGTGAGGTTGGCGGTCCTGAGTCATCAGCTGGACAGCGCTGTTGTTTAGTTACTTATCGCGTCGAGATAAGCAACAGACTAACCCGATCCGGTAGAACTAACGCCGAGCTGGAGCTGACTCCAAGTTGCAGCACGCGAGCTTCTCTTCTCCCTTCACTCATCATCTCAGCCATTGTCGGCATCCTAATCATGAAGCAAGCTAGCTTTACCCTCGGTCTATCTCTACTGGGAGGCGCCATTGCCGCCCAAGAGCCGCTTTTCGCACCACCAGCAGCGTCTCCCCAGATTCCAGTAACAGGCGGCAAGGAGCTGGTTAGCTCCGAATCCATCCAAGAACGCATCAATGCCGATAACCTGCTGCAACGGGCCAAGAAACTCTACAGCATCGCAGAGCTGGGAGAGGAAGAGTACAATCACCCGACCAGAGTCATTGGAAGCAAAGGTATCATCTCGTCGGATTCTGTCTTTCGTGAATGATTTCACTGACGCGGTCTGTAGGACATCTTGGCACCATTGATTACATTTACTCCACCATCGCTGAACTGGGAGACTACTATACCCTGTCAAACCAGTCATTTCCAGCAGTTGTGGGAAATGTGTTCGAGTCTCGCCTCATTCTGGGAGACAAGGTTCCGGAGTCTGCTCTCGCAATGAGCTTGACTCCACCCACCAAGGACAAGGAGCCCGTCTCCGGACCTCTGGGACTCGTATCTGATTTCGGATGCAACGACTCAGACTACCCAGATCTTTCTGGCAAAATTGCTTTTATCAGTCGCGGCGAGTGTCCCTTCGGTACCAAGTCCGCGTTTGCCGGACGAGCTGGTGCAGTTGCTGCTGTAATCTACAACAATGAAAAGGGCTCCCTGGGCGGAACTCTGGGAACCCCATCTCCTGACCACGTTGCCACCTTTTCTATCTCAGACTCTGATGCTGCACCATACCTTAAGAAGCTGAAGAATGGAGAAGAGGTTGACGCGACTGCCTACATTGATGCCATTGTAGAGAGCATTGAAACTACCAACATCATCGCTCAGACACGCGATGGTGACCCTGAAAACTGCGTCATGCTTGGCGGTCATAGTGATAGCGTGGCAGAAGGACCTGGTATCAACGATGACGGAACTGGCTCCCTTACTCTTCTTGAGGTCGCTACCCAGCTGGTGAACTACCGCGTCAACAACTGTGTACGCTTTGCCTGGTGGGCGGGTGAAGAAGAAGGCCTTCTCGGATCAGACTACTACGTTTCCGTCCTTTCCCCAGAGGAGAACCTGAAGATCCGCCTTTTCATGGACTACGACATGCTCGCCTCGCCTAATTATGCCTACCAGGTCTACAATGCCACCAACGCTGTCAACCCGGTCGGATCTGAGGAGCTCCGCGACCTGTACACCGAGTTCTACAGATCAAAGGGTCTAAACTTCACCTACATTCCTTTCGATGGAAGAAGTGACTACGATGCTTTCATCAAACACGGCATTCCCGGAGGTGGCATTGCCACTGGCGCAGAAGGTATCAAGACCAAGACTGAGCAAAAGCAATTTGGCGGTGTTGCTGGAGACTGGTACGATCCTTGCTATCACCAGATCTGCGACACTGTCGCCAATGTCAACCTCACGGCTTGGGAAGTTAACACCAAGGTACTACCTAGCTCCTTTTCATATATACATGAACCATGCTAACATTTTCCCCTAGCTTGTCGCTCACTCTGTCGCTACCTATGCTCGATCATTCGAGGGGTTCCCAAAGAGAACCGATACCAATACTTTCTCTACCTCCGACACCTCGAAGAGCCCGTACCACGGACCCAAGCTCCAGCTGTAACTAGTCATTGTTATTCCATGAATTGATAAAGGGACCACTGCATGACATGTCACCGTTCATACGCATTTGCTGGCATTCCCGATCCATGGCTTATATATATCATCTCTGCATATATGGCGTTGAAGCACAGATGCATAAATACAGAAGCATATGTACACGCAGGATCTCAGACATATACGAAGCAATGATATTCCACTAAAATCTCCACGCAAAGCTTGTACGCAGATCGCGTGTCTTCAGCCACTCTCCATAAATTATTTAACCCACACCGCGGAGTACATAGATCAAGGAACTAGCCACGAGACCACATGAGTCTGGTGACATACCATTCTGTTTCAGCTTCAGTAGCGCCAATCCCAAGACTCCAACGCACCCATTCAGGATATCCAATAACATAAAGATCACACCAACTAACTACAATCCACATCTCTCATTCATATAATACCCACCACATCAAACACAATCTAACCATCACAATATAACAATCTCTCAAGGCTAAAATAAATCAGAGAGAGTATCTATAAATAACCCAACACCTCCGCCGCTCTTACTCTTACTTAAGGTACATATTGCATAAATAACGCAACATACCAAAAAGCACACACCATCAAAATTCTTATACATACAGCACATCCATTCCGAAACTAGACCGGAAAGGGAAATAGATATGTACATGTACATACCTCTAGAGTTTCCTTTCGATTTAGTTACTACTGGTAAGAGTAGAATGAATACTTTCCTTGGGGAACTAAACCCCTTTTGTTATTCTTGTTAGGTTCTTACGTCAGTGTTTTATCTTAAGTAGACACGAGAGGGCTGTCTTGTTGGAGGCGGGCGTAAATAAATAAATAAATACTACTTAGAAACTATCAATCACGACCATAACCACCACACACACACACACATATAACTTTTTACTTACCTTTGGTTTCTCTTGAGTAGTCACCACGTTACTATTCTACTATACCAGCGACCAAGACGATATACATACGCGTATATATCCTTAGGAAAGGAAAGAAGAAGAAAAAAAAAAAAATGAAACCCACAACAACAACAATTCTTCTTTTCCCAATCCTCGCTCTCCTCTCTCTCTCTACCTCAACATCAGCTAAGAAAACATGTACCCCGAGTTTCGATTACTGCGCTGATGATCTCATAAAATCCAATGGTGAGTCCCCATACCTACTACTACCCATACACAACGTCCCTATACTTAACTATATAACCTAACTCTATTTTCTTTGTTTTTTCTTTTCCCCACTACCGTATCGATCCATCTCGATACTAACTTGATAAATTCTCAAGGCTTCACAGAATCGGATCTTAAAGCCGTGCTGAACGGGACTGATCTCGCGACGGACGATCTGAAAGATATTCTCTTCCACTGCAAGAATCCGGGGATCGTGGGACATCCGAAGTTATGTTCAAATGGGTGTACGACTGGGCAGCCGCAGGGGAGTCATGGTTGTTGAGTTTGGTCCCGGTTGGTACCGCTCTGTGGATCTTTTGGGATTTTTTTTTTTTTTGGATGATGAAAAAGATGAGAAAAGGAGTATTTTAGGGCGAATAGATATTTATACTGAAGCGCACTGGGATGATTGTAATAATCTAAGCTGAATGTATGTATATTCAAAGTATTCTTCTCGTGTGTTGAGATAGACGTATAGTCTCAACGATGCTGATGAATCCACTATGTTGATCCAAATATTGATACGCAATGTAGAAAAAATAATTCCTCTAAGGCGATGATGAAAAGTCTTAATAATGATACAAGACACTCCGTTGCGCCGTTCAGCCTTGCTCCAAATGCACAGCGAACGAGACGAGTGAGAATATTAATAGTTTTTCATTTTTTGTTTGCTTTCTTTCTTTGAATCTATGGACTAGAAGAGAAAAGATAATCCCAGGTGATATTTAAATCTGGTATACGGAACGAAGCTTCTGCGTGACAGGAGCCGGAAGCTGGGAGAGATAGGAGTCGAAATTGGGTATCATATCTTTGTAGCCTTGAAGGACCTGCAAGAGAATTAGTACTTCGTTTGTTTCTCCAGTGTCAAGTACAAACTCACCTGCTGGAATGAACTCTGGATATCATGGTAGTCTTCCTGGCCAAGAGATTTGCTTGGGAACATGGCAATCGCCTGGAAATAATCTGCCAGACACGCTTCCATTGCCTGCGGGTTCTTCATGACAACCTGGTTGAAGCCAAGAAATGCGGATGCCTTCTCACGGGTAAAGTCGATCTTGGCCATCGACTTCAGGAAAACGTCGGCGTACTCGGCCAGATGTGGTGCAAGCTGGTCCGAGCAGCATACACCGAGTCGACCCAGGGCCAGCGCGGCGTTTTCATTCACCGAGTCCGGAATCTCCTCATTGCTGAGGATGATCAGCAGTCCTTGGTATAATTTGTCGACGTAAGGCGCAAGATCCGCCTTTTTCACTGCAATCTCTCCACATGACCAGCAGACATTGTTGAGAACGCTGAAGCCAGTCTGCGACTCGTCGTCCCGGATGAGATCAAGATCCAGCTGCTTGATCAAGATAGGCATTATATTAGAAATAAATGGTTGGAGTTGAGGGAAGATGTTCATAGCACAGTCGCCCAGAAGAGCGTATGATGACTGGCGGACCTCGTTGTTCGGGTCGTCCATGCAATAACATAGCAGATCGAAGAAGCGTGGCTGAGAGTTCGCCACGAGTTCACCGCTCTTCTGAGGGTCGATGGCTTGGATGATCGCACTCAGGAGATCCAGACTGGTGACCAGGAAGTCCTTGTCCGGCTCCTCACCCGTCTGGTTGTTCACGGCGGCCATATATTCCTGCAGGTTCTGGTAGATGATCTTGATGCATCTCTGGAACAACGGAGGCGCAAAAGGCGAGAAAGCATCTCCGTACGCGGTGGCAATGTAACCCAGACACTCCAGCAGCGGGAAGAGCTCTCTCGACTGGTCCGAAACCTTGTTGTAACGATCAATAAGAGCAGGCATAAGGGTATCGACGAGGTTAGGCTTGGCCAGTTCTGAACCGACACGGTCTGCCAGCGTCTGCACGCAATCGTACAGGATGTACATGTTGCGGTCCTTGTACTTGCCGAAGCACTGGACAAATTGCCGTAGGATGGGCTCACAGTAGGGGATCAAGTTGGCATCAGACTTCTCCTCGAGACTGGCAAAGGCTGACGCAGCCGCTTCCTGCACCTTCTTGTTGTTGTCCAACATCCGGTGGAGGATACCTTCCATCATCGGCTCAAAGAAGCGAGCCTTCTGGACGGGATCATCCAGATGAGAGGCCCATTCAGAGTATCTTCCGAGACACCAGCAAGTGATCTGTCGGACAACGGGCTGGGCATCATTCAAAAGAGAAATCAAGTAGGGGACAAGTTCGGGAAGGTGAGGTGTAACGGCATCCATACACCCATCAGCGACAGCACCCAGTGTAAGCACGGCGGCTTCCCGATTCGGCCACTGTTCGTGACGGAGAGTATCTTTCAAGTACGGCAGAATGATCTCGAACACGGGATTGTGATAGACGTTGGCAAAAACATCGAGTGCAGCGGCAGAGCACTTTCTCAGCGTCCACTCATCCTCGGGATCTTCGTCGCCAAACTCAGAGTCATCAATCTCACCATCACTGAGATCATCGTCCTCTGTATTGGCAGCATTGCCGTTAGCAGAAGCTCCATCTCCCTTGGATAGTTCCAGACGAGCTCCCTTGGATTTGGCGAACTGCGGTTTTAGATCCTCCTCACGATCCTCCTGTTCCGCGTCGTCTTGTTCGCCCGCAAGTCTGATGGCATCGTCTTCATCATATACCATACTCTGCAGCAAGACGGGGATGATCTTGGGCAGGTGGGCTGCCAGCGGCTCGTGCAGCGTCTGTTGCTCACCAGCCACCAGCCAGAATTCTGCTGCATCCAGGGCGAGTTCGGGGTCTTCCGGGTTATGCTGCTGCATCAATATATAGTTCACCAGGCCATCCATGTGGGGGATTAGCTTCTCGGGTGCGAAGTCGACCAGCTGCGCAAAACTCTGGCACACTGTCCTCCGTACTTCTGTGTTTGGGTCGTTGGCAAGTCTGAAAAGCTGGGCCAGGAAGAGGTCCAACGATGCGATCAGCGCCTGGGGTCTTTGCGGGAGAAAGACGTGGATCGTCTGCAGAGACATCGAGCGCACGTTGGGGCTCTGGCTCTGGGTAAACTCGAGAAGCTTGGGTATAATCACATCTAGGGGACGCTGTCCCTGGTAGTCCCGGTCGAGGATCTTGCGATTGTCCTCACAGACCTTGGCGAGAGCCGACATCGCTGCCTCCTGGGCGACCACCGGCACATCCCCGGGCATGTTGCCCACCAGCGAGATCAACTCCTGAAGCACTTCTGGCCATGCCAACAACCCCGCGCGCTGGATCAACTCCGCGATGATACTTCCAGCCGAATTCCGTACCTGCGGGTTGGGGTCTCGGAGCGTGAGGATGGTGGCAGATCGCACATAGGCTAGACTCTGTTGCGGGATGGTAGTGTATGCCACATGAATCTTCGTCTTCAGATTCATGGCAGCGGCGAAACGGACGACATTGTAGGTATTCTGGTCAACCCCAACAGCGGATGGTACTTGGGGCGTAGCAAAGAGAAATGTGAGGTAGTTGACGAAATCGGGAGACGACGTCGCTTGCACGAGCATCTGTCATTCACGCAGCGGAGAGACCCTTTCGTTAGCCCAGCTCTTCTGGCACCCTCGATCCTGGGTTGTATGCGGCATCTTCCGTGATCTCTGATGGACCAGGATCGGAAGAAGAAGAAAAAAAAAATCCCCAGAAGCTGCAAAGCGGACAGCAAACTCACCTGCTCCGCTTGTTTCTGAACGGCGCGATCATATCCGTTCAGGGAGTCCCTCAGATAACCCGCCAGCTGTCTCAATGGCTCGTCCTGCGGTTGCCACGCCATCTTGGAGAAATGCTCGCGGTGGTAGCGAAGTGAAGGGGGGGGACAGGGGAGAAAAGACCGCCGACACGTACGGGGACCGAGTGGGAAGCGTTTAGGATGGAAGCCCCGCGATGACGGATAAAGCTCCGCGAAACGTTGCTTGGCGAGGACAGCGTGTGAACCAGGCGAGGTCGAGAAGGGAAAAAAAATAAGGAAAAAAGGCGAAAAAAAAAAGAGTTGTCCCACAGGATAACTAGTGTATCCTCTATATTTGAAGTTACACAGCTCCCTTTTTCTCCACGGTGACCTCTTTTTTTGCGAGGAAAAGAAAAAAGAAAAAGGGTAAAAAAATATGGGCGGCGTCTAAGTACCAAATAGCAACCAGCAGACCGACGGGATCTGTACACTTCTTAAGTAGCCACCCAACCCTGCAACGTCCGAGAAAAAGAAACAGAAACGATGAGATCTCCGATCAGGAACCTGATATCTATTATTATTCAGTATTTCAGAGACAACAAGCAAGTCCCAACGCGCCTTGTCCAGCAGGGGGCTAGACACAGTGGACGATGTCGGGGGCGGGTTCTCACTGCGGTGAGGGTGAGGGGGTGGGCAGTTCTAAGTAGTATGGATGATTATTTACTTGAGAAAAGACAACTGTATATATAAAAAAGGAGTGGCGAGAAAAAAAAAAAGGCTGTGATACAGTAAGATATTAATACGGCTCTCTGCAACCCAACCAACTACCAACGAACTCTGCCCAAATTAATCCTGTTCGCCGGCAGAAAGGAAGTATCACTTATTTGGTCCCGTCACTTGCTATATTGGACTTTCTTCACGAGAAACCAACAGAAAAGAAAATTATATATAATATATATATATATATAGTTCCTCCTTCTCTACAAGATGCATATAACTATACACATGCATAGAAGAAGAAATAAAAACCAATAATCACATGCCAAGGAACCCAGAAACTGTCTATCTAGGTACACGTACAGTACACACATACTAAGTAAGTAAGCAACGTAGATAACTATTTACAGTAACATTACCTACCGAAGAATATCTCAACTTCCTTCCTGTTCCCTTGCGACCATTTCGATCTTCCCCATCCTCTCTCCACATTGGCCCAGCTAACTCAGTCTGCCGCTGCGCATGTGCACGCGGAAGATCATGAGTGGCCGTGGGAGATCTGAGCGTCCTAGTTTGTTGGGTACGGTACTTACTGCTACTGCTATTGTTATACCCCGCTACTGTGTACTAATGAGGTACATACATAAATAGGTCCCAGGACCATGGAGCATGATCATGATCATGCTTGAAGTTTAGCGATGTGGTATATGAGATCATTCGTGATAATTATTTGAAAAATGACTATAATTTCTTCTTTGTTGCCGGGGACAAATCACTATTCTGAAAAGACTGTCTTGAATCTTTCCTGTCTATTTAGGCTATTTATACTCATAATAGAGGATTGGCAGAAGAGAAGATCATAGAATATACGGATGCGTCATGAATATTCTCATAATCTCTACTCATCTCCATAATTATACGTACCTGTATAAAAAAAAATCACGCCCAAACCAACTTCTTGAAATCATAAACCAAATGCTCCAAATACCCCGTTCGCTTCTTCGCTTCGTCTAATGAAATGATATCTTGTTCTTCGATAACGGAACTTTTCTCGACATGTCCTGGACCTCCGTCCTCAGCAGTCATCATGGCGCGTTCGATCTCGACACAGATCGAGCGAACGGAATCAATCTCGCTGACGGCGAGGTTGTTCCGGTTCTGGACCGTCACGCAACTGGACACAGGGAGGGCCTTGAAGGCAATGAATCGTGTTGTAGTTTTCTTTTCGCCTTTCAGCCACGATGCAATGTCCCATTCGTTCTTGGTTTCGCTATCCTGGGCGTCTTGTTTGAAGAGACTGCGAAGAGAGCGGGTGTTGACGCGTAGCGCGTTCTCATCGGCGTCACGGTAGACGATGACGAGGCCGACATTGCGCTTTTCGTCTTGCTGGATGTCTGTCATCACGGAGGTGATATATGTGCCGTAGTTGATGCGGATGATGGACTTTAGATCGATGCGTTCAAAGGAGAGGACCTTATCCGTGTTCCAGTCGAAGCGGCAGTTGTACACTGCGGAGTCGGTCAGGAGCAGGACGCATTCTTCGAATGGGAGGGTTCGCAGGGTGTTGGGCTGACGAGGAGTCAGAATCGTCCATCCTCCCAGGAGCTCTTCCCTCTGGTCACCAATTACGATCTTGCAGCTGGTCTCGATGGCGTTTTGTCGGAGTTTCTGCACTGAAATACCGGGATCCGCAGACTGCAGCTCCATCTCGAACTCCTTGAACACTCCCATCGAGACGTTGCCAAGCAAGTAGTCGATGCATGCCTGGGAAAAGTAGTCGTTGACGATGTTGTTGAAGTAGCGAGACATGGTCAAGCCCAAGTCATTCAGGGCTCCACGGTAATCGCGCTTCCTGGTCCGGGTGTAGTCGCCCTTGAGAGCCGCAGTGGACGAATACTGCTTAGAGATAGCATCGCCATTGTCGGCCCAGAGGATATTGAACCACTGGGTGGATGAGTCTCCGTGCAGGTCAATGCTGATGCCTTCACTGAGAAGCTCCCTCTCCAACGCTCTTCCGCCAAAGGCACACTGCGCGACTCCCGTGCGGTCCAAACAATCCATGCAGTTCGTCCTCACAATCCCTGTCTGGTTCCGTAGGATGTTGTTGCCCTGAATAACCGTCTCCCCGTACTCGTCTAGAGTCTCTTCGAGACTATCAACCAGTTTCTTGATATTTTCAAACTTCATCCCACGGCATTCGCTATGGAAGTCGAACCACTCAAGACGCAGTTGCGACCCGTCCATGGTGCCCCCTTCACTAAGAGCCTTCGCATATTTCTCGTACATCTCTCCAACTTTGGCTTCCCCTCCATGTTTGTCGATAAGCGAAACTGCTTGAATCTTCCCATATCTCTTACTCAGCTCCCGGAAATGCTTGTTGAACGCAAGCTGGTTAGTCTGCTCCGAATGATGGAGCACTGGAACCGGCTTGAGGGAATACGGTGATTGTGAGAAGTAGATGGGTACAGAGCCACGCAGTTGCAGAAACGAGTACACCTTGCGAGAAGGGTCCCATGAAGGAGTCGAGAGGATTTGCTCCGTCTCTACCGTATTAGCGGTGTTCCCATCGTCGTCCACACCACGCCGCAGGTATCGCAATCCTGGACGCATGATCGATCGTCGCGAGATGAGCGTAAGCAGATATTCGTGCGTTTCCAAGCCCTTCTCAGACGACTCCACCTCCTGCGTTTCCGCAAGGACGCTACCCTCTGCAGCGGGTTCATCAGGTTTCCGTTCCTCTTGCGGTTTCTTCTCCGGAGCAGCAACCGAAAACTGTCTCTGGCCTACAAACCCCTGCATAAGAGGCAGAATGAAGCTATGCGCACTGGCTTCGATCAGAGGATTCATTAGATGCTTATTCCAAAAATACTGCAGACTGTTAGCTCCGATACACTCATAAGATACAACAAGCTAGTACGTACCAATGGATCTACCGTGGTGTATAGCGGCGAATGCGCCTTAATCGGGTCCTCCACACTGAACCGTCTCGTGAGATCATGATCATATGAGAAAAAGAAATTCTTAGAAGAGAAAAGCAGCTTCGTATACCGAAGCAATTTAGGCATCAGCTCCACCGTCTCATCCGGCGTATGATCCTCTTGCGCCTCTTTCTTGGACGGAATTACCCCTTCAGGCGCAGCGGTCGTCGCCTCCTCTTTCACGTCCGAAATGTCTGCCCCTGGAAGAGTTGCAACCGGATCGCTTTCTTGATCAGCATCGGTCTCTTTACCAGCGACGTTGTTGTTGTTGTTGTTGCTTCGTCCTAGTCCCCATTGTCCCGAGAACCAATTGACTGTAAACCGACCCTTTTTGCCAATGACGTCTTCGACGATACTGCTCACGCTCCCGTCTCTCTTATGGGAGGATGCTGCAGGAGCGCTTATGGTCTGGTCCTCACTGACGCCACTCTCCGCGCCATCGCTAGTAATACTGGAGGCATCAGTCGATGCGTCCGAGGCTGTCTCCCCGGGTCCCAGTTCGCCGCCAGAAAGATTCTCATGAGCTTGTAAGATCGCGCGACTTGCATCGGACTGCGAGGAGAGAGGGATGATCGCGACGTTCGTCACTGCATAGATGGGTTTGCCGAGGATCTGAGCGACTTGCTCTCTTTGCGTGATTGAAATCAGAAATGAATAAGACGCTACTGATAGCAGACCTGTTTCGCCAGAAGAAAAGGACATCAATCGATAATCAGCATGGCTATTCTTCAACGAGTATAATCGCACTGGCCTGTCTCTCTCTCCCTCGTGCGCTCCGCTCAGGCCGCGGGGAAAACTCACCAACAACACCATGCGCTTCCAGCTCTGCATCTTTCTGCTGTTGTTGCTTCTGCTGTTGATTCTTCCCTTCTGCCTCCCCATCCTGCTTCTTCTCATTCAGATCAGGACTGACCGACGGCAGCGACTGTGGCGGCAACGACGAGATCTTCCTCGTCTTATACTGAATCTGAATGGCGTGGTGTCCGTTGCTGGCATTGCGCTGCGCATTCCCGTGGGGCTGGAGGATCAGCCCGTCAACTGCGGCGATGACGAGGAGCTTTCGCACCAGGCCCGGCATTGCGACGATGGCGAAGAAGACGAACTACAGCTCAGCCTATGTTCCGGACGACCGTGCCATGTAGCAGCTATACCGCGTACAAGAAGCGAATCCACCGAAAAGGTAACAAGACTAAGTAGGAGATACCTAGACTCTGACCCTGCTCGCAAAGAGGACTCAACAGAGAACGTAAAGAAAATGGAGTGAAGCGACCAGCCCAGATAGAGACGAGGCCCTGGATATGAGAGTAGAGAGTCCGATCCTTACTTCCGTCGCAACTGAACAATACTGGTAAAAGGTGTTGGATGTACTCTCCAGCCAACTACATCATAGGTCGGGGTTAGTCTAGGGGGGCTTGGCGGCGTACACGTACTTAATCGGAGTTTCAGTAGTAAACTAGCATCACTAGGTAGCATATTATCCTGATATATAACTGTTCGTTTGATTAGTTCATTCAATCATTTCTTTTTTCTATTCGCTGGATTTTAGACCATGGGAATGTCAAAGGATAAGTAAGTAACAGACGAGTTAACTAATAGTTCGCAAGTCAGTAACTATTTAACTATAGCATAAGTCCGCGAAGCAGACCACCTTTCATCCGACCCCGGAACTAAAATCAATCCAGCGCCAACTGTCTGATTATATATTTTCCAACCTCCGGGAGCACTTGAATTTCGTAGTATCAAAGGGTGTTGCTTGGTCTTGAACCGAAATACGCTTCAGTCAGCAGTAAAGTATATTAACTGACTAGGAGTTTAGTAGAATACCCCTCTCCGGTCAAATTAACCTATAGGGGGTGTGTATTGTACACGTGTGAGAGGCTGACTACCTAACTACCTAGCCTAGTATACTAGTAGATCACCGGTATAATGTGAGAAATATGAAGAATGTCATCTCTTTATAAAAATGATAATAGGAAACAGATCCGGATTCTATAATTACACCCAGGTCTCGGACAGATGGCGCAGAAGCTAAAACATGCCCAGATCATTTCAAGCAGCAAGAAAACAGACAAAACAAAAAAAAGAGATAGTGTACAACAGCAGAGAAAATAGCAGCGGTGCATAAAGAACATATATACATGCCTAGGTACATAGATAACATGTTGTCTCTCGTCAGACAGTCCGTCATAGGTAGACTCTTTTTCCCTACCCGAAAAGACAACGCGAGAGATAAGGTGAGAAACATCACCCCGGTCCAATTCTTTTGCTGGGCCGCAGATGCATATAGGAAGAGGTGCATATATGATATCGCTCATCGCAGACATGCCCGTTCTTCCTCGTTCTCGCAAACAAATACTTCGTCCCATGAACAAAACCCACCAGACCCCAGGATGTATACAATCGATCTGATCCGAATTCGTGCCGTGTCCAATCATTCCTGGGAATTTTATCGTCAAAAAAAAGATGTCGTTGAATCCCCAACCTAGCCCAAAAAGCCGAAAGAAAAAAATCACGCAAGAGAATTGTAAGGCCTCCCGCGGCTGCGCCGCCTTGATAATGCTAATAAACGAAGAATCAACGAAATCAAACTGTGTCCCATGTCATCGGTCATCGTGCTTGGCACCAAGTTCGGCACGGTTGGCCTCCCCACTATGCTTGCGGGTAGGACCCGGTTCCCCGTCGCTTTCCTCCGCCAGCTCACTCAAGCCAAAGGCGCCATCCTCAAGATCGTAGGAATGGATGAGACCTTCGCGGTCGCTCTGGCCATTCAGAAAAGCTATGCTCGAGGAGCTCCTCCGGTGAGGGTCTTGACTCCTCCTCGACTGCATAGACCGCCGGGTGTGGAAGCTGGCAATTCCGTCCGTGGGAACACCGTCTTCTTCGTCAATCTTGCCGTTGAGGAGCTGGCGACCGTCCGGGTCGTTTCGAGAAAGGTTGAGGAGATACACGCCGGAGAAGATAACCAAGAATCCGCAAAGAAGCGAGATGGTATTGACGGCGTCGGTGGTGTTGAAGCCTTTGAAAAGGATAAACGAAGCGCAAAGCGTAGCTGTAGTGAACGTGACGTAGTAGAGAGGGTTGACACTACAAATGGTGATTAGCTGGGCCTGGGCCTTCCGCATTGACTGGGGGAGCTTACATGGACGTAGAAAACTGATTCAAGGCCTTGTTAAAGTAGTTCATCTGCGTCAGGATGCAGAATCCGGTGACGATGGCGAAGACATAGGTCGAGGCATGAGTGAACTGGTTGTGTCCTCCAAGTGTTAACTTGAGCGCAATTCCAAAGGCCTTCACAGACATGACCGATACGGAGCCGACAGTGGAGCAGATCGAGATGTAAATCAATGGGTTCTTCTTGCCGTAAACCGGGGCGACACGGTAGATCATCACGGTCGAGAAGACCGCAACAGCCAGACAGTACAACAGGAAGCCTATCCACTTGTTAGCTCGATGATGGATAGAGGATTCTGCCGCGTATCGAGAACAAACCTGGCTGCAGGGCGTAGTGAAGAATTTCATCAATAGTTTCTACTGGCTTGTCTGGAGGCGCATGCAATACGATGACGACGGAACCGAGGAGACACATTGCACAACCAAGTTTCCCCAGTACACCGAGTCTTTCGTTCAGGAAATAGGAACCGAGAACGGCGCTGGTATCGCATCAGCACGGACATTCAACATTCAGCGATGAGACTGCATTACACACCCAATCAAGACACTAAGCGCACCCAACGGTGTCACCAGAATCGCAGGAGCAAAGGCATAGGCCGCAAAGTTGGAGATTTCTCCCAGAGCGACTAAGATCCATCATCCATCGTCAGTATCTCAAGCACAATGGTTGGGGGACGACAGATAAGTTGGCGGACGTACGTGTGCCAATACCACCCCACCAGATTGGGCTTTTCAGGTACGAGAAGCCCTCTCCCTCGAAACCATGGGTTTCGGAGGCATGCAACAAGCCCTGCGCCAAATGCCATTAGCCTCTGATGATATATCCCGCCAGCCGTCCTCGATTGCACTTTATCTCGGCCTCGAAAGGCAGTATATTGTAGCCTAAACCAACCTTTTTGGTGATAACGAAACTCGTTCCTGCAATAGAATCCGTTAGCCATCAATTACATGGTAGACGAACTTTAGTCAAGCTTTTACTCGAAGTACATACCGATAGCCATGGTGGACAGGATTGCCAGTATCAGTCCGATATATCTACCAAGCGGGAAGATGTCCATCAGTACACGTTGCAATGAGATTGACCATCATGCACGAAACGCTTTCTCTCACAGAGGCGTCCCGGGATAGCAATGACATACTTGTCTGAAACCATCTTGATATAACTCTGAGGAGCCTACTGCTCCTACCGTCGCACAACCTCCAATGCTAATAATTCCGGAGATATCGAATAACGCAGGACCGAACAGACCCGTTGAATAGCTTCCGGCTCCCTGTTCGTCTGACTCGAGGACGCTGCACCGAGGAAATCGTCCTGAAGCGCACGGAATAGGACAGATGGACGCTGTGTTCAGCTGGAGATGGGTTGAGAGGCAAGGATATCTGGCGCCCTTGAACGAGGAGGAAGCGGTGCGAGACGAGGGGTAGCACAATTGGCGGCAGACCAGTGATCCAGCACGAGTGTCTGCAAAGTCGAGTTGCCCGTCGACAGTATTATTATCGCACAGCGGATACCCTCGTGACCGTGGTGTGAGTGTGTGTGTTTTTTATTATAATTTGATTTTAGTGTTTGTGATTTCTTTTCTCCAGTGGTATTTTGCGCTCCTAGTCGCAAAAGAAGGAGCTCAGATTGCCTCGGACTTGGCCTCCAGGTACAAGCGGCTGGTGCGGTGCGGTGGGGTCCTGAATCGAGCTGGAGCCGGGTGGACGCGTGTTTCAAACGAGTGACGGAAGGGAACACTGCGGTGGCGCTCAACAGGAGGAGAAGGCCCAGCGACCAGGTCCGGGAGAAGGGAAGAGAAGAAAGAAGCCGAGTCGAGTAGAGTAGAGAAAGAGACGAAGGGGGGTGCGAGGTGAGTAGAGTAGATTATTGAGAGAGAACAGAGCAGGGCAGAGTCGACGGGAGCGAAAGTTGATGCAAATGCAGAGACACGCCAGACCAGCAAGACCGGAGAAGATCTGAGCTGCACGGGGCACTCGGGGTTGCACTTCTCGTCAGGGCGTATTAAGACTCTTAACTAACCTGACTAGTTAGCTGGTTCAGTCCCAAAAGACCTGGCATTCCGCGCATCCACCCGCTGCCCCTTGACTTGGCCTGGAGACAAGCCTCCAGCCTCCAGGGGATCGTTTCCGTGGTCTGATCGTCGTTTTGCTTCATAGCTCAAACCCGCTGGCTTTGCCGGTCCAGTCCACGGCGTCAACTGCCCTGGTGAGGCTGGTAATGCACGATGAGAGCTGATCTGGTACGGATGGTGATGATGATATTCTACTGTACATATCTAGACTATATACATGCTCTTCGAGTGCATACACTCTGATAGCTGAGTGCGATCCATCCATCATCTCCTAATAACCCGTCTCTCCCGTGCACGATACACTACTCGATCTTTGCAAGCCTCCCCCAACAATCGGCTTTTTTATTATTATTATTGTATTATTATTAGTACACTACACATTATTACTTGCGCCGGCTCCGTGCTCCTTCAGCTGTCGGGGTTGGTTAATTTTAGAGATGAGCCACAGTCACGTGGGCCGTTGTCCCCAGCACGGATGCGTCGGAGACATCCAGAGCTCTGATTAGTAGAGTACATTATCACTATCGCTTTTTGTTTCCTTCATGACTACCCCTTTGGTCTTAGTAGTCGAGTTTCTGCTTCCTTGCTCATACTGCGGTCTATACTCGAAAAACAGGCCGGTGTTGACGTTCCACTGAACACCCGCCGTAAGCAAGGGCGTGTCCATGGCTGTCCATGGCATTTGCTGGAGATTAGCAACTAGCTAATTAATACTGACTCGCTCGCACATTATCGTCTTACAGATGTTACCACGGTACCTGCCTCCAAGTTTCGTTGCCCAGACGAGAGCGGGACCGGAACTACCACGGAACCCAAGCTCTAGCGTAGAGGAGAATACAATCATACATCAACATAGCGCCCTTTGTTGGACAAGTAATTCAGACATAACTAAGCTAGAAAGGGAACAAGTGCTTTTCTGGTATCATCCCAGGATACAGAGCGCCCACATAAACGCCGGAGCCCACACATCACTCTCACAGAGTCAACCGCGGTGGCCGGCATACTTCCAGGACACGGCAAGCGCCGACACCCCCAATGTAGATGCCAACCCGGGAGAGGAGAAAACAATCGTGGGTCAACCCAGAAACAGGGTAGACGCCAGCAACGGATGATACAGCAATACAAGACAAGGGTAACAGTTTTGAAGAAGCAATGGTAACTAGCAAAAGAGCAGACAGAAGACGGCCGTAAGGCCAAGGTGAGAGGGTAAGGACACGTACCTGCTGAAATTGCTCTTCCACATCCGCTCGATACTCCATCGTCATTACCTGTAGTCTCAGTGAAATAGCGCGATATTAAACGTTAGTAAAGCTTCCTGCACCGAGACGATGCGATCCGGCCAGGACGGTCAGACGGGTAAGTCGAAATCCGCATGGACACTGTCATCAGTATGCCATGTCGAATTATCTGTACAATAAAAGGCGGATACAAGGGAAAGGGAAAGGGACCTATGTCACGAAGAACGGCGACGCTTAGCATCAGGACTCGGTGACTGGGCGACATCGACCTCGTCTTCAGGACTACGGGACCGTTTCCCAGAATGCCCACTTTCACGCGAATCCGGCTTCCCATTCTCGGTCTCGCCGTCAAGGGCGGAGGCCGTGCCTAGGTCGATATAATCATCCTCCTCGTCAAAAGGCAACTCCTCATACTCATCTCCCGTGTCATGAACCAACGTTTCTTGACCGGTACCAGAGACACTAGCATGAGTGTCGTGCTCAAATTCCTCATGGCTGACAGGGGCGTGGGCCACATTCGCTTTCTTCGCTGGGCTTTTGAAGATGTCTTCGTCTATACCGAGAAGATCTTCATTGGTCCCAGGCTCTTCACCTTGATGTTGGGTATCATCGGATGATTCGGGGTGGACTTCAGCCTGCTCATGAGACTCGCCGTAATCGCCCTCAGTGACTTCCAGAGGCGGCTCCGGAATGGCGTCTGCCTTCTCAGGTTCACTCAACTCATTCGGATCGGCCGTAGGCTGTTCTTCTTGACCGTCTTGAGAAACGTCAAGAGATGCATACTGACCCGGTTGAGGTTCGTCATGTTCGTAGACACCTTCGTCGAAGTCCTCGTCTTCATCTTGGACTTCCTCACCGGCAACGTTGTGGTCTACACTATCCGTTGCCTCTTCACCGGCGTCAGCAGCGTCTCCATCACCCTGGGCTGCTGATTCTTCGGCCGCCTTGTCCGCTTTGAGCTCATCTGCAGAGACCTGTGCAAGCGTGGCTGTCGATTCAGATGCTTCCTCTTCATAATCATACTGGTCATCTCCTGGACCTGCCTCACCAGGCTCCACTTCTGCGTTGGGTTCGCCATCGAGCTCGCCCTCTTCATCTTGCTGCTGTTCATGGTGGCCGTCGGTGACAGCAGGAGCGACCTCATCATTTCTCTCGTAAGAAAACTCGTCAGTAGCGTCCGCCGGCTTCGATTCACTCTTATCGGCATTAGTATCTTCACGGTCGTTCGATGCGGTGGCTTCCTGCGCATCGATCTCTTCTGGGGCCACTTGTCGATCTACGTGCTCTTCCTCCGTCTGCCGGGGCTCAGGTGCCTCAGCTGGGGCAACCTGTTCAGAAGACTCCGGCCTGCCCTGCTCTTCTTCTTGTTCTTCTTCCTCTTCTCCATCCACGGGGCTGTCCTTGTCCTCAATCTGTTGCTCATCCTCATATTCTTCCCATTGATAAATATGGGATAAACCCTTCCCCTCACCTGCAGCTGCAAGAAGGTTAGAAATTTCGGCGGGGAGTGTGAGTTTCGTGCTGAGGGTAAGGTAAAGAGGTTCGGGTTCATTCATGCCGTCGTTGCGGCAGAGATCTAAGTACAACCCAACTATCTGAGACAGCGTCACCTTGGACGTGTGATACGAGTCCTGCACTAACTGTTAATAAACCGGTTAAAAGCAGCGGAATAAAAGCGCTTACCTCATTCAACTGCAAATTGAGCGAGTCGATATCTACAACTAACACTTCACCCTCGCTGATATGTTCACCTAGGACCTCTCGACATGAAGAGAGAAGTTTACCAAGATCTCCATAGGCAAGGCTCTCGTCCTCAAGGAAAAAGGTCTCTGAGGAGTCACCTTCCCGTGGACGAAACAAAGATATCTCACTGTCCTGATACAGGACCTTCACAGGATGGAGGTGAGAAACCTGAAGGGACTCTTCAGTCCTCTCATCCACCGTCTCATGGGCACTCTTCTCTTCCATTCGAGCAGCACCATCTTGTTTTGGAGATGGGGGTGTCTCATGGATCTGTGCGATTTCAGGTTCACTATCTTGTGCTTGTTGTTCTTTATCCACACCGTTGACATTTGGTTCATGTGACTCTAAACGAGTTGAGTTGTTAGTGTCATCTTCCGGTTGATGATGCTGCTGCTCGCCATGATCCTTGACATTGTCAAGCTCCTCAGTAGCTTCTTCTGTGCCGTGACCTTTGGCTTCCTTGGGCTGTTCCTGCAGGTCGTGATGCTCGATTTTTTGTTCTGTCAGATGCTCCGTAGTATCACGATGTGCTTCATCTTCGTTCTCTTTATTCTGCTCAGTGGTCTCCTGTTGTTCCGGAAACTCAGACGTCTCCTGGAGATCCTGCTGATCCGGCTGGGTGTCGGTAATGACAATATCAGGTTGTTCAGGAACAGGTGCGTCGATATCTTCGTCGTACTCTTCCATCTGCGCTTCATATGTCTCCTCGATGTGGTAGTAGCCATTTTCGTTCGGGCCAACCGTCCCCTGGTTATTTTCATCCGCGTCGATCATGGGCCGTTCATCGATCTCGTCCACCATATCAGCATCGTTAACTGAACCTGGGCCATTTGTAGGTTCTGGAGTAGCGTCTGCCACGTCAAGGTCCTGATCGACCTCTGAAACCTGATCTTCCATCACGTCCAGATCGATCTCGAAGTCATCCATGTGCCCTTGATATGGCGACGCCATCTCCATACTATCGTCGCCGGGCGGAGGTTCCATCGTAGAAAACTGTCCTTGCGCTACTGTCGTCATGACATGTGTCGATATGATATATTGCTCAAGAGAAAAGAGTCACGTTGACTGCAAAAAGGCACGTTGTCATCGACCAGAACTTGAGAGACAAAGTGAAGTCTCGTTGGATAAAGACGCGTAGAGAGTTCCTTTGATGTAAGAGCTACAATGAACTCAGGGAATAGCCAACAAACGAGTCAAGCTTGAAGCTGGCCTATCCATCGAACATATGAAGCCGTGGTCTGATGCGCAGTCTTTGCAGGAGGCAAGTTCAGCAAGGCAGCCGCCCGCCTGTGTCTCCGTAAGCGAGGGGCTAGCTTGGTGCACGGGCCAAGACGGGCAACCTCCAGACAAAGAGAACAACATGCGCAGTATCGGGGACGGTCTATCTGGCTTCGACACGGGAGACCGCACCAACGCACTTGTCGCCGCGTAGTAGCTCTTTTAGATGCTAGCAATTACTTGAGGCCCTCTTGTGTTTGAGCCCTACATCAACAATGGTTTGTTGTCCCCCATCATCAATGACACGGTCTCCTTAACTGATTGCGTCCGCACACAGGTCGTCCTCGCCGCTTCGATATGCACCCGAGGGGGCAAGGCAGTGCTCTCACGTCAATTCCGCGAAATCCCTCGTTCCAGAATTGAAGCTCTACTTGCGTCTTTCCCTAAGCTCGCCGACGCCGGTACGCAACACACGACCGTCGAGCAGGACAACGTGCGATTCGTTTACCAGCCGTTGGATGAACTCTACATCGTGCTCATCACCAACCGCCAGTCCAACATTCTACAGGACATCGACAGTCTCCATCTCTTTGCACAGGTCACCACTAGTATCTGCAGGAGCCTCGATGAGCGGGAGATTTTGCGCAGCGCGTTTGAGCTCCTCAGCGCCTTCGATGAGTTGGTCACCCTGGGATACAGGGAGAACTTGTCCCTGAGCCAGATCAAGACATTCTTGGAGATGGAGAGTCACGAGGAGAGGATACAGGAGATTATCGAAAGGGTAGGGAACAATGGATTATGCTGGTTAATTGATCAGGCTGACCCGGACAACAGAACAAGGAACTGGAGGCTAGTGAAGAGCGGAAGAGGAAGGCGAAGCAGCTGGAGATGCAGCGCAAGGAGGCCGCTCGTACTGGCCGTGGTATCCCTTCCAGGACTCCTACATATCCCGTCTATACCCCGCCGTCTCGCCCGGCAGTTCCAGATACATTCGATACCTATGAGGCAGAGAAGAAGAAGACATTCGCCAAGTACGTTTTTGCTGGTGGCCCAATTCTGATACTCTACTGACCTAGTTTAGGCCACTCCCGACACGTGGAAAGGGAATGCAACTCGGCAAGAAATCCAAGACTACGGATATCTACGAGAAGGTTCGCGGCGACCTGGGTCCTGAGGTCGAGGAATCCACTCCGCTTGTCACACCTCAGGCTTCCACCCCCGTGGCGGGTCAATCCTCCGCTCGTGCTTCCCTGTCGGCCGACCGGGAGGCGGTTCATGTCACTGTGGCCGAGAGTATATCCGCAAGACTGACCCGCGAGGGTGCAGTGAAGTCCTTCGAGGTTAAGGGTGACCTTCAGCTTCGCATCTCCGACCCTACCTTCACGAAAGCCAAACTCGAGCTGGTCGCCAACCCGACACATGGTGCTCAGTTCCGTACGCATCCTAATGTGGACAAGGGCCTGTTTACCAGCTCGAACGTTATCCAGCTGAAAGATACTACGAAACGGTTCCCCGCAAACAACTCTATCGGTGTCCTGCGATGGCGTGTTGCGGGATCTGACAACTCCGACCTTCTTCCCGTCAACTTCACTGTGTGGGTGAACAAGGGATCAGACTCAACGACTGTCACGATCGAATATGAGCTCAACCAGTCTGACAGCCTGCGTGATGTTACCGTGACTATCCCTTACTCTAGCCAGGAGCCGACTGTCTCCAGCTTCGATGCCGTCTACGAAGTATCCGGTGATACCCTGGAGTGGAACATCGGCACCGTGGACCAGGATAACCCAACTGGCAGCTTCGAGTTCGAAGCCCAGGTCGACGACGAGAACGAGTTCTTCCCTATGAACGTGCGGTTCTCGAAGTCAGCACCATACGTCGATGTGGACGTCTCCAGCGTCTCGTTGCTCGACATGGAGGGTGAAAGCGTTGGATTCTCCAAGGATATCAAGAGCGTTTCGGAGGGTTTCGTGATCGAGTAATTCAGCTATGGTTGTCCAAACTACTAATGACGTTGGGGTTTTCTTCAATTTAACCGGTTCTCGTTGTTTATTATCTGCTATACCTGGTTGTTGTCGGTCAGGGCTTGTGACTATGTTCCAGCGCTTTTGTATCACCTTGATGCGATTCACTTCTTCTTTTCCGCCCCTTCTATTTCATCGTGAAGGCCGGCCTTTTCGCCAGTCCCACAAGTATCTTGAACCTGGCAGCTTGCTCTTGAATCTCGTAAAAAGAAAAATACAAATATCACATAGAGACAAGACCAAACAATAAAACAAAAGAAAAAATAGAGCAATGAGCAAAAAAAAAAAGGCCCTATCACCCTGAACCTCCGTCCCAGTCAATCAATCAATCAGACAGGGTCAACACTCGGTTAGGCTATTATTTCGAGTAGTTTTCTCTCGCCAACGTGCTAGTACTCTACTCTACCACTCTACTACGTACTTTCTCCCCTCACTCACGGGAGTCACGGATGCGACGGAAATTAACTGCTGTGCCTCATGCAGTACTATGACGATAAAGAGGTTGCTAATCCTTCGACCTGATCGGCCTTTTTCTCACAAATGACACGCGGACACGAGGGACGCTTACGCAGGGGGTATCTCTTTTTTTTGAGCCGTGCAGCAGTTGTTGGGGCCGTTATTGCAACAGACAGCGTCGCCTACAAAGTCTGTCTTTCTTTTTCTTTTTCTTTTTTTTACTTGGTTGCTTGTAATACTGTAACTGTAAAAGGCATATCATGTCACCTCGTCGTATGACTGGTGCGGATCGCACATCCTCAGCCAATCATGGGTTAATTTTTCGCGCGTAGCTTTACCGCTAGACTAGATAGTTGATTAGAGTATGTACACCTGGGCAATCGATCATCAGGTGGCTGATTTGCACTGACTACGGAGTAGAATGTGAACAGATCTAGTTAGGGCTGTGCAAAGAAAAAGCTGGTAAAGCAGGAAGTGGAGAGGGGATTAGTCTAGACGCTATCTATCAACGCCCCTGGGACATCGCCCGGGCGACATGAGGATGGGTGAGAGGAGGATCGAGGACTAATGATTAACTTTCACCAAGCGATTTCGTTATCGACAATCTCCACGATTTAACCAGGGTTTAAGAAGTAGTTGACGGCAGTTGCTCCTGCGTGGATCATCGGGACTGACGGTTAGAGATGCAGGACACCGTCCTAAACAGTAAAATTTCCGTGTGCTTTGCATCTGCACAACCTTGCTGTTGGAAAGTATCGCAGAGGGGGACCTGCATCGACCACAACGTTGACCGTTTACCAGAGCCATCAGCCGCGGGTTTAGGGCACAGTGAGGCGTCTAGCATGCAGCTAGTAGTGAACAGGGGTAGGAGTTCCCTTCCGATGCTTGTTGCTTGTCATCGGGGAAAGGCGATGGCCACTGGCTAGCCTGGTCAGGAGACGGCCCTGGCATAGTTATTACTGGGTACCTATTTTCGAGCGAGGTCGATTACAGATAGTGTCCCAAATCAGGAAATGTTCATGACAATGAACCCTTGCCCCGGATCTTTCAAGCGCTTCTCCCCGTTACCACGTTAACATGTCCACAACAGCGTCCCAATCATCTGGTGTGGCATCCTTCGAGCTCCCTTGGCCTTCCGGGTTCGCTATTATTAGCTAGCTGCTTTCCCCTGATGTCCAGTAGAGGTGGATCTGGTTCTGTTGGAATTCCACCCCTCCCTTAGCGCAACGCTAAAAAAAAGTAGAGAGAGGGGAAGATGACCTATGCTTGTCAAAGAGTAATCCTCCTGGGACGTTATGACCACCACGAGAAGCTTGTTAGTTTGTATTAGTATGACTGAAGGCGGTGACTCGTATTACTGCATCTGCCTACCAACCCCAGGCTTGACAATACGGTCATCAGGAACGAACCTATTATTATGCAAGCTAGATTCCCATACCGTTCTCTTTCACGTTAGAACGGTTTTCCGGCCGATTTCTCACCGCTTCTCAGTAAGACCTGATGACTGTTAGATAGGCGGAGTCCTGTCTGCCAAGAGATGCAGTTCTCCTGTCATATGTGGGGAATAAAGAGGAGGACGGCCGGACCCGTTCGATGGAAGACAACCGTCGGTTGTGGAACGCATATTTGTGCATCATGCCGGGAAATTGTTAGCCAAAGACGTCGAAGCATACCCCCGATAGTTTGCCGTTTACAGAGCTGCAGCAATAGGCTTCATTGCGAGGGAGACTCCTGAGATGAATGGCTATTCATCAGGGCCCCGCAGCCAGCGCGCGGGGCAAGTTGTCGACCAGAAGCTGCATCCCATTCCGTCCATCGTAGCATTCCGCACTTTGAGCCACGGCCCTTTGTAGACCTATTCCATACGGGTAAGCGTGAGGCCAGAAGCTGAAAGAGGACACGAGAGAATAATAATACGGCCGGCAGCGGCGGTACCTATGCGGGAGCGGAAACTGTCCGATTTGCGTGCAAAAGAGGTGTCAGTGCAATAGTAGAAGGCAAAGAAGGAGATTACCAATGATATTGGCTTAAAATAAAGCCTAGCAAGTGCCGGTCCCCGTCGAGGGCTGGACTGGCCGTGCGATTATCGACTGGCCGAGTGAATACCGCATCTGGAGAGGAAAAGCCGATGTAAACTTCCCGCCTATCAATACAGTATCTTGTGGGGATTCTTGAATTGCCAAAACAGAGCTGCTATCTCCGACAGGAAAGCTTGCCCCTCAGGAGAACTTGGAAGATGGCGACCCGAAGACGGCTTCGGTACTACTCGTCCTGGCGAAGATGGGCAAGTTCAAGGATGCATCTAATTTAGTGAAGCCTTCACAAACATCTGATCCACATGCAACTGAGACCTTCGATGGTGTACGCGGATGAAAAACAGGGTTTCTCATTGACTCTAATGCCGTCGTCCCTGTATATTGACCCTATCGTAGGCCGACAGGAGGAACGATTGACAGTCAATAAGATGATATTGATGTCATGACAGCAGCAAGTGATGGCACCTTAACCCGCTCGGCTCTCTTTAGTTATTTTGGAGGCTGGTATGGAGTACAGGATGCGCAAGGGATCCACTGTTGAACTCTCCCATGATGTTGAGACGGAAAGGCTTCGGTCCGCCATAGTGCATGGAGAAAAATTGATCCGTAGAAAGAGAAAGCTCGCCACATATACTCTTTCTCTTTGGGTACCTAGGTACGGAGTGTGCATCTCCTAGCAGGGCCTAGGGGCGGTTCGCATGTCGCTGGCAGTAGCAACCCCGTAGATTATAAGATCCAGAAACCAATGATGGAGTATATCATGAGGACATATAAATGATATCGCATATCTCTAGTTTCGAAGCAAATATTGAGAAGGGCAGCATGTGACACGAAACAACCTCGACGGAGGCTTTTCTGGCTTGATATCTGTCTGTGTCTTAGCGGCCAATCGGATCATCCAGTGATCAAACTTACACAGTCTGCGTGTTTGGTGCCAGATTAGTGACTATCTAATGGCTATTTATCCGTCTGAGATCTTTGGCATTCGTTCTCCCTAGGAAGCTTAAGGATATGAGGACGTTCGCTGCGAAAGAAAGTACGAGTTCCGACACATGTCCATCTTACATAAGTTCGGCTACATGCTTATATAATTCATAACACTAGGCCGTTTCTGACAAGCCAGTATGGGTGCCCAGGTGGGCACCTACCAATCTTTTATAGTATCTCACTAGGACAGTAGTATTTTACTATCGTAGTGACTGTGGAACGATGATGCGGCTTAGCATGCTCGATCCTGTCCGACCAACTTCTCCGGAATCCGCGGTGAATTGAAGCTCGAGGGATCGGATTGACGGGCCGTTGGATGAGTTTGTCCGCTGATGTGTCGATACTGCGGATAAAGTCGACGATGTAGTAGTACCTATCCATATGCTGCAGGACCAGTCTAAGCAGCAGCTATGCAGTAGTTGCAGTTCCGCTGAACTATTGATCTTGATGAGCCATGGTGGCCGCGTGGGCTGGTACCTGCATGTGAACTTAGCAAATGGTGTCATCCCTCAAATGAAGATATAAACCTGCCGGCACTTACTCATCATGTCAGATTGCGAACTCCATACGATGAGGTGAGCCGTCAGCCCTACACTATACTTGGGAGATATAATCCCGTGACTGAGAGTAGAGCAGACCAGTACCTCAGACGTTAAAATCTAATCTGCGACACTGCCACTCTCTCTAAGGAATTATATGCGGGCAGGGTCTGGCGCCAAAGTGCTCCTTGCACCATCCACCATAGAGATGAGCAATAGCAGACCGGGGTGTATGATCAGGGCTAAGATTGCCGATAGGAGCCAAGAGAAAAATAATCAGGCAACACATTCGTTCTCGACAGCGCCGCGTCTAACTGCCTTTACGAAATTAGTCGCGGGAAGCCCGTATGTGTAACTAGTTTCAGGTGCTGCGTACTCAGTATAGGGTGGTATTACGCTCCAGTTCACAGGGGGAAGTCATTGGCAGCCTATCACATCTGCTCTGTATCTGTCTGTAGGTAGATAGGCCTGGACGGATTGTGCTGACAGGGATCGGATCAATAAGCCATGAGCCGCCCGAAAGAAGCATACAGATCCTATGCTATTGCTACAAGGTTAACTCTGTTCGGGTTTTCCTTTTCAGCGGTTGTTGAGCCTCATAGAATCTGATAGTGATGTCAGCTGGAAATAAATCATGTTAGCTTATACGCCTAAGTCGATAATGAGACCACGTTCTTAGGGGAATGCGGATGCGCAGTGCAGACGCATGGTACCTTACATGGCAGCAAAGCAGCCTAAACGACTCTACCCAATCTTGCTAAAGTAGTGATATGTACTCGGACGTATTCGGTTGTGCGGGCCTAAATCTATCCAAGTTAGCGTCATCTATCGGATGATTAGAAGATGTGAAGAGGTAAATGAGCCCGCTGTTTCCACGTCCCAGCAGGGGGGCGCGTACTAAATAATCAGGGTCACACAATCGTGACAAGGGTCGACGATCCGATGAACTGATCGACAAGAAAAAGTAACTATTACCGTTTGGACGAGGGCCTTGATGGTTAAAAGTGAAAGAGGAAATAGAGGTTCACATACCTTGTCAGTAACCCTATGGAGCCTATTCCACGATGCTGGAGAGCGAGCAGGGTTACAAGTGAGACAACCGCTCGTTTAAGGTGTACAGGGTGCAGCGCTTTCGAAGCTAAGACCAGCAGGAGACCAGAGAGTCCGAAATAACCGCTGATAACGGTATTCAGGGTCCTGGACTGTGCGCGTCCCCAGATACAGACCCCCGCACATAACTATACCATACCAAGCCAGGGCCGTATCATGTTTATGGTATGTCACTGACAGTAGGTATGTTCCGAGACATGAGTACTGGGGGTCCTTGATCGGCTCCACATCCAGACTAGTTCATGTCTGGGAGTCAAGATACAAAGGAATTCTCTCTTTTTTGTCAAGCGAGCAAGCTGCAAGAACCTAGTGCGGTCGTTCCCGGGTACCGTGGGCAAGTGGGTAAATACGTGGCTCCGTGGCTAAAAGACGCAACTGATCGCCTCTCAGGGTTAATATCTTGATGCTGGTCAGCATCCGAGACTAATTGCTGCATCGAAGCGGGCATATGTAAGGTACACTATGTATGAGGGGCCATATTACGTGAGCTAAGTTATGAGAAAAGAGGTCGCTATTGAAGTTAGTAACCACATATATGGAAGAAAGAGTATATCTGGAGTCATCTCTTGTCTGTCATCTGAGATAACGAAGAAACTAATAGTGAAACTAATAGTATAGCAACAAAAAAAAAAGGGGGGATACCGATGCCATATACTAACAAGTCCCGGAACCGGATGGTCAGAGTATCTATTACTACTGTTCGTATCTCCCCGTCATGCGCGGCACCACCTAACACTAGTCGTTGATGATTATGGGGAACCCTTAGCCTCGCACTCTAACCTACTCTAGACCCTCGTGCAGGGCCCATAACTTGGAAGGATCTTAAGGCTTGGACGGGGGTATTATTATTTTTTAGTTAGCAGAGGCGTGGAAACAGAGCTCATGGAGCTTGGTCCATCTACCGGCCTTAGCTGCCACATGGATCCACTCGCACGTTCACCCGATGCCAACATCCCATCTCTTGGACATAACAGCTCTTCCCCACGTCGCAATTGTACCATATGCAGGCGTCAGGACATGACAATTGCTTCCCCTGCGTCTTATGCCCGCAGTGCATAATGCACATGTGGAGTTCAATTTCGGATGCTGCCAGATTCAGATTACAGAGATGGGCTAGGTATGTACTGTATCTGTTAGCCTGGTACGAGAATCGTGGGCCAACAATACTAGCACGTAATTCAGGCATAATGTACAGGAAGCCCCAGGAACAACTTCGTCCGCAAGACGTCAGCATTATCACTGGGCCCTCTTTCTCTCTCCTTCCACTGTCCACTCAACGAGGAGAGCCGCGGGGCAAGATAGAGGGGCTGCAGAGGAACTTATTCTGGGGATCCGGACAAACTCACATTTGGCTCAGATAGCAGGGGTATCGCAGCAGCGACGTCTCCTTTCGTCTATCTTAACGAGTCGAACCTCAGATTGAGGCTTACCCGCTCATGAGTTTCCTACCAGAGAGAACCCGTCCCTTCACTCACTTCGCGCACGGCCATCGCGGAAGGTCTTCCGTGAACTCGGGCTTTAGCTTCGTCTATGTTCTGGGATGTGGAACCACGGGAAGAGATGAAGATCCATGGATGAGGATATCATTGCCACCACTTTTCCGACATGATCAGTCGATTCTCGCGATCAGTGCTTCCTGGCGGCCGCCATTATGTAACCCAACGGATAATTCAGAGAGGCCTAGTCGTATAGTTAGTATGTATGAGACCCAATCGTTCTACACACGGTACCTACAGCATCATGTCTGCATTGGGTGAGATCCCTGATCACCAGACGAGATACGACTGGGAGGTCAGCCATCTACCCGTATCTATGGGATATCAGGTCAGCCCGGTGGATTGACACCGGGAAGTCTGTCAAGTGGCTGGTCAAGCACGATCGATGGTGATAGGATCCTCCTGCTTACATTGTACTATCCGCCAGTTCCTTGAGCTTCCAGCCGCTAGGCTGACGACAGTATAGGAAACTTCAACTTAGAGAGGGGTGACATATCTTGGTGGGGTGTCCACTTAGTGTATTGCACCGGTCTGGCCAATGGATACTATCAGCCGTTACCAACGGCTTCTCACACGAGGAGATCAAAGGCAAGCATTGTATGAACGCTGGCGGCAAGACACGAATCAGCCACCGGGAGCGTTCAGTGGGCATGATTGATGATGAACCCTATTCCCATGGTGCCAGGTTGGTTTAAGCCTCTTGACTCTCGACCTACATTGTTCTGGGCCTCTTTCTCAGGCGATATCTTTGCCATAGAGAACGCATCAACAATGCATTTCCTCGCCTCCAGCCGATCGCCACTTAGCGTACGGAGTGCAGATGAAGGGATCGGACATATCATCCGCCTGTCACTCCAGAACTGACCCTTCACCTGGACGTGATCCTAATCTATCTAGCAAAAGGCCCTAGATAACTAGCTTCTGTCCTGACGCAGAGGTGCCATGGAGTTTCTGCCAATGTCTTGCGTTCCCCACTCGCATTTACTTTCCGGACTTTGATGAACTCACTGTTTATAGGACATCCTTGCTAACTTCCCAAGGATATAGCTGTTTGTGCTGCAGCTGTCTCCTCTGGACAGGACGCCATCGTCCCACCGCTTTCCGTGCCCAATTCACTAGTTTGACTGGGGACCTCAGAGCATACTGTGCTAGTATTCTTTGGATATAGTTACCTATCGTCCTCTCTTGACCTCTCTTGACATCTTATATTCGAAAGCATCCGACTATAATTGAAGAGCATACTCTCTCTGTCTGTGTCATTCAAAGCACACCCTGACACGGTGCTTCCCCTACATTGAGCCCTTATTGACAACGGGTATTGCCTGCCTGTAAGCAATACGGGGCCACTGAAGACTCCAAAGCACCTCTATATTTCATATCTGCTGCGCCCCAACGTGAAATCCCATTAATACGTCGCTCTAATATCTCTGTGTCCTGTCACGGTTCTAAATATGGAGACCTTGCGGTTTCAGGCCTGGCCCGAGCAGACATCTTGTTTCAAGCTGTCTTATGACGCGGAGACGTGCAGTCAGCTATCCAATGTGGTGAGCTTATGCGTTCGATTCCGGATACGTCGACTAGTTCTAAGAGCTGCTCAGGATCTGTCGATGTCCCATTCTCCCGAAAATGATCAGGACCGTCTGAATACTAAGAAGATGGCTATCCCCCGGCTTCCGGAGGGAGCAGAAGCTGCTTTCAGCTCCCCTGGAAGATTTCACCGTCGACACGTTCGCCGTGCCTGCGAGTCCTGCAGACAGAGGAAAACAAAATGTACTGGTGACAAATCTGGCTGTCGCAATTGTCGAGAGGCAGGCATCATCTGCTGTTATACAGATGGCAAGAGAGAGAAATCCAAGAGGTTCGTTGATTGGAGCGATTGATGCGAGTACACTTTGATATTGATAACGACGCGCAGACAGCTTGCCAGTCTTTCGGCTAAGGTTCAAGCATACGAGGACGTCATCCGCAAATTGAGCCTTAGCTTTGGCATCTCAGATGAACAGCTCATGAACAGTGCTATGTCAGCGGTACGCATGAGATCAACCGTCTAATTGTACATGCCTAACAGTTCCAGGAATCTCCCCATCGTTTGTCACTTCACCCTGACTTCCACATGGCCACGTCGAGAGGCAGACAAAACTCAGGGAGCTCCAGTTCCGGATATCCACAATCCCGATCTTCTTCAGTCGGGTCATTTGACGAAGTTGACCGTGTTGAGGAAGACTTCAATCGAGATCATACGACGCGTGCCACTGGCTACATAGGAAAGAGCTCGGAAATTGCTTGGCTGCAAAAGTTAAGTAGGGAAGTCAGCCACGAATCAGAAGTTAAACAGGAGAGTCCATCCCATGAACGATACTCACCAGCAGCCAGCTCGAAAGATGAAGGGTCAATTGAACCTTCCATTGCTTCCTCGAGCTATTATTTAGATGATACGGAGATCACTATTCCAGCCCGAGTGGATCCATATGGCATGCCGTCTCGGGACGTCGCTGCCCGCTTGTTCAATGCCTACTTGGCTTCGGTTCACCCTTCATTTCCTATAATCGGTATTTCCACATTCATCTCACAGTATCAGCTCTTCTTCAATCAACCTTCTGTGAAGCCTGGAAACAAGTGGCTGGCTATTTTGAATCTGATCTTCGCGATTGCTGCGAAGTATTCCCACATTTCCCGTGCTGATTGGAGAGACAATGAAGACGATCATCAGCTATATTTTGCGAGAGCTAGGATGCTTAGTATGAATGATCAGCTTTTTGATCATCCAGATCTCCAGCAAATACAGGTTGAAGGTCTAGCGTCATTTTACCTGCTAGCCATGGACCAGATAAACAGGTATGTTCAACATAACTGTCATACACAGATACAATTCTGATTCCCGATTCGACAGAGCCTGGAAGCTTTGTGGAAACGCTGTTCGTGCGGCTGTGGCGCTCGGCCTGCATCTGAGGAACGTAGGTTCCTCCACATCCGACACCTCGAAAGAAATCCGATACCGTGTCTGGTGGTCCCTTTATACAATCGATCACCTGCTTAGCGTGATGACCGGTCGACCTACATGCATAGTGGACAGCACCTGCACAACCCCACTGCCAGTTCCGTTCGACGAGTGCGATTTCCAAAAGGAAGAAGTGACTCAACTTATCGGTAACTCTTCTCGCAGAAATTCGTATACTCATGACAAAATGTCAGATTGTTCCAACACGCCAAGTCCGGCGCAGTTGGAAATTCCCAGCATGGAGCCGCCCTCTGCGAAGCTTTCAGAAGTCGGCTCTACTGAATGGTTGAAAGGCCTGGCTCCAAGCATGTCCCTTTACTTCCTACAGCTCTCGACTCTTACTTCAATATCCAAAAGGGTCAATGCTAAGCTGTACAGTGCTGAGTCTGTCCAATCGCCCTGGCCCAGCATTGAATTTATGATTCAAAGCCTCATGCTGGAGACCGACTCGTGGCTCCTGAACCTCCCAGAGCCATACGATTTCACATCAGTCCAGATGTCACAGGCTCTTCTGGGTCAGAGAATGAGCCTGGCATGTCTTTTCTACAGTACAAAGATCGCCATAACTCGACCATGCCTCTGCCGGTTAGACGCTAGTCGACCGCATGGTAGCAAGTCCTATGATTTCTGCAGCAAGACCGCTGCTGAATGTGTTGATTCCGCGTGTCGCCTACTGAGGCTTCTGCCAGACGCGCCAGACTCGGCTCTGCTGTGCAAGATTGCACCATGGTGGTGTATGCTACACTATATCATGCAGGCTACCACGGTTTTGCTGCTCGAATTGTCGTTTAGGGCACAGCATGTTCCAGACAAGGCGGCAACTGTCTCGAAGGCAGCAAAGACCGGAATTGAGTGGCTCCACCACATGTCGACATTCAGTGCAGCTGCATCTCGAGCGTGGAAGCTCTGCGATGACTATCTTCGCCGCTTGGCGCCTCACGTTGGTGTCGAGGTCAACGATCTTCCATGCAATGATGAAGCTGTTATTAACGACATGCCGGCCGTAGACTTTTCTTCTGCTAGCTCCAGCTTTGACTCAACTTCCTGTCCGCTTATGGATCACGCTTCTCCTCCTGCTCCGATTTTCCCTTATTCCTTGGAACAGCCGGACATGGCGGATTTTATCAAGCCTGAAAAATGTCCCCCCATTCGCAGCGGATATGACGACTACCTGCCATACGACCCTGCTACAGGTCATCTGACCGGATCTTTCTTCCCATCGTCAACAAACCTCGATCTCGAACTTGGCTACATGTGGGGAGATACAATGTGCTAAAAGTCGTTGTACTATTTAATTCCTATCGCTTATCATCTCTTTGACTTCCTCTCATCTTCCATTCTACGGCATGTATACATATCACCGGCATCTTTTACCTTCATTCTAGACAGCTGGCTCTGGCATTGATTGCATTCAACTTTTCACCTACTTCATCCCAGCACACAAAAGTTTTACTTGTTCCTCTATCTTGAGATTTTGGGAAAGAAACTTGTTTGGAATCACATACGTCGCATGCTGACCTCTTGAGAACCCGGACCAAGTTCCCAATGCTCCATTGACACAGATATATAAGACGATATACACGATGGAAAGTGGAGGAATGGGGCACCTTGGAAAGATGTTCTCGAATTTTGGTCCTCAAGACATTCTTTGTTTCTATAAACCGTCTTGTGTATTGACTATAATCATTGCATTCTTTCTCCCCCCCTCATTTTCCGACATAATGCGATATTGGCTCTTCAATCCATCGCTATTGAATATGTTTTAGTGCTGTATAGACACATGTACTGTTGTAATTTCTCGAACTATAGATAAGAAAGAGGGGAAATTAAAAGTCTTATTTCTCGCTTTACTTCAGGCGTCATGGGGAAATTCAGAGCTTCTCATTCTATTTCAAAGTTCTGCGTTCGAAACTCGAGGACGCATTCCTTATAGACGATAGTCTCTATATACTGGTGTACGAAGGTCTTTTGCCCTACTTGGGTAGTTACCCAGCTCCTCCAGGGCTGATGTAGGCTCGTTTCTCTCTCCCAGACACCGGGAATTCTCGTGGGACGTTATCCTAGCAGTTCAACTGGATACCAAACGAAAGCTTCCATACAAGTTTATCTATCCCAGAACCTCGGACCTCCTGTTCGGATTGACTCTCTGGGATAGTTTTATCGTTCAATATATCCTTGGAACGGCAACGAATTCTAGAACCCACTCAGAACCAAAAGCTCTGTACAACAATTATCCAAGGGAGCTTGAACCAAGGCTCATCTCAACAGGGCGAAAATAATGATTACATGTTCTAGACCCCCCCCCCCCCCCCCCCCCCCCCCCCCCAAGTCTCCATTACGACGGCTACATGACGTCCTTTTTTCCCTCTTCTAGGAGTTGCCAAGGTTACCGAGCCTTCCTTATGAACCTGAGGATAAATTGTTCGTTTGATTTCTATAGGCCAATTGTGAAGATTAAGATTCCCAGTTCCTCTTCTTTGCTGTGAAGAATAACCGCGCATCTTCCTCTTGTGAACCAGGGGGTAATGGGCCGGGGTATAATGGTCCGGTAGGGTTGCAGTTGAGGGAAATGATTTTAGAGTAGCGTATATCCACGCTCTCGGCCCTCCGGAGGGACCGGTCCATCCAGGAGATCGAATTCGTGGCGGGGGGCGATTTCCAGTACCGCAGAACCAGGCCCAGGAGGCCTCGTCCGTCGGCAACGAAGCGCTCGATAACGTCCAAGGCGGGCAGGAGGCGGCGGCGAATACCACATCCTGTGTGATTGGAATCTATCTGATAGTCCGGAATTTGTCTGAGGGAGGCGATGATGGATGATATGTCCGATGGAGGGCCCGCCATCAATGAACGAGTAGCGCCCCCTTCCTCGTCTACAGAAGAGTCGTCTTCGGGATCAAGATCAAAGTCGGGGTCTATTAGGGTGGAACCCAGGAAGATTGTTTTCGTACGGATAGCGAAGAAGCGAGTCATTTCGCCTAGATGGAATGCGTCACATGCTCTCGAGTTGCTGAAGCCCCAACGGCATTGAAACGGACGAGAACGAGATGCAGATGTAGTGGTTGATCCTAATGGTGTGTTTGAAGCAGTAGGCTTCGGATCTCTGGAGTCCTCGAGTGCTCCATAGACACGAAGGAAGTGAGCTTGCAAGTCGGTAATCGTGTTAAGTACGCACTGACGCCGGTAGTATAACTCCTCTGAATAGCACAGACATAGTTAGTACTTAGGAAAAATGCGTAAATGGATGTTTAATGAGTATATCACCTTCCATTCCATGTGGTAAATACCACCAGCGTGGGCTCTCCGGATCATGAATTCCAACTCCATTGATCCATGACTTTGAGCCAATAAGCACTAACGTATGCGTCAGGGTCTGGAAGATATTATGCTCTTCTAGATACATCGCAATGAATATTGTCTGTCGAACTCGCTCCTCGCTGTATTTTAACAAGGCGGAAGTGAATTTAAAAAGTGGAATCTTCCCTTTCCCAAACGCATATCCTGATCGTTTGAGCGTGTCTCGCACAATATCGGGAGAGTTCAGCAAGTCAGATATTTCGATTAGATTGGCCACGACAGATGTGGAGAGGTGCTTTATTTCAGCATCAAAGTCTGCCCGGGCGTGATCATCCAGAGAGTGAGCACAGAGTATCCTCAGGAAGACATCCACAGCGCTCGCGCGGAACCTCCTAGACAGACGCTCCACACTTAGATTCACGACAGGCAGCTCATCTGCATGAATACGGGCCGAATACTCGTGCTCTTTCCTGAGCTGTGATATTTCCGTCTTCTTTTCCATGAATGCTCTACCCTCGTAGAATTTGTTTGGGTCAAGTAAAGCCGCGAAGTACGGACTATGTCTCGTGAGATCCTCACTCGAAACTTGCCATTGATAATAGATTTCTGGTTCATTTGACACATTTGTATCACGGTCCTTATATTCAATGATAACGTCTCCTTGACTGGAGATGATCTTCCTGTTAGTCTTTGAACTGGACGATGCGCCACCCGGAGCCCGAAAGCCATTTGTGATAGAGGAACTTTCTTCTGACGTCCCGGACTGCACAGTTGCAGGAGTTGACACCCGTGAAGAGAATATTTTCTTCTCTGTCGACTCTTTCGAGACTGAAGGAAGTGGTGGATACTCCGTGTCCATGATGTCTAAAATAATTTGTCTCTCAAGATAACTGCAGACGGACGCGGCAGTGCTCGTCGTGACATTAAGACACTTCAGTTTTGTAGACACATCAATAGTGTCTTCAAGAATGGGCCAGAAATAAAGAATAGAAAATATGTGTCACGCAGATGCAAGCTGTTGATCGTCGGACTCAGTTGAGGATGTCATGACTAGTAACACGCTTCCAAAATGTGAATCCTTGAGCGGCAGGTTGAAAGAATAAAGCGGGGCTATATCATAATCTCATGGCATCAATAGAGTAATTCGATTTCCAAATATAAGGCCAAGCAGTCCTAGGGAAGAGAAAGCATCGCCGCCGCAGACCGATGACAATTCGATGTCACGTGATGATTTATTCAGCATCCCCCACCGGATGCAGCTATTCTACTCTTGCAGAGATACCACACGGTGTTACGAATGTTGTAGGACCCAGGCCTCGAGCCAGTCTCTGCGACATCACAACCTGTAACGTGATTCTGCTAATGCTCTTCTCAGTTTTTTGGTGGCCAATTTATTGTTCTGATCACTTACATGATTCTGTTCCAGAAACCAGGCCGACTTAGAAGAGAGTCCTGCAGCCACGAGATACAAGAAACAAGTTGAGATAACTCAGGACAGTTGCAGAGGAGCAGTATTGCTGCTCCTGGAATGGATTAGATAAGTATCTCACCAGGATCTGGTCTGTACGACTTACTTATATACTAGGTAACCAACAGCGAATCAGCTAGTATACCCATGATTGCCGCGATTGGCATAGCAGACACTGGAACTCCGAGACTCACTTCTCCAATGAAGATGTTGGATTCCAACCCTTTTTCTTATGATCGTGATAAACGGTAACATGAACATAGCATATTTTTCGAGGAATCTCTTGAATCCTGCTGCGGTGAGCAGCTCTGCCAGTCGTGAAGTGAGCCCGGTGACGGTCGTCTCCTTGGCTTCGAACGCCTTGGCCAACTTGACCCTTACTTTTCCTGCAACTTGGAGACATGAAGCATAGCAGCGCCCATGCACGTCAATCAGAGCGAAGATTCCTTCCTTGAGGTCTTCGATCTCCAACCGTCAATACCGATACCATGGAAGGCCCCCATGAGCCCACACCCGATGACAATACATATCAACAATCCTATACCTGTTATAATTAGTTAGTTAACTAAGAGGAGTCAAACTCCAAAGAGAGACCGTAAGTCAGCTCACCTCCAGGTCACGTGAGTCTGGTGGCTCCTCTGCCTGTTTAGCGTTGTTTTTAAACAACAGATTCCTCTCCATGTTTTACTTCCAGTCATGAAGATACATAGGACGGGGCCTCCATTATATATGGTTTGGTTACTAGTGCTGATAGCCAGTATGGATGCACTTCAGACATTGATACATCTCGGAGATTGCCTACCTAGCTACGGAGTTCCCGGCGGAGTTCTCAGTCATTGTTGAACGTAGCATGAAATTCTCGTCCTCAAATCAAATACTATGTGATGAAGACGATATACTATTGACCGGCCTATGATAATATCTGACGAAACAGGAAACCCTCCCAAATCTACCTCGAAGGCATACATGATATACAATGAATATCGAATAACGATGCCGTCCCTTTTCTATTCACGATTTCCTTCCCGAAAATAATATTCCTCCCAACGCAGGCATGCAGTCAATGTTGTGAGTCCACTAAGAAGACTTTTAATGGTGTTGTATAGCGTCCGAGATCACGCATCAGTCGAGGCCATCACCTCAAAAGTTATTCCGATATTTGCTATAATAAATCGGAAATAAAAACGCCGAGACGCAAGGTAGGAAACAAAAGATATCATCAGCCGGCCATGTCGTTAAGGCTCCCTGACTGGGTAGTCTAGTCGGTCGGTCAAGGAAATATATACTCGAAGCGAGAGAAAAAAAGGAAGGCGGATGGCACCTCAGGCTTATAGACCAAGCTTTACAATGGGAATGTAGAGAATGTTGGTTCTGTTCGGCTTGCGTCCGCTTTGTCGGGCAGTGCCAGCTTCCTTTTTGCTGGTTTCGTCACGAACGGCCATCGCTTGCTGAACAATAGCAGATAAGCGAGAGGCTTGAGAACTTTGTGTAGCTGGTCCAGATTCCGGCAGTGTTCCACTGGCAAGACAGTCAACCTCTTCCGTGCCATTTCCTCGCTGATTAGATGAGCGGTGCTCTCGGGCATCGGATTCCTCGTGACTGGACGAATTGGCGGCAATCTCGGTAATGGGAGAGAAGACAATGAACCAGTCGGGAACCACATCTGAGTCGCGTCCACCAGCTTCTTCCCTGCTGCTGTGGGCTTCCGATGCACTGACCTCGTGCACATCAAGTATATCATCTGTCCGGGAAATGACCGTCCACGGTTCCTTGGAAACAAAGCCAATAACGAAATCGCGATTGGCCCGCGCAGCCGCCAGACAACTCCGTCTGTACTCCGGAGTGAAAATACTAAGCCTCAAAGACGGCAGGCAGAGGACTAGTCCACGAACGAGCAGCGGTGGGGGAGGGATATCGTCCCCGGTGATAGTGAACTGCAGTAGTACATCTTCCACAGAGTCCCGGCGCTCAATGATTGAAGGCGACGAGAGCGAGGTTTCAGTGTGTTGGGTGATGGTCTGCGTGAGCGATATAGTGGAGGCTTTCCTTGGTGGAAGGGGCATGACATCTCCAAGATCTTTAGTTATGGCATAACTAGGAGTAAGCCCACCGTCGCCTGATTCGTCCTGGTCCACAAAGCTATCAGGTAACTGGTGATCATCCTGTGTTTGGTGGTCACCCTTTGTGCCCTCGGCCGTAATCTCAGTAGTAATAGTCTGCGCTATCACGGAAACTGTCTCGCGAGCGGCGTTTTTGAGCGTTGGGATTAGCATATCCGTTTCCTGCTTCTCGGCCATTACCCCAGATGCCCAGGCAGTTGCCAGGCCCGCCCATGAAGCCATGTTAAGCCTGCCCTTAGTATAGGACCTTCGGATGCATTCTATGATCTCTTTCCTCTGTCCGATAGATTCTGACTCGCGTTTTCCCAGAGAGCTCAGGTACGGATTCAGAATCCTTCCGCCTTCCCATAGTAAGAATCCATATGTCTTTGCCAGCACCATCAATTGGTTCACAGTCTCGTCGGACCAATCGTCGATTATGTCTGCCTGGATCTGGAGAATGGCGATCTGTGATCCGACCGCAGAAGCAAGCTGGAGCAGAGCCTCTGTGGTGGTAATCGTGTGGGACGCAGACACGCAAACGAGTTGGCCATGAGGCAATCCCGGCTTGGAGCGTTGAAGCATACGGAGATAAGTAATCAGCCGATTTACCGGCACTGGCGACGACGTGGAGGACATTTTGGGTTCCTGCTTGCCTCTTGAGGATGATTGGCACAAAGAAGGTCCCGAGGGGAAGACACAGGAAGGGTAGTAGTGATCTTAAACAATGACCTCGTCCGCAGTGACGCTAACAACAATGGAATACTAGGGGCGTTAATTACTGCAGATAGAGAATGACAGCTGGCTCCTAATGGCAGCAACTTAGCGATATTAAGTTAATTGACTCTCCACTCTGCAGATGAGCTGGCGGCTAAGCGATTGGCGTACGCCGCAGCAACGGTCGAGATCAATCTTGGCCACTCGGAGGCACGACCTCGACGCAGAGAGAGGGGACGCGACGATCAACAAGCCCAGGATCGATTGGTTGATGAGTGCATGAAAAAGGATCGCAGGATCGATCCGCGAGCAATTAATACGACCACATATATCATAAATAGCAGTAATTGCAGAATTGACTGTTTCCCCCTGTATTCATCAGCTTCTCCGCACGAGTGAGCTGTGTTGTTTCTGAAAGTGTACGTACGGAAGTGGTCTAGAGCTCCGGCTGTAATCTTAGCCTATCCGACAGGACGGACTAGTATGAAAGCCCGGAATCTGGGTCCCTGTCTTCCGGCAGAACTCCTGTGTTCCTACCATGATGGTCGGTCATCTTATATCGATCTTTCAGTAGCTAACCGTTAGCAAATGCCCTCCTATGCTGCACGACCGTAGTGCTAGTGCTTGCATCCAGTGCTTGAGTTAATCTCGATATTCAAATTTCAGGAATTTGCTGACAAGACGCCAGGACGCCGAGAAGAGAAAAGAGATGGCGGTGTCGCGGCCCAGATGAAGCTAGGCAGATAGGCTAGGGTAAGCAGCAGCCCCTGTGGATACGTTTGGGGTTGAGTTAACTCAGCAAAGCGTCCAGGCACGAGGGGCGATAATCGTCTGTTGACCATTTCTGCGCTGAAACTTGATCCATGCGACGAGCGGAGGGGAATTATCTCCTAGACCTCCGTACACTGCGTACAGCAGTTGTTTATAGCCCATAGTCCGCACCTCAAAGCATCTGTCCGCAAGCTGTGGACCAGCTCTTTTGCTTCGGTCTTGATGATCAGAAAGTAGCCAAGACGGCAATTAGTTATACTCTAGCCTTGGCCGGCATGTGTGAACAGGCCCACATATGGCTCGTTCAACTGCATTCATTATTATTATTATTGTTCTTATTACCGTTATCCTGTAAGGCTCATTGTCTCATCTGCCGGTTTCTGTATACCCTTGTACGGAGTACTCGTAGATCGTGCCCCATCGGATTGAAGACGACAATGGGAAACCGGCTCTGTTTCTGATCGGTAATCTGCGTACATTCCAGTTCCAAAACAGTGGGTTTGGAAGCATGGCCAATCAAAGGGCCTATATCGCTGTTGGTGAACTATCTATCGTGATTCCTGCATCGGACCTGCTTCGCCTGGGTAAATAATCAGTCAATCCAGAAACCTTGATTAGAGAATAATGAGGCGACGATCCACTGACTAGGAGAATAAATTAGAGGTTCCGACACCCGGTGGATCGCTTAGAAGAAGAAGATCCTTGAAGCGATCTGTTCCAAGTTGGAGAGAGCGGCGATAGCGTCGAGTTAGACTAACTAGACAGATTGACGGGGCTGTGGGATGGATGATGGACGGGATTAATTAGCGTCTCCTGAGATCGCCCTGTGCCTGAATAATAATGCCTGCCAATTTGGTGCCTGAACATTCCGCTGCTGCCTTGATGCCTTGATGCCTTAGTGCCTTTATGCCTGAATACCTTAGTGCCTTCATGCCTTGATACCTTGATGCCTCAGGTCACCGGGCATGTCTCAATCTGGATGTGAGTTAGGGCTTAGGGCTGCTTTCCCCGTGATGCCGAACGGCGTGATCCCGCAGCAAAGCCCGTGGATTACTCTATTGTTCCCGCTTTGGGTCCCGTAATAACAATGTATTAGCAACTATTATGAGCTGAATGTATTGATATCCTCTGCGGCAAGACATGCATGGTTAGATCGTCCAGGATTCCTTCACCTCGTCACTGCACCCTTGAGAGCGACTATCCATCTGATCAAATTGTGGACGAGTACAATATTATCATTATAATCGCCACCAACACTCCATTGACAGCTTGACCCCTTTGTCGGACCAACCAGTAAGGCAGCAATCTTCGGTCCCAGCAAACGGTCCCGTGCTGGGTTAATACCCGCAATCTAAACTTATTTGTCCGCCTTCGAGGCCCTCACGCCACTCCTCGATTCATCGGCCATCCGATCTCTCCCCTTTTTCAACAATTTTCTTTTCATCGTCGGAACTCTCGGGTTTGGCGACATATCTGGATTCTTTTCTTCTACGAGCTGGTCCTGACCCAGAACTGTCAAGACAACCATACAGTCCCGTCTGTTCTCTTTTGCGTCGAAGATCTCCGCCGATATTTACTCAAAACCATGCCCGGAAAGGTCCTGCCTACGTTCACACCGGCCGAGGTCGCGGCGCACAACACAGAGAAGTCCTGCTATGTCACGCTGGGCTCCAAGGTCTACGATGTGACCTCCTTCGTGGACGATCACCCCGGTGGCGGAGATCTGATCATGGAATACGCCGGAAAAGATGTGTCGGAGATCATGCGCGATGTTGTATCCCATGAACACACGGACGCTGCTTATGAGATCTTGGACGAATGCCTCGTGGGCTTCGTCTCATCGGAATCGACCGCGAAGAGCATGGCTAATGGAGGAGCGCCGGCGACGGGGGTAGAACAAACAAACGGCCAAGTTGACTCGCGACCTGTCTATGCCACTGGCATGTCTAGGGAAGAGGACCTATCTGTGGATACGGACCCGGTAGCAGATTACCGCACTCACAAGTTTCTCGATCTGAATAAGCCGCTTTTCCCGCAGTTGTGGTACGGCGGTTTCACCAAGGAATTTTACCTGCAACAAGTCCACCGTCCTCGCCATTACAGAGGAGGGGAATCTGCGCCTTTGTTCGGGAACTTCCTGGAGCCGCTCACCAAGACTGCCTGGTACTGCGTGCCAATTATTTGGTTCCCGGCCGTTACGTATGGCACGTTCATCGGTTCGACCGGGTTCACGAACGTGGTCGAGCCTGCCGCGTACTGGATTCTGGGATTGTGTATCTGGACACTGGTCGAGTATGGAATGCATAGGTTCCTGTTCCACATTGACAAGTATGGCCGTCCGCGCTTCCTTCGTCGTTAGAAGTATTCACTAATTGATTTCAGGTACCTGCCCGATAACCGTGTTGGAATCTCGCTCCACTTTGTCCTGCATGGCATCCACCACTACCTTCCGATGGACAAGTATCGTCTTGTTATGCCGCCAACTTTGTTCCTCATTCTTGCCACTCCATTTTACAAGCTAGCCCATGCCGTTTTCTCCTACAATTGGTACGCGGCTGTGATGGTATACTGTGGTGGTATCTTTGGATATATCTGCTACGATATGACGCACTATTTCCTCCACCATCGCAAGTAAGTCACTTACCATACGATGTTTCTTGCCTTTGGAACTCTTATACTGACTTTGGTCCTTAGCCTCCCCCTTTACTACAAGGAGCTGAAGAAGTATCATCTCCAGCACCATTTTGCCGATTTCGACAACGGCTTTGGTGTCACGAGTCGTTTCTGGGATAGAGTCTTTGGTACGGAGCTCGAGACCCCGCCTCCGAAGGAGGTGAAAACCCAGTAGGTACGGGCAGCTCGAATGGAGGTCGCTGGCCTTCTGATGTATTTTATGTGGATGTTCAAAACTCTCCGAAGATATTTATGTAATTTATTGTTGCGCTCATTAATGCGGTACGCTCGCTTTTGGGAGGTGGTTCGCTTTCATGTTTGAAGAGGCGACATATGCGGACTTGGTCCATTATGTCTATCTGCCGCTTCCAAGTATATAGCGTCATTGCTGCTGAGAGCATCCACGAGTGTCGTTTGGGTGCGTGGGCATGGCGTTCTTCTTTAGCTGTGAGCTTCAGGTAATAAGGACGGTTGTCTGGATACATACTTAGATATATGCCTAATTGATAATGAAACTCTTGCTCTAATGGGATAGTACTCCTTTTGCGTGTTAAGCTTGGGCGTTAGCCATCTCCCCTATGTTATCCACGTTACATCTCCTTGGGGCAATTGTTGTCAATCGATCGTGAACAACAGGGCCGAACAACAGCAACACTGGAAGAACCCCATTCCGAAGGGCAATAAGCACGGCGATCTGCAGAACCCCAGTTGTAGTCACAATACAAATGCAGCCAACGGCCCGTTCCCGAAATAACGGCTTCCAGCATCGGCAAAATAGATGGCTGGGAGACAAGCAGAAGTTTGCTGCGAGGCCTTTCCAACGGAGGGTCGTACCTCGATGGTGTTCGGGCTGGCGGTCAAGAACGCGATACCCAACTAAACCACGCGCATGACCGCTTTAGGGCGACAACATGTCGAATAGGCCGTCGACACGGTTCTCTGCACCCACTCCCAATAGGAATCTGCACAATTCATCAGTGTGGAGAAAAGGCCTCTCTTTTTATCTCAAGCGGCATCATGGACGACCTAATGATACGGCAGATGATAGCGGTGTTGACCGCTTGCATCCAATGTGCAGCGTAGTTAGGGAGCAGAGGGGGATGGACAGCTCATTAGCAGCATCATGACTCACATCGAGCTATTATTGAAATACCCCCCTCGTTGTCCCTTCTCTCTGATGTTCGATCCTTGCGGGCATCTTTTGCGGAAACCCGTCACAGTTCTCCGATTGTGAGGACTGTTTACCACCACATCTTCTACGCATCTACTACTCTCCAAATCCCGAAGCTACTGGCTGTCCTTGCTCTTCTTTTTACCAGATCTCACCATGTCTATGACAAGGAGACTGGCGCAGTTTGAACAGGGCAGGGAGCTGCCGGGGAAGCCTATGGCCAAGGGCATTGAGCCGTCGAAGAAGGAGGAGGTCGTGCCTTGGCTGTGGGATTTCGCTTATCTCTACAAACCAGGTGGACTCAACAATCTGGACGATGGAAAGTCCAAGGATAGCGAGGTCAATGTTCAAAAGCAGAAAGCGGCCGAGGTAGGTATTCTGACAGACTGGAATGATCATACATGTGCTGACCACTATACCAGGCCCAGAAGCCGGCCCCAGATTATTCGATCAAGTCCTGGAAGGCAGGTATCTCCTGCAGTGTCTGGTCAGTACCGGACATCTCGATGCATCCCATCTTCAGAAATGTGCCTTCATGTGTAAGTATCCACGATGAATCTATATAGTGCCATTTCCTAACATTGGGCTCCTGACAGGAAACTTTATACGAGAGAGCAAACGAGACACGAGGCCAAATCACAGTGCGTGTGATCAACACCGTCTCGAGGCCGGCTCCAAATATGCAGCCTCGTGCTGTCTCTTCTAGCACCACTGAGTGGCTCCCATATTCAGTGAGGGGCTCGCAGTATGGTGGAGAACAGCGCAAGCCCTCCAAACGGAATTTCATTTCTCGACTCTTCACACGGGTGAAGGAAAAGACGGAGTCATTGTAAGTTCACAACGACTCATAACTCACATGGTCAATGTACGGCTACTAACCCCTATACAGATATCACAATTATGCCTCTACTAGACGGATCCGCAAGCAACACAAGGACTACCATGACCGGGACGTCGAGGCGGCAGGGGAGCTGCTTGGGGAGAGCTTCGAGGAGGATGTGCCAGACATCCAGCCACAACCCGAGCGCCTCGAGGAATCCTTTCATTCTGCCCAGAGACAAACGTCCCAAGGGTACAGTCGATTGGCTCCCCAGAGCTTCCCAACGCCAGACCTGTCGTCGCCCGAGACTGTGCCTCCGCCATATCATTCAGCATGCGAGATCCCGCCACCACCACAGTACTCTCCCTCCAGCACGGCTCTACCTCTCCAGGAACCCTCACCAAAGCCTACTATTACCAATTTGGTATCGAAAGTATGGTCCTGGATCTGGGGGCGTCGTGCATCTTGAAGTCGCCTTGGAGCACAATACTCCCCTCCGAACTAATTCACCTCTTGTTTACGAAACTCATGACCTATTCACTACAAATCTACGTATATATGTGTCGATCAACCTGTAATACAGGTGTGTGGTATACGACCGGAAGGACCGCGACATACGACGACGGTCTTGGAAGGAATAACGATGACACGCAGACAGCATATATCTAATATCTGACCACCAGTCAATCATGGTTCACGGTTCATGATGGTATCCATTGCTATGCCATCCTATATGATACAAGGTCAACCAGCTAGGAATTGATATGGTGGCGACGAGTAGTGACACTCCGGGCCAACTACAGCACCAATTTTGTGCTACGGGGTTTGGCCCTTGGAGGGTTATTATACTAGGACTATAGGCTTGCATCGCTGAACAAGCCCGGAAAGGTTCTTGTGTATAGATATGGTCTGTTGAGCGGTGGCAGATCATCCTGGGTAGAAATGACTTTCCTTTGTAGAATGTTGCCTAGGATCGTTCATTGAGAATGCGATTACGAGTTTCCTATGTCGTAAGAGATCTTCTCCAGTCAGCCAAAACGTGAATAAACCACTGCCAAATAGAATTCCAAATAGAGATGTGGCCTTCTGTCATTCAGGTCATATTTTGAACAATGTTAGGCCTTCTTTGATGCCCGAGATAACATCGGGATGACTTTCGGCTTCGATGCCGACGTAATTGCCGATCACGTGACGAGGACCGATTCCGTCTCCGTAGAAAGTCTTTCGACTTGCAACCACAGCACAGCACGCAGCCTTCCATCCCCAGGCGACACGCCCCTGTGCATCGACTTTTGACTCAGTAGCATCGAGACGACGCTGGAAACTGTCTTCCAGGCGTGTCTCTCACTATCAAAGAAGGGTTCGCTAGCCAGACCCGGGTCCGTCCTGCCGCTCTAACGAAACAAAGTGACCAACCACCCCATCCGTACTCGTACTGTGCTTCGTCGCGTTCTGTCCGATATTCTGTCACCATGTCAGGTCTTGACGTTGAAGCTCTTCTCGAATCTGCAGCAGCTCCCTCAGTTCAGGAATCGCGAGATTCCCGCGATCGCGATGACCATTCCAGAGCCGACCCCAGTGACCGCAAGGACCGCGATCGTTCTCGGGACAGAGATCGCCGACGACGAGACCGCAGTCGCGATCGCCGACGTGAACGAGATGCCGATGGAGACGAGGAAATGAAGAGTCCGAGAAGCGAGCATGGCAGTGCTAACGGAAGCCATAGAAGCAGAAAGAGGAGCAGGAGCCGCGACAGCGACCGACGCCGCGCTCGCCGCGACCGTGATGACTACCGCTCTGGGGGTGACTATTACCGTGGTGGAGGACGTGCTCGTACTCGCTCTCGCTCCCCTCGTGATGACCGTTACTACCGTCCTTCAGGACGTTCGCGGAGAGATGACCGTGACGATGATAGGCGCCGTCGAGACCGTGACCGTAAACGCAGCCCTAGTCCACGGCGTCGTAGCAGGACTCCAGCAGAACCTCAACTTACCGAGGATGAGCGTGACAGACGTACCGTCTTTGTGCAGCAGTTGGCCGCTCGTCTCAGGACTAAAGAGCTAATTGCCTTCTTTGAGAAGGTTGGGCCTGTGAAGGAAGCTCAGATCGTTAAGGATCGTGTGAGCGGGCGCTCTAAGGGGTAAGTTCTTAATTTCGCGTCAATCACATGGTATTCATACGACTAACATGATCTCTATAGTGTGGGCTATGTCGAATTTAAAGACGAAGAATCAGTTCCCCTTGCTATCCAGCTTACCGGCCAGAAGCTTCTAGGGATCCCTATTATTGCACAATTGACCGAAGCCGAAAAGAACCGACAAGCTCGCAATCCCACTGTCAGCGGCAACCATAACTCTATTCCGTTCCATAGATTATATGTTGGTAATATTCATTTCAGTATCACTGAGAGTGATCTGCAGAACGTTTTTGAACCTTTCGGTGAGCTCGAATTTGTCCAACTACAGAAGGACGAGACCGGACGCAGCAGAGGATATGGATTTGTCCAGTAGGTTCAATCCGTTCTTCCTCATACATGAGAACAATACTAACAATATATCACAGGTTCCGTGACCCTAACCAAGCTCGTGAGGCCCTGGAGAAGATGAATGGCTTTGATCTTGCTGGTCGACCGATTCGTGTTGGCCTTGGCAACGATAAGTTCACCCCTGAATCGACCGCGAACCTTTTACAGCGTTTCCAAGGCCAGGGCGCAAACCAACCAAGTTACCAGGGTTCATTATTCTCTGGCCAAGGAGGCCGCGGTGTTCACGCTGGCGGTGCCGGTGGCAACTTCGATCGTGCAGGTGGCAGAGACGACAAGGGTACAAGCGGCGCCAGTGCTCTGGATGACACGGATGTTGCTGGTGTGAACTTCAACAACTATAGCAGAGATGCATTGATGAGGAAACTTGCCAGAACAGATGAGCCTGAACCCTCCGCCGATGAGAAAGCAAAGATTCTCAAACCGAAGACCGAGACCAAGCCATTGCCTGTCAATGTCAACATGGCGAGCAGATGTGTGTTGCTGCGTAATATGTTTGACCCTGCCGAGTAAGTTCACTTTGCCCATTGGTCGTCAATTGCTAGGTAGGATGTGCTAACATTTCAACAGGGAAGAAGGTGAAAGCTGGGTCAAGGAGCTGGAGGATGACGTCCGCGCTGAGTGTGAAGAAAAATATGGCCACGTTGTTCACATTGCTCTAGATCCTCATTCGCAGGGCGATATCTACCTCAAATTCGACCGAGTCCAGGGTGGCGAGAATGCCATCAAGGGCCTCAACGGCCGTTTCTTTGGTGGTCGCCAGATTACCGCTCAACCTGTCGTCGACGCTGTGTACAGCAGTCTTTTTTCCCGGACAAAGGCGATCTAGAAGATCGGCAACGCCGATACGGTGAGTGTTTTTCTGACTGTGTCTTAGGCGCAGTTCGTGGCAGCGGAAGTCCACTCAACTTTTGTCTGTCTACGTGGACCAAGTGCTTTGATGACACTACCCGTGGTAGGTGCCATTACTCCAAACATCTTGTACATTCATGATTATGTGATGGCCGAAAGGCTACAAGACAAATGATGTGTTTATAGGAGCCTTCTAAATAGCGTTTATCGTGGATATGTATATCAAATGAGAGTCAAACCACCCGTTCAGTAGTTTCAGAATCTGCCTTCCGTTTCAGGTATATGTTAGGTTTCCAAGGTCGTTCCGTAACCCGGCAAGCTGCTGTAGTTTGTCCTACCTTATTCCCCCCCACTTGTCCTACATCTGCGAAACGCTAAGTTGGCTGTCGTTCCCTACATGTGAGCCTCCTAAGCGAATGTCCAATGTCAACCGCTTCAAGGAGGACCACATTACCTGTGATCTCTGCAGTGCTGCAACTTATTTCCGCATATACACGTCGTACTTGCTTCCGCAGCAACTACCTGTAAGAAACCGCTTTGTCTCAAAGAACTGATTAGACATTGCATATTAGGTCTCAAAGTCTCTTCGGACGCTGGCATACCCGCATAAGCCCGCTTATCGTCCCCGTCTTTCTCTTTGAGAGTGGAGGCAATGTGCATATCCAGATTTGTTCGCTTCTTTGTCTGCTAGATTCGGGCCTATGTAGAGGTTACTTGCATATGGCCACGACTGGAAGAAGATGGAATCCGCGATGATACAAACGTACCCTACACGATCTCATCTTTTCGAACTAAGCTTAAATACGAGAGGTATCTGTCATTGGAAGATAGGATTTCTGTTCTCTGTGTCTCCACTGCCATGTTGAGATTATATATATCTGTGTGTGATTTGATACTTTTCTCTCTTTCTTTTTGTTCTTGCAGAGCGTTATTATCGACCCCTTCCTTGGATGCGTCGGCCCAGGAGTGAGCCTATATAGTATAGTTAACACTCTATTATCCTTTCTCATTCCTCCTGACATGGAACCGTTTTCGTTGCCAATGACCAGACGCGTTATATAACTACGAACATTTTGTATAAATTGTCCGCGACTTTATCAAGCAGACTCAAGGAATTTTGCTAAGTTTGAGTCAACTTCTTGAATTCCATTGGATGATACTTGGAAAGTTCATACTCTTGAAATTAGAGAAACGCTGTTTTCATCCTAGCCTGTATTGACTTGTACACGTCGACTCTGACAATCGCTAATATTTGAGTACGCAGATCGATTCGTTGCTCTCAAGGTCATTCCCTGGTGCGGTTGCGATTTGGTAGCAGCCATTCATCACGAACTACTACACTCTCCACCGAGCGACCAACTATTCCTCTGATATGGGTGGTTAGCTCGGACTCCGATATACCTTCGCTGAACACGCGCCTCAATATATATCGTTGCTGCTTGTCTCGTATATACAGGAACTTTGTCTCTTCCCCATGCCAATGACGCAGAACGTATTGTTCTCTTTTCTCGCAGAATAATACCAGGACTGGCGTCCGTCAATCCAATCCATAAGTACCTAGACTTGACCCCAAAGATCGAAATCGCCGAAACCCATCAACAGGAGCAGAACCATAGAGACCCGGGTAAGTTATCTCCTTATTCATTCCCAGCTACTGCGCTCGGAATGGGGAGCTTTTCATATAGCAAAAAAGGTTCCTAATCATAAGTTATTCGATAGGGAACAACTAGCCGAAATCGCACTGCCTCAACATCTATCGCAGGTGTTGATCTTTGTCGGGTCTCTGAGCTGAAACTTTCGATCCATTGGCCTGATTCTATCCCCTTCTTGAACAGTTCTGGGCCATCGTCACGAATCCTGTCGAGGCATTCTTGAAGTATAAATATGTCCAATGGCTCGAGAGGAGCTTGGAAATTTATGAGACCCGTTCCTCACAATTACAACAATTCCACATTCGAGGCTAGATGACAAAATCCAACTTCTCGACTCTCTCACCTGAGAAATATCCTACTGGACCCGAGCTCTCCTAGACCACAAAGCTAGATTTCCATCAGAGCGATGGAATTGACCGGGTGTGTCTCTCGGGGTCTGCCTCTTCCACATCAAAGACCCCGGTAGTAGTTGGATGTGTCAACGCCTAGCCATTTGTTACATCGAGACAATGGCAGAATCTTCAACTACCTGGATCGGCGGCTGTGCCTCTCTCACCCACTTGGAAGCTCTATGGTCACCAATATCACTTGCATTACGAAGGTATAGTGTCCCGAGAACAGTCATCGCCAGCTGATATGATGAATGGCAGTACTTATGATGTTGCGTTCGGCCAAGCACTGTACATGCAAACTCCCCGAACGTCAGGAAAGGATAGCAGAGCCGAACAAAGGGTCAGAGGCTTCGTGGATACTATCAGAGCATAGCTACCGAAGGACAAGTTCCAAATATTGCCGTCCAGATCCTAGTGCGCTGGATAAATATAAATACAACAAATGGAGAAAGATCTCTCCAGATGCACGCAAACCATGAGTTTGGCGGAACGCTTCATGTCACAATTATCTAGTACGACGAGTTCAGCAGAGTCCAATTTCCGATCTTTTACTCCGCATTCTAGAGATTGCAATTTTTCACTTTATATCTAGCTATTCTGACAGAGAGCCGGAAACAGAAACCTTGGTATATCGATTTATGAACCATACTGGAATAGATAAGGCCGACAGGTCCACATATGTTTAGCAAATCGGCTCGTAAATGTATCATATTGTATTCATTTATGGAAAAATGAAACGAGGCCGCAACTGGGATTGTGAACAGACGTGGCTAAGTATCTCGAATTGTTGAAACATAAAGACAATCAATAGTCGATGGACAAAGGAGGGGAACCCAGTTGAGACGATGACGATCTATCCTCCAGTATGGATCCCACATACTTGCATCCACTAAGGGCTGCCAGTAGTCTAGCATCCCTAACCTACAAGTTGCTGGGCTCAGGTAGAAGTTGGTTATTCAGTCTTCGGTCAAAGTGCCCCGGTGGATAAAGGTCAATGCATGAACGATGGAAGATAGATAGTGCGTGAAATCCAGTGTCTCGTAAAGAAGAAAAAAAAGGCCGAACGTCTATCACTGCGGATCCGGAATCCAGAGCCAGGAACTGTCTCGACATTTATGATCTCTCATCTTGGAACCTAAGTAATGTCTTTTCTGTTAGAGAAAAGTATCTATATTTTCCAGAAACAAGATATAACATGGGAAAGCTTATTCTTGCACAGCATACACACCTTATTATGAGTTGGAACTGGAGATAGCTCAACTCGGTCACAGCTTATTCGCCAGAGGCTCAACGGCAAAGCTCTCAAGGTTCAAAAACATGCCTGGCGACATCCAGTGCGACGGCATTCGAAGATATTAAGCCTTGCTCTTCTCTATGGAGCGTGGTTTCCAAGGAGGATCTGATATCTGTGCATTTGACACCTCCGGCTGCATTTCAACTGACGGAATCCATCCTCTTCAAACCAAGATATCGTCACGATGGAACCAGGAAGAAGGTATAAATGAAAGTAGATCATTATAATCAGCATGATATCCAAGCATGCATTTGGTGAACATTTTCGCAGGAGAAACCAGCCTTCTGATATACTAATAACCTGAATATAAAGAGTCTAAATACTTACATACAGACTTCTTTATGGACCGAGAGGTAGAGCAGCCCATATTGCAACCAAACCCCAAGAAGGAGCCGTGCATTCTGTGACACAAACTTCTCAGTATACCTTGCGCATGAAGCATAGACAAGGAATGTTTGCTGCATAAAGGCCAGGTGGAGTAGGAACACAATAAAGCCTCATTACGAGCTTTCTCACGAGGCTTTAGAGTAAACTCACTGCCCAGCTCTTCCTTTGTCAGTTAGATGTGCAAATGCACGCGTATAATGGCGCTAATGGACGCGTACCAGAGCGTAAAAGTGAGCGCAGACTTCAAAATATCCCCTGCTTTTAAGATTCTCCTTGACATATCATCGCAATTCTTCGTCACCTCGTTCTTCAACCTTCAACCTTAAGCTATCGTCTTAGAGTATCGGTATACGCTGTATACGATGCAGTCATCATGCGGTTCTCCTCACCTGCCGGTTCCATTGACACCTAGTCGGAACCAGTTTCTGGGAAGCCCTGGTCCGACTATTCCTCAAACTCCCAGACAGTACGGTGTGATGGTTCGTGACTACGAACAGCTGCAAGGTACACATCAAGCAACGCTGCGGCAGCTTGAACAAGCACAAATCGAACTCGATGATGCTCGGAAAACGATCAGAAGGAACAACGACACCATTCGTCGTCTCCAGAGTCAGATCTCCGAGCTCGAGGAAACCATCCAGAGACAGAAGATCACCATTAGCAATCAGAGCAAGACTATATCTGATCCAAAGTCGAAGCGTCCAGCAAGTGTTCCGATGACCCCCCTTCGTCATGGATCTCAAGAGAGCCCATTTGGGAATGTTAGAGGACAGCCTTCGATTTTCGACCAGACTCCCCCGAAATTTGAACTCCCAGTGGACGCTCCGACCTCTGGTGGGAGTACGGGTTCAGCGGCACATCAGCAACTGAGGCTTTCACCGGCACCTGATGGTGCAACTTCGTTCATGAGCACTCACTCCTTTCCGCACCTCGATTACAATCGTATTTCTACTGGATTTGTCTCGAGATTTCAGGAACTTTGGCGGAAATCTGAGGTTTTCGGCCAAGTTCATGCAAACTTGCCGGACGTCAGAAAGGACAGCAAAGTTGATCAAAGGGTCAAAAACTATCTGATGGTCATTTCCGACACTCACGGTGCATTCAACCTGCTAGGTACCGATGACACCCGCTTCCACCTGGTTGCTAAAGCAATCAACTTCTACCTCGTGCGTGAAGTGCTCAAGATTACCGTCGTGAAGGGGTTCGATTCAGTGACCGACTCCGAGATTGGTCAGATCAAGAAGCAACTGTTCCCAGGTAGCAGACAATACTTTGAGGTAGTAGAGAAGGATGACTGACTGGTATCTGTAGACACCCCCGTGACCGTGAGGAACATGATGCATATTGCAACAGCGAATCAGGTGAATAACGTCAAACGGAAGGCTGGGTTCTCAGAGTTTACACGAAGGCGCATCAACGAGCGCACTGAGAAGCTGTGGCAGCTTATCGGACCCCTTACCTACGAAGGAGGTCCTAATGCCTGGTCTGACCTTTTCAATATTGTGTCAGAAGCCCACGGTCTGTCGCTGGATATGTTCTCGGCACTGTTTGAATATAAACTGGAGTTCCCAGTGAACAACGACACTTTTGACCAAACAACAATGGTTAATCGGGACACAGTCATGAAAGGAGATCCAGCTGTTTTAATGAGAAATGGAGCGCGCGTTAGGCTTGGGATCACGCCCATAATAAAGATGCGGCACAATTCTGGTTCTTCATCGCAGATCCAGCTCATTCACCTGGGCAATGTTCTTCTGAAGCCAGCTCCTAGACCACAAAGCTAGGCTTACTTGTTTAACAGAAGAACGATGTTGTTTAAATCAAGTTATCTTTTCTTTTCTTCAATGTCAGATCTCGGCCGATAGATGATAACAATGTAAACTGAATATCCCATAACCTATGCCAAACATTCTGAAGGCCTTCATATGCATCTGAATAGATGCTTGAGGGATAAAAGTGCTATTTCCTTTCTCGGGCCTTTGTGCCTTTTTGCTCTATCGCAGCGTGACGAGACTACATGTTGTTTCACTTGTATTGTGGTATTAGTTAGTTACTGCTGTATTATGCAAGCAGAGGGCACCAGATCACATATTAGTAGGATTTTCATTCTCACAAAGATCAATATGATTACTCCATTACAGCGGTGCGACTTGTTGGCAGATTGTATCAAATGCGCATGTGAGGACCTTTCGATAGGCAGAAACTTACTACTTCCCAGATCTGGTTGGCTCTGCAATTCAAACAGAGCCAATTAAAAAGGAACAATTCCACTATGATCTTTAGTTCTGTTGGATGGTATCATTGCGCAACGGCCTCGGATAACTTGGTGAACGGCAAATATCACGGAAAAGGACGAACCAAACCTGGCGGAAGGCAACCTTCCCGGCCAGCGAAAAGTGGCTGGGCTCAACATCTGGAATATTCCCCTTTAACACCCACTGTGCTGTGTGGTCTCGAGTTCGTTACACTGGAAGACAAAGGACTTCCGCTTATCAACTGTTCCGTTTTCCCTCTGTGCTACTCAAGTTTGAATAACTACTCAGAGAGCAGACAGCGCTCGGGCCATTGCCAGTCCGCAAGTTCGACCTGCTCAACCCCCGTCGCAAGGCTTTGGAAAAGCCGAAAACTCCCTCTTTCAGACTACGGCATCATCAACCTCACGCGCTCAATGATCATATCTTCATGATCGCGAATTCCACAAAGCGAGCGACCATCGCGGTCTGGACGCTGGCCGACAGTTACAGTGCGTTGCCGCCTTCCTCTTCGTTGCCCTGATCTTTGATCCCCTCAGTCGATCCCTAGGGCAATGTCATGATTGTTCTGCCAATGTACTATTATTAGATCTTTCTGACCGTATCTTGTAAAACAGGCTTCATCGCGTTGTTCGCACGCCGCCATTCTTCCGAATCCTTGCGCAATGGCAGCCGGAATCCTAGGCGGCGGCATTTCCACAGTTATTTCGTGACACACCTACCATCGTCGTCTCTGCATCCAGATTCGAGAGCGCCGTCTCCATCCTTTCACAAACTTCCTCGTGCAGCTTCTACGCCTCATACGGGGGAAATATCGCAGCCCCCCGCCGTACTACAGCCCTTGGCGGGACGAGAAACAACCGTTGTCCGAATTCCGCTTCGCAGTGCTAAGCATCACTTTGGGGCTTCTTTCTCCAGAGGATCTCGTCCTTACAATGAAGACACGTACCAGGCTGGCGTGATTGAGATCCCCGCATTTGCGAAGCGAGTACCGCGATCTTTAACAATTCGGCGACGGAACGCACCTCTGAATGAAACTCGAGGAGCGGAAAGTGCAAGCGGAGATCCCCAGGTGTTCTACTTCGGGATATTTGATGGCCATGGTGGTTCTGAGTGCAGCGAATTTCTGCGGGATAGTCTGCACACATATATTGAAGACACAGCGGCAGATTTTGAGTTGCAGTCAAGTTTGAGGAGACGGGATGACGCCGCTTCGTCTGAGTTACTGGGGGAGCAGTACGAAGATGCACAAGACTCTGATGCCGCACTGCCCATTATGCAGCACGGCAATAGGCGACGAATCGGAGAACTGGAGAGGAGCATGTTGGACGAATGGAAATACCTTGTAGGAGGGTACTTCAGGCGATTTAGACCCGCTCACTTCACTTACTACGGGGAAGACGAGTGCGGAAGCCGTGCAGATAGCTCGACACCTGCGAATAAGAATGAGACAAATAGCAGCGTCAGCATTGAAGAAGTCATGGAATACGCTTTCCTTCGTGCGGACCTTGACTTTGTCTCTGCGCAAGCTTCGAAGCGTGACAGCGACGTTGTCCAGGCAGACAAACCGCTGAACGAAGACGAGATCCTGGAGAAACCTAGTCGAACGCGAACGCCGCAGATTGGAGGGCGTGAAAGGTTCAAGGGTGGAAGCACCTGCAGCGTTGCTATGATCTCAACTCCCACACCGATACCTTTTTGGCACCCTTCTGCCCCGTCCTCCCTCCTCATCTCTCACGTTGGCGATACGAGGATTCTCTTGTGCTCCACTGCCAGTGGCGAGGCTATTCCGGTTACTTCTGTTCACCACCCGTCTTCACCTATTGAGGGCAGTCGATTGCGCAGATATGCGGCAACTTTTGTCACCGATTCCTTCGGCGAAGAACGCATGAGCGGATTAGCAAACACTCGGGCTTTTGGGGACATTCGGTCAAAGCGGATCGGCGTTTCTGCAGAACCGGAGATCAGACGGATTGAAATGGGACCTGCAGAGTACTCGTTTCTTGTGCTCATGTCAGACGGAGTGAGTGATGCTCTGTCGGATCAGGAAGTTGCAGATATTATCAAAGAGGCCAAAACCCCCGACCAAGGAGCCAAAGATGTTGTGAACTTTGCTACGGAGGTGAGTGATGTAGGCGATAACGCGACCTGCTTGGTTGTACGCTTAGGTGGATGGGAGCGTCGGCTGGAAGGCGGATTGGGGAGCATGGGTACGAAAGAGTCCCGGGACTGGAGAAGACAGGAGGCTACGGATCCGCGCAGGTCACGGACGTGAACACGCCAGATTCGAGAAGCAGTAGTAGAATTTTGAAGTTTTTATATCTATATAGGTTTGCATTGCATTTTCCGGCTGCGGGGGCTTTAAATTCCAGCAATAGGACAGTCTGGGTGCTAGAATTGGTGCATATTCTTTGATATTTCTGTACATGGCCAGGTGCAATTGCTAGTAACAGCAATAAAATGGTGGTAGTTTTGTTTGGGAACAAACAATCTGTTCTAACATCTAGCTTAATCATTTAGTTCCAAGTGGCATGTTTACTTATCCTTTTCTCCCACGCTGTTCCCTTTGGAGTTTCTCTCTATCAGAAGTGATCTCCGTTCAAACCATCCCAGAGCTTATGCCTCATTCCTGCTGTTCTAGTTGCACCAGCATTCTATATTATCTTCAAAAGGACTGAGTATATACAGTGGATTTCATCTATCTGTTAATGATTAGATGTGGCGTTCTCCCGCAGCAGAGAAAGGATTTACTTCGAGCTGTTATCCGGATGCCCATGTGTGATCTCCGCTTATTCTCCATCCCCAACATTGTCTGGATCATCCATTGGCGTAATCAGGAGTGGGCACCTAGTGCCCACTCTCAAGGGAATGAACAATTGCATAACGTTGAATCCGATCATCCTCAAGGATCTCGACTGTTCCACCCGCTGGTCCAAAATGATAGCCTTGATTGAGCAAGTTTTGATAGGGCCATTAGGCTGGTATTTGCGGTCTTGACGGGCGTTGTATGCGGAGATGGATGAATTGCATCTAAAAGGATCTTATTGATCTATTAAATAATGATAGCTTTCTCTCAGTTCCACATGTAAGGCCTCGAGACGAAGAGGTTTTTTTGTGAATATAGATGCTCGAAAATGACGTCCTCAGAATTGGACAGAATTCCGAAAACTGAGTAGTTCGGCTTTACAGTTTGCTTTCGGCTGTCCTGAACCGCAGCAAGATAGATTATGAGCTGTGGCAAGCCACTTTTCGTGGTGTCCAACTTCTTAGCCTCCCTAAAAGGAAATCTGTTAACAATAAATTATACAGAATGTTAAGAAAAAAGACATATAGCACGATTAGCATCGTGTCTAATTCTGTCTTAAGCTTTTGCTCTGGGAAAGGCACCGATCAACCTTTCTTGTATTTTTCTTTCCCCCAATGAGCTGCTTTCTATTAAGATTGGCATCTCAGGGAACCAGTTCAAATGCCTATTGGCATTTTGGTCGTCGAGGCGACCGAGGCGATCGCAAAAAATGATTTCGATAATTCTGGAGATAGATTTGGATGCAGCGTATATGAAGTATGACGGAAGTCGACTGCACGACTAGACCAAAAAGGGGAACTCCTTAGAGGTCCCGAGTGGCCCCTAGGTCTGTTAAAATATTTAGACGAGGATATAGCGGTTATCGAATTGTCTAGAGATTAAAACATGTTATTTTGAGTCAAGAAGTAGCAATATTCAGAGTGCCAGCCCAGATATCTCAAACCTTGGGATGTACATTCCAGACCAGTTCCGCGATGATTTCCATCTCCGACTTATCCAGGATAATATCCCCTTCGCCAGGGTTAGCGGGACGAAGGAAGAAGTGTTCGAAAGGAAGCGTTAGGGGATGGCCTGTCACGTCGATGGGGTCATCTTCTTTCTGGGACATAACAATATGCCCAGTCACTTCCGCAACTTTCTTATTCTTGTCCTGCCGTGTTGGCCGTGGGATTAATTCCCACTTTTCAACGGTGCTCTCTTTTCTTTTTGTATGAATAGAAATGGTGAGAGCTGTCTTCAGGTCACCATCTGCTTCCAACAGCCACCAGCGAGCGTCATCCGCAAGCTTCACTTTCTCTTCAGAGTATCCGGCTTCGATAATCACCGTGGGCCAGAGGGGAGAGCGGCCTTGCGGGAGATCCTTGGGGCGGTACGTCTTATCAGCTGCTTTCGTGCGCCCGTTCGATGTAATCGAGACTTGTCCCATCTGTTGCAGCTGTAAGCCCAACCCATTCATGAGTGTGAATTTGCCGACAATCAGAGTATTGAGGCCCTCATGTGCTTGCTCATGGACTGCAGTCCTCATCTTCACGAGAAGTAGACTGTGGTCTGGAATGTATTCGAAGGAAGAGTTACTGAAAATCCTCTTTTGCGGATCAGGGCTTGAGAAAGTCTCTGAAAATGTTTTCTCGCCCACGTTAGACATGATAAAGAACTGGCTTCTACGGCCAGTCGTGTCTTTCTCAAAGGCATGATATTCACTGTCAAAGACTTCAAGGAAGTGCTGTTCCCCGCAATACTGGTATTCACTAGTTGCAGGACTGACATGCAATAGCTGTTGATAGTTATTCTTCCTACCTGCTGTCACTGCCATGATGACTGAAGTGCTGGATATGATAATCTCCGCTTGTGGTGGCAGGCAGCTGGAGCCGAAGTCGGGGTGCTCCTATATTCATGAGAAATCTAAAGAAATCGTTCCGGTTATGCTACCTGGTTTATAAGTCTCCAGGATTGGACAATATACCGGTATTTAAACGTACAAGGTACTTATGCTTCGGCTTCTAGGGAAGGTTTACGAAATGATGTCACCGCATCTCCCAAAGTCTCTCTACAACATCAAAGTTACGCATGTTATAAAGTATGTATTAGTTAGATTGGAGGTGACTTTTGACACAACAAGTCGAGAAGCGTAAACCATGCCAAGAGAGATTTGCTTCACATGGACCTGTAACCTAAAACTACAATGAAATTGTAGTTTATTATGTTGTAGTACTAGTCTCCTGCCCATTAGGTAGCGGCTTAAGTACCTGCGTCCTAATTTATCTTCTGATCCATGGTCTCATAAATTATTTATCTCCATATATGTATGCTGACTACTAGTAACTGCTGTTTCCTTCCGGAGTTGGGTCTTGGTTTATTCCACGGGGTAATCTATGGAGGATGGGAACGTCCACCAATAGATGCGGATTTAGCCCGATTGCATCGCAACTGTACTTAACTGGGCGCATCCTCATGCTTATCTCCTCGCTTCCAATTTGCGATTAGATTAGAAGATAGCCGAGTTGGAGTCCGCCGAAACATCGCATGCGGACTGTGATCTGGCGAATATTCCATCTCCTATCCTCTTGAGATGGCCTTGGTGCTGAGCATCGTTACCCATAAATTATAGGGATAAGACTAATCACTTAACGACCGTTCACCCTTCTAAAAACGAGCTTCACCCAGCCGTCGATTTCAAAATGGACGGGGCATCCGCGCAACGCTCACAAAGATCATTTCCAACGTTATATCTTTTTATTTCTTCGATAATTATAATTTTTGCATATGTCAATCCTTTCAGCTGGTCGTTTCTCTCCTTCATCGAGAATGAAATTGACCCTAATGACTACATGGCGCGCACGCGACATATTCTATCGACCACTCCATTGATCGATGGCCATAACGACCTACCGTATTTGATGCGGGAGCAGCTCAGAAACAAGATTTACGGGTCGAGCTTCAGAGATGGACTGCTCAGTCATACCGATATTGCCAAAATGAAGAAGGGCCTGATGGGAGGGCAGTTCTGGAGCGTCTATGTCCCATGTCCCGGAGCAGTGACCGTAACGGAGGCAGCACCAGTTGAGCCTGGAATAGATGATCCAAATGTATGTACGGTTGACGACATTGAATATTCCCTCGAACCTTTTCGGTCTGCAATATACTGGAGCTAAACATCTGTCTATCACAGTGGGCAGTTCGGGATACTCTGGAACAGATCGACGTAACAAAGCGCTTCGTGGCAGAATATTCCGATACATTTCAACTATGCACAACACCTAGCTGTGCTCGATCTGCATTTAATGCTGGAAAGATTGCTAGTATGATTGGTATTGAGGGCGGCCACCAGACGGGAAATTCGCTAGGGGCTATTCGAATAATGTTCGACATGGGAGCTCGTTATATAACTTTGACTCATAATTGCGATAACGCCTTCGGTACGGCCTGGACTACGGTGGATTCAGGGAAGGAGGATAAGGGCCTGACATCATTTGGTCGAGAGTTTGTAAGAGAGCTGAACAGACTAGGGATGATGATCGACCTTGCCCATGTGTCCCACAATACAATGCGAGATGTAATAGCCATAACACGCGCACCCGTCATATTTTCGCACTCTGGGGCATATAGCGTCGAGCCACACCTGAGACATGCACCAGATGACGTTTTGAGAAGCATGAAGGAGAATGGCGGCGTGATCATGGTGCCTTTCGTGACTCGGTTTCTCAACATAGAGCACCCGGAGAATGCTACCGTCGAGGATGTGGTTGATCATATTATGAGAATTGCAGAATTAGCAGGGTGGGATCATGTGGGCATAGGCTCCGATTTTGATGGGACGCCGAATGTTCCGAAAGGATTAGAGGTCTGTTTTGACTGTTCTCTTGCACGGAATCATAAACTGACATGCCACTGAAACTGTTCAATAGGACGCCTCTCAATATCCCAATCTTATCGCGGCTCTTCTAGCGCGCGGTGCAACAGATGCGCAAGCACGTGGGGTGGCTGGTGAAAATATACTTCGTGCGTGGAGGAAGATTGAAGATGTAGCTCAAGGGATCCAAAAAGAGGAAAGGCCAAATGAAGAGGTGTGGGAAGGAAGATCATGGGGCCCTGAAAACATCGACTTGCCGCGCATGTTTGAGCGTTGTCGCGGGTGAGATATGCTTCTCTATGCTAAGATATACAATACCAGTACTATCCGCAGAAAGAGCCTCCTATGAGTGCATAAAGAAAAAGAAATATGCGCGGGCAACAGGACAATGAGTGAAGTTAAAGTCTAAACGGTTATGCGGATAGTCTGCTATCCCATAGTTACACGCGATGGCTTAACTATTTTAGGGGTTGTCTTTAACTAGGTCTTAGGGCCCCTTAACTATCTTCTAGAGGCTCTTTAACTAGATTAGTTATTAAGCTTCTCTGCCTAATTCCAGTGGTCACGTGAAACGAGCCGCAGACCGATTAGGAACGTCCTCAACCGCAGGGGATACATACAATTACAAGCATACATCGGGTAGTTAACGGCATTAAACACCCTTTTCTAGAAGTGGACGTCATCTAGGTAAGTAACCGCGTCTCTGCCTAGCTTGGAAATCTCTCACTAACTACTCCGTACTCCGTACCTAGTAACGTGAAGCCTGAGGGCACAGTCCTTGATCGCCGATCCCACTCTAGCAATCCCCCCGGACTAGCCGCAGCCATTTCCTCCTTTCCCTGCGCCAACCGGTCCAAGCTAAACGAGAACACCTGCCACGCAGGAGAAAACGTCCTTATCATCTTATCTAACACTCACACGACCAGGCTTTTCCTGGACAAACTCGTACTTGGACGGCAGTTATTGCGCACCTTGTTATCTGAACAATCGAGCTTCAGGGCCCGGTTCTCTGCGTCATTGATTTCTCCTTTTCTTTTCTATTGAAACTCCGGCATTTAGAGATCGCGGGTGCGCCTTGACATCTTTTTGCCTTGAGAATGTAAGTCTGCTTCCCACTGCTGAAATCCGCACAATGATGCAAAGATGGCGCGTTTGTATTTGTATGTCTGTTGGGTAACTATTGGAGGAGATCTGCTTGCTGACAGATGTGATCGCTAAGCAGCCCGTGCCTTTTACGATTGACACGTCTCCGGAAAGCTCCTAGGACAGACAGATTGCGGACCTTGCTTAGGCCTGCGCCTCTGGATAGTCGATCGGGGAAGCCACTCGCACAGATTCTTGTGTCTGCCATCATCGGATCATACATCAACCTCCTCCGCACCACAATCTCACAATCAATATGAGCGCTCGCACGAGAAGACAGAAGGCTGCTGCTGCGGCCGAGATCGACGTCTCACCCGGTGGTAATGCTGCATTGATTTCCAACGAGGTGAACGACCCCACCGTTGTAGAAGAGCCCGATGAGAACGTCTTCCTCTTCTACCCGAACGTGATTGGTAAGTGCTGGAAAGAATATGGTCTTTTGTTGACACGCGACCTAACTGTCTACTAGGTTACTCGCGAATCGTTTTAGCCGTAGCTTCACTTTACTACATGCCCCTGCATCCCCGAACCTGCTCCCTTCTATACAGTATATCGTGTCTACTAGACGCGCTGGATGGCGTGGCGGCGCGTCATTTCAACCAGTCCACCACATTCGGCGCGGTCTTGGATATGGTCACGGATCGCTGTACGACCGCCTGTCTGCTCGTCTTCCTGAGCTCCGCTTGGCCGCGATGGGCCATCCTGTTCCAAGGTCTGATTAGCTTGGATCTGGCCAGTCACTACATGCACATGTACGCTACCTTGTCCATGGGCGGCGCAGGTCAAAGCCACAAAAAGGTTGATTCCAGCCGCAGCTGGATTCTTTACCAATATTACCACAGCAGGGTATGTTCGTTGCCTCCGGTGTCCTCCGGGGGGTTTGCTAACACTGTATGTGTATAGACTGTACTGTTCATATGCTGTGCCTTGAACGAGCTCTTCTTCATCGGGCTCTATCTTCTTTCCTTTTCGTCGCCCATCTTATCGCCATCTCTCCTGCAGCCAATTCCTGCTTCTCAGGGCCAGTCTGCTCAGCCAGGAAATCCTGCGCACCCGGTCCCGACCAGCCTGTTCGCGAGTCCTTGGAGTGCTGGGGCTCTGGAGTTGGCCCGTGCCAACAAGATGGACAGCTTCTGGCCGTGGGTGATTACTGGTATCTCGGCACCCGTTATGGCTATTAAGCAATTTATCAACGTGGTACAGTTGGTCAAGGCTAGCAGGTGGCTTGCGGAGGGCGATTTGGCCAACCGGAAAGCTGCTCGCGCCGTCAAGGCGACTTAAGTCTGTCTCCAGACACGGAGCACACAGGTCCTCCAGCCATTGACCCTGCTAAGGATGATGCCATAAGAGTCTGACTTCATGTTCTACTCTTCGCTTTGTGGGAACTTCCACTCACGGCGACTTTCTCCACGCAAAACCGACTATCACATCTCGAGCTCTGGAGTTCGGGTTACAGGCCTTGGTTAAGGGGTTCACCATGGTCGCATTGGTTCTTGCATTCTCTTTTACTCCTTTGTTGTGGGCGTTTGGACAGCGTCTGTGGATTCAGGTGACGGCCCCTTCATCGATGGTCCAAGTAGCGGCGCTTTTTGCCTCTCTTCAGCGGACCAGATTTGTTGCAGTTTCGATCTGGTCTTTTTCTCTGCACTAATGTATGTAATATTTGTCTCTGTGTAGACAGGGCTGGGACGCCGGGATAAGGGCGGCAGGTAGTACATGGTTGGTGGTGGTCAAAATATAGAATTCCCGGTTGTTTCTTGAACATGACGGTAATAATAGAAGAGGCCATCAGCTAGTTAGTTATATTATTATGATCTCCAAGCTCTTTCCACCGCATTAACTAGTTATTCTATGAAACCCCCTGAACTCCGCGGCCAGCCGAGATCAAAGTCAATGGTCAGCAACCTGGAGCTCCGGTGTCGGCGCGCGGGGTCTCAGCGTGCCGACCCCGCCAGCAACTTTCCCGTCAGCAAGAGAGAGACCATCTTATTATTTCACGTCCTTATTCAGTCTGCTTTTCTCCTTGAGTCTTCTTATAAGAAAAGATAGACCAGGTCCTATATTCATCCATAATGCCGTCCTATAACATTGTCGTGTTTGCAGGTGACCACTGTGGTCCTGAGGTATGTCTCTGTCCTCTCCAAGCTTTTATCTGACCCGTGAGTAATCAGCTGTATGTTAATGGCTAACGCATAACTCATAGGTCACTGCGGAGGCTCTGAAGGTGAGATTGCAGTCGAATCATCTCTTACACGGTTTTAATGGGCTATATCTTCCGATGAGTTCACGGAATCGAGCTGTGGTTCGAGAACGAGTTCCTAACTTTCTGCCGTGTGTATTAGGTGCTCCGTACCGTGGAGAAGCACCGCGAGGACATTACCTTCAACTTCCAAGACCACCTTCTCGGTGGAGTAAGTAGCCCCTATCGATGTGGATGTGGACAGGACTCAATTTCTTATGATCTGCGCGTATAGGCTTCAATTGACGCGACCGGTTCTCCGTTGACGGATGAGGCTCTCACCGCTGCGAAGAACGCTGATGCTGTCTTCCTGGGTGCTGTTGGTGGTCCGGTATGTCTTGTCTCTTCTCTAGCTCAGATCTACTTATGAGGACTAGCCCCAGGATCTGGTAACAAAGTAACCAAAAGCTGACGACGTTAGAAATGGGGAACTGGTGCTGTTCGCCCCGAGCAGGGTATCCTTAAGCTGCGCAAGGAGATGGGCACTTTCGGCAACCTGCGACCATGCAACTTCGCTGCTCCCTCTCTCGTCGACATCTCTCCCCTCAAGGCTGACGTCTGCCGCGGCGTCGACTTCAACATCATCCGTGAATTGACCGGTGGTATCTACTTCGGCGACCGGAAAGAAGACAACGGTGACGGTCAGGCTATGGACACTGAACCGTACTCCCGCACTGAGATCGAGCGTATCGTCCGTCTCGCTGCTCACCTGGCCCTGCAGAACGACCCGCCTCTCCCTGTCTGGAGTTTGGACAAGGCTAACGTCCTGGCTACGAGCCGTCTGTGGCGCAAGACTGTGACCGAAATCATGGAGAAGGAGTTCCCTCAGCTGAAGTACGGACACCATCTGATCGACTCCGCGGCCATGCTCATGATCAAGGACCCCCGTAAGCTGAACGGTATCATTGTCACGAGCAACCTGTTTGGAGACATCATCAGTGATGAGGCCAGCGTCATCCCTGGCTCCCTGGGTCTGCTGCCCTCCGCTAGTTTGAGCGGTATCCCTGACGGCAAGAGCAAGGTCAACGGTATCTACGAGCCTATCCACGGTAAGTACCCACAAACGTTACCATATTATAAGCCCTTCAAGATACTAACACGAAATCACAGGCTCTGCCCCAGACATCGCCGGCAAGGGCATTGTCAACCCCGTCGCAGCCATCCTGTCCACCGCTATGCTCCTCCAGTACTCTCTCGGCCGCCAGGCTGAGGCCAAGCTCGTTGAAACAGCTGTGCGCAACGTCCTCGAGTCCGGTGTCCGCACCGGCGACATTGGAGGCAAGGCCACCACTCAGGAAGTCGGTGATGCCGTCGTTGCCGAGTTGGAGAAGCTCCTGAAGTAAAACAAACGAGACTGGAAAGGCTATTCCATACTCCTAACCGATTAAAAAAAGATTAAAGAGATACCATGTGATGATAAAAATGGATCTGCAATAACTAGTAATTACAATGCGTCAAATAGGCCGTGTCGATGGCAGGAGCAAAGATATGCGCTACTTCTAGTTCTGATTTAGAATGTTCTCATTCGAACAGCGCAACCCTGCAGGCTGGGTTGATATTCCGTTGGACTGTGTCGGAGGATCAACTGATGGCTAGGGAGGAATTTCTGCGAGGTGCATATATATATATATATATATGCATGAAACCGTGATACGCCCCTCCAGACAAAGTGTATACTTTCCAATATAAATGACATGAAGGTCACAACGCACTACTACATGCGAAATCCACAATTTTAGATACTCCATTTGACACGGAGAAAAGGAACGTAAATCTGTATAAAACATTGTATAGGAGTACCTGGGTATCGTCATAAAACAAAAGAGAAGTATCAAAACAAAAATATGCAAATAAACCATCCCATAAAAGTCGGCCGTTTAACCGTCCATCCCTGTTTTTTTTCTTTCGCAGATTCGCACCATGCGCCCCCTCAAGCCCCGAAGGATGAAATGCAAATGCTAAAAGGATGCTCATAACCATGTGAAAGTGAAAATAATTCGAAACGCCCATACCCTGCAGAATGGATAAACGTCCTTGATCATGTTGCTTTATCGAATAACCGCCTCTCCCATCCAATCTGGATCTTCCAGAGCCAACCCCTTCCCTCCAACGAGTCCGCGGCTGCTCTCCGGCCTGTCATGATCCGCAGCGTCCTTTCTGCCACGGAGCGACTTGCGCATGCTATGTCTCCTTGAATGAGCACCCGCAGCAGCTGCACTTGCAGCCACACGTCTCCGATCTTCGTCACGCGCGAAAACCTGAAAACCACGAACATGTGTGTCTTTGCCGTTTTGGTGGTTCTCGCAGATTCGGACTTGGAGGACCATAGCTTTGAGGATATTTCCCGACGAGGGGTCATCAGAATCGTCTGACTCTGTAGTGTCGTCGTCGCCGTCGCCTGCTCCTGCGTCTGATCCGTCGCTCAGAATGTCATCCTGGCCTCTGGATCTGCGCAAGTTCTTCCGCCGTCTGCGTTTCTTTGCAACATCACCCCAGCCACCGGTTGATCCTCCGACACCGTCCAATGGAATATCAACCCAGCCGCAGGGTCCCTCGCCCTCCCACGCAGCGAACTCCACTAAGTCATTGCCTCCCATGCCCGCTAGAAATACCATCTTCGTCGGTGTGTAACTTTCATCGAGTTCAAAGTCTAGGTACACTCTGATCTTGACGACGGCAACAAGTTTGAAGAAGTGTAATGTCAACGTGTGTGGTTGTGGGCCGTCTGATTGCCAGAATTGTGAGGGAGACGGATGCCGTAGTGCTGCGACGCCGCAGCCGGGCTTATGTGTTGAAACGGTCCAGGAAGCGAGAGAGGATATTTCGCGAAGATTGGGTGGTAATGGCGAGGGAGACTGGTCTTTTTGTTGCCAGTCAGTCAGTCAGCGGGAGCTTCGTAATGTAGGGCCAGACCGTCGAGTCCCACGACGAGATATTGACCTGCACAGACAGAGAGTTTGCATATTAATACTTACTGCGATCCCGCATCTCCTCATCCTCATCCTCTTCTTGCCCTTCAAAATCCTCGTCTTCCTCACCGATCTCTCGCTCCCCTTCCATGTCACCCTCTCCATCTGGATCGACTTCATGCCCCATCTGTTCGTCTGGATTCATTTCCAACTCCTCATCAACTTCCTCTTCCATTTCCTCCGCCTCTATCCGATCGGTATCCTCCGCCTGACCAGCCTGAAATCGCGCCATAGCTGCAACGCGACGCGGATCCATAGCTGCGGCAGCTTCGTACGGAATCGGTGACTGGCCCAGCTGCGTATGCATCACATCCGCCGCATTTCTGGGAGACGGCGTCTGAAAATCAGATCGTGTCCGAGCCGGTTGTGATCTTCCATCAGGCGGTCGTCGCAGAATGGGATTGCGGGGCATTATTGTCCGGTTATTCTTATTCCTTCCCTGGATTTAACCTTTTTTTGGTTTGACTTGGGCAATCCAATTCCAGATATAATTGAGATCAGAGCATAGCAGAAGATTGGTTGAATGGGTAGTTTCGTGGATATATTGCCCAATGACAAGGAAAAGCTGTTGCTGTAGTAGCTTTACAATCTTATGTTTACTCCGGCATACTTAACTAGCTCTGAGCTCTCACCGCGTTGGAGAGAGTCTGGACCGTCACGTGAGGTATATGTGCCCTACAATCAGTTGATGATATCTCTATGGTAAGGTCTGCTTGATATTTATATAAAGCTCTGCTGCATGATCTTTTGGATCCTAAATAACACTATCGGTCTTTTGAAACAGGGATGAGAGATCCATGCGTTTAGGAGCTATGTACTGTACATACATACATTTAGTATGGTTGCTCAGACAGACCGCCAGACAAACTAAGTACAGTACAATAGTTACCTCGAAGTCTGAGACTTGGATGTAAATGACCGAAATATTATAGTTAAAATGCTTTGTGATTTCTGCTACCTGACTAAGTACCAACAATCACTCCAGGGTTCTCTACAGGCTTATCTACTCTCCCCTGGCAACTCTCGATACCATTGGACTAGATACCCACGCATATACTCCTTCGGCTTCTTTATCCATCATTGAAAATATATTGCGTGTTATAAAGGCCTCTATCTCACCTGTCTACCTTGGTGAACTTCTGCATCTCGCTTCTGCCAGCTTCCACAACTCAACGCCTAGGAGAAATAGAAGCGCATGAATAAATACAATTCCCGATTTGTGTATGGTAATGACGTGTCTTAAGACGACGTAGTTGGTCGCAGTGATGTATAGGACAGATGGAGAAGACAGTTATGAAGGACTAGAAAAGGAACTGGTTTCTCCATACGTCGTATGTAAATTGACTTGGGGATAGAAACATGTGTATTTCAAGAACTTCGCTGTCTTGATTGGGTCCGACAAGGTCGAGTGTTTTCTTCCCGGAAAGTAAAAGCATGAGGACGGGGCAATAGAAGGACGAAAAAGGCGATATTGAGCCTCAATCTCCCGGATTGTATGAGAGAACGACATTATGTCCCTTGGTAGATGAGCATGGGATGCTCGTTAAGGACATCAATGGTTTCAAAAGGACATCCTGCGGGGATCGTTCTCACAGCGAACTGAAACGAAATGACGCCGCCACAGCTGCTGTTTAGAAGGGTAAATAAAGAACTTACGTCTTAGCATAATTCCAAGCTTATTAACGGGTATCGTATTCTCAAGTGTCCTTGTAAAGCGGACAGCCGATGTCACAGCCGATGTCTTTCCTGGAAACTATAGGAAATAAGCCTCGACGCCTTGCTCGTATGCTATGGTACATTGAAGGCTGTCTAAAAAATTATGTAAAAAAGGCATAACGATGATACATGAAAAGCAAAAGACCTCTTGTTCCTTTTTTCTTTCATAGCCTTCATTATCGAGCCGTCGATCGATATTTTTGCCAAATCTAGATTTTGTCAAAGATAGAAAGAGAAGAGTTCGTCTAGATATTAACGTATCCCAGTTTCTCCCCGACTTTCACGCGCTGCCCCTGCTGGATGGTCCACGTCCATCCTCCCTCCCGTTCATCTGTCCAGCCAGCATCGAAGCTCTTTCGCGCGCCGATCGGTGCTTCAAAAACGAGGACGATGGTGCTACCCAGCTGGAAACCGCCCATCTCCTCGCCCCGCTTCAAAGGATGGCCGCCCAGGATCTTGCTGGCGTTCCTGTAGGTTGCTTCCGCGAAGCCAGAGTACCTCTCTCCACGCTCTGCAGCGACGGCAGCGGCACGATCAGCAGCCGTATCGGTCGTGAGACTGTTGGTCCGCAGCTCAGAGTCGAAGTTAATCTTGATCGAGCCAACATTTGTGGCACCGACAGGGGTATAGCTGAAGAAACCCCAGCGCCAGCGACCGAGGAGCACGACGCGCTCATTCAAAGTAAAGAGTCCTGGAAGCGTGCGTTGAAGGTATGGTGAGACGGAATAGAGTTCCCCTGCGAAGTGACGACGCCTTTCCACAACCCAGGAAACGGGTGAGTGGAAGCGATGGTAATCACCGGGGGCGAGATAAATCACGACGTAGTGAAGAGCGGTATCTGATGCGGGCTTCGGAGAGTACCATGGAGTACCATCACCCAGATCAAGCTGCTTTTTGACCTCCACTCCCGTACTCTCTTTCGATGTCGTCGAAGCATCGAGGGATGGCTCCTTTTTGCCTTCCGCTTTCTTGTCGCCCGACAGCAGAGTGGGCAACGTGTAGGATATACCGTTCATCCGCGCAAATTCTTCATCAGCTGCCACATTTGTAGGGTCTGGCTCCTGGTTATCGAGTTTCGCGTCCGAGTCGACTGCAGAGGGAGTTGTGTCTCCCAACAAAGCCTCCAAACGATACGTCATGCCCTTGACCTGCTCAACCTCACCTCTTTCGATCAAGCCGAACTGTAGCACCCGGCCATCTGAAGGTGATACGATAGCGCGAGGATCATTGTCAATAGGTCGCACACCTGGCTTTAGTGTGCGATAGAAGAAGGCAGCGAGATTTGGGTAGGCGTGTAGATCTGACTCCGCTACCTCGTCGAGATTGACTCCAAAGATCCAGGAGTATAATTTGAAGCCCGGAACGCGTAGAGGATATGGTATCTCTAGCTCATTAAACTGGCCCCAGAGACGTGACAAAGCTTTGAGCGGCAAAGTTGACATGATTTGAACCTGCCATGGCCCGCTTGGGCGGATCCTTTTGCGATGAGGTATCACTCTATTTTCCTCGTCCTCGAGATCTTGGATTGCTTGCCTGTCGCTTTCGGCTCGTTTCATCTTGTAGAATTGGAAAAGGCCCAGAAAGACCACGCCCAGTGCGATTGGAATGGGGCGCCATTCTATCTTGGTGTTCCCCCAAGCGGTTCTCAATCTAGAGCTAAACGACTCTTTACCACCGGGTTGGCCACCCTCCTTGCGGTCATCTTTCTGGTTTTCCTGCTGGGTGTTATTTCGGGCCCTGGATGAAGAGAGTTGTCTGCGGTTGAACGTGTACTGCGAGCTCCTCAGCACCACTGTTGCCGCCAGACCCCGACGGGATACAGCATGCCTGTAGAACAGGGCAGAATGGGTGGAGAGGCGCAAGGCCATGATGCCACTCTACTCCATCCGCTCCTACTTCAGTGTATTGTCTCAATTAGCCGCTGTACAGAGGGCAGATTACCGTGAATCTCTGGACAAGTTGTTTGGAGAATCTGAGAATCTTGGATCTTTTTGGCCGCACGCGCAGTGAAGTCACCGCTCACCGCCCGGCAGATCAACCCGTGATCGGAGGCCCGGAACATTGTTGATCCGCGTGAGAGAGCGCGACATCAATGGAAGCTGCATCTCTTCTCTTGGTGATACAAGCAAAATGATTGCTGACAGACGCTGATGGCGTCTTGACACATCTAGAAGGGCGGTACTGGAGAGTGTTTGCTGCGGTGCAGTGCTTGTCATACAAGTGGTGGGGTTGGCCAGCTCTCGATGCCCATTGCCTCCGAGAGGCCACCGTCACTCTTAACCACCACATAACTACCTATCTATCTATTGCGCTGTCCTCCGGAGTGCACTGCAGGTCTTCAAGTATATCCTGGGGTGTCGATCTTTTTAATACCACCAGTTACCTACGGTGCAATCTCATTTAGCTTTGAACTGCCGATTCTCCGGAGTGCGGTTAACTTGCCTCTTCGGCCGCATAACTATGAGTTGTTGAATCGCTAACCGCCATCTCCAGCAACCTAATCTGCTGTGATAACCCATCAAATAATGGCGTCTGAGGGAGCCCCTCTTGAGGGCTCTACTTCCGTGGAGCCCTTGCAGCCTGCACGGACGATTGCGCTGCAAGTATTGTCGCCTTCGCTGAACCCGCCAAATCGCATCACGTTCGAGAGCCTTCCCCTGACCATCACCGTCGCGGATCTCAAGTCCCGCATCGCAGAGCGCATACCGGATAGACCTAGCGCTGACAAGCAGAGGCTTATATATCGAGGCAAGCCTCTTTCCGATGATCATGCTGTTTTGCAAGATATACTAGAATCGTCTGAGGTGAGTCCATTTTCCTGCGGTCTCTGCATTGCATCGAACTGTGAACTGATTATTTCGAGTCAAGGCTGCAATTCATTCAATACATCTTGTCCTTCCCCCGACCGATATTAGTTCTGCGACTGCGACTCTTCCCACCGGCCCTAGTTCCACGGTACCAGAACCATATAGCGCCTCAAGTCATGCCAATCCTTTGCAGTCCCCCACAGCTTATACGTCTCAAGCTCAGGCGCAACAAGCCCAAGATATTCGATTCCGAGGACCCTTTTCCCCTCCATCTCCACAACAGGAGTCAGATATAGAAGTGGCCCTAAGACGGAACATTGAGGCCCTGCGCCGACAGATCGAATTGCAGGAGCAAAGTAGGTGGCAACCACGACAGCAGAATCCCCATGTAGCTACTGCTACAGGACGCTCTTACCAGTTCGCCAACCCGCTTACTACTCAACCATTCCATCCGCCACCACAATATCCGAATCTCTTGCATCGACCGGCCCCAGCCGCAGGAGCAACCACAACACAGTCCTATGGGGTAAACACCCGGTCCCCACAAGGAACTGCCAATCCATCTCTTTCAGCAGCGAACGAAGTCCAATCACCACAAGCCAATGGAGCAATGCAAACAAGGCTTCAGAGGTTGCAGCAACAAGTTACGTACATGGAAAGCCAGCTGGGTTTAGGGCTGGCGCCGCCCGTTGACCTGATAGCTAGGACCAGGACCGAGTTGTATGGCCTGCTAGATGATCAGTTCCGGAATCCTGTCGCTCCCAGAGATGGCCATATTGAAGCATTGCTTGCCCGCGTGTTGAACATATACATGCGCGCCGATCGTATTCGAGTTTCGCAGTCAAGGAGCAATGATGTGAATATATCAACAACCCAGAACACGGGCCAGGCTCCGCTTTATCTGCTTTCATCACCCGCAGGTCATCATTCATTGGTAGCTTCTCCTGCCGGAGCAGCCACAATAGAGTCTTGGCTAGCTGCGCGCCGTGTGTCTCAAACGTCCAGGTCAGGACCATCGGCTGTGCAGGGACAGGCCCGAGGTCGAAGGCCACAGAGAAATCCGGGCGCAGTCATGATGGAGAACGCTGTTCGACATGCTCTACTGAATCAACAACGTGCACAGCAAAACCGACAGGCCGCTCTCGCTCGAAATGCCAGGCGTGCATGGCTGTTCATCCGGTTATACTTCTTTTGCTACCTCTTTAGCGAGTCGGGTACCTGGTCGCGCATCATCTTTGTCACCCTTGCTGTTCTGATCTCTATTCTTTCGGAGACGAGCCTTCCGCAACAATTCCAGCAAGCCGTGGTCGCCCCAGTTCAAAGACATCTAGAAGGCCTAGTTCACGTTGGAGGTGATGCGCAGATCCAACCCATTGTACCCCCACGCCAGGATGGCGACAATGCGCCAGTGCAGAGTCAAGGCATACAGACAGAAGGCGCGCATGATGTTACTGCCGCAGGGGCAGAACCTGGAATAATCCCACCTGGAGTGCCGCCGGTTGGGATGCAACAGCGATTAAGGAGGGTAGAGAGGTATTTAGCTCTGTTCTTCGCGAGCTTGGTTCCAGGCGTTGGAGAGAGACAGGTTGAGGCGAGCAATGCAGCCCAAGCTCAGGCTGCATTGAATGCGGTACGAGCGCGGGAAGAGGAGCAGAGGCGTCTCGAGAATGCCGAGGCTGATGGGACCGGTGGTGATCCCCAGCCAGAAAACCAACAGCATCCTCCTGAGTTGGAGGCAAACGATGCAAGCGATGAACGTACAAGGATACCCGTCAATGAAGGTGACGAAGTGCACTGAGGCATTAGCGTCTGTACTGCTTTAAACTTTCACAAAACCCATGTTGGGATGTCTCTTTTTCTCTTCCTTCGACATATTCACTTCGAGGACTCTTTATCACGATGCGGCGTTGCTGGGCAGGAAGACAATTCCTCTGTATAGGACCTGATTATAGCATGTCTGACTCGTTACTGAACATGAAAGCTGATAGTAATCCTATCATATTAATGCGGACATGCTCAATAGTAAAAGGTTTCTCGCCATTAATGCGCCCCAAAGATAAACAACGCTGTCTTTCGCAGAAGCCTTGTTTCGATTCTACTTTTTACCAATATCTGTATTTCCTGACTTCAGGTCTGCTTTACTCACAAACAGCCAACACACCGTAATAAAGAACTTCAAACCCATTGTCCTTCCTTGACCAGCTCCTGAAATAGCGCCTAAACTCAGAAAGCATCATAATCGATGTTCTACCAGTGTCTGTAGTTCTAATCGACGAAATCTGTCTCCTACGTGAAAGCGCTGTGTCACCAAGGTACAGCACTGATTTATTCCATCTGACAAGCCATTCAGGTATCTGTGATCGTTTCGCAATCCTCTACGTTCTGAAGTCGGATTGAATAGATATAAATAATCGTAGCAGAACAGTCAGAAGATCATCGAAAATGGTAATGCTAGATACAAGAGACCCAAAAGAGTATTAGACTCAATCAATACTTGCGTTCTGACCGTAGAAGCTCCATGAACCTATCATAGCTTTGTGGATGGTGGCGGCGCCGCGTATTGGTTACTTAAGGTAGGTGGTTCAGTCGGTGGTGCCATTGGGCCGGTGTCAAACGATTCATCGCCGTTGAAGTGCCTGCGTAGATTGTTAAAATAGTCTGCTTATACATGCGAGGGGTTTATATGACAAGATGAACATCAGGAAAGAGACGAGAAAATAGAAAGGGGGGTATACTGACCAGCCTCTCTCTGCACCATTGCTTAGAAAACTGCAGTCGCCATTCGAGACACAGTCCCATCCGCCACCAACTCCTCGTCCTCCTCTCCAGTCAGGGACTTTGACTTCGGGTCGTGTTATTTTAGTCCCCGGCGCAAGACGTTCATTTTGCTGCGAGATATCGGAAGGACTTTGTTGCCTCCTTACGAAAGTACTCAAGCAAGAAGTGAATACGTTGAAATCCTCCTCATTGGGATCCTCTGGCATGTTTCCAGTCAAAGCCCGTCCCATTGCAATAAGTGGTGCAGCATGAGAGCATATTAAGATAGCTTTGCTGGACCGCGCCTCAGGCGGTTGATTTGCTTCGAGGGTATTGATCTCATTGTCAAGATCAGAGATTATAGCTGCCAATGTGGTTGCGACGCGATCATGCAATTGAGTAATCGTCTCCCCTTTTCCTGAGGGGATGACGGTTGCGGTGTAATGCTCGTCTGGGTTAGGATGCATGATAGTCGGGAAATGAGAACGAAGAGCCAAGGGTGAGGCAGGGGATGGATGGTCGAAGAATGTACTTGCTCCGAACCATTCTCTGGATATTATTAGCTGTTAGAATGATTGATCGGGGCCTTTTCATGCATATCCAGACGGCGGTCTTTTAGTGACTTCGGAGCGTAGTAATGAGATCGAAGAAAAAGGAGTATACTCACCCTAAACCATTCTCGATTCTGACATCCAAGTCCACATCATTCTCACCACCTTGGTTCTTATAATACTCTTTCAAAGCCTGCACACCAGGTTGTATTGTCTGCAAGCACCTATAGAAAGGGCTGCAGTAGACCCGACATGGCTTTGGCTCGAATTGCGGACTCACCAAATGTGCAGCAAGTTCGCGGGATTGTTGTACACCGTGAGAAGTCAAGGTTGGATCTGCCGGATTTCCAGTTGGAGTCGGAAATTGTGCATGGTATGTTCCTGTCTTCAAGTCTATGGTCCAGTTGAGGCGGTGCTGTATGAATGCGGGGAATGCGAATCAGTTATCAGGATTTGGGGCCGTTATGGAGGGAACATCACGTACACCGTGACGGGTCAAGTAGATCCTTTCTAAGGGCATATTAATACCTCATTGACCAATCGGTCATCCGCTGCAAAAAATGTACAAAGAACTACTTAATGAAAGAGATATCGAAAGCAACTGCGAGCAGATGGATGCATCGGCCGGCAGAATCTACGAGCGGTGAGTCGGTTTACAATACTCGGTCCGCCTTCGGCAGAAAATTCTACTTTCGGAATGAAGCGATTTGCACGAGATGCATTTGACATTTGACTAGGTCGTATGAACGAGTAAATGACTCTTCAAGCTTTCCAGGAGATGCTCAAAACATTTCGCCACGCGCCGTCATACAAGCCTTGTAACCCGCTCTCATGTCATGACCACACGCATTCCCGGTACAGAAAAAAAAAGCACTTTTTTGGGGATATCTAGTAGAAGAAGCCGAGGATCTTGCCAGCAACGTGCTTGCGACGAGCCTCCTCGTGGTCCATGATACCGGCGGAGGTAGTCAGGACGATGAAACCGAACTGACGAGAGGGGAGCAGCTGGACAACCCACTTCTCGAGGTCACGGAGCTGAACGTTGTAACGGGGGTTGATGACACCGGTCTTGTTCAGGCTGTGAATTCGTCAGAAATAGCTCAATGGCAAAATCCTTGCAGAAACTTACCGGCCGTTAAGCTGGATGACGATCTTGCCGGAGCGGTGGTCGTCAACCTCCTCGAACTCGCCAATGTAGCCTGAAGGATATGAAAGTTAGAAATGTGGCGACGAATTAAAATCTGCCCGGAATAGATTAAGATCCAGGAAGCTTGTAAGATCTTCGCCAGAAGATATCAATATATCGGGAACTTAAAGGGCGGACGTCGTGGTGTGGGTTAAGATCGAAATCGCCGCCTAGTTATCATCCCGAATGTGGTCTAATATCTGGCGAAGATCAAACAGCTTCTTGGATCCTCTTCTATGCCGGAACAGTGTTTGTTCAAAGTGGTGCTAGCATACCGTGCTTCTGCATGACGCGGAGGAACTTGACTAGAAAATTGTTAGTATCAAATCTCTCTTCTCATCGTGGCGGTCAGGGGAGCTTACCAATGACCTTGGAAGAAGGACGGATCATGACCTGGCGACGGCCAGCCTTCTCGGCGTTGTTGATGGCGTTGAGCGCATCGTTGAGGACGGAAGTGCGGACCATTTTGGCGGTGTTGGAATGAGATTCTCAAATCGAATCGGGAAATGAGGTATCTAAAAATTCACTGCCCGATACCCACCATTGGAAATGATGGGCAAGGACGAAAGGAGTCAGCCATCAGTAGCCTTCGAGCCGAAAAGAGTGCCCTTCATGGAAGGGTTCTTTAGCCCGTGCCGCGAGGAGAGAAGCGTATCATCTCGACCGGCGATCGGTAGCGTGCCTTCGTCGAGGAACATCGTAACACGATCGATTCAAACGGTCGCGATGATTGCTCCTCTCAGGCTAGCTGAGGGGCTGCAGGTAGAAGGGAGGATGTGACGAATACATACCTCGAGGGATGCTGTGGTGAGAGGCGGGAAACAGCTGCTTGTCGTGGTGAAGAAAAGAAGGACCGGGATGCGTTAGGCTTTGGTGTTGAGCTCGAGCCTGGTGCGCCCGGTTAGGGTTTCGCCTGCGCAACCCTTATCGACATCACGTGATAAAAACAGATTTGGATGTCCCCAGATCCTTAAGAGTAAGATGCTGGAAAGAATAATTGGACAGCCATCCTTTCAACGAAATAAAACGGACTTTAATAACATGGCAAGGATATTTGAAATAGAAGGAACAGTTCAGATTAAGACATGATTATCTTGGTTCATTCTGCCACTGGCTTTACTACCATATACATACATGAGTTCAGGACACAGTGAATCTTGAAGCGCTATAGTAACATAATGCACAGGTCGACCTGTTCGCCCGTCCAGTTGCAGGGAAAGGTGCAATCGAAAAGAGAACAACTAAAAGAAATATTACAGTAATTTTGAGTATCCGGGGAAGAAGGCAATGCATGAAACAGAATCGCAGACACCGATTCTGATGTCCGCTAGAAGTAAGACCCGTGCCGGAAAAGAATAGAAGGAAGGCAATTCAGAACCTCGTCAACGTTCACTCCGGTTTTCGTCCGACCATCAAGTACATAGGAGTGAACAGCTTCTTTTCACCACCAGCGACCAGGCAGTCACCCGCCAAGGCCAGACTGTCAGCCGTCTTCTGAGACCCCTTGGGGAAGAGCCCAATCTTTTCCATAGCACCAACGAAGCGATGGGCAATACCACGTCCCCACCAGGTCATACGGGCGATGGTAAGGACATCCCACGGCGAGGTCAAATGCTTCCACGAGCCGGCAAGGGGGTAGTACCACGGGATTTCATCAGGGCGTTCTGCGAGGTCCTCAGCGTGGATAAGCTCGAATCCTGCAGCCTTGAAAGCGGCGAGACCTTCAGAGACCGTGACCATATTTGAGATACCGTCACCCTGCTCGATCCCTAGTCGAATCTTGCGGTGTTCGGGGTTGTTGTTATCGTACTCGTCAGTCATAAGCCATTCGTAGACACCAAACACACCACCAGGCTTCAGGACACGGAAGATCTGGCTGTAGACGCCCTCCAGGCTGGGCGCATGCACGGTAGCCTCGATCGCATAGACAGCATCGAAGGTGTTGTCGGGGAAGGACATCTGCATGAAGTCGCCCTTCTTGAAGCTCAACTTGTCGGAGAGGCCTTCGCGGGCAGCGTAGTTCGTAGCTCGCTGAATCTGGTAGTCGTTGTTGTTCAGACCGACAACATTGACACCGGAGAACTTGACCATCTCACGAGCAGGACCGCCAACACCACAGCCAACATCCAGCACCTTCATGTTTTCCTTCAGACCCATCTGAAGAGCCAGATAGTGCTCGTGACGAGCGATAGCCTGGAGGAATGGCTCGCCACGGTTGAATCGACAGAAATGGAATGAGCTTCCCCATCCATACTCGTAGAAATCCGTAGCAAGATTGTAATAGCTATGATCATATTAGTATCCAAGGTATCCTTCTCAAAGGCCAAACGGCAAGCAACAGGATATACGTACTGTCTCGTCAACGTGGCGTATTCAGCTCGTCGCGCCTATTCCCGCAGCAAAGCATCAGCATTGTTATGGCTAACCACGAAGGTTCAACACTTCTCTTTCGACTTACCTCTCTGATCTCTTCAGTCTCTTCCTCCGCGGACTTGTTGTCCCAGTGCTTAAAGTACTCATCAACAGCAGCCTTCTGCGCTTTAGAATCCTTGCTGCGCATGGCTGCGAGACCTCCACGGCTCTCAGCAGACTTGCCATGCATCGCGCGGTTGAACTCAGCATCGCGCTGGTGGTTCTCCTCTTCCAACTTTGCTGGGGCCATTGTGAAGGAGATGGCGAGAGATTAAGGGGCTCGCGATGTGAAAAGAAATAAATTATAACAGACTAGTGTCTCTTGAACAAAAGGCAATCAAGCAACTACCAGACCTCTCTGCAAGGAGTATCTGGGTCAATTGAAGTGCGCTGAATGAAAAGAAAAGGCCACGAACCGTTGGAAATAACAGAGTAGGCGGCAGGCTTAATATGAGCGAGCGCTGGGGGAGACCGCAGCGTGAGAAAGGAGAGCGTCGAGCGGTCTTAGCGCAGCCAATCAAGCCAGAGCGACGCGCCCGCTGCAGGAACAAAGAGAATCCGGTCCGCGAAGCTGCATGGAGTTGTGGGGGCGCAAGCTGAGCCAGGAGTCCTCGGAGTCCGGCCGGGGAAGACTGTATTGTTGTTATAGCCAAGTACTCTATCTATCTCCTGTCTCCCATCTTATGATAAGCCAACATTATTATTGTGTGCCAGGTAGATCCGCGGCTCACTAGTCTTACCGCTGACAATAGGCCGCAACCCAATGGTACTGCTGTGAGACAAACGCATATTGACTTGGACGGACCCGGGGTACTCGGTCTCCGTGTCGGTACTGTGACTACTGTCAGATCACGACCTGGCAACCATGGAGTTTTGGTTGACGGCCATCATTTTGCGAATAATTCAGCAGCAAGGTTATGGGTAGGCGCGAATCAGTGGGAAAATAGATCATGTGAATATTTGCGAAGCAGATAATCACCTGCATGCAAATGAAGATAAGGAATAATCACTCATAATACTCGTCTCATTTGCTCTTCGAATTTACTTGTACGGTAAGTAACTTAGCGAATGGGTGATCTCGTAGTTATACACTAGCCACCTGTATTATGTCAGCAGCACCGCCACAGAAAGAGCGATATCGATAATCGACTTGCGCTACTTCATGAGCGTCAGAATCAGTGGCGACGACTATCCAACGACGCTGGATCTCCTCCACGAAGTGGAGACACATCTTCGATATAGTCGCATCATAACTCGGACAATCAAATAACATGCCTCCACAGATTAAGCAGGATCTCAATCGGTCAGGTTGGGAAAGTACTGACTTCCCTTCCGTCTGCGAGAGCTGCCTTCCAGACAATCCTTATGTGCAGATGCTCAAGGAAGACTATGGCGCGGAATGCAAGATTGTAAGTTGCTTTATCCCTCACATTTGTGCCCTACGGAGCTGGAGCTAACATATTGTAGTGCACGCGGCCGTTTACAATCTTTCGCTGGAAAGCCGATCGCACTGCGCGCACGAAACGTACCAACATCTGCTTGACATGTGCCCGCTTAAAAAACTGCTGCCAATGCTGCATGCTGGATTTGTCCTTCGGGCTGCCCATTGTTGTGCGCGATGCAGCGCTGAAAATGGTTGCACCGGGACCACAGAGCAGTATTAACCGCGAATACTACGCGCAGGAGCACGAAAAGGAGATCGAGGAGGGCCGCGGAGCTGTTGAGGCATATGAAAAGACAGATGAGAAAGCTCGAGAGCTGCTCAAGCGACTGGCGAACAGCGAGCCCTACTATAAGAAGCAACGGCGACTGGAGGGGACTGATGAAGGTGAACCGTCCGAGTCGGGTCAGAAGCGAATTGGATATGGAAATGCCCCTGCGTATGGAAACGGCCCTGGGCCTATAAGGACAAGCGAAAGCAGAAGAGGCGGTAGTCTTCCCGGTCGGGGTGGACGGGCTGCTCGCGGCGGACGACCATTCCCCGGTACAGCTCAGCTGCCTCCTGGCCCCGAGGACTACATGCCACCTGCGGATCCCAAGATTACTTCTCTCTTTGTGACGGGAGTTGAAGATGATCTCCCTGAGCACCTTATTCGAGAGTTCTTCACTCAGTTTGGCCAGATTAGGTCTTTGATCTGCTCGCACCGTTCACACTGCGCATTTGTGAACTATGCGGACCGCGCCAGCGCAGAAGCTGCTGCTCAGCACTGTAAAGGAAAAGCTGTCATTCAAGGTTGTCCTCTGCGAGTGCGCTGGGGCAAGCCTCGACCACTTGACAATATGGACCGAGAAGAGCGGATGAAGTATGCCAGAGAAGGGCGCCAGACGGCTGCAGCTACGAAGATTGCCGGTGCTGCTGCTGCCAAAGCCATCGCTTCCGCTACTCAAGCAGCTGTGCAAGAGCCCGAACAGCCTTCCTACGCAGTTGCTCCGCCTCCGGGAAGCAGTGAGGTGCAATACGCCAGTATGGCCGGTGAATAAACATTATTATGACCATATTTCCTTGTTTTTCTTTTCTCTCAAGAGACATGTTTGACCGATGCTGGGGACAAAATGTACTTGATGGCTTTGGCGTTCCTTTTTTGTTACTTTAATGACACACTCTGAACCAATATCCTTGACATGGGGAAGTCGAGAAGAAAAGATTGGGGTATATTTATTATGATACAGCCGCAAATACCGATCTAATAGTCACATTCAAACGATCTTGATCCCCTTGAAACGCGTAGGCTCTGTAGCCATATAACACATGTGATTCGATCACCAAGAAGCCCTGCCTGGTACATCCTCGGCGCGCTGGTCGCAATGTCCTTGATGCTTTCTGATTTGATTCATCCCGTCTTTCCGAGAATAACTCGTCACTTCTCTATATATCGTACAGCATATAAACAAACACATCCTCTTGAACCATTACTACGACGAGCAGCACTTCTCAACCTTCACATTCTTTCCGCTAGGAGACTTGACGGAATCATTGTCGCCGCGCTCAATGTCATCGTGGATGCGGAGTTCTGGACAAGCGCAACTAGTCAGTTATCGTCTTTCTCTAGCTGAACGGGATAAGTATAGAAAAATAAGAGGGAACCTACGCCACTGAGCATCTTCCTTTTCGGCGTCCCTCACTCCCTGGACGATGTTATGTCTGAGAATGTTCGCAGTTTCTATTGCGTGTTGGATGTGCATGGGTGTGTCAACACCTGTGCGGCGGTGTTCATCAAAACGTCGTCGAGCCTCTGCGCGGGCAGCGTAGAGCATGTGATAGTCATCTGAGTCGTGGTAGAACAAGTCAGTATTTCTATAGATCAACGAGGGGTCGCAAGTCAGAATGAATGGAGACGAACCTTGGAATGCAATGCGGGTGGCACGGAGGAGTTGCCGGTAGGCGCTGAGAGGGGATACAGTCATGATTGCTAACAGGAACTGAACCGGAGTTGGATAGCTCCCTTTCTTGATATGTTAATGGAAGAATCAGCGACAGGGGCCCCTTTTGATGGTGGCGTTCGAGCGCGGAGTACAATGTAGACAGTTCAGTTATGTCGAAGGTTGCTTATGAAGTCTTCGCGTTGAGCTGTAGGATAGTCGCCGGAATGCGGTCTAAACAAGTGAGAGGTGGTAGCGGCCCTTTTAAGGCGTATATTATGAAGGAGAGAAAGACAATGCTTCTTCTTTTGGCCTCTTGATGTTCTGTCAAGACTGCCAGTTTTATCGATCGAAAGCTCCAGACTCCGATTACATCCCGAAACTTGCCGGCATTGATTGGACGGAGACGCGGGCGGAATATATCGGCAGAAAAATAAATTTTGCGCCGCGGGCGGTCGAGGCAGCGGACCGCACAGGATGCTCCGCCCTCTCTTTTGCCTCAATATCAATCGTTTCCTCTGAATACATCGACTGAGAACCGGATCATTTCTGGTCTCTGCAATTCAAAATGGCCACTATTCAGACGGTCAATCTCCCTCTCCCCGCTCTGCCTGCGGGCTGGAGCGCCGACAAGGACTTCAAGGCCGTCGGCACCCTCTCCAGCGCTGTCCAGCGTAACGTTGAGCCCGTGGGACCGCACTTCCTCGCTCATGCTAGACGGGTACGTTCCTCTCTATAGTCTCATACTGTTGTCTATATACATATGCAGAAAACGCCCCAGAAAATTGTCGCAAAATCGTTGTATAGGAACATCTGCTAACAACCCTCCAGAAGCGCCACAACCGTACCTTCTCCGAAGATGAGCGCATCACCGCTCAGGAGAACGTTAAGAAGGTCGAGGACGCTGAGGATGATGAGATTTCGGAGCCCGAAGATCCCCTCATGCTCTCCAGAGATGCTAAGGACTGGAAGGTACGTTGAAACTGCGAGTGTATGCACAGCTATGATATCTGACAACTTCTAGGGTCAAGATCACTACGCTGTCCTCGGTCTCAGCAAGTACCGCTGGCGTGCGACTCCCGAGCAGATCAAGCGTGCCCACCGCAAGAAGGTCCTCCGTCACCACCCCGACAAGAAGACCGCCGCCGGTGCCACCGATGAGAACGACAGTTTCTTCAAGTGCATCCAGAAGGCAACTGAGATTTTGCTCGACCCCATCAAGCGCAGGCAGTTCGACTCCGTCGATGAGGCTGCTGATGTTGACCCTCCTACCAAGAAGGAGGTGGCAAAGGGCAACTTCTACAAGCTGTGGGGACCCGTTTTCGAATCTGAGGCTCGTTTCTCTAAGAAGCAGCCCGTCCCTCTGCTAGGAGACGAGAATAGCACCAAAGAAGAAGTCGAAGAGTTCTACAACTTCTGGTACAACTTCGACAGCTGGCGCTCCTTCGAGTACCAGGACGAGGATGTCCCCGATGACAACGAGAGCCGTGACCAGAAGCGTCACATTGAAAAGAAGAACGCCAATGCTCGCCGCAAGAAGAAGACTGAGGACTCTGCTCGCCTGCGTCATCTCGTCGACGACTGCCTGGCCATGGATGAGCGTATCAAGAAGTTCCGCCAGCAGGAGCGTGCCGGAAAGGACAAGCGTCGTCTCGAGAAGGAGGCTGAAGCTAAGCGTCTCGCCGAGGAGAAGGAGCGCGCCCGTCTTGAGGAGGAGCGCAAGAAGAAGGAGGCCGAGGAGGCTGCCAAGGTCGAGCGTGAGGCCAACAAGAAGGCCAAGGAGGCTGCTAAGAACGCTGCCAAGAAGAACAAGCGTGTGCTCAAGGGTAGTGTCAAGGATGTCAACTACTTCGCCGAGTCCGGTGAACCATCTGCTGCTCAGATCGATGGTGTCCTGACCGATGTCGAGCTCATCCAGAGCAAGATTGACAACGAGCAGCTCGCTGCTTTGGCTGCCCGCTTGACCAGCGCTGGCAAGGACGCCGCCGCTGTCAAGGCTGCCTATGCCGATGAGGCTAAGAGACTGGTTGCCGAAGGCAAGTTGAAGGATGGAGAAGTCAAGATCCTTGTTTAGACCTGCCTGTCTATGGCGCCTCGTTATGATTTAAAAGCATGACTACATAGATATGTTTTGCCTGATATGTGTTTTATGAGACATTTGGTTAAGAAAGAATACTGAGCCAATCCATTCTGCATACGTAGTGAAGTCTAAACTATTACCTCCATTCTCTCTTCTAGCAGTGCTTATTTTGTTGCTCGACTGCCGCATGGGTATTATTTTGTAATGACTACTATAGTCTTTTGACGTGGCCTTGAAGCCCACCCCAATACTGCTTACTACAAACGTTGAGACCATACCTTAAAATATAGATCCCACTAAATAGCCATGAGTACATACTTAACGTTTCATCGGCACCGCTCAACATGGAGATAACCGGCCAGGAAAACAGTATCGAATTGTATAATATACAAAACCACAGAAAGATAAGAAAAGCAAAAACACCAATGGCTATCCAGAAAGAAACGGATCAAATATATTACAGATAGTAGTTCCAGTGCAAAACAAATAAGAACGATTAATAGTCATATGGGTCGGAGGCGAACCTGGCTCAACTGAGCAAGGAGAAGAAGAAGGAGGGTAAGTGAAAAGGGAATATTCAACAAACACAGTCGTTGTAGAAGGAGTATTGTTACATCGTAAATTTGATAGATCCGGGTAATGTTCATGGTCCTGAATGTTCTGGTTGATTTCTTCTTGGAAGAGCTTTTTACGCTTCGTTGCCGTCTGCCTCGTGCGTGGCTTCGATGCCATCATCTCCGTTTGCAGTTTTGGAAGTTCCGTTCTCACTGTTTGTGCCGTTCTCAACGGCTTTGCCTTTGCCTTTATCCTTAGTGGGCTTCTTGTCCAGCTTGGGCTTTTCGCTGTCCTTCTCCGGCTCGCCAGTGATGAGTTTGTTGTGGTAGTTTTTGCCAGAGCTGGGGTTGTCGAGGAGGATACGTCTAGCGGCTTCGTTGCCCACGACGGGGAGTCGCTTGACGCCCTGGACTCCTTCAGGCAGGAGCTTGGGGTCTAATAGACCAATCTGGACGAGCACACTGGCCTGATCCCAGTAAATGTGCTCAGAGTAGAGTTTACCAGCCTTAAAGCCAACGATGCTGACCATAATGATCTCGACTCGCTTGTTGGTTGGTGGCACTCCAGGGAGCATCCAGGGCATCTCTTGAGTGTGTTCAAACGTGGTATAGAGCTCATCAACAATCCTGTCAGCTCCGATCGTGCGAGAAATTAGCCTCAGTCGCATAGACGGTGGCTTGTTTTGCAGAAAGTGGTTCTCGTAGAAGTGTCGCAGGTGCTGGGCACCATTGCCACCCGTCAAAGTGGGAGCGAACGTGACGGAGGGCTTCTTGTGAGTTACGAACGTCTCCATAGCTTCGTTCGCTTTAGATGAGAAGTAGACATCTGGAAACTCTATTAGCAATGGGGTACACAGATTGCAGCCGATGTATTAGTGACTTACACTCCTGGTTGTCATCCCATATTTTCTCCAAATCAGGGTACTTTCTGAAAGCCTTCCGAAGAACATCAAGTGTTCGAGTGAATGCGACCTCCGCAGAGACTCGATCGTATTCCTCCAGGTCGTGCTCCGCGAATCCTGGCTGGGAATATTCGTATGTGTACGTTGGGTACGCGATGTTGAGACGCTCGCCTGTGCCAACGCCAGGGTAGATGCGCCTCGTGCTCCTCCGACGCTTACCCTGGAGCCCAAGAGCCTGAGGAGTCGTTGTCACATCTACGCTGTCGCCAGCTAGATGGACAAGGACCCGCAGTCCGTGTGGGAAACGCGTACGAGTGTCGGGGATATTCGTCGGGTAATAAGCAATTAAGGCTGCCAGTTTGCTGCAGGAGGTAGGCTTTCGATAGTGGTCCAGACAAGCAGATGCAGCATCACCGTATGCTATACATTTTAACGTCAATAAACTTTTATCCATAGTAACTGATAATGAAGATTGAAGCAAGCATACCAATAACAGCGTATTGCTCTCCAACACCTAGACCTTCCTTTACCCCGTTCAGCCTGCTTATGTACTCCTTCCCTCCATTCCCATAAGCCACATAGACAACATCAAACCCTTCATGCTGCCAATCGCGCAGCGTCTGCGTATCGAAATCTTCCGTTTCCGCAGTGATGCAAATCCGCGCTGGGCCTGCGTTGTCTAGGTTGAAGCTATTCGAGATGAACCCGGTACCCGGGGCATTGATGCTAATGCTAGCCATTTTTCGTCGAATTCGAGCAATTTCTTCGTTGGGGGTGAACTATGAAGTCGAAGTAGATCTATACCGGATCGATGAAGTTTATTTTCCCAGCATTGACACGCGGGACCGATACGGGAAATCTTGTTCACCAAACGGTGGCCGGAAATAGATATCAATATGGTTCATTCTCAGGAAAAGAGAAAAAGTAGACAATAACTCCATGGCGTTAGTATTAAAAGCGTTGTCTGTAATGGCCTGTACGTCAGTTGTGCTGGGTATAGAGGGCGATGACGTCGGGGCTTTCATCATGTTGCGGAGATCAACCAGGCGATCGAGATATGACAGGCCACTAAACTTAGCAATCACCACGAGAAATTCCTCCGATGGCGCAACACAACAGGTTCTATCCAAACCGACTTCGTGAGAGAGACGGAATGCCGGTCTCTGGGAAGTCCATCGATCCTTGGTTGCACTCCTCTCTTGAATGGTCTGCCTTTCTGGGGCCTACCACGAGCCATGGAAACAAGATGGCTTAGTACTCAATTCTTGGACCTAACTCTCTGAAATGCTATGCAATATATGACTTTTGATGGCCGAGTTCTAGAGTCGATCATTAAGTGAGATGGAACGGCTATATCCGTTACATATTTTGGAACAAACGGGTATTCTTCCATGGTTAAGTTAGACTTAGTACTTGTTAGATGACTGGCGGTGCCTTTGTTGGGTTCCTTAGATGCAGAATTACTTATTGGACATGTTAAGATTTCGGAAAGCACCCAATAATTCTACTCGATCATGTTCTTCAGACCAAGTGACCAAGCAGAGAACGCTTGCTTTCACAAAGTTGGATTACATCTTATCATTGAGCGCTAGCGAAATGTTTCAATATACTGGCTGCAAAAGTGCTCCACTTTTCCCCCACTTTTTTTAACCTCTCTGATTGGTCTATTTTGAGTAAACCGCACGTGACCCCTGATTTAATTGGTCTATCTCGAGTAAACCGCACGTGATTATTGATTTGTCAGATGTTTTAAACTGCTCAGTATTACCGCCTTCTAATTCGGGAAATTAAAACAACTCCTATATAGGTTCGCGTCTATATTAATTAGTTTACACCCTTCGCAGTCCTTATCTCCTGCTTTCTTTTGCCTATTAAAGCTCATTTTTAAAGCATTTTCTTCTATCTAAATACTGGCTTCTTATTAGTCCGTCTGAAATATCGATTATATCAGCTAAATCCCTCCTACCTATCCCCCTTCTGCCTACCTACCTATCCTATATAGACTTCGGCTTCTCATACTATCTAGCAATTACTAGCTAGCTTTATCTATTAGGTAGTTCTTTACAATATTTATCATCCAAAGTTACTACACTAAAAGAACCTGACAAATTACCTGATTAAGCAATCAACCTAACTAACTATCTGCCAGCGCGCCAGCGCGCCAGCGCCAGCAGCCAGCTTAGTCAGAGCAGCCAGCTTGGTCACTACGCTCAATGATTATTTGCTACGGCCCCTCCTAGCCGTAGCGCACCTGGTAATATTTTCATCTCAGCCTATATGTATATGCCTTGAATGAGACCGATGATACTGCAGGCCTTTCGCAGTTTCACGTGGCTGAGATAAGCTTGATCTTGCAACACGCGGCCGACGCCTGCCTACCTATTCTATAGGTACTCGATAACACGGGATATAACTACCACTCCGTGCAAGTATAGTGAACGATGTCCGAGGACCTTCATATCACTCACGAGACAAGGCAGATAGTATTTTGCGAGTATGGCTTCTGAGCATGCAACTGTCAACAAAGATGGGGTCAAGACGTTCATTCCTCTCGGTACGCAGCTCCTTTTCTAGTACGCTAATAAGCTCTACTAACGTATGATATGCCTACTAGAAAACAACCCTGAAGTGATGTCCCATCTCGCATCACTCCTAGGTGTTTCGCCATCATTGACCTTTCACGACATCTACTCCCTTGATGATAATGACTTGCTCGCGCAGATACCGCGACCTGTCAATGCACTCCTGTTTGTCTGTCCAGGTACCGTATATACTCGTTCTCGAGAAGCGGAAAATTCCTCAATGCCTGCATACACGGGGTGCGGCGAAGAAGAGGCCGTGATCTGGTTCCGGCAGACAATCGGACACGCTTGTGGTCTCATAGCACTGCTACACTCCATATGCAATGGACCTAACAGGAAGTACATCATGCCTGGGTCTCTTTTAGATGGCCTGCTTTGCCAGGCTATTACACTCCAGCCGGATGACCGGGCGGCTCTTTTGTATAATTCCCCGTCGCTAGCACTGGCTCACGCCGAAGCAGCTAGGAAAGGCGACACCGAGGCTCCAACGAATTTGAACCAGGACTTCCACCATTTCATTGCATTTGTCAAAGGCTCTGATAGCCACCTGTGGGAATTGAATGGCGGTATGAAGGGCCCTGTTGATCGCGGAACCCTGACAGAAAGCGAGGACGTCTTAAGTGAAGGCGCATTAAGCATGGGCATGAGGACTATTCTCGATAAAGCAAACGGAGAATATGGGTTCTCCATTGTGGCCATCGCGGAGGAAACGGTATGATCGCGGAACTCGTGTCTCGTCCTGATATGTGCTATATGATTATTCCACAACTCCGCGACAGTGTGACTTGGCTGTACACAACCGGTAATTACCAGTACAAGATCAATCCCCTAAGCGCGCATGATTATTCTTGTAGTATCTAGGTACCTACCTAGGTAGATAGCAGTAGTTACTACTAACCACTAGCCTTGCTGGCGGTGACGTTTGTTTGCGGGAAGAACCAGGTGCGATTTCCATTCTCGGCTCACGGAAAGTTCCAGACTCACCTGACCGGCCTGGATATCTTGCAAGTTTCCCTTGCACTCGTCTCTTTCTTCCTGTCGAGAAATTAAGGACAGGTTTTGTTTGTATTGGAATCAATCCGATGTCCGTCGCCCGATGTCGCTGGTTCAGCACGTCTCCTCAATAGATGGAGTCGACCGCGAGCATGTACCGTCGAGCCAAGAGCCAGCGGGCTCGATCCGGCGCCAACTGAGCTATGATGCTTTTCCACGGAAGACAAACCCAAAGGACGACCAAGTGGGAATTCCTGCCTACAAAGTATCGGTAGCAAAGAGAGTTGGTAATAATATCTCTGGAGATCAACGTGATCGGTGCTTTTTACTAACCTTTGCTTTCTCGCAGCCCAGGTTACGGCTACCATTTTGGCCTGTTGGTTCGCTGCAGGAATCGTTTTTGGCTTCGCTGCTCTGAAGCCGGTTCTGATTTCTGAAGGTGTCTATCGAGACTTATGTACGGAAGATGAGTTGCGAGAAGATGTGGAGGTCTGCTACGGGCAAGAGATGAGGTGAGTACTAAACCTCCACACCAATATAGTTTCCCCGGAACACATGCTTATGCGAACCCACCAGGCTCGATCTCTTCTTTGCTGTAGCTTCGACAACAACAAACATATCTGCTCTGCCTGTTGGTACTATCCTGGATCGCTATGGACCCCGGCTCTGTAACATCGTGGGCTCAATTTTGTTAGCCATCGGTAGCATCTTCATGGCCTTCCCGCTGCCCAAGGTTGACAATTACATCATTGGCAACCTCTTTCTATCCTTGGGAGGCACGTTTGTGTTTGTGCCCTCGTTTCAGATCGCTAATGCGTTCCCACGATATGCTGGGACCATAGTAGCATTGGTGACGGGAGCCTTTGATGCCTCAGCTGCGGTCTTTCTTTTCTATCGTCTGGCATACCAAGCAACGGGTGGTGCGATCGGCCTGAAGAAATTCTTCGGGGGCTACCTTATCATTCCAGGATTGATACTCCTTGTACAGACTATCATGCCCGCCCACGGCTATCAAAGTGTGCAGCAACTCGAGGTTAAGATCGAGCAAGCTCAAGATGCCACCCGTGATGTACATGATTCGGACGACGAGATCGAGAGTGAGACAGAGTTGTGGCGTGTCCGCAGCAGACGCGCCGAGCGTAGACAGCAGAAAAAGGACCAGCTCGACCAGCTTCTGGGAGATGAGGAGGTTCGACAGCAGCGGGTGGAACGAGAAGAGGAGAAGCAGGCAGTTAGTGGCGTCTGGGGAGTCCTCCACGGCCAGCCCGCCCGCAAACAGATGCTATCTCCATGGTTCATCCTGATCAACTTGATGACAGTGCTACAGATGCTCAGAATGAATTATTTCATTGCAACCGTTAGGCAGCAGTACGAATATATGCTCCGCTCTGAGCGTCAGGCTGTGCGGATCAACCATTTCTTCGACGTCGCTCTCCCTGTGGGTGGTGTCGCATCTACTCCCTTCATTGGCATTCTTTTGGATAGCTTCAGTGTCCCGACGATGCTGGCAGTCATTGTTGTTCTCACCACACTTGTTGGAGCATTAAATTGCGTCCCGTCCATCGGGGCTGGATATGCCACAGTTATAATATTTGTCCTGTTGAGGCCACTTTATTACTCGGCCATGTCGTAAGTACCACCCTTGTTCTAGTTTTCGCTGGCACCTGTTCGTCAGGCTAACTTTTATTCATAGCGACTACGCTGCCAAGGTGTTCGGCTTCGCTACCTTTGGTCGTATCTACGGAACAATTATCTGTCTTTCGGGGATAGTCAACTTTTCGCAATATGGATTGAACGCCCTGACCTACAAAACTTTCCACGGCGATCCGATTCCCATCAACATCGGTCTGGTTGTCGGCGGCTTTGTCATTGGAGTGATCCTAGTAACATTTGTGCACGTTGAAGGCTACCGTATAAGACGTAGGCAGCTGGAGGAAGAAGCGGAAGAAGAACGGGAGAGATTGATTCCGGAAGAGTGCGAGCCTCAAGAGGCATGAAGCATTAACGATGAGAAACTCGATACGAACAAAACCCTCTCCGCAGCACATAGTGATATCCACTCAGTCAATTCTACATAGTCTGCTTTAGACCCCATTTCTTTTCTGACTGGCCATTGCTTTCAGAAAGCTAAATGATTCATTCATGATTAAAATATGTAAAGCGACTCTGTAAATCCCCTCGTATGGTTAGCTTTACCCTTTCAAGGAATATATCGCCCGTCTCGGCTCCTCCGAGTATATTCTGGGCTACTATATCTATAGTTGATTCATTCTAATTAATAATATAGCTAAATATTCCACACCTGCCCCAAATGCGCAACGACCCGGCCGTAGATCACGCCGGCACAAGACCCATCAAGGATAACGCATCCCTTGCTACCACCCTGAGGCGATCCAATTTCAGAGGCAAATTGATGTTGGGGTTCATGCCAGGAGAGGCCGCGTTACCAAAAAGCATACGCTTGGTCAGTCTGATCTCCTGCGCTTGCGCGTTAGGGGGAACTGGGAAGATCGACTCCCTCTGGCTCATGATGGGAATCCCGTTGGAATCGAGAGTGTAGACCTCGGCGAATCCACGGACCTGATTGGTGTTGCTGATAGTTTCCCACTTGAGAATAATGGCCATCTTCACTGTTCCATTCCCCCCAACCAGCCAAAGATTCATGTCATCCATAAGCCGAGGAATAGATTCGGACCATCCTGACTCGATAACAAGAACAGGAAGTCTCTGATTATCGGGACGCAGCAGAAGATCTGGTTCTTTGCGAGAACCGGCATAAGGGGCATACTGAAACTCGATTGCTGTAGATTATTAGAACTATTAGCGCAACTCCATTGCATGTCTCACAATTCCAGGGGATAGAGGTGTGTGTGTGTGTGTGTGTGCTGAAATGATGGTGATTTACTTACTAGTTCCGACACGGGTTCGCTGGTAAAGGATTTCGTTAGGGGTCAAGAGACCCCAAAGTAGCCACTGAACCATCTCGTCTCTCACCCATATCTGGTGACAATCGTGAAGTTCAGTAGGCATGATCCTAATCCAGAAAGTGCGGGTGACTACGTTGTAATGTTTTCTGAGGAGTAAGCATTATGAAGCCCCCCCAAGACCGTAGAAGGATTCATCTTACCTAGAAGAAGCTTTCTCGTCGAGATACTTGAAAGCAGCCTCTCCCCAGGCCAGTGGAACCTGGGTGTATACAACCTCTTGGTGGTGTCTCGCAGAAGTAACTGCCTCCAGTGCGTGGTTACAAAACTCCTCTTCGGAGGTGAAGTCTGCTGTTGAGAAGAAGCGTTGGGGCGTATAGGAAAGAGAGTTGTCTCCTTGGAGAGGTTGTTGTTCGCTGGGAAGAACCATCTTGTCTTTGTGGTGAAGATCGTGGGAGAAATTGGAAATGGGTGCTAGGTATTTAAATTCCTCAATTTGGAAGGAGCGGTGCCTAATGGATAGGTAGGAAGTCCCTCTTGCTGGTTATATAGAGATTCACCGTCAAAAAACTCAAGCATCTCTAGACTAGAATGGAAGAATCCGGGCTCTTTTAGACATTTAGCTCCGTGCAGCTGCAAAATCGAAGTATTTTTAGCTGTCGGTATACATTCAATTCAGACAATATAATGAGGTGGAAGGTATTAAAGTCAATCTCACATGACTCTGTGATGTAAGAAATACCAGGTCAACTAACTAACTAATATTAACTAGTTACGAGTAAGATTTTGGATAATCACAATCGTTCCCTCTAAATACACACACAGTTGACATGTTTTTATGCTTTGCCTGCTACTCGCCGCTGGATAATAAGCTGGTTTTCATGACTAATTTACATCGTCAGCCAGTGAGCTTGTCTCCTTGATTTAGTTATATCCTGGTCTTACTCAAGCTAGTTAATCGTATCTCTAGGCGGATGTTGCCGTCCTTTATGTATTGGATCCTGGACCAGTTTGGTTCAAACGTAGCGACAAACGTATTCCGGTCCTGTGAAACAGCAGGGTAGACTGTCTCGTACAGAATCTTGGGCGTGTTAGATACAGGGGATGTTAAGAAGGTCGAGAGAACAACCAGATTAATGGGGGTCCAAAGGTGAGATTAGTAGGTTGTAGTTATACCATTATCATTACTTCGTTAAAAAAAGAAGCTTCTATGCTTTTTGCTTTTTGGGAATCTTCATAAAAAAAAATAAAATAAACAAAAAAAAAGAAAAAAGAAAAAGCACAACTCAAAAAACAGGACCTCTCTTCCTGCCTGTATATTTCGAGTTGGCTTTAACAATCTTTCCCTTTCTCGTCATTTGCTCCTTTTTCCTTAAGATCCACGCCTTACTACCTTTCTTATCTGCTGCCGCTTGTGACCGTCTGGACTCCTTTGCTGCTTTTCTCCTAGCGTCCAAGATATCGACATCATCCATTCCATCAACAACATTTGTAATATCACCTTGAAGACCGCCTCCGCCGACTGTAAGCACAAGATAGAGCTTACTGTTCTTCGTACCCGGGTCATCTTCCAGAATACCAGCGCCGAAACCGGCCCGCATGGCAGCGGCACTGATCATGTTTCTTTGGAGATCATTCTTCGGGTAGAATTGGCAGACGGCACGACCACCCCGACGGAGACTGGCGTAGAGACCCTCGAAAAATCTGCGTAGTCGTCCTTCGGGACTGACGTCGCTTGTTTCCGCGTTGCAAAGCCACTGGATCGCACTGATGCTGATGGCCGCGTCGAATGAGCCAGGTCGGAAGGGAACGCCTTGTCCGATATCAGCGAGGAGAAGATCGCCCTCTACGTCTCGTCGGAGTGCGACGTCCAGCATGCTGGGCGAGATGTCCATTCCGATCCAAGTGTGCGGTCCGCCTTCCTCTGGTGGTACTTCTGAGAGTATTTCTCCTGATAGACCGGAGCCGCAGCCGACGTCGAGAATCAGAGAAGGTGATTTGAGATCGAGGAGCTCGAGCGCTCGATGTGTCATGTCCGACTGGATGTTGCGGATACGGGAGGATGTGGTGTATTTTCGCGATTCGTCATCGTTGTAGAAAAGGTCTGGTGGTCTATAATTGTAGCAAAGCAATCAGTCTTTCTGTTTGAGTTGTCATGGAGGAATGATAGCCCAATATATATAATAACAATCGCCTCTTGAAAAATCAATGCCAAACGTACAGAATATCTTCAGGGCGCGACATCCTGGGCTAATATGCAGTGAGCTTCGCGCTCGATTCGATCGGGAAAAAAAGCTGCTGCTGATAATGAAGCGATACGGCGGCGCTCGTGCAAGAGACAAAGGATGAAAGAGATCGCGAACGTTGGCCGGGATAAGGAGATTATGGTCTCAAACAATCATCAAAAGAAGCACTTTTCTTTCGTGTCAAGAGACTGTTTAGAATGGGCACTGTTCATCAATCAGTAGCAACAAAATAATAATTGATTAATTCATTAATTATTATCGGAGCGATTGCGGTGAAAAGTGGGGCGAACTTTTTTCTCTGGAGGAATCATTCTTTGTTGATGCCTCAGGCATTTTGTGGAAACCTCAGGCATCAAGTAGATGACAGCATGGAACTTCCGCTTCGGTCTTGCTTGTCCGGATTCATTCGAAACTACAGTACTATCTATCTACTACTACAACTACTTACTACTCGTGTCCGTACGAGTATAGTTCAACTCCAGGAGAATCGCGAGTGCATACGCTCTGCTAGACGCATCCATCATCGAGACTATCCCGGTCATTCCGGCCTCCCCTCCGCGCAATGGCAGCGCAATTCGTCTGATCTGCATCCATATCTAGAATACACTCATTCATTCTCCGCGTCTGTCAATCGCCTTGAAAGCAACTCTCCACGGAGTAGGAGAAAAGACCACCTATCCCGCGCCATTAAGGCACCGCATACCCGTTCCTCTATATTTGAAACACTCATAACAATCCAACACCATGTGGATTCTTCCTCTCCTAGGCTACCTAGGCGTCATAGTCGGCTTCGCCTTCCTTACTCTAGCCATAGGTATGAAGACTCTGAATGAACCCTACCAGCGAAAGACAAGCAAATCAAAAGAAAAATAATAGAATCTATCTAACAATACATGATACATTCTTCCAGCCTCCGGCCTATACTACCTCTCCGAACTAGTCGAAGAACACACCGTCCTCACGCGCCGTCTCCTCTCCCGGTTAATATACTCGATAATCATCATCCAATCCCTCCTCTGGCTCTTCGATGGCTTCCCATTCCTCCTATCCCTCCTCAGCATTATATCCCATCTCGTCTACGCCAGCAACCTCCGACGCTTCCCGATCGTTAAGCTGTCCGATTCACTCTTCATCCTCTCTTGCGCGTTGGTCGGGTTGAATCATTGGCTTTGGTTCAGGCATTTTTCGAAACCGATAGTTCCTCCAGCTAGGGGACCGGGGTCGTGGAGACAGCCGTATTATCAGCAGCACGTGGTGGAGGATATGCCTACTTTTACGGAGATTGCGTCGTATTTCGGATTGTGTGTTTGGCTGGTTCCCTTTGCGCTGTTTGTGAGTTTGAGTGCTGGGGATAATGTCTTGCCTAGTATGGGTTCGGAGTATGCGACCGGTCAGCATGTCTCCTCTTCTACTGCTGGTGGGTTGGCTGGCAGCGCGGACTCGGGGGATGGCAAGAATAAAAATAAAGGCTTGGCCAAGGCTCTGGTTGATGGTGCCCGCGCGTGGGTTGCTGAAAACGGAGCAGTTATGGGGTTTTGGGCGGGCGATCGGTCTAGGTTTTAAGAGGGTTATGATTCAAATTATGTATAGTTCCTTCGCAATGCGAAATGAGTTACTCTACTTGCCGTCTCCTAGTAGCTGGTACCGGCTAGACCGGCTAGTCTATCGTCCAGGAAAGAGATGGAATTCCAAATTTTGGCTATGATTGTCGAAGATAGCACACCATGTCATTCGACCCTATAGGACACCTTGGATGTAGTAGGAAAGAAACTGGGGACTTGCTTTTGTTGCATACTTCAACCCGGCCGAAGTGTTTTCCAGCACAGGCCACATGGAGTCCTTGAAAGAGAAAAGAAAGGGGATAGGGCGGGTATACTGCCCGACCCAATGCTCAATGGAATCTGGAGAATGGAAGACGCTAAAAGAGGAGGGTCGGGGGTAGACACAAAATAGATAAAAAAAAAAGTAGCATGTCGATGAAACGAAGTCGGTGAAATCAAGTCTCAACTCCAAGGCGCCAATAGTAGCACAGGCTACGCTACCTGCGTACTCCCATATTAACCATTAGATTATACATATATCTGTGCCTTTGGTTCAGATGCAGCCAGGCTCCGAACGGTGCTGATTCGCGTCATACAACTCGTGAGTTTCGTCTCGCTACCGGGGAGCAGCTGAGATACAATGTCGGGACGAGGCCAATGATGAAAGCAAACATGAGCTCACATGGCTTCTGTCCGCTCTCGACTATTCGAATGCAGTCTCTTCTGCGACTAAACCCTAGTGTTAGCCGGTGTTTAATGCCTAGTCAGGATGAATGACGCCTACCAGGGTCGCCGCGTAGATCCGTCATCGGGTGCTTTCTGTGGCCAATATCCATAAAGAGCATGGAGCTCTCCCTTCTCTTCGCTTTACTCGTGGCGGGATTGCCGACATTGGGGGCTAACATCTGATTCCATTGCTGGGCCGAGTCATGAGGCTGAGTGTTGTATGAGTACTGATCGTACGCTGGCTGGATACCATTATAATGCCCTCTCGGAGTACCTGCTGTATCACCATATCGCTGGTCGTAACCAGGCGCGGGGTCAGAGAACGCGTGATGGCGAGGAGACCGCGCCTCATCCGTGGAATGATCCACGGTGATCTCAACCGTTTTCTCACTGACTGCCGGCGCATCGCCAAAAATTTCATCATAGTCGGTCAAAAACATAGAGAAAACAGGCGCCGGGATGTTCAGTGTTGGCGCAAAGACAATACCGACGTTTCTCACAGTCATCTTGTTGACATCGGAGTTATTGATAATTCTGATCAAGAATTGCGATAGAGCTTGCAGCAAAGACAGGTTTGCTTTTGGAAGTCTGTGCACAAGAATATTGAATGCAGCGATCTTCTTGGGTTTCTCATTCAGCTCTGCGAAGTTATTAGTACGGAAACACAACTATAACAGGTGGGGATCACTCACCGAGCACACGCAAAAATTCCAGATGAAGCTCGCGTGTCAATACCGTTGTAGGCAGCTCTCGCAGATATTGCTTGAATAGAGATGCCACAGCATGGACGTCGTAGTAATGGTCTCCTTCCAGGAAATCCACATCACCCTCCGCATTAAACCGTTCCTTGAGTGCTTTGACCACAAGGTTAGACCCGCTAAGTCGGAAGATACCTTCCTCGGATTCTGCCCCCTTGGCCTGAAGATATTCGATGCATCGATACACCACTGCCGGAAGGCCGACATCCAGTCCCCTGGGTCCACAAAATTCAACAGCTTCCGCCAAGGGGATACCGAAAACTGCCCTGACAGGCCCCTTTCGCTCACTTGAATTGCTTCCATGACCGAAACTTGTCTGCGTCTCGTAGCTCGCCTGAATTTGCGTGGCTAGGTCCGATGACGACCTCGTGCGGAAGCCCCAGATACTGCGCTTTTTCTCCTTTGTCGTAAGAGAGGGTTTATTTCCCCAGGCCCCTACATCCTGAATGACAGCACCGTTCCTCGGGCCCGATATCACCTTCGAGGTGTTCGAGTTCAAGGATCCTTGATCCGGACTCTGCTGGCGGGCGGGATCAAAATCTGCATGTTCATTCAATGGCGCCAGTTGACTTTGAGAGGGTCTAGACACATCTTTGTCATAGGGCGGGCCATAGATGGGCGGTTCCGCAGGAACAGCATCGTCATAACTAAAACCCTGGACAGCATTATGAACTGTATTATCAATGAAATCGTTTTCAGGACTGGTCGTTCCTTTGCTGCTGCCCTTCTTTGAACCGCTATGGAACGACCTCTGCCGCGTTGGGCCAGAGTTGGGCGGTTGCTTGGTCTGTGCATGCCCAGAGTGTCCAGCATGCCCCTTCGAGGTGCTGTTCGCTGCATCTTCGCCGGAGGATTGCGACTCAACGTATTGCAACAGCGCTTCGACCCATTCGTCTCGCTCCTCGTCACTCTCAGCACAGAGTACGTGGCGAACGAGAGCGGATGAATCTTTCTTTTTCGGCTCCAGGATAAGGAATGCATGACGGTACTGATTATCTGAGTCGTCCTCTCCTTGGCCATTCTGAGGGCCAGTATGTTGTGACTGCTTCCCAATTTGGGCATTGTATATTTTGATAGTTCCCAGATGCGGGCCGCCCGGCGACTCGAAGTACTTTAGTTCTGGTCCGTGCAGCACAAAATATCTGGCCTTCCATCCGCCAAAATTCTTTCCTCGCTTGGTGAGATAGCCTTCCTTCCTTGGTTTTCCGTCGGGGCCGCGTAGGATCTCAGGGCTTGCCTTGCCATTGTTCTTAAGCAAGGTAGTCTCATCATCGCGAGGCTCGATGGCATCGCTGGTGAGGAAGCGACAGATCACCAGGGCTGCTGTTTCATCCATGGGAGTGTCAAGAAGAGACTCGAAATACTCGTTCAGTGCAGCGCGTCTAGCGTCCACCTTCGCAGGAGAATGTCCACTGAAGGTGGAACGATCCGGCAGCTTTCCGGCAAAACCCGACACTTGTCTGATCTGATGATCTAGCTGAGGAAGAGCCATGATGACCTTTTCTACCCGCCAGAGCTCAGACCTACTGGACCTGGAGAACACACTCAATGTGAAAACAGGCTCCTCCTCCGTTGATTTCAGCCCCAGATAACTGTTCCTCGAGGGTCGCAACCGAGACGACGCAACCTTCACTTCTATAGAGGGGAGCGCATTCGGCGGCAAGAGAAGACCTGGGTATTCCTCAGATATTAAACCCTGATAGATGCCCTTTTTTATATCTGGCATATCCCGTGGACTGTCGATCTTGATATTCGCGTCAATGGTGGGTATTGTCATCTCGGGGGATGCAGTAACAGGTGACAAGGGCTGGCTGCCATTGGGCTTTCGCATTGTCGGAGAAGCAATTGGAGCAGGGCGTCCTGCTGTATCGTTCCTGGGCGACATGGGCGGCGAGGCCATACCTGAAGCGTCCCTTGGTGTCCGTGGTAGCGGTGATCCTATAGGGCGATCACTCGGCCTTGGGCTCACAGGTAATCCGGGGCTCATTGGAGGAGACGCTACACGGCGAAGTTCGGGAGATGCTGCCGTGGATCGGTTGTTATCAGGAGAAAGAACAGACGCCAGCGATTCCAGCGGAGATAGATACCCTGCACCTGCGAAGGGCGGAGGTTGGGCGAGCATCCGGCGCGGACTAGAGGGCAGATTTGCTTGAGGGGCTTGGGTCGTAGGCGAAATTCCATCTGAAACCGTTAGACTTCGCTGAGACATCTGCGATTTATTCTTATTCGACCGGCTGCGAGCATCTTGTTCTCTCATGAAAGCAGCCTCGCGTTCTCTATCGTCGTCTTCCCTTGTTGGCCTGCGACCTCTCTGTGCTGTCGGAATTTCGTCAACCTCCAGTACATCATTGTCATAGTCCGAGTCGGAAGCGTCCAGAAGATCCTGGGTTCGATGCATGTCGGTATGTTCATCTCCACCCAGATTGAGGGGTGCAGGCGGGGGCTTTCTATTTGGTGGAGGTAGAGTTGATGGTATACTATTCTCTGATAATGTTTCGCTGGCGACAGCACCATGTTGTATCACAGTAGAACCAGCTAAGAAACCCGCTTCCTGCTGCAAATTGCCATCATCGCGTTTGCTAGATGAGGCGGGAGCTGCAGAAGTGGAGGTGGTTGTATCCAACACAGGGGATCCGTTGTTGGCAAACGAAGTATGTGACCTGCCGGCCTCTGATTGTGGCGGAGCGGGAAATCCGGCCGTCATACGTCCATCTTCAAGTGGCGGCGACGTCTGCTCAACATATAGCGTAGGATTGCTCCGGGTCATTTGATCGTGCTTGTTGAAGTGCTCTTCTGGACCGGCTTCGTGCGCTGGAAGAACATCACGCGGGCTAGTCTGTCCATCGGATGTCTGCGAGACTACACCTGGCGGCAGGGGCGGTACCTGACACTGCAACTCCTTGAGCTTTTTGCGATATCTGTCCTTGTCCTTGAGTGCGCGTTCCAGGTCCTTGTTCAGACCCAGGAGGAGCGCCCTTTGTTTGTCCACCAACTTCCAGAGCTGCGAATTCTGAGAAGCGGCATGATGCTTTTCTTTCAGAAGATGCACGATCAATGCCTCGGCCGAACCGGCGGCCGTTATAAGGTTGTTAATGTCCGCCGTACTGACCGCATTCGTGTCCGACGAAGATTTCTGCGAGTGGGAGGGCAAGGACAAAGAGGATATGGCGGAATCTATCGATGATGTCCGGGGCATCACGCGCGGCCGATCCCCTGGCCCCGTGGAGGAATTCGCAGGCGACGTTGGCGCGGACGTCTGCGACTGCACCGGGCTCGCGACGTCTGACCCCTTTTGCGATTGATCGTGGACGGTCTGTTCAGTCATATTTCCACCATGTTCGGGCTTCCTGAGGGCCAGAGTCTGCTGCGGTGATCGCGACGGAGGGACTGGAAAGCTCGGATAATGAGAAGATATGGGGTCCCTCGGTGATTGGGGATCGAGCCGCAAGTGGTCAGCAACAGACGGCAGCGAGCCAGGGCTCCGAGGGGAAGTCTCCGGCGATTTTACTTTTGCAGGTGGTTCGGATCGAGGATTGGTGTTAAGAGGGGACAGACTCGGTCGGCGCAGAGCTGCGACAGTCACGTTGATCGGATTGGAGACCTGTCCGTCCAGGCGCTCGTTCAGGTAATCACGAGAGAGGAGATTCCTATTACTAGATGGAGAATGTAGGGTGGCATAGTCCTTGCGCGTGGTTGGAGAATAGGGGAGCTTCGGAGACGAGACTTGGAGGTCGTCATCATAGTCTTGTCGCCGCACCTGCGACATAGCTCGTTCGCAGACCAGATCCTCTGACCAGCATCTGCAAGCGGGGAGACGACAAGACACAGGAACAGGATGAAACGCCAGGAGAGAGGAATGATAATACTTCTGCAGGCCGGCGAATAATGATGGACAGCACGGGAGAGCGTCGAAGCACGGATTGAAGCACACGGTCCACGGAGCGCACAGCGATCGCGGTTAGCCAGACTGCCAGAACCCACGGGCCTTGGACCTTGATGTGTCGGGGGGAACGAGCGTGCAGTGCTGAAGCTCAGGGGGTCCCGCCAACCTGTAGCGCCGCAAAGGCCCGCAGCCAGTAACGGGGCAGAAGAGGAGAGCCAAGAAGATAGAGGAAATAGGGGGGGGGTCGTTGAATTCGCAGATGAGCTAGTGAGTTCGCGATACCTGTTTGGACTCTAGACAGGAGGAGTCGATAATAAGGGGGTGAATTAATGCCCCAAGGTTATGCTGGCGACGGGTCTGGCCGAGCACATAAGCTTTTTTTTTTCTTCTGCTCTCTTGGTGGAGACTCGGCAATTAACCGGCCTAAGCGTTGATAAGTATCAGTAAGCAGCAGGATAGCTAGTTAGTTAGTTAACTGAAAACAAGACGGAGAAGAGACAGACTCATACTGCGCGCATCACGGTGACTGGCATGCTCTAGATCGTCTAGTTAGAGGATAGATAGAATGGAGATGGAGATGGAGAATGGACGAAGGTCGAGGCGTTGATCGTCTCTGCCCCATCAGGCAGGCTACGACGAATCCGGAAGTCGACCGTTACGGCTGCGGTCACGTGGTGTTCGTCTGTATTATTATTATTATTATCATTATCATTATAGTATTATATCATTATATTTATATCGATAGGATAGAATCAATCAATCAGGTCCCAACAAAGAATCTAATTTCCATTGTTGGAGATATTACCAGACGATATATACAAATGCACGCCACAACATATGTGTATGATCTCCCGGACCAAAATATATTCTGCGTAAAGAAGACAAGACATTCAACCATAGCTCCTCTATCAACCTGGAAAGCATGTCAAGATATATATATTATTAAATGTTCGTATGTCCATCCATAGGCGCGCCCCCAGCTCCACTGCCCATGGGTTTGGCACTGCGTTCCCTCAGCCTCCGGCCCTCCATCAGACCACGCAGTCCACGTTTCTGGAGACCAATGACACTGCTAACATCTCCAGACCAGATCTCCTCAAACTGTCCATCGGCATCTGTGTGACGTCGGCTTCGAAGGCCTGGACGAGCGTTTTCACCGATGATATCGGACTCCGCCTGACTATGGCTCGTCCCCGTCGACGCTGAAGTGGCAGTACTGGCATTGCTGATAGAGTCCTCGCGGTCCCGATCCGAGGAAGGCATTCTTCGCGGCTGCTTTTTGCGAAAGCCAGTGTTGAAACGAAGCGGCAGTTCTCGAGAACTCGTTGGGTCTGCCCTACCTCCTCCTAGGCCGCCCGGCTCGGTGTCCGAAGAGTCCGATGTTAGGACACTCTGTTGACCAGTGGCGACGGAATTCTGCCGGCTGTACTCATGCGCAGCGTGTACTCCGTTGAGAGCTTCAAGCGTACCACTTGGCCCACTGACAAAGCCTGTTCCGCGGCCTCCTCCAGCAGCCATGGCGGCCGCATTGAAGACAGCGGCCGCATTCCTTCCGTCAAGTACTTGGTGAAGCCTTTCCACGGTGGCTTCCAAAAGACCATCGACCTGGTAGGGACGCGCAAGTTGAAGAAGTGAACATAGGATTTGCGGCGTGCACAGCGGAGAGGAGATCGGAGGAAGTGAAGACGTATAGAGATAGTAAACAAGAAGTTGGATGGTCAGGTACGTGTGAGGTAGGTAGAGAACGCGGGGACGAGATGTAGGAGCCAAGCCATGCGCAGAGGGTATCTCAAGGTTAGACATAAAAGACGGCGGGCTTTTGATACTGGAAGCTTGATCGTTGACGAGAGTGGTAGCGACGGAATAAGCGCTGTTCTTGCGGACTGGAGGAGTGATCGTGACGACAGAATTGCGACTGGGATACATTCCAGTGGTAGGCCGCAGAGTCTCAGAATCCGAGATCCCACTGTCGGAGGATTCCCTCACGAGCTGAATGAAAAAGGGACCCCATCTGCGGCTCAGGATGCGCGAACTGACGGGTATCCGTTCTCCGCCCACGGCCTGGATTTCCATATCTGCAACCTCAATGAAGGACATGGCAAGTTTGCCCAAAGCATCCGAAGCAGAAGAGAAGGGCCTTCCTCCAGACGTCAACTGTGCCAGCTTTGGCTGAAGGGACGCAGGAACAGGCGGCGCGCTTACGGAGACGTATCCGGATGTCGGTGCTGTCCTGCAAGGGTTATTGTACAGTCCGAACGCCTCCAGCTCGACCATACAGACGTGAGAGAAATTGATCCTCCGGTGATTGTAGTCCTCAACTAGACTCCTCTTGCGGTGCCCAAGGATCACGAACATGTTCCTGCGTTCCCACAAGACACCACGGTTCCAACTTCCGTGGCCAAAAATTGTGCCCCCAGCGTCAATCCGGGACCACGTGAGGGTCTTCAGATCGAGCGCCCATAGAGCGTACTCCTGTTTGGAGGATGTAAGGTAGGTGCCGCTGACAACGAAATGTCCGTTGATCACGCCGCCATTGGGAAACCTCAGACCAGGAGGGGAGGCTTGACTCTGCATTGGCTTCTCAACCAACCGGCCATCTGGAAGGCGTATCTGAAGCTCCAGCTTCACATCCAAGAAATTGTAATTTGAGTATATAAGCATTGGCGACCCTTTACCATCAGTATCAACTGGCGTCCGGGATGCTTCCTGGTCGGTAGACTCGGCCCCCACTTCGGAGGCGTCCATTCCTGTCAGTGGTGCTACAACACTCCGATACGCACCACAGCTTCTCCCAAGACTGGATGTGGCAGTCCACTGCAGGTTCCGGAGGTTAAAGACACTGATCTGCTCGATATAGTGGTTGGAAGCGTCTTGGCCCCCGACGACTATCATCTCTGCTCCGCCCTGGCCATCAATGTCCACGCCAATTGAGCCCTGGTGCGGAGCCGACGACGAAGGATTGTGATGAATCGCAGATAGAGGAGCGTTTGCGGACGTGAAATATGCACTCGATGGCAATATGGTGGCACAGTGTGCATAGCGACCTTGCGGCGAACCATTTGTCGGGACCAGAGTCCACGCCCTCGTCAGGACATCAAATATATGTATATCTGACATGACCGTAACTTTCTCAGCCTGCGGTTCCGCGCCTGCAGAAGTGCCGCCAGGACTATCCTTGGAGGTAGGCGCCGGAGACATGCCTCCGTAGCAGACGAGCTTAGTGTCACCCAAAGCGCACATGCTGTGAAAATAACGGGGTGGAGGAATGTCTCCTGTGGCTTCTACCTTCGTCCAATGCCGTCGAATCAGATCAAGCTCATATAGATCGGATGTCAGCTGCGGACGAGTCCTCGATAGCATACGGCCACCAAAAACGTATAGCTTGTCGCCCAGAATAGTTGTTGTAGCCCCGACAAGAGCGTGAGGCTCTCTGCCTGTCGTCCTGCGTACGTTGCAGACTAACCCAGACAGATTGATAGGGCCGGCCACCGGGTTCTGCTGAGTTGCCGCAGAAGACGCTCCAGCGGCAGCTGCAGAAGCGTGCGTCGCCAGCCCATCATCCTTTCCGGCGTCTGCGCTGCTCAGACTAGACTGACTTCGAGACATTGTGATATCCTAACAGGTGAAGTCCGCGGGTCGCTGAGTGAGTAACAGGATCGTTTTTTGTTCCCTGATACTAGAAAACTAGTAGTATTCGAGTCGCGGAGAGGAAACCGATGTCGCGATCGTTATCGATTATATTCTTCGTGACACTCCAGAAACGTGATAAAGATGTGCGATGCGATGTTGCTTCCGCCCTCGATCTCGGCGCCGCAGCACCAGCCCCGAGGAGAATAATCGACGATATGCGTTCGATACCGGTCCGTTTCGAAAGGGCCTATTCAGATACCAACCGGTAGCGATCCCAGCGAGAGTAATCGAACAGATGTAATTATTCGACTGCCCCGCATACAACTGGCCTTCGGGGTCCTCAATCGTCGACGAGACCCCGGATCCAGAAGCCCAAGAGCTTCGATATCATGCAATCAATTCCGTAACCCGACGAGCACGGTATAAAGAGGCGAAGATGGTCCAGATCGTCGCGGATTCAATCGTTATCTTGTGGTCGGGGATAGGAAATAACTCGTTCAACGCATCGCGCGCTAGGGACACATCAGGCAGCCGAGAGTGGGAGTTGGAGACAGGGGCTTCGTCCGTGAGGCTGGTATTTCGCCAATGAGCCCGGGTATAACAGAGGGGAAAGAGAAGTCAGAGCTCGTGGAGCAACATTCTCCAGAGATGACAAAGACGAAATCCGAGCCAAAATAAAGAAAAGCGATGGTTTGCGATGAGGTGTGGACACGGATGGGGTTTCTCTCAGCCTCCTCCCTTCCTTGACCGCCAAAGTGTACTTAGTGTACTTAAGTAGTCTAGCCGGCGCTGGCGGGATTCTCCAATAGATACAATTCGGCGAGTTTAAATGTCAGTCTCTCTACATTCTGCAATAACACTCTAGGCAGAGCCATGCCCCACTAGATAATTAGTTATATACATGGGGCTTTATAAATTGTTCTCGTGAAAGTTCGAATCTACTGGTCTTGGATAGGTGAATACACAGTTACACTGTCGCTACGTTGGTTTCTTTGTGGTTTTCTACTCCGTACTTAACAATTGGGCTGCAAGACTGCGAAATATACATGCTGAAACACGTATTTTCCAGACCGAATGGCATCTACTACTGCTAAGACTGCTACGACGATAGGCATTCCAGTGTTATAACTAGAAAGCGTGACTTCCTAAGTATAGTTCATAGTTCTAAGAATACCGCATATACATACAGAAGGGTATTTCCGCGGACTGCACGCAAATTTTTAAATTGATAATAATGCCAAACAACATGTGGGCATCAGAAGGCTATCATAAGGTATCAAAAGTTATTATTCCTCCTCTTTTCATCCTCCCCTGTTCCGCCTGTCTTTTATTCAACGCTCTTGGCTCGATATTTACTCCTTCTTCAGGGTGGTGTATCGGAGGTAACTATAGATGAATACGTTAGCAATGCCTTCGCTTGAACAGTTGTGAGACTACTGGGACAATGAACTTACGGCTTGACAACGCGGACATCACCGAACTTCTTCTGGGCGTCCTCAGTGGAGACGGTAGGAGGGATGACGACGTCATCACCGGGAAGCCAGTTGATGGGAGTGGTGACACCGTTCTTGTCGGTGGTCTGGAGAGCATCAACGACACGGAGGACCTCGGCGGTGTTACGGCCAGTGGAGGCGGGGTAGCTGATGATCAGACGGATCTTCTTCTTGGGGTCGATAACGAAGACGGAACGGATGGTGAGGGCAATGCCTATTCAACGTCAGCGGCCCATTCTTAGCAATGGCACAGTGGATAGGGATACATACCCTTCTGGTCGACGTTGGTGGTGTCATCGTAGTCAACCATGTCGTAGAGGTGGGCGACCTTGCGCTCGGGGTCGGAGATGATGGGGAACTTGAGGTTGGAGCCGGTAACCTCGTCAATGTCCTTGATCCACTCCTTGTGGGAGTCGATGTTGTTGGCGCTCTAGGTGACAATCAGTCCTGTCCGCTGAGAGTTCCTATTCACGATTTAACTCACCAGACCGATGAGCTTGACACCACGAGCAGCGAACTCAGGCTCGAGCTTGGCGAAGGCACCGAGCTCGGTGGTACAGATGGGGGTGAAGTCATCCTAGTATGAAAAGCGCCAGGTCAGCAATGTCCTTTCTTCTCCTCGACAGACGCGGGGGGTTGCGCGAACGAGGTTCCAAATAGGCCGCTGTGTATACTTACAGGATGGGAGAAGAGGACGACCCAGTTGTCACCGATGAACTCGTGGAAGTTGATCTTTCCGCCGGTGGTCTCAGCGTCGAAGTTGGGGGCGATGGAGCCGAGACGGAGACTGTACGACCGTTTTGGTCAGTAATTGAGGCCTTTCGCGGTGAGGGGAACCGCCAGGATGTCCTTACGGGGCAGCACGCTGTTCCTGAGCCATTGTGAATTATTGACGTCTGTACCGGTATATGTTCCACGGACGAAGACAAGGGAGAGAGAGCTGGTGAAGCAGAAGAAAGAGAAGACGATAGTTCCGTAGTAGTAGCAGCGGGAGAAGGCTCAAGATAAAAAGCAGCTGGCAACCCCTCTCCCCAACTCCACAAGCCCAAACATCCAGCAATTGAGCTTCTCCGTCCGTTCATCCCCTCGTTCGCAATCACGCAATCCGCTGCCGCCCTGGAAATAAGGCATCTGATTGGTCCCCGGTGAGGCCATCCATAGTGGGCTGTTTAGTGCGGTCGAGCGCCTCCATTATTGTCCATATGTCTGCTGTTTGGGAAGCAGAGAGATGAGGTGAATTAGGGGAGCTATTGCATTTTGGCTCCAGTCCGCTGCAAACCAGTGAATAATATTATTATTATTGAGGCATGCCAGCGATGACAATAATCGGCCGTCTGGTTATGCAGATAATTAGCTCTTTTCCAGCTTCAGCACATCCGACATCGCTCGCGGCCTCATTGATTTCCCCTCATCACCACATCCCACTTAATATCAGGGATATTACGATTAAAAAAATAAATAAATAAATAAATAAAAATCTCTCCAGCAATATTACTACGACTATTGATTTCAAGTTGATCAACTCCCCTTCTTTGCCCTTATAGTGGGGTCCGATGGATGGTATAGAGAACGTACTCGTACAACAGATCCCGCTTCGGCCGAATAAGTAAGACGGCTGCTCATTATTTCGCGCCATTGCGACCAATCCAGAGGTCCGCAGATGGCGCAATACCAAGGACCTGCGTGTTCCTTTGACTAGTTACAGTCGCGTCCAAAAGTTTTCGACACTTTTTTTCGCCCTACTAAAAATCTCGATGTTTTTAAACCTTACTAACCAGAATAAATTAAATAAAATCTCCTGTAAAATAGTATTATATTAAAATATATTGATCTAAGTATATAATATATTTTTTTAAATTTTTTAAATTAAGAGGTTCTTATATTATATAAGTTTAAAGTTTATCCTTAAAAAAAGTATAATTATATATATTTTAGCCCTTACCTATTATATAAATATAAACTTTTTTCAAAAAATTTTATATATAAAAATTAAAGCTTTTATCTTATATTTTCTATATATTTAATAATATAATAGGCTTTATATATAAATTTATTAAATAAAATCCATTTAAAATTAGCTACTTTTATAAAAAAAGTAGTAAAAATAGCTAAAATATAGAAAACTTAACCTTTTTAATTAAGTTTTTCTCAATAAAATTATATATAATATATAAGATTTTATTAATTGTATTTATAAAATAAGACTAAATATTTAATTTTTATATATAAATTTTTTTATAAAAGTTATTTAAAAAATATTTATTTAAGTTTTAAAAAATATAAAATTTAATATAACAGTATATTATAAACTAGGGCTACAATACTTAATCCAGACCTGCTAAGACCTAGGATAGATAATAAAGGATAATAAGATAACTAGATCTATATATAATAGTTAGATCAGCTAATTATAGATAGAGCTATTAAGATTAAATTATCTAGATAACCTAATAAAACAGATAGATAGATAAATAACCTCTAAAAAAATAAAAGTTAGAGGAATTAGTAATTTATTTTAATTACTATTAAATCTAACCTTTAATTCTACTATATATAAACAGCTACTCGCCTATATCTTTACCTCTTATCTCATATTCTATTTAACTAGTCCGACTAATTATCTCTGATAAAGAACTTCCTCACTTTAGCTCTTTATAGTTTAAATCGCTTAACCAATAATATATTAGGAAAAGAAAAGATATTAAGAAGTAGTACTAAAGATCAGTATAAAGAATCTAAATATAGCCTAAAGCCTGGCACTTAACCTAAACTAATAAATATTACTAATTCTAAGCAATTAAGATTAGTAAGTAGTACTAGTCCTAATTAGCCTAAATAAATAACTATTATAGGCCTAGGAAATCTAATAAATTTAAGAAATATTATAGAACCTAAAATTTAGCAGGAATTAAATACTACTGGTGCTAAATCTACTACCTTACCAGATTCTTAATATTAAGTTAATAATGTAGCGATAGGAGCTCTATAAAACATAACTTAGGGATTATTAGAAAAGATAAATATAGCTGCAGTTATAGAGCTAATAAAATAAATAAATATAGCCCTTAAATCTGAGTCTATTGCTAAACTGCCTAAACCTTATTAATATTAAGTTAAAGATCTAGATACTTACTACTATTAATACCGTTATATAGATTAATATTTTATCTATAATATATCGATGTTTTAAACTAAAATAAGTAAGGTAAACTATACCGCTGTGTTACTTTTAGATAATTATAAAATAGTTTAGAGTTATAGATCCCCTGCTTTAGCTATAATTTTATAATAGGGATTTTAATAATAGCTGTTAAATTATCTTAAAGATCTATAATATTAACCCTAGATAGCTGCTATATAATTCTGGGGGCTAAAATAATAGCTAGGACAGACCGCTTAAGAATTTTATAATAAATTTAAGCTTTGCAGAGCTAAATTAGCCCTAGAGGATAATATTTAAAGCTAAACCTTCTTCTCTATATTATAGAAAGATATACAGAACTAATTATTTAAGTATATATATATTTTAATTAATTTAAACTAATTAGCTTCTAAGGCTATAGTTATTAAATAGAGTCTTAAAAACTTTATTAAATCTTAATTAAAGGACTTTAAGAAGAAGGAATAATCCTAACCTTATATAAGGGAAAAAACTAATTTTACCTATATATATAGGACAAGTAAAAGAATAAATTATCTTAGTTAATCTCTATAAAAACCTATTTAAAATATAAAATAAAGAAGTTTAAATCTTTAAAAGAATAAAAATAGTTAAAGAAAGAAAGGCAATACTTTAATTATAAGAAGAACAGATATATTAATAAATAATATCTTAATAAGATAAGAAAGGACTCTGAACCCCCTAAAAATAAAGATATTAAGCTTAATATATTCTAGCGCCTTAAAGGTATAGAACTAGAGTTTATAACTTTAATAGGTATATTAATTAAAGGTTATATTATAAAAATAAATACGCTTCTTAATTCCTAAGCATATACTAATTTTATTAATTATAACTTTTTATTATATTATAGATATAAGAGGTTTTTATAAAAGCTAGTTAGATATACCTTATAGATAGGAGACTAAATAATGCTAATTTATAGCTACTTCCTAATTATTATTAAGATAAAGAACTTAAAAGGAAAGATAGAATAATATAAGATTAACTTTTAGATTATTTTTATATAAGAATCTAATATAGTTAGAAAGAATTAAAATATAATTCTAAGATTATTATAACTATACTATAATAATCTTATTATAGATTAGAGATATTTAACTTAGAAATACTAATAAGAGGCTTTACCCTAAATTAAGATTTAAACCCTATAAGCATTTATAAAGATAGCGTAAAATTAACCAATCTATTATATATAAGGGGAATATATTAAAATAGATATAGAAGAAATTTAACTTCCCCTATACTATATATAATTCTAAGATATCTTTTTAAAAAAGAGAGCTAAAATATTACCCCTATTAGAAGATACTAAGACCTATATAATTAATCTAATTAATAATAAGTTGCTGCTATAGAGGCTTCTATATTTATATTTTACTAAAAAACTAGATATATTATAAAGGTATCTAAAAGATATATAATAATAAGGTTAAATCTAGGCTTTAATTAGCCCAGCCAGATTATTAATTATTTTTATTCCTAAGAAAGATAATAAACTATACTTATATATTAATTATTAAGGACTAAATATCTAAATAATTAAGAATTATTATTTACTGCTATAAATAAATAAGATACTAGATTAATTAATAGATATAAGATTCTTTATAAAACTTAACCTTTAAGAAGCCTATTATAGAATCTATATATAAAGGGGAGATAAATAAAAGACAGTATTTAGAACTAGATACAGCTATTTTAAATATCTTATTATATTGTTTAGACTATATAATACTCTAGCTATATTTTAAGCCTATATTAATATAGTACTAAGGGGCCTATTAAATATCTGCTGTATTATATACTTAGACAATATCTTAATCTTCTTAATAGATAAAAAAGAATATAAATAATATATCTCTAAAGTGCTAAAAAGACTCTGTAAGTATAATTTATATATAAAGCTAAGTAAATACAAATTCTATAAGAAGGAAATTTCCTTCCTTAAATTTATTATAGGATATAATAGGATTAAGATAGATTTCTCTAGGATTAAAATAATTTATAATTAGCCTATATTAAAGACCTTTTATAATATTTAAGTCTTTCTAAGATTTATAAGTTTTTTTAGGAGATTTATTTATAATTACTTTTCTATTATAATACTATTAATAGACTTACTTAAGAGTAGTAAGAATAATAAGAAGACAGGCCTATTAAAATAAATACCTAAAGTATAGAAAATATTTAAAGATTTAAAAACTATATTTATTAAACTGCTAATATTATAGTATTATAATTTAAAGAAGCTAATTATAATAGCTATAAATGCCTTAGGATTTACTTTAGCTATTATTCTACTGTAGCTTATAAGTAAGGTAATAGGGTAATAGCACCTAGTCATATACTTTTTAAAGAAATTTACTAAAATTAAATATTAATATAAAGTATATAACCAGGAATTATTAATAATAATTAAAGCTTTTAAGTATTAGAGATATTATTTAGATAGTAATAAATACCCTGCTTAGGTATAGACTAACTATATAAACCTATGCTACTTCTTTATAATAAAGACTTTAAATAATAGGCAGGTAAGATAGGCGAAGTTACTAGCAGGCTATAACTTTTATATTAAATATAAGCTAGATTATTTAAATACAGCTAATATACTATCTTAGAGATTAGACTATAAATTCTTAGAGAAGGAGTAGGAGATTAGATTATTACTTACCCTATAGAAGAAACTAAAACTA